ATCTTTTGGCCCAACACATCTGATTTCAGAAATAGCCTCATTGGTCGCCTTTTATAACATGCTTGTCAGGAGCAGGCGGTCTATTTTCTCTCTCCCCCCCCCCTTCCCAAAATGGGGCCCCAGAATCCACTGGGGGGGGGGGGGGGGAGGGCAATGTGTTTCTTTTTAAGCTGAGAAAACAAAGGAGAGCTCTGCAGCCCAGTTCCTGTGAAGACAATGGTCTAATACTAGAGTAAGAGAGAGTCTGAACACCAACCTCAATCATAAAGATGAAAGCCTTTTTTTTCTGGGAATGAGGTAGGTCTTTTATGAGGACTGTGGTATATCTTTCTGGGGACTGAGGCAAGCTTTTTGGGTATCAGTCTTTTAGGGACAGGTATGTTTTTTTTTTTTTTTTGGGGGGGGGGGGGGGGGGGCTGAGGTATGTCTTTTTGGGTGACTAAGGTATGTCTTTTTGAGTGACAAGTATGTCTTTTTGGGGGACTGAGGTATGTCTTTTTGGGGGACTGAGGTATGTCTTTTTGGGGGATTGAGGTATGTCTTTTTGGGGACTAAGGTATGTCTTTTTAGTGTGACTGTGTAAATCTGTTTGGGGGAACTGAGGTGTTTTTTGGGGGGACTGAGATATGTCTTTTTTTGGGGACTGAGGTATGTCTTTTTGGGGGACTGAGGTATGTCTTTTTGGGGACTGAGGTATGTATTTTTAGTGTGACTGTGTAAATCTGTTTGGGGGAACTGAGGTGTTTTTTGGGGGGACTGAGGTATGTCTTTTTTGGGGACTGAAGTAAGTCTGTTTAGGGGACTAAGGTATGTCTTTTTGGGGGACTGAGGTATGTCTTCTTGGTGTGACTGAGGTAAGTCTGTTTGGAGGACTAAGGCATGTCTTTTTGGGGGACTGAGCTATGTCTTTTTGGGGACTGAGGTATGTCTTTTTAGTGACTGAGGTATGTTTTTTTGGGGGGAGGGCACTGAGGTATGCCTTTTTGGAGGACTGAGGTATGTATTTTTTGGGAAGAGACTGTGACAAGTCTTTTCATAAAAAAGACCCAGAGAAATGTGCAAAGGACCCACCTGCTGGTTCTGTGTAGGTATCTGTAGAGCCAGGGCCATGCTGTTGTGGTCGAAGCTCTCATCAAGGGCTATAAGGGCCCCATGGACGCCTGACTCCTGCAGGTTGTTGGCGTACTCTCGTAGACTGATGCTCATTACCCAGTGAATGACGCGCTCATTAGACCACACCAACACATCTGTGGTCACAGGAGAACATCTCTATAGCAACATCACACATCATCATCATCATCATCATCATCAGTGTCAGTGGGTACACTCTAGAGTTGACTGAGATCAATCAGCAGACATTTGAGTTGACTGAGATCAACAGGGAGACATCAGGGTCACAATATTCTCCAGCATGCATACTTGTCTTATTGTGTCTTCTGCTTGAGCCATCCACGATTTTCCCCTTTTCAGCCTCTGACCCTTACCTGCAGCCAAAGCTTTATACAGAGGATGTTCCCTGTCTGCAGCTACTCTGAGGTATGACTTAGCCTGCAGCACCATGAGCTGATCTGCAATAATCGGCAATGCAAGGATGTATCGCATGCACACAATCAGGGTGTCTCTTGTACAACTCAGGATCAGCCGCATAGCCTCATTCTGTATGCGCTTCAGTTTCTCTAGCTGACTCTTCGAGACAGTGAGTAATCCCGATCCATAATCAATCACTGAGATGATTAAGGGCTGGTAAAGTGTGAACAGCATTCTCTGCTCCATGTCCATCGCTGCCATTATCTTTAGTGCATTCAGACTTTTTTGAGCTCTTGTCACAACCCCCTCTATGTGATCCCTGAAAGACAAACTTCTGTCAAAGGTGATTCCTAGGTACAGCAGTCTGCTGTCTCTTTTGATGTCCCTGCCATTTATTTTGAGTCTGGGAACATTAGCTTTAACAATCCTGTTGTTCAAAGAACACCACAGGACTGTTGCCATTTCTGGGTTGATTGCAGCACTCATCTCTGTACACCCCTTTCGCCCTTTTCAAAACATGTTTTACATCTTCCACCTGTGTGATGTCTTCATAAGGTTTGTTCTTTAAGATCGCTGCCATATCTTCTCTAACTCTTATCTCTGCTATCTTCATCTTTGTGGTCTGTCAGTGAAATGAACCTCTTCAGGAAAGCCTCTCCCTTCTCTTTGTCTGTAGTTAATAGCGTACCGTCATCTCTATGAATTGCTCCTACTACGCTGGGCTGATCTTCTTTTTTTTTTTGAGCATCTGCCTATGTAGCTTCCAAAACATTCCCAATGTCTTATCGCTCCCAATCTCATCAATAAAATGTTCCTATTTTGCTTTTTTGGCCTCTGCAGCACAGCGCTGGAAAAACTCTTATTTTTCTTATCTCTTTCTGCGTGCGCACTATAACTCCTCCTGTGAGCTTAGGGCTGCCTGTCGCACTTTCTTTAAACACTTTACTGCAGCTCTCTTGAACTTCCATGCCTGTTCAACTTCTGATGTCCACCATGGTAGATCTGCCAGCCCTCTTTCATGCCCTCTGTCAGAGGAGTCCAAGAAGGGTGTTAGTCCGCTCATACTTGAAAGGCCTAGAAGCTCTTGAAGCCTTGACTTTCCTGGATTGGAAATAAATACCGAAGATGAAGATGGTCACTTCCATGATCGCCCAGGACAGTCCATTAGGTGTCCAGTACTGCTGACTGGGTAACCAGAGCCAGGTTAATAGCCGTGTCTGCATCGCCGGGCCCCAATACCATTCTAGTGGGCGTCCCATCATTTAAACAGACAAGGTCTAAATCAACCATGGCGTCAACAAGGGCAACTCCCTGTCGGTTTTCACCAGTACTGTCCCATTCATTGTTCCGTGCAATGAAATTCCCACAAATGAGAAACCTGTTGCCAGGAATCCCCTCCAGGTCTTTCAGCCAGTCCCACTGTTGTTTTTTAACTAAACAGCCCACAGCAGCATATACATTAATTATGTTCCAACGCAGACCACAAATCTCCATCTGTATTCCCTGCACCTCTCTAGCATCATTATTCCAGAGACTTAAGTCAAGCACCACATGTTTCAAGCCCTCCTTCACTAGCAGACATTGCCCATGTCTCCCATGATGTCCAGCAGGGTTCACGTAGCTGACATATCCAGGCCAATGATATTTATCTACATTCAGCTCCTGAAACATGATTACATCAAAGTTGTAAATTAACCTCTCTAGTATGGGCCCTCTCTGTCTGGTGTTACGACAGTTCCAAAAACACACTCTCACATGATTGGACCCCAGCCGTTCTGGTTTTCGCCTAAATCTCCTGGCTCCTGCCCTTCTATATCTCTGCTTTCTTTCCTCACCTTTTCCTCATTTTCTCCTCTTCACTCTCTCTTCACTGCTTGCTGAAGATGACGTCACGTGCAGTGCCCGTGCTCCGTAGATCAATGAATACACATAAGAGTTTACTGAGATCTATGGGTACACATCAGAGTGAACTTATATCAATAAGTCATTAGAGTTTACTGAGATCAATAGGTAAACATCAGAGTTTACTTATATCAATGAGCACACAGTAAGTTTACTGAGATAAATGGGTACACATTAGAATTTACTTATATCAATGAGCACACATTAGAGTTTACTGAGACTAATGGGTAAACATTATAGTTTATTTATATCAATGAGTACACATCAGAGTTTACTGAGTGAATGAGTACAGATTAGAGTTTACTGAGATCAGTGGGTGCAGATTAGAGTTTACTAAGATCAATGAGTACACATAAGAATTTTATTAGATCAATCAGTACACATTAGAATTTACTGAAATCAATGGGTAGACATCAGAGTTTACTGAGATCAATGAGTAAACATTAGAGTTTACTGTGATCAATGGGCAGACATTAGAGTTTAGGGAGATTAATAAGTACACAGAGTTTACTGATATTAATGGGTACAGGTGCTGTTTCTTTCAGATGAGACAAGGTTTAGCGACAGATCATTCTCATTGTCATCAAACCATTCAGTCCATAAACACTCTGATCCCCTTCTCAGACAACACCAGTTCTGTGTCAATTTATTATTTTGCGTTTGGTTTTCCACATAGTGCTTTTGTTGGGACACCCCCTTTTAACGCTGTTTTTGCATTCTGACCGCAGTCAGCACTTTCTTCTCACAAACCTCTTACATCTCAGTGAGCATTCAGTACACCAGCCTGGTCCACTGCTGGTCCCTGCTCCACTGAAACCTTACCTGCAAACTTATCATTATTTCAGCCTGGTTCACTGCTGGTCCCTGCTCCACTTCTTCTTCTTCTTTCGTTCGCCTGAAATAAGTTGTCTATATCAGCAGTTTTGTCTCTTGTATAAATTTCACTGTCGTTGTTAGTTCATTCAGTGGTCCATAGAGTTTATGTTCCACTGTTGTTCTTTCTGGCCAAAAGGTTTGCCTTAATGTGTCAAAATCGGTGCAGTCCTGGAGTACATGCTCTGCTGTCTGGGGCACATTTCCACAGGTGCACATGGCTGATACACCTATCTTGAATTTTGTGTCCTGCTCCACTGAAACCTTACCTGCAAACTTATCATTATATTAGCCTGGTCCACTGCTAGTCCCTGCTCCACTGAAACCTTACCTGCAAACTTATCAGTACATCAGCCTGGTCCACTGCTGGCCCCTGCTCCACTGAAACCTTACCTGCAAGATTATCATTATTTCAGCCTGGTTCACTGCTGGTCCCTGAATCCCTAGCTGCAAGCCTATCAGCTTGTTTACCTCCTTGTATTTCCTATGTCCACTGCAGCAGAAAGACGAGCTTCCTCCTATCACCTGAGTGACACAGTGTAGCTGCTTGACAACACCAGCTAAGTCAGGGTGCAGTAAAAGCTCCCTGGTTGATCTGAGGTCTGAGTGACCATTCTCAACTGGACAGTGGTCAGCCCAACGATGGACATCAAAACCAAGACAACAACAAGGACTGCGACAAGACAGAGAAAACTGACCTTTCGTGTCTGACAGGCTCTCATCTCGTCGGCGCTCCAGCTCCCGCTTATCATAGTTGAGCTTCTTTAAACAGTTAATGCCATACTGCAGACTGGTCCTGCAAATACAACAGTTCTATGTCTCAGAGATACTCTCATACCCACTTCCATACTGTCACATACTGTCTCTCTCACACTGGTTCCATCATACTGTCTGTCACAGTGTCTCTCTCATACTGCCTGTCTCATACTATCTGTTTCACACTGCCTCTCTCATACTGTCTGTCACATTGTCTCTCTCATACTGTCACACTGCCTCTATCATACTGTCTGTCACATTGTCTCTCTCATACTGTCTGTCACACTGTCTCTCTCAAACTGTCTTTCACACTGTCTCTATCATACTGTCTGTCATACTGTCTCAACAGGAGCTGCAACTGACACATGGAGCATGACACAAGGTGCCACATTCAGAAACATGAACCATGACACAAGCTGCCACAATCAGACACATGAACCATGACACAAGCTGTCACATTCAGACACATGAACCATGAAACAAGCTGCCACAATCACACATGAACCATGACACAAGCTGCCACAAGCATGACACAAGCTGCAACAATCAGACACATGAACCATGACACAAGCTGCCACAAGCATGATGCAAGCTGCCACATTCAGACACATGAACCATGACACCAGCTGCCACAATCAGACACATGAACCATGACACAAGCTGCCACAAGCATGACACAAGCTGCCACAATCAGACACATGAACCATGACACAAGCTGCCACAAGCATGATACAAGTTGCCACATTCAGACACATGAACCATGATACAAGTTGCCTCATTCAGACACATGAAGCATGACACAAGTTGCCACATTCAGACACATGAAGCAAGACACAAGTTGCCACATTCAGACACATGAACCATGACACAAGTTGCCACATTCAGACACATGAAGCATGACACAAGCTGCCACAAGCATGACATAAGCTGCCACAATCATGACACAAGTTGCCTCATTCAGACACATGAAGCATGACACAAGTTGCCTCATTCAGACACATGAAGCATGACACAAGGTGCCACATTCAGAAACATGAACCATGACACAAGCTGCCACAATCAGACACATGAACCATGACACAAGCTGTCACAATCAGACACATGAACCATGACACAAGCTGCCACAATCAGACACATGAACCATGACACAAGCTGCCACAATCAGACACATGAACCATGACACAAGCTGCCACAATCAGACACATGAACCATGACACAAGCTGCCACAATCAGACACATGAACCATGACACAAGCTGCCACATTCAGACACATGAAGCATGACACAAGCTGCCACAACCAGACACACAACCCATGACACAAGCTGACACAACCAGACATAACCCATGACACAAGCTGCCACAATCAGACACATAACCCATGACACAAGCTGCCACAATCATACACATGAACTCATCCAACAGCCAAATCCAGGTACCAACCTGTGAAAACTGTCCACCATCTTCAGCTGTCCCCGGAGATCTTTCTTGGTTAAGTGGTCCAACATGCGAGCATCCACCAGACACTCCATGAAGTGAGTGCGGTACTGGGGCAAGCCAAGGCTGGGCAGCCATTCCTTGCCGATCCACTCTTGGTTCATGTCACCAAAAGCTAAAGTCTAGAAGAGACATCATCAACATGTAGCCAACAGTACCAGCTAGTGTTCATGTCTACATGTAGCCAACAGTACCAGCAGCAAGTGTTCATGTCTACATGTAGCCAACAGTACCAGCATCATGTGTTTATGTCTACATGTAGCCAACAGTACCAGCAGCAAGTTTTCATGTCTACATGTAGCAAACAGTACCAGCAGCAAGTGTTTATGTCTACATGTAGCCAACAGTACCAGCAGCAAGTTTTCATGTCTACATGTAGCCAACAGTACCAGCAGCAAGTGTTTATGTCTACATGTAGCCATCAGTACCAGCAGCAAGTGTTCATGTCTACATGTAGCCATCAGTACCCACAGCAGGTTTTCATGTCTACATGTAGCCAACAGTACCAGCAGCAACTTTTCATGTCTAAATGTAGCCAACAGTACCAGCAGCAAGTGTTCATGTCTACATGTAGCCAACAGTACCAGCAGCAAGTGTTAATGTTTACATGTAGCCATCAGTACCAGCAGCAAGTGTTCATGTCTACATGTAGCCAACAGTACCAGCAGCGAGTGTTCATGTCTACATGTAGCCAACAGTACCAGCAGCAAGTGTTCATGTCTACATGTAGCCAACAGTACCAGCAGCAAGTTTTCATGTCTACATGTAGCCATCAGTACCAGCAGCAAGTTTTCATGTCAATGTAGCCAACAGTGCCAGCAGCAAGTGTTCATGTCTACATGTAGCCAACAGTACCAGCAGCAAGTGTTCATGTCTACATGTAGCCAACAGTACCCACAGCAAGTGTTCATGTCTACATGTAGCCAACAGTACGCACAGCAAGTGTTCATGTCTACATGTAGCCATCAGTACTAGCAAGTATTCATGTCTACATGTAGCCAGCAGTACCAGCTGCAAGTTTTTGTATACCTGTGTGGGTTCTGAGGCCCCTTAATTAGCATGTCATAAACAATGTCAGAGGTCAATATAAGGTGTCGATCTGTCTGTTACTGCAGCAGCAGCAGAACAGGAGGCGGAGAAGGAAGAGAAAGAAGAAGAGGAAGAAGAAGGAGGATGAGAAGGAGGATGAGAAGGAGGAGGAGAAGGAGGAGGGAGAAGAATGAGAAGAGAAGGAAGAAGAGGAAGACGAAGAAGAAGAGGAAAAAGAAGGATGAGGAAGAAGGAGGAGGAGGAGAAAGAGAAAGAAAAAAGAGAAAGAATGAAGATAGACAAGGGAGGAGGAAGAAGAAGCAAAAGGAAGAGGAAGAAAGAAGAGCCCGGAGGAGAAGGAAAAAAGAAGGAGAAGAAGAAGGAAGAAAGAGGACAAAAAAGAAGAGGGAGAAGGAGGAGGAGAAGGAAGAGGATGAAAGCGAAGAAGCAGGAGGAGGAGGAGTGAAAGAAAAAGCAGCAACTTTGTCTGGGATATCCTAGAAAAAAGCTAGGAAAGGAGGTGTGCTTCACAATGATGTCTGAAATATATGTGAAGCTGGAAGAATGAATGAAATACACAGGTAATAGTAAATGAAACATCATACAGAGCTGTGAGGTTGGAAGAATGCATGAAATATCATACACAGATAATAGTGGATGAAACATCATACAGAGATGTGAGGTTGGGAAAATGCATGAAATATCATACACAGATAATAGTGGATGAAACACCATACAGAGATATGAGGTTGGGAGAATGACGAATGAAACATTAGATGATGTACATGTAAAACCAAAGTCAAGGTATAAGACCCAGGTCCAGAAGTGGTCGAAGAACCAGGACTTTCCGCTGGAGTTTGCAGCCGGTGAATGTGAAGAAGAAGAAGAAGGAGGTTAAGTTGAGGGAGAGACAGAGTAGTTGAGAGAGTGGTGACTAAAACATCAGAGAGACAGAGCAGTTGAGAGAGAGGGTACTGAATCATTAGAGACAGCAGTTGCGAGAGAGGTCACTGAAACATCAGAAAGACAGAGCAGTTGAGAGAGCAGTGACTGAAATATCACAGAGACAGAGTAGTTGAGAGAGCGGTGACTGAAACATCACAGAGATAGAGTAGTTGAGAAGCTGGAAGAATGAATGAAATACACAGGTAATAGTAAATGAAACATCATACAGAGCTGTGAGGTTGGAAGAATGCATGAAATATCATACACAGATAATAGTGGATGAAACATCATACAGAGATGTGAGGTTGGGAGAATGCATGAAATATCATACACAGATAATAGTGGATGAAACATCATACAGAGATATGAGGTTGGGAGAATGACGAATGAAACATTAGATGATGTACATGCAAAACCAAAGTCAAGGTATAAGACCCAGGTCCAGAAGTGGTCGAAGAACCAGGACTTTCCGCTGGAGTTTGCAGCCGGTGAATGTGAAGAAGAAGAAGAAGGAGGTTAAGTTGAGGGAGAGACAGAGTAGTTGAGAGAGTAGTGACTAAAACATCAGAGAGACAGAGCAGTTGAGAGAGAGGGTACTGAATCATTAGAGACAGCAGTTGCGAGAGAGGTCACTGAAACATCAGAAAGACAGAGCAGTTGAGAGAGCAGTGACTGAAATATCACAGAGACAGAGTAGTTGAGAGAGTGGTGACTGAAACATCACAGAGATAGAGTAGTTGAGAGAGCGGTGACTGAAACATCACAGAGACAGAGTAGCTGAGACAGCGGTGACTGAAACATCACAGAGACAGAGTAGCTGAGAGAGCGGTGACTGAAACATCAGTGAGACAGAATACCTGTGCGGATGCTGGGTACCCACTGCCTCTCTAACAAGCATGTTGTAAAAGTATAGGTGTTTTAGCGGCGTTTTATTCAGAGTGCACCTGTCTGAGAAGAGAGGAACCAACAGTCTGCATACAAATAAGTCAGACCTGTAAAAAGAATGTGCATGCAAAACCCAAGTCAGTGAACAAGACAAGTAGAGAAGTGAAGAAACAACCAGAACTTTCCACAGGAGTTTACAGCTGGTGAACACCAAGAAAAAGAAACAGATGAATAGTGAACAGAAAAACAAAACAGACACAGATGTGAGTGTGGTGAGAAGCAAACAACGACACTTACTGTTCTGGAGGTCTTCGGAGCTGAGGGACTTGTCAGTGACACCATTTCTTGGATGGCCAGACGTAACTTTAGCCGATGCAATGGATTGCTGATGCCAATCTCCCGCTGAATCTCAGTGTCTGACAACGCTGACATGATTGCCCCACTTTTGACATTGGCTCTACAAGCTGCAACATACCAAGCTGGCATGCCAACCCACAACTGTCAACATGAAGAATATATGGTGTTGTCTACAAGCTATCAAAAGAGGTTGTTTCTGTCTGTCATAAATATACTTTCTATACGCTATCAAAAGAGGTTGTTTCTGTCTGTCATAAATATATTTTCTATACTCCGTCAAAAGTGGCTGTTTCTGTCTGTCATAAATAAACTTTCTATGCGCTATCAAAAGAGGTTATTTCTGTTTGTCATAAATATACTGCCTATACGCTATCAAAAGAGGTTGTTTCTGTCTGTCATAAATATACTGTCCATATTCTATCAAAAGAGGTTGTTTCTGTCTGTCATAAATATACTGTCTATACGCTAACAAAAGAGGTTGTTTCTGTTGAACCACATTACAGAAGCCCATATTCTTGCTGTATTGTTCTGGCATTGAGATGTTTCATGATTTCCAGTCAATCTTTTTTTTTTTAAATCACATTCTGATGTACTGATTTTGTCTATCAGGTGCACAACTACACAGTCAAACATTCCCCATATTTTAACCAATCACAACATCAGAGACACATTTTGTATTCTAACCATTCAAATAATCAGACATGCCCTACATTTTAACTAGGGCTGTACTGAATAGTGATTTTCACTATTCTGCCGAATACGAATAACGGGACCAACTATTTGGCCAAATACGAATACGAATAGTGTATAGTGTATAAAATATATCTAAAAAAACAAACAAACCAACACATTCATAATGTCAAATGTACAAAGAACTTTTACTTCACATAAAGTAGCACAGAATAGTCATCTTCTTCTTTAGCATTCTGAGCCCTTGAGGTTTACTGCTGCACTCGTTGACTGCAGGTCTGGCTGGACATTAACTTCTTTTCTGTCTGCCTCGTGGTCTACAACCATTCCTCTCTCAGGTGTATACAGTTTTTACTTTTACTTCTCTGTCATCTGACATTCTTTCAGTATGCCTCAACAATTTTAGTCTGTTAGCTCTCATGATGCCAGTGATCAATGGTGATTTAAACAGATTATGTGTTACGTTGTTGCTTCTCACTCTCCATTCCCGGCTGTTAGCATCTTTGATGGGTGCAAAGATTTGTCGTAAGTTGTGCTCCAAGTTTCAGAGCCATATAAAACGACTGGTCTTATCAACGTTTTATATATTTTGATCTTGGTGTTGCGAGACAGACACTTTGACTTTAGCAGATGTTGACAGGCATAGTATACTTTATATCTAGATTTATTCTAGATTGTATTTCTTCTCTCAGCATGCTGGAGCAGTTGAAGTTTGCACCCAAGTACTTATATGTTTCCGTTTGTTTGATTTTCATATTATCGACTTGGATGTGGCCAGAGTTTATATTCTTTCAATGTCTAGTTAGTATTCGTACAGAATAGTAAACATTTAAAAACATTTTAAGTTTTGCATCCTTCAGTCAGTCTGTGGTAATTAGGAATGAAAGAATCCCAAGTATTATAACAAGTAACTAAACTTGGAAATTGTCACTGACAGCTTAGTTATTGCATGAAAGCTGCATTAGCTTTCAACAAAACCAATCGTTTCATATTGTCAGTATTAAGGCCGTGTATGGAGAAGCGGGTGTAAGGTAACTACTATTCGTATTCAGCCCGACCTCAAATATTCGGTCGAATACCGAATAGTCAATAGGTCCACTAATCGGCCCCGAAGTGAATACGAAGCGAATATTCAGTACAGCCCTAATTTTAACCAATCAAATCAACAGACATGCCCTGTGATCCAATCTTTTACAGTCGAGTCCTTTTTCTAGCTGATGAAGTCACCACAAATATTACCTGTATTCTAACAGTTCAACTCCTTGCAGACATGCCATTTATTCACAAAAAGCTCTAAGGTCACATGCTATGTGACTGTGATCATACAAACTAGATGTATTTCAGAAACTGTCACAGAATGTGACATGAAGAGAACAAAAATCAGAGTAGAGGAGGAGACATGATCAAAATAACAGCTGTGAGGATGTTGAGATTCAAGAAAACAACAATCTGAGTACAAGAGAACAACAACCCGAGGACAAAAGAACAACAATCCGAGTACATGAGAACAACAACCTGAGTGCAGAAGAACAACAATCAGGGTACTAAACAAAAACAACCAGAGTACAAAATAACAACAATCAAGAGTACAAGAGAACAACAGAGTACTGGAGAACAACAATCAGAGTACAAGAGAACAACAGAGTACTGGAGAACAACAATCAGAGTACAAGAGAACAACAGAGTACTGGAGAACAACAATCAAGAGTACAAGAGAACAACAGAGTACTGGAGAACAACAATCAGAGTACAAGAGAACAACAGAGTACTGGAGAACAACAATCAAGAGTACAAGAGAACAACAGAGTACTGGAGAACAACAATCAAGAGTACAAGAGAACAACAGAGTACTGGAGAACAACAATCAAGAGTACAAGAGAACAACAGAGTACTGGAGAACAACAATCAGAGTACAAGAGAACAACAGAGTACTGGAGAACAACAATCAGAGTACAAGAGAACAACAGAGTACTGGAGAACAACAATCAGAGTACAAGAGAACAACAGAGTACTGGAGAACAACAATCAAGAGTACAAGAGAACAACAGAGTACTGGAGAACAACAATCAAGAGTACAAGAGAACAACAGAGTACTGGAGAACAACAATCAAGAGTACAAGAGAACAACAGAGTACTGGAGAACAACAATCAGAGTACAAGAGAACAACAGAGTACTGGAGAACAACAATCAAGAGTACAAGAGAACAACAGAGTACTGGAGAACAACAATCAGAGTACAAGAGAACAACAGAGTACTGGAGAACAACAATCAGAGTACAAGAGAACAACAGAGTACTGGAGAACAACAATCAAGAGTACAAGAGAACAACAGAGTACTGGAGAACAACAATCAGAGTACAAGAGAACAACAGAGTACTGGAGAACAACAATCAAGAGTACAAGAGAACAACAGAGAACTGGAGAACAACAATCAAGAGTACAAGAGAACAACAGAGTACTGGAGAACAACAATCAAGAGTACAAGAGAACAACAGAGTACTGGAGAACAACAATCAAGAGTACAAGAGAACAACAGAGTACTGGAGAACAACAATCAGAGTACAAGAGAACAACAGAGTACTGGAGAACAACAATCAGAGTACAAGAGAACAACAGAGTACTGGAGAACAACAATCAGAGTGCAGCAGAAGACATAATCAAGGGAAGAGCTGTGAGGATGTGGAAAGACAGTGCCATACCTCTAGCCAGGCCACAACAGTGGGTCCGTTCCACAAGGCAAATGGTGTCCCTGCTTTCATGGCTTCCTCCAGAAGTTCATGTCTATGGTGTATAAGAGAGCAAACACATCAATGTCTTGTGTTACCATCATCATCTCACCGTGTGTGTTTTCTTGTTGTTGCAGTGTCTTGCAATCATTAAAATTAGTGTTTCTTCTTCTGCCTTTTATTCTCCAATGGAGCATAGGCCTTCAACCAACTGATGCCAAATCATCCTACTCTTTATCACCGCAAGCAGCTCACCCCAAGTCCTCCTCATCTTTTCAACTTCACTTTGTAGTTCCCTTCTCCGTGTGTTTTTTGGTCTACCTTTGTTCCTTAGCTCCTGTGGATTCAAGTGTCAAGACATGCGGGTTACATTGTCCTCCAGTTTTCTCAAAGTGTGTCCTATCCAATGCCACTGTATTTGTTCTCTTGATAACCTGGAACCTGTTTAACTTTCTACCAGAGCTCCACATCGGTGGCTCTATCATAGGATTTAAATTCCCTGTATTCTGTGCAGGCACCAGTTAGTTGATGTTTGTAGTTTATTAGTAATTGTTTTAGTTCTTCTTTATTTTTCAGCTGTGTATAGCAGTTTTAATTTGATAATATAGCGACATATTGAAAGTTTAGTACTATATTTCTATGACTGGCACAGATTTCCCAGTGCTACAATAAGTGTCACTACAGACAACACAAACAACAGACAGTATCTAACGTCACTTGTTAGTATCTACTGTCGCTGGTGTCACTACAGTCAACAAACAACAGAGGGTATCTACCGTCACTGGTGTGACAACAGACAACAAACAGTATCGCCTGTCACTGATATCAGTACAGACAACAAACAACAGATTGTATATACCATCACTGGTGTCACTAAAGACAGCAAACAACAGACAGTATCTACTGTCACTGGTGTCATTACAGACAACAAACAACAGAGGGTAATACTGTCCCTGGTGTCACAACAGACAACAAACAACAGACAGTATCTACCATCACTGGTGTAATTATTGACAACAAACAACAGACAGTATCTACCGTCACTGGTGACACTACACACAACAGACATAATTGTGCATCACTGGTGTCACTACAGACAACAAACAACAGACAGTAAACCATCCCTTGTTTCACTACAGACAACAAACCACAGACAGTATCTACCATCACTGGTGTCACTACAGACGACGACCAGCAAAACAACAGACAGTATCTACCGTCACTGGTGTCACTACAAACAACAAAACAACAGACAGTATCTACCGTCAATGGTGTTACTATAGACAACAAACCACAGACAGTATCTACCATCACTGGTGTCACTACAAAAACAAAACAACAGACAGTATCTACCGTCAATGGTGTTACTATAGACAACAAACCACAGACAGTATCTACCGTCAATGGTGTCACTACAAACAACAAAACAACAGACAGTATATACCGTCACTGGTGTTACTATAGACAACAAACCACAGACAGTATCTACCGTCAATGGTGTTACTATAGACAACAAACCACAGACAGTATCTACCATCACTGGTGTTACTATAGACAACAAACCACAGACAGTATCTACCATCACTGGTGTTACTATAGACAACAAACCACAGACAGTATCTACCGTCACTGGTGTTACTATAGACAACAAACCACAGACAGTATCTACCGTCACTGGTATTACTATAGACAACAAACCACAGACAGTATCTACCGTCAATGGTGTTACTATAGACAACAAACCACAGACAGTATCTACCGTCACTGGTGTTACTATAGACAACAAACCACAGACAGTATCTACCGTCAATTGTGTTACTATAGACAACAAACCACAGACATCATCTACCATCACTGGTGTTACTATAGACAACAAACCACAGACAGTATCTACCGTCACTGGTGTTACTATAGGCAACAAACCACAGACAGTATCTACCGTCACTGGTGTTACTATAGACAACAAACCACAGACAGTATCTACCATCACTGGTGTTACTATAGACAACAAACCACAGACAGTATCTACCGTCACTGGTGTTACTATAGGCAACAAACCACAGACAGTATCTACCGTCACTGGTGTTACTATAGACAACAAACCACAGACAGTATCTACCATCACTGGTGTTACTATAGACAACAAACCACAGACAGTATCTACCGTCACTGGTGTTACTATAGACAACAAACCACAGACAGTATCTACCATCACTGGTGTTACTATAGACAACAAACCACAGACAGTATCTACCGTCACTGGTGTTACTATAGACAACAAACCACAGACAGTATCTACCGTCACTGGTGTTACTATAGACAACAAACCACAGACAGTATCTACCGTCACTGGTGTTACTATAGACAACAAACCACAGACAGTATCTACCGTCAATGGTGTTACTATAGACAACAAACCACAGACAGTATCTACCATCAAGGTCTTTTTTTGAAAAAAATTTATGCGACCTGAACCCATGACTTTCTGATTCGCAGGTGAGCATCTACACCACGGCAACTTCCATATGGGATACACGCAGAACAATCAATTCATTTCTTCCTGTTATCAGGATGGTGTTATCAGTATAACAATATCCTTTTTTATAGAGTTCCACTAACGCAGACATTAAACCGAGCGCACAAAGAGACATAGAAAGTATTCTAAAAACAGAAATATCAAACTTACTTTTTCTTTTTCCTGCGGTCAAAGTCTGACTGACCAAGGCTCATGGCCATCTCGGATCCACTGTTATCTCCGCTGTCTGCATTATTTCCTGCGGTACCATCAGCTCAGATATCAAACACATATATACATACACACACTTATCTGATAGAAACTACACATCTGTACAGTTAATATAATATCTCAACCATTATCACAGACTGACATTTCAACAACAGCATACACATCTCAAGTTATGACAGACATCTCAACAGTTACCACAGACATCTCAATAGTTATCACAGACATCTCAACAGTTACCAAACATCTTAACAGTTACCATAGACATCTCAACAGTTACCACAGACATCTCAAGTTACCATAGACATCTTAACAGTTACCACAAACATCTCAATAGTTACCATACACATCTCAACAGTTACCATAGACTCACCAGTTACCACAGACATCTCAATAGTTATCACAGACATCTCAACAGTTACCACAGATATTTTAACAGTTACTATAGACATCTCAACAGTTACCACGGTCATCTCAACAGTTTCCATAGACATTTTAACAGTTTCACAGACATCTCAACAGTTACCAATAACATCTCAAAAGTTACCATAGACATCTCAACACTTACCATAGACACCTCAACAGTTACCACAGACATCTCAATAGTTACCACAGACATCTTAACAGTTACCACATTCATCTCAAGTTACCACAGACATCTCAACAGTTACCACAGACATCTCAACATTTACCACAGACAACTCAAATTACCACAGACATCTCAACACTTACCACAGACATCTCAACAATTACCACAGACATCTCAACAGTTACCATAGACATCTCTACATTTATTAACACATCTCAACAGTGATCTCAACATGTAACAATGAGATGACAAGAACATGTAACAGTGAGATGACAAGAACATGTAACAGTGAGATGACAATAACATGTAACAGTGAGATGACAAGAATATGTAACAATGAGATGACAAGAATATGTAACAATGAGATTACAAGAATATGTAACAATGAGATGACAAGAATATGTAATAATAAGATGACAAGAATATGTAACAATGAGATGACAAGAATATGTAACAATGAGATGACAAGAATATGTAACAATGACATGACAATAACATGTAACAGTGAGATGTCAAGAATATGTAACAATGAGATGACAAGAACATGTAACAGTGAGATGACAAGAACATGTTACAGTGAGATGACAAGAACATGTAACAATGAGATGACAAGAACATGTAACAATGAGATGACAAGAATATGTAACAATGAGATGACAAGAACATGTAACAATGAGATGACAAGAACATGTAACAATGAGATGACAAGAACATGTAACAGTGAGATGACAAGAACATGTAACAAGGAGATGACAAGAACATGTAACAATGAGATGACAAGAACATTTAACAGTGAGATGACAAGAACATGTAACAATGAAATGACAAAGACATGAAACAAGCACATGAACCAATGAGATGAAAAGGACATGAAACAATGACATGACAAGAACATGTAACAATGACATGACAAGAACATGTAACAATGACATGATAAGAACATGTAACAATGTCATGGCAAGAACATGTTTTCTTCATCTTTCTTTCGCTGGAAATAGATTATCTATATCTGCAAGTCTGTCTCTAGTATGAACTTCACTGTCTGTTGTAATTCAATCAGCGACCCGTAAAGTTTGGCTTGCACCGGTGTTTCTCGTGGCTAAAGGTTTTGCCTTGATATATTGTATCAGGGGCAGTCTTGAAGGATGTGATCTCCCAGAACATGTGACAATGAGATTACAAGCATGTGTAACAATGAGATTACAAGAATGTTCAACCATGACATGATAAGAACATGTAACAATAAGATTAAAAGAATATGTTACGTAACCATGTGATGACAAGAACATGTAATAATGAGATGACAAGAACATGTAATAATGAGATGACAAAAACATGTAACCATGAGATGGCAACAACATGTAACAATGAAAAGGCAAGAACTTGTAACAATGAGATGAATCGTGATATTTACCAGAGGCCAGGTCATGTGCCAGATACTCCTTGGGTTTGTGTTTCTCTTTCTTGGAGAAGAATCGGCCTATAGAACTTTTCAGGCCTTTCTTTTTGGCATTTGGCTGATGATGATGATGATGATGATGATGTTTGTGGAGAGAATCCTGGCTACTGGTCAAACTGGTCAGGGGACTGCCTGAGGAGCCTAGGCTCAGATCTTGGAGGCGACTGCAGAAAAACAACTGAACATATCAATCTCCTGAACAATCACACATTCACTTCATCATCAACATCAAGTGCCTTGCTGACTTGAGTGAGTAATCATGCCTCTCCACACTCTGTGATCGCCAGTAAGATTAGCCTACTCATGCGCTGACACCCATGCATGCCCTGACAAAACCTCTAAATAATCTTCCTGTATTCTCCCTCTCTCTCTTTCCAAAAATCTTTCCAGTCGTCACAACATGTTCTAGTTTCTCCTTCTCACATCATGTTCTAGTTTCTCCTTCTCATAACATGTTCTAGTTTCTCCTTTTCAAAACATGGCCATCAAATGATGAATGTCTCCTCCTGATGTTTGCTTACAGACACTCACTTCTTTCAAAACATCCGGGTTAATTATTTTCAGTATCCAAGGAATAAGAAACATTCTTCTATAAAACCACTTGCAGGCTTGCAGAAATTGTTTGCCTTGTTTATCAATCGTCCAGGATTTACTTTATAGATAAATAACTGACATACAATACACTATTACTGGTGACACCAAAACCATGCTTGCTTTAACATTTTCAACTACTGTTTCTAGCAGTGGTCAGTCTCAGGTTAGCAGTGGTCAGTCTCAGGCTAGCAGTGGTCAGTCTCAGGCTAGCAATGGTCAGTCTCAAGCTAGCAGTGGTCAGTCTCAGGCTAGTAGTGGTCTAAAGCTAGCAGTGGTCAGTCTCAGGATAGGAGTGGTCAGTCCCAGGCTAGCAGTGGTCAGTTTCAAGCTAGCAGTGGTCAGTTTCAAGCTAGCAGTGTTCAGTCTCAGGCTAGCAGTGGTCAGTTTCAGGCTAGCAGAGGTCAATCCCAAGCTAGCAGTGGTCAGTTTCTAGAAACAGTGGTCAGTCTCAGGCGAGCAGTGGTCAGTCTCAGGCTAGCAGTGGTCAGTCTCAAGCTAGCAGTGGTCAGATTCAAGTTGGCAGTGGTCAGTCTTAGGCTGGCAGTGTTCAGTCTCAGGCTGGCAGTGGTCAGTCCGAAGCTAGCAGTGTTGTCTCAAGCTAACAGTGATCAGTCTCAGGTTAGCAGTGGTCAGTCTCAAGCTAGCCGTGGTCAGTTTCAAGCAAGCAGTGTTCATTCTCAGGCTAGCAGTGGTCAGTTTCAGGCTAGCAGAGGTCAATCCCAAGCTAGCAGTGGTCAGTCTCTAGAAACAGTGGTCAGTCTCAGGCCAGCAGTGGTCAGTCTCAAGCTAGCAGAGGTCAGTCTCAAGCTAGCAGTGGTCAGTTTCAAGCTAGCAGTGTTCAGTCTCAGGCTAGCAGTGGTCAGTTTCAGGCTAGCAGTGGTCAGTCTCAGACTAGCAGTGGTCAGTCTCTAGAAACAGTGGTCAGTCTCAGTCCAGTTAATATGATAGTGCAGTTGCCAAATCTCAAATTGCTATCCAATCTAGAGGGTGGCGTGCGAGGAGGTTTAGAAAGGGGGGGGGGGGGGAATTCAGTGCATTTATAATTGTAATAATCCACTACATTACTTTTCAGTTCAACAATAAAAAAAAAAAATTTTTGAAAAGAAAAGGATATTTCAATTGTTTTCATAAGAATTCTGAATATCTAGTTAAAAATCCAATTAATATGATAGCACAGGCCTTTATAGATTAGGAACACATGACCAAAATATGTCTCCGAGCTGTCTGATTTTCTTCTGGTGGAATTTATTGTCTTCCACTTTTGAAATCATATTTTGTCACGTTGGACAGGTCTTGCAGTATACTTAAAGGGGAGGTGGGGTGGCTTGCCATATACTCAAAAGGAGAGGGGGGGGGGGGGGGTTGTCTTACATATACTCATTGGTGGGGGGGGGGGGGGGGGCCAGGGGGTCTTGCCATTTTTCTAAGGGTGGCGCGACCTAAAAAGGATTGCAGACCACTGCTACGCCTTCCTGCCCTGAAGCATCAATGGGTAATTCAATTTCCACAAAGATAATATTCAGTACTTCAATTATTTTTGCTCAGTATGTCGATCTTTAATGCTGAGTATTTCAATCAACACAAACAATAATTCTTAGTACTTCAGTGACTATACTGACTCATCATGAATGTGAAGCTGCCCAGATTACCTGACACTTTCATCGGGACTCCTAGCGAGCGCTGCAGCCACCCGCTCCAAACGAAGAGCTCGAGGTGTTGGTGGACTGGACTCACATTTGATCTGACGAGACTCCTCCTTTGAGTTGATGATGCTGTCATCCCGACTGTACTGCTGATCAAACGATAAGTAACAAAGTTTATTGGTAACACTTCACACTTGTCTACCCTTATACAATAACAACTCCAATATTGTCTAGTTAACGAACGAAAGAACAAAGGGTCACAAAAGGCACGCAGGCCGGTCTTACATTCGGCCCTTCCAAACACCCATCTTTCCCACAGCAGTAGTATTTTATCAACAAAGCATGTTATTTTCATGTAATAATATGCCAATTATGAATATCAAGTCAAAAACAAAAGCATGAGTGGTAAAATGCATGCACAGACTCGTGCGAGCGCACACACACACACCCACAATCAAAAAGACACCTACAAACTCACAGACGCACACAGACTAAAACCCACACACACACACAGCCACAGGCACATACACACACACACACACATGCAGGCAGAGACATACACACACAGATACTCAGAGGGACATACGCAACACTCACATATACACAAGCACACACGCAGAAACACATACGCACATAGACAAACACACAAACTGACAGAAACACACACGCACACTCGGACATTATCAAATAGATAAACCCATAGTTAACAAGCTGTCGAGTATGTCAAATATCCCAGATGTTATGATATAAGTTGTCTCACCTGTTGGCCTGGACTTGTGTCAGCTGCTGAGGCTAACTGGGGACTGGAGGAAGAGTATGGGTACATCTGTGCTGTCATACCTGCCGGGGCCTGTGTTTGCAGAAATATTTAACATTACTTGATCATTTTCCCCCACCACAGTCAGTACAGATAACATTACATGAACAGTCCCCTCCAGCATAGTCAGTACAGATAACATTACATAATCAGTCCCCTCCAGCATAGTCAGTACAGATAACATTACATGGTTAGTTCCCTCCAGCATTATCAATACAGATAACATTACGTGGTTAGTTCCCACCAGCATAGTCAGTACAGATAACATTACGTGGTTAGTTCCCTCCAGCATAGTCAGTACAGATAACATTACATAATCAGTCCCCTCCAGCATAGTCAGTACAGATAACATTACATGGTTAGTTCCCTCCAGCATAGTCAGTAAAGATAACATTAAGTGGTTAGTTCCCTCTAGCATAGTCAGTACAGATAACATTACATGATCAGTCCCCTCCAGCACAGTCAGTACAGATAACATTACATGATCAGTCCCCTCCAGCATAGTCAGTACAGATAACATTACATGAACAGTCCCCTCCAGCACAGTCAGTACATATAACATTACATGATCAGTCCCCTCCAGCACAGTCAGTACAGATAACATTACATGGTTAGTTCCCTCCAGTATAGTCAGTTTAGATAACATTACGTGGTCAATCCCCTCCAGCATTGTCAGTACAGATAACATTACATACTTAGTTTCCTTCAGCATAGTCAGTACAGATAACATTACATGGTCAGTTCCCTCCTGCACATTCAGTATGGATAACATTATTCAGTACATATAACATTACATGGTCAGTTCCCTGCATGTCAGTCTTTGTGGTTGTTATCTGAACTACAGTTACACTAGTATTAAGTCTTTTTTTTTTATTTTTTTTATTCTGAGCTGATGACACTGTCATCCTGACTGTACTGTTGCCAAACAGTGATAGGTAACAAAGTTTACTGGTAATATTTCACACTTGACTACACTCATACAATAAAAAATCCAATGTTGTCTATCCTCACACAAAACAACTCCAATATTATGTGGTTAACATGCTGACCAGTATGTCAAATGTCACTGATGATGTGACACAAGCTGCCCAGTATGTCAAATGTCACTGATGTTGTGACACAAGCTGCCCAGTATGTCAAATGTCACTGATAATGTGACACAAGCTGCCCAGTATGTCAAATGTCACTGGTGATGTGACACAAGCTGCCCAGTATGTCAAATGTCACTGATGTTGTGACACAAGCTGCCCAGTATGTCAAATGTCACTGATGTTGTGACACAAGCTGCCCAGTATGTCAAATGTCACTGATGTTGTGACACAAGCTGCCCAGTGTATCAAATGTGACTGATGTTGTGACACAAGCTGCCCAGTATGTCAAATGTCACTGATGTTGTGACACAAGCTGCCCAGTGTATCAAATGTGACTGATGTTGTGACATAAGCTGCCCAGTGTATCAAATGTGACTGATGTTGTGACACAAGCTGCCCAGTATGTCAAATGTCACTGATGTTGTGACACAAGCTGCCCAGTGTATCAAATGTGACTAATGTTGTGACACAAGCTGCCCTGTGTATCAAATGTCACTGATGTTGTGACACAAGCTGCCCAGTATGTCAAATGTCACTGATGTTGTGACACAAGCTGCCCAGTGTATCAAATGTGACTGATGTTGTGACACAAGATGCCCAGTGTATCAAATGTGACTGATGTTGTGACACAAGCTACCCAGTGTATCAAATGTGACTGATGTTGTGACACAAGCTGCCCAGTGTATCAAATGTCACTGATGTTGTGACACAAGCTGCCCAGTGTATCAAATGTGACTGATGTTGTGACACAAGCTGCCCAGTGTATCAAATGTGACTGATGTTGTGACACAAGCTGCCCAGTATGTCAAATGTCACTGATGTTGTGACACAAGCTGCCCAGTATGTCAAATGTCACTGATGTTGTGACACAAGCTGCCCAGTATGTCAAATGTCACTGATGTTGTGACACAAGCTGCCCAGTGTGTCAAATGTCACTGATGTTGTGACACAAGCTGCCCAGTATGTCAAATGTCACTGATGTTGTGACACAAGCTGCCCAGTTTATCAAATGTGACTGATGTTGTGACACAAGCTGCCCAGTGTATCAAACGTGACTGATGTTGTGACACAAGCTACCCAGTGTATCAAATGTGACTGATGTTGTGACACAAGCTGCCCAGTGTATCAAATGTGACTGATGTTGTGACACAAGCTGCCCAGTATGTCAAATGTCACTGATGTTGCGACAAAAGCTGCCCAGTGTATCAAATGTGACTGATGTTGTGACACAAGCTGCCCAGTGTATCAAATGTGACTGATGTTATGACACAAGCTACCCAGTGTATCAAATGTGACTGATGTTGTGACACAAGCTGCCCAGTGTATCAAATGTGACTGATGTTGTGACACAAGCTGCCCAGTGTATCAAATGTCACTGATGTTGTGACACAAGCTGCCCAGTATGACAAATGTCACTGATGTTGTAACAAAAGCTGTCCAGTATGTCAAATGTCACTGATGTTGTAACAAAAGCTGTCCAGTATGTCAAATGTCACTGATGTTGTAACAAAAGCTGTCCAGTATGTCAAATGTCACTGATGTTGTAACAAAAGCTTTTTTTGTGTGTGTTTTTTTTTTAAATATTTAATCCTCTGTCTTCCTCTTCGGCTCTTCATCATCCAATGGAGTAGAGACCCTAAACAAGCATGCAGCAACCAAATCTTGGAAGACTTTTGTCAGTGAAGACGGTTACCCCAAATCTGCCCTCGCATGCCTCTGACCACCTGCCTGGTCAACTGCAGGGTTCCTGTTCCTGGCTTCCACTAAACACATCCTATAAATTCTCTAGCTATACCATCAGTGTTCATGTTGTACTGAGTCTCACTGGCTCTATACAGGGACACACAGCATCCAGTGGCACCTCAATTTACATACTTAATTCGTTTCTGACTGCAGTTAATATCTCGAAAAGTTTTATCTCAAAATCCACTTTGTCATTATCTTATGGGAAACAAATTCCTCCATTTTCAGATTCACAATTTTAAAAAAAAATCAAATAAATATATATATATATATATATATATATATATATTTTGTTTTAAATGTAGGCACAGTACCAGTACACTTTATGCATGGTACTGGTACACTCTAGACACAGTATCAGTACACTTTAGGCACAGTACCGGTACACTTTAGGCACAGTACCAGTACACTTTAGGCACAATGCCGGTACACTTTAGGCACAGTACCAGTACACTTTAGGCACAATACCAGTACACTAAAGGCACAGTACCAGTACACTTTAGGCACAGTATCAGTACACTTTAGGCACAGTACCGGCACACTTTAGGCACAGTACCCGTACACTTTAGGCACAATACGAGTATAATCTAGATATAAATTACCCGCACACTCTAAGCACAGTACTGGTACAATCTAAACATAAATTATAAGTACATTTTAGGCATAGCATATAATCTTTATATAAATTACAAGTACAGGCACAGTACTGGTACAATCTAGACATAAATTACTAGTATACTCTAGACACAGTACCGATACAATTTAGACATAAATTACCATTAAACTCTAGGCACAGTACTGGTTCAATCTAGACACAGTACCGGTACAATATAGACATAAATTACCAGTACACAGGGCACAGTACTGGTACGATCTAGATATAAATTACAATACACAAGACACAGTACTGGTAAAATCTAGACAAAAATTACCTGCACACTCTAGGCACAATGTAGACAAAGTACACATATGTATATAATCATCAATGATAGAACAACGTAGACAAAGTACACAGATGTATATATTCATCAATGATAGACAGAACAACGTAGACAAAGTACACAGATGTATATAATCATCAATGATAGACAGAACAACATAGACAAAGTACATAGATGTTTATAATCATCAATGATAGACAGAACAAAGTAGACAAAGCACACAGATGTATATAATCATCAATGATAAACAGAACAAAGTAGACAAAGTGCACAGATGTATATAATCATCAATGATAGACAGAACATTGTAGGCAAAGTACACAGATGTATATAATCCTCAATGATAGACAGTACACAGCTATATAAAATCATAAATCATCAGACAGTATCCAGGTATCAGTTACAGCTGATCTATATCTAACAGAGCCAGCACTCACAGTGTGGTATTTCTGCAAGGAATCCCTGGACTGGTACGAAGATCTGGGGTGTGAGGGAGTGGAAGAACCACTAGCTGGTGGAGATGCTGACCGCTCATAGCCTCGCCATCGTCCTGGCAGTGTATCGTAACTGCCGACTCGGATTTCTAATTCGTCTGCTCTCTGCTCCGTACTCTCCTTCTCCTCTTGAATTAACCTGACCAGGAGGATATAATATGTGAGATCCATGAACACACACATGCATGCACACATACAGAGAAGCATCAGGATATAGTGTTTGAGACTCCACGAACACACATGCATGCATGCATGCACATGCACACACACCCGCGGTTGTATGACTTCAACCACTCACACAAACAACCAGTTTCTGGTGTGGACTGTTACTGGTACAACACTGTCAGTGCTGACGTAATCCTGTGAAATTATCCAAAATAAATTATGAATGACAACATTCGGTAGTGGAGATGCAAACTATGAAGGACAAAGTTCCGTATTTTAAATGTAAACTATGATTGACAACATTTCATACTGGAAATGTAAACTATGAATGACAACATTTCATACTGGAAATGTAAACTATGAATGACAACACTCCATACTGGAAATGAAACTATTAATAATAGTTTTCCATTTAAAATGCCGAGAACACAATCAACTTCTACATTTACCTATCTATCAGACAGTTACTGGTGTCATCCGAATTGGAACTCTATGTTTGCTGTTGAAGATATTGATAGAGCACTTATGGGAGTGTCCCATGTGCTTTGATGTCGATTCCTAATTCAACATTCAATTTTCAACCTATCTAGGATCCTCAGTGAATAACAAACTATCGCTGGACCAAGAATTCAACATCAGGATAGGTCAGGCAGCAACAATAATGAGCAGATTAACAAAAAAGAGTTTGGGAGAACAGAAAGCTCACAACTAAAACAAAAACTCTTGTCTATCAGGCTTGAGTTCTCAGCTTTATAGCAGTGAAAATTGGTCAACTTATTCGCACCAGGAAGGAGACAACTAAATAACTTCCACATGCAATGCCTAAGAAGAAAACTTGGCATTAAGTGACAGGACAAGATTACAAACACTGAGGAATTGGAAAGAGCAGGTATTACAACAGTTTTCTCAATGCTCAGTCTACCAAGGCTCAGGTGGCTGGGTCACACCTGGAGAATGGAAAATTTTAAGAGTTCCTAAGGAATCCTCTATGGTGAATTACAGATGGGTAGAAGATGAAGAGGTCGACCTCTACTATGATATCAAGATGTTTGCAAGCGGGACATGAATGATACAGGTACTGAGGTATACTTGTGGGAATAAAATGACATGGACAGTGTTGCATGGAGGGGGCACATCAGGAAAGGATTGAGAATGAAGGAAGAAATGGTTACAGAAAGGATGAGAGCTGAGCATCTGGGAAGAAACGGATTAAACACAAAGGTTGACAACAATGGTCCTGAAATCCCATGCAATAACTGGTGAAGACTTTTCTTAAGGCAGGCGGGTCATGCTAGTCACACTTGCTATTACCACGGGCTGTGAGTCCCATGTCTTCTCATAGCACAATACAACACTATTGATTGAAAATATGAAAAGATGCCAATCAATCGATCCCATCTGACAATGTCTGTCTGAAAAAAAATCTATCAATGATCCCATCTGACAATGTCTGCTATAAAATCTATCAATGATCCCATCTGACAATGTCTGCTATATAATCTATCAAGAATCCCATCTGACAATGCCTGTCTGATATATAATCTATCAATGATCCCATCGGACAATGTCTGTCTGATATATAATCTATCAAGGATCCCAACTGACATCTGTCTGATCTATAATCTATCAAGGATCCCATCTGACAATGTCTGTCTGATCTATAATCTATCAAGGATCCCATCCGACAATGTCTGTCTGATATATAATCTATCAAGGATCCCAACTGACAATGTCTGATAAATAATCCATTAATGATCCCAACTGACAATTTCTGTCTGATAAATAATCGGAAGTTTTAAAACTTCCCGAGACAAAATATAATATTTTTTAGTCATCTGGGTCAGTGTGCTTATGTAATAAGGCAATGTCTCACACAAACTGTATGTAATAAAAAGCAATATCTCCCACAAACTGTATGTAATGTAAGACAATATCTCACACAAACTGTATGTAATGTAAGACAATATCTCACACAAACTGTATGTAATGTAAGACAAAATCTCACACAAACTGTATGTAATGTAAGACAATATCTCACACAAACTGTATGTAATGTAAGACAAAATCTCACACAAACTGTATGTAATGTAAGGCAATATCTCACACAAACTGTATCTAATGTAAGGCAATATCTCACACAAACTGTATGTAATGTAAGGCAATATCTCACACAAACTGTATGTAATGTAAGGCAATATCTCACACAAACTGTATGTAATGTAAGGCAATATCTCACACAAACTGTATGTAATGTAAGGCAATATCTCACACAAACTATGTAATGTAAGACAATATCTCACACAAACTGTATGTAATGTAAGGCAATATCTCACACAAACTGTATGTAATGTAAGACACTATCTCACACAAACTGTATGTAATGTAAGACAAAATCTCACACAAACTGTATGTAATGTAAGACAAAATCTCACACAAACTGTACGTAATGTAAGGCAAAATCTCACACAAACTGTATGTAATGTAAGGCAATATCTCACACAAACTGTCTGTAATGTAAGGCAATATCTCACACAAACTGTATGTAATGTAAGGCAATATCTCACACAAACTGTATGTAATGTAAAACAATATCTCACACATACTGTATGTAATGTAAGGCAATATCTCACACAAACTGTATGTAATGTAAGACAATATCTCACACAAACTGTATGTAAGGTAAGGCAATATCTCACACAAACTGTATGTAATGTAAGATAAAATCTCACACAAACTGTATGTAATGTAAGACAAAATCTCACACAAACTGTATGTAATGTAAGGCAATATCTCACACAAACTGTATGTAAGGTAAGGCAATATCTCACACAAACTATATGTAAGGTAAGGCAATATCTCACACAAACTGTATGTGATGTAAGGCAATATCTCACACAAACTGTATGTAATGTAAAGCAATATCTCACACAAACTGTATGTAATGTAAGGTAATATCTCACACATACTGTATGTAATGTAAAGTAATATCTCACACATACTGTATGTAATGTAAGGCAATATCTCACACAAACTGTATGTAATGTAAGGCAATATCTCACACATACTGTGTAATGTAAGGCAATATCTCACACATACTGTATGTAATGTAAAGTAATATCTCACACATACTGTATGTAATGTAAGGTAATATCTCACACATACTGTATGTAATGTAAGGTAATATCTCACACATACTGTGTAATGTAAGGTAATATCTCACACATACTGTGTAATGTAAGACAAAATCTCACCCAAACTGTATGTAAGACAAAATCTCACACAAACTGCATGTAATGTAAGACAAAATCTCACACAAACTGTATGTAATTTAAGGCAATATCTCACACAAACTATATGTAATGTAAGGCAATATCTCACACAAACTGTATGTAATGTAAGGCAATATCTCACACAAACTGTATGTAATGTAAGGCAATATCTCACACAAACTGTATGTAATGTAAGGCAATATCTCACACAAACTGTATGTAATGTAAGGCAATATCTCACACAAACTGTATGTAATGTAAGGCAATATCTCACATATACTGTATGTAATGTAAGGCAATATCTCACACATACTGTATGTAATGTAAGGTAATATCTCACACATACTGTATGTAATGTAAGGTAATATCTCACACATACTGTATGTAATGTAAGGTAATATTTCACACATACTGTGTAATGTAAGGTAATATCTCACAGATGCTGGATGTAATGTAAGGTAATATCTTACACAAACTGAATGCAATGTAAGGCAATATTTCCCACAAAAATGTAAGAAATGTAAGGCAGTATCTCACACAAACTATGAAATATGAGGTAATATCTCACATCAACTGTATGTAATGTAAAGCAATATCTATAAAAACTGTATGAAATGTAAGGTTATATCCCACACAAACTGTATGTAATGTAAGGCAATATTTCCCAGCAACCTCATATGATTACATTCGTCATGCGCGCTCTGTGTCACTGTGTACGTGTGCATGTCTGTGCATGTGTGCACCTGCATATATGTGTGCCTGGGTGTGTGTATGCGCACATGGGTGAGTGTGCACATGTATAGATACACACCTGATCTCATTATTGATGGCATCCAGCTGCTCCTGCAACATGATGGCCAAGGTTTGAGCCCCGGTGTGACCTGACGGTGACAACAAGTCCACGCCACCAAACAACGATTCACTATCATCTGTGCCCTCAGTATCACTCGCATCAAATGCATGAGCCACGTTGGCCAGCACGTGAGCTTGCTGCAGCTTCTCCCACTCCTGCTCATTTAGCGTGTGTACCTGCACAGACAACATACGTTCACATCCCTGACTCCATCAACTACATGCACATACAACATATGTTCACACCACTGACTCCATCAGCCTGCACATATAACATATGTTTACACCACTGACTCCCCCAACCCACACACACAACAGGTTTACACCACTGACTCAACCAACTGCCTGCACATACAACGTATGTTCACACCACTGACTCCACCAACTACCTACACATACAACTATTGTTCACACCCCATACTCCACCAATTACCTGCACATACAATTATATTTTGACACTCCTGACTCCACCAACTACCTGTACACACACCATATGTTCACATCCCTGACTCCACTTGGTTCCAAGGCTGACCCAGGTTAAAGTGGCTGCACCTGGGTTCCAAGGCTGACCCAGCCAAAAGTGGCTGCACCTGGGTTTTAATGTTGACCCAGCCTAAAGTGGCTACACCTGGGTTTTAATGTTGACCCAGCCTAAAGTGGCTACACCTGGGTTCCAAGGCTGACCCAGCCTAAAGTGGCTGCACCTGGGTTTTAATGTTGACCCAGCCTAAAGTGGCTACACCTGGGCTCCAAGGCTGACCCAACCTAAAGTGGCTGCACCTGGGCTCCAAGGCTGACCCAGCCTAAAGTAGCTGCACCTGGGCTCCAAGGCTGACCCAGCCTAAAGTGGCTGCACATGGGTTCCAAGGCTGACCCAGCCTAAAATGGCTACACCTGGGTTTTAATGTTGACCCAGCCTAAAGTGGCTACACCTGGGCTCCAAGGCTGACCCAGCGGAACAATGTTCTGGTACCGAACAATGTTCTGAGAAGTAAGAGTCGCAAGAGTGACACAGACTACAGATGTCACCAAGTGTGAGCCTGCACCATGTACCAAACTGCCACAAGACATGGGAAACATTCTTTACTGACTCCACATTGCCAAATTCTGTACCTGCTGAAGAAACCCAGATTTACAACCAAAATATCCTGTCTTAGAGAGATGAGGCACATTTTTCAGCCAGCATCACAAATTTGTTTCATGTATGAGCTTTTCCATTATTTCACATGATGACACAAGACTCAAATGCCTTGTCTTTCTCATAAAGGTACACAACAGAGTCAAGCAGCAGCAGGCAAGTAATGCACTCATTCAAACAGGAAGAAGGTTGGAGAGGAAGAAGACTGGACATAGCTCATACAGTGAATGATGTGGGAGCTGGGCCAATGGATACTGGCAGGTCTCCAACACTAACCAGACTACATGACCTAGGAGCGAAGCTTAGCTATCTGCTAGGTTAAGAGTAGAGATGCAACTAAATTCACACAGAAAGAATGGACAAAGGCACCCTGGGATGGCTGCTTGGCTGCTGCATCAGAGGAACGGGCAGTTATAGGAATGCAGTGTTGCTGACTGTGATAACATAGCCAGAAATATATATATAGGAAACAAATCTCTTAAACTGTGGAAAAAAAAACCTAATAATAAGACAAGGGCCCCCCCCCCCCCCCCTCCCCCGCCCTCTTCCCAGATATACAACACCTATCACAAGTTTCAACAACTTAACAGACAGAGAAACAGGCAGACAGTGTCCATCTCTGACATACACACAAGTCACCTTGGTGGGATCCTCACTCAAGGCCAAATCTCTGCCTCTATGATGTCGTCGAGAGACATGATCCTCAAATGTGTAGCCAGCTCTAGGGAATAACAGTACATGATGTGTCATTGTTAATCACAATAACAACACTTATAAGTGTAAAGAATGACTGTACAAACTGTGTCAATGTTAATCATGATAACGACAGTGATAACTCTAGAGAATGACGGTACACATTGTGTCAATGTTAATCATGATAACAACACTTATAACTATAGATAATGACTGTACACATTGTGTCAATGTTAATCATGATAACAACACTTATAACTATAGACAATGACTGTACTCACTGTGTAAATGTTAATATGATAACAACACTTATAACTATAGAGAAAGACTGTACACACTGTGTAAATGTTAATCATGATAACAACACTTATAACTATAGAGAATGACTGTACACACTGTGTCAATGTTAATTATGATAACAACACCTATAACTCTATAGAATTTAAATAAATACTGTGTCAATGTTAATTACGATAACAACATCTATAACTCTATAGAGTTTAAATAAATACTGTGTCAATGTTAATCAAGGTAACAATAGTTATAACACTAGAGAATTTCAGTGAACACTGTGTCAATGTTAATCATGACGATTACAACCATATCAGTACCAATATGTCAGGTTTCAAATTAAATGCACTTAGCTACAACTACTGGCTGTGTTAAACTGATAAGAATATATCATGTGGTAAATGCCACAATGTTACAATCTGTTATAGCCTTTAAATGTTATTTTTTCCCCATTGTTTTCCTTGAAGGATCAATAGCCTAATACGCAGTATATTTATTTTTGCATCAACTTCCCTTTTTTTAAGTGCAGAACAAATCTTCACAAAATGGTTTTGAGAAAGAAATTCTATCAATATTTGAAACACGGCCAGTTAGACTTCTAAAAAAGTGCTACAGTCAGTGGAAGGTGATGTGGCAAAGAAAGATAACAGATGCATGAGAGCAAGAAGTCTATTCGAAAGAAGAAAGAGAATATGATAGATAATGCTGACCTCATTAACTGCTCCATGTGCATGCGCAAAGTCTCCACTTCCTTCCGGTACCTCAAGAGGTCATCGTTGATACGTTCCTGCAATATGAACATCCAGGTCAGTCAGAACTCTGACACTTGCTCACCATTTCTTGACAGCAACCAAGCAACCAAATAATCATCAAAAGTCCTTAATACAGTAGCTTTCACAATGACTAGTCACATACAACTAGGAAATTCACCTGCTACTGGAGATATTATCTCCTTTACTGCTACATAACCTAATTTTACTCACCTTCATTACTGGAGATCTGAGCTCTCTAGTGGAGCAGTAGAAAAGTCACATTTATTACTGGAGATCTGAGCTCTCTAGTGGAGCAGTAGAAAAGTCACATTTATTACTGGAGATCTGAGCTCTCTAGTGGAGCAGTAGAAAAATCACATCCATTACTGGAGATCTGAGCTCTCTAGTGGAGCAGTAGAAAAGTCACATTTATTACTGGAGATCTGAGCTCTCTTGTGGAGCAGTAGAAAAGTCACATTCATTACTGGAGATCTGAGCTCTCTAGTGGAGCAGTATAGAAGTCACATTTTTTACTGGAGATCTGAGCTCTCTAGTGGAGCAGTAAAAAAGTCACATTTATTACTGGAGATCTGAGCTCCCAGACATACAGTTCACTGACTCGACCTTGGATGAGCACAGCAGGACAACGTGTGCCTACATGGCAAACTTAGAATACAGCTCCTACAGTAATTAAAACAGGAAAGACTAAACAACAGTATAAGGCAGCTCTACATCCCAGAGTAGAAGAGAAAAGACTAAACAAGACTGTAAGGTAAGCTCCATATGTCGAGGTAGAAAATAAAAGACAAGACAGAATGTTAAGGTATCCTCATACCCCAGGGCAGAAGAAGAGGACAGACTATAGGTGAGTGTAAAACAGACATACGAGCTCACCTTCTCTTGCTGACTATCTTCCAACATTTTACTAATTCTCTGTAAGTCTGCAGTCAAGTAGTTTTTCTCCTCTAAAGCACTCATGCGTTCCTTTAAGTGTAGCTGCAATCTCTCATTTGATTCAGTCAACAGTCGGTCAACTGTAGCTGATAACCGAACATTATGTTCCTCGTTCATTTTTTCTCTTTGTCGAGACTGTTGAAAAAAAAACAATGTTTAAGAAATAACAAAGCGTTATAACAGTATAACTAAAATGTAACAATAATGTTTATTGGCATATTATTATATATAAAATAGAGAAGGGAAAGATATAGGCATACTTGTATAACATTAAAACATGTCACTCTAATGTCCACTGAAACCTGTTACTCTAATGTCCACTAAAACAAGTCACCCTGGTGTCCACTAAAACAGGTCACTCTATTGCCCACTAAAAAACAAGTCACTCTGGTGTCCTCAAAAACATGTCCCTCTACAGTCCCCTAAAACAAGTCAATCTAGTGTCCACTAAAACAAGTCACTACTGTCCACTTAAACATGCCACTCTGGTGTCCACTACAACATGCAACTCTACTGTCCACTAAAAAATGTCACTCTACTGTCCACTAAAAAATGTCACTCTACTGTCCACTAAAAAATATAACTCTGGTGTCCACTAAAACATGTCACTCTGGTGTCCAGTAAAAAAGTCACTCTGGTGTCCACTAAAACATGTCACTCTGGTGTCCAGTAAAACATGTCACTCTGGTGTCCACTAAAACATATAACTCTGGTGTCCACTAAAACATGTCACTCTGGTGTCCACTAAAACATGTCCGTCTACTGTCCATTAAAACATGTCCATCTTCTGTCAACTAAAACATGTTACTCTGGTGTCCACTAAAACATGTTACTCTGGTGTCCAGTAAAACATGTCACTCTGGTGTCCACTAAAACATGTCACTCTGGTGTCCAGTAAAACATGTCACTCTGGTGTCAACTAAAACATGTCACTCTGGTGTCCACTAAAACATGTCACTCTGGTGTCCACTAAAACATGTCACTCTGGTGTCCAGTAAAAAAGTCACTCTGGTGTCCACTAAAACATGTCACTCTGGTGTCCACTAAACATATAACTTAGGTGTCCACTAAAACATGTCACTCAGGTGTCCACTAAAACATGTACATCTACTGTCCACAAAAACATGTTACTCTGGTGTTGACTAAAACATATCACTCTGGTGTCCACTAAAACATGTCACTCTGGTGTCCAGTAAAACATGTTACTCTGGTGTCCACTAGAGTTATTCAACTTACCCTCAATAGTTCAGACTCCTTATCATGTAATGCTTGCTCCAGATTGAGTATCCTCTCCTCTATCGATCCATGCCTTTCTTCTGCCTGTGTAAATAAAATAATGGGATGACAGTTCATTTTTGCTTGTGTTTATAAAATAACAGGATCATAGTTTCTGTCTGTGCATATAAAATAACAGGATCATAGTTTCTGTCTGTGCATATAAAATAACAGGATCATAGTTTCTGTCTGTGCATATAAAATAACAGGATCATAGTTTCTGTCTGTGCATATAAAATAACAGGATCGTAGTTTCTGTCTGTGCATATAAAATAACAGGATCATAGTTTCTGTCTGTGCATATAAAATAACAGGATCATAGTTTCTGTCTGTGCATATAAAATAACAGGATCATAGTTTCTGTCTGTGCATATAAAATAACAGGATCATAGTTTCTGTCTGTGCATATAAAATAACAGGATCATAGTTTCTGTCTGTGCATATAAAATAACAGGATCATAGTTTCTGTCTGTGCATATAAAATAACAGGATCATAGTTTCTGTCTGTGCATATAAAATAACAGAATCATAGTAGTTTATGTCTGTTCATATCAAATTATTAATCATTCAACTAACACCATTTCTGACACACAGAGGAATGGATACCTTTATCAACATAGGCAATTCTAATAACTTTTTGGTGAACATTATACTAACTGTGTCAACATGGACCCTAACTGCAGCTAATGAGCAAAAAGAAAATCCTATCAGCAGAGAAGAGATGTCTTAGAAAAGCGGCTGGAGTAACAGGAAGAGATGAAAGTATAAATGAGAAAACTAGCAGAAGAATAGTCATACAATTTGTTAAAGAGCACAAGATGAGATGGTTTGGCCATCTGATGAGAATGCCCTGGTACTAACAGCCACAGAGAGCCATGCTGAAAAAACACAGAGCAAGGGTGACACAATGCAAAAAATGCATTGACAGCATAAATAATAGTCTTAAAGATCAACTCAAACAATGCACTGGAAAGAGCACATAGAAGATCCTTACATGTCAATCTAACACTGGTGAGGTAACTTGAACAGTGAAGATAAGGAAGTTTATAAACTTAAATGATTAGTTAGTTTCTGTCTGTGTATATGAAATCTCCAGAAAACAATAAGTCATACAAAACAATATAACTAGTCAGTTTCTGTCTGTGTCTATGAAATCTCCAGACAACAATAACTCTACATACAAAACCAAATAACTAGTTAGTTTCTGTCTGTGTCTATGAAATCTCTAGACCACACTTAACTCTACATACAAAACCATATAACTAGTTAGTTAGTTTCTGTGTCTATGAAATCTCCAGACCACAATTAACTCTACATACAAAACCATATAACTAGTTAGTTTCTGTCTGTGTCTATGAAATCTCCAGACCACAATTAACTCTACATACAAAACCATATAACTAGTTAGTTTCTGTCTGTGTCTATGAAATCTCCAGACCACAATTAACTCTACATACAAAACCATATAACTAGTTAGTTTCTGTCTGTGTCTATGAAATCTCTAGGACACAATTACCTCTACATATAAAACCATATAACAAGTTAGTTTCTGTCTGTGTCTATGAAATCTCCAGACCACAATTACCTCTACATACAAAACCATATAACTAGTTAGTTTCTGTCTGTGTCTATGAAATCTCCAGACCACAATTAACTCTACATACAAAACCATATAACTAGTTACTTTCTGTCTGTGTCTAGGAATCTCTAGATAATTACCTCTACATACAAAACCATTTAACAAGTTAGTTTCTGTCTGTGTCTATGAAATCTCCAGACCACAATTAACTCTACATACAAAACCATATAACTAGTTAGTTTCTTTCTGTGTCTATGAAATCTCCAGACCACAATTAACTCTACATACAAAACCATATAACTGGTTAGTTTCTGTCTGTGTCTATGAAATCTCCAGACCACAATTAACTCTACATACAAAACCATATAAACAGTCAGTTTCTTCATGTGCCTATGAAATCACAGTGAATAAAATCTTTCTAAATAACAGATTCAGCAAACATGCAAACAAACCTGACTGAGTGCTTCTAGCCGATGCTGCAATTCAGCTTCTATTGAAGGCATAGCTTCAACCGTCTTCAGTGACTGAGCCAGTTTCTGCTCCAAGTATTCCACCTTATCCTGGAGAGCTCTCAACTTTTCCTCAGCCTGAAAGACATCACATATTACGTATGACTGAGCTGCCTGAGGTCATGTATGTTTATGTTCCTATTTCATAAATTGTGGGACTGTCTGAGCAGGGGTTAATGTGTGGTTTCGCTGTGTGAGCAGAGGTAAGTGTATGGTTCAGTATGGTCTCGCTGTGTAGGCAGGGGTTAATGTGTGGTTCAGTGTGGTCTCGCTGTGTGGGAAGGGGTTAATGTGTGGTTCAGTGTGGTCTCGCTGTGTGGGAAGGGGTTAATGTGTGGTTCAGTGTGGTCTCGCTGTGTGGGAAGGGGTTAATGTGTGGTTCAGTGAGGTCTCGCTGTGTGGGCAGGGGATAACATGTGGTTCAGTGAGGTCTCGCTGTGTGGGAAGGGGTTAATGTGTGGTTCAGTGTGGTCTCGCTGTGTGGGAAGGGGTTAATGTGTGGTTCAGTGTGGTCTCGCTGTGTGGGAAGGGGTTAATGTGTGGTTCAGTGTGGTCTCGCTGTGTGGGAAGGGGTTAATGTGTGGTTCAGTGAGGTCTCGCTGTGTGGGCAGGGGATAACATGTGGTTCAGTGAGGCTTCACTGTGTAAGCTTGGGTTGATGTGTAGGCAGGTTTGTAGGCAACTACACACAACATTTACAACTACACAAAACATCTACAACTAGATACCCACAACTACAAACATCATCCACAAATATACACAATATCCACAACTACACACAACATCCACAACTACACACAACATTTACAACTACACACAACATCTATGACTACACACAACATCTATGACTACACACAACATTTACAACTACATAAAACATCTACAACTAGACACCCACAACTACACACATCATCCACAAATACACACAATATCCACAACTACACACAACATCCACAACTACACACAACATTTACAACTACACACAACATCTACGACTACACACAACATTTACAACTACACACAACATCTACAACTACACACAACATCTACAACTACACACAACATCTACAACTACACACATCTATGACTAAACACAACATTTACAATTACACACAACATTTACAACTACACACATAATCTATGATTATACATAACATTTACAACTACACACAACATCTATAACCACAAACAAAATCTATGACCACCTACAACCTTTACGACTACACACAACCTTTACAACTACACAAAACATCTACCACTACACAAAACATTTACAACTACATAAAACATCTACAACTAGACACCCACAACTACACACATCATCCACAAATACACACAATATCCACAACTACACACAACATCCACAACTACACACAACATTTACAACTACACACAACATCTATGACTACACACAACATTTACAACTACACACAACATCTACAACTACACACAACATCTACAACTACACACAACATCTACAACTACACACATCTATGACTATACACAACATTTACAATTACACACAGCATTTACAACTACACACATAATCTATGATTATACATAACATTTACAACTACACACAACATCTATAACCACAAACAAAATCTATGACCACCTACAACCTTTACGACTACACACAACCTTTACAACTACACAAAACATCTACCACTACACAAAACATTCACCACTACACAAAACATTGATCACTACACACCACCAACCACTACACACAACATCCACGACCATGCACAACATCCACGACCACACACAACATTCACAACTACACACAACATCTATAACCACAAACAAAATCTATGACCACCTACAACCTTTACGACTACACACAACCTTTACAACTACACAAAACATCTACCACTACACAAAACATTCACCACTACACAAAACATTGACCACTACACACCACCAACCACTACACACAACATCCACGACCATGCACAACATCCACGACCACACACAACATTCACAACTACACACAACATCTATAACCACAAACAAAATCTATGACCACCTACAACCTTTACGACTACACACAACCTTTACAACTACACAAAACATCTACCACTACACAAAACATTCACCACTACACAAAACATTGACCACTACACACCACCAACCACTACACACAACATCCACGACCACGCACAACATCCACGACCACACACAACATCTATGACCACACACAACATCCACGACCACACACAACATCCATGACCACACACAACAATTGTGGCCTACACTTCGTAAGCTGGCATCCTTGGCTTGGACTTCAGCTTCCAACTTGTCATTGAGGTCATGTACTGATGTGGACTCTCGCTGGGCATTGAGGTATCGCTTCTCCAGTGTGGCTATTCTTTCTTCCTGGTCTCCTTTCTGGGCTTGAGACTGACACAAAGACAAATCTTTTAATCAGAGACAAGGACTTATTCAGTCCTAACATTTTTTTTACAGGTAAAATTGTTGGCAGTCATGGCATCTTTTAATGGTCAATGGTAAGAAAGGCTCCAGAGAAGTGCACTGACTGACCTCCCACATCTCACTGATTAATAACATAAACCTGGTTGCTGGTATCACTCCCCTCTCTCAAATCTCACTGTTGGTATCACTCACCTATTTTAAATCTCACTGTTGGTATCACTCACCTATTTTAAATCTTACTGTTGGTATCACTCACCTCTTTTAAATTTCACTTTTGGTATCACTCACCTCTCTCAAATCTTGCTGTTGGTATCACTCATCTCTCTCAAATCTCGCTGTTGGTATCACTCACCTCTCTCAAATCTTGCTGTTGGTATCACTCACCTCTCTCAAATCTCGCTGTTGGTATCACTCACCTCTCTCAAATCTCGCTGTTGGTATCACTCACCTCTCTCAAATCTTGCTGTTGGTATCACTCATATCTCACAAATCTCGCTGTTGGTATCACTCACCTCTCTCAAATCTCGCTGCAGTTTGATGATCAACTCCTGTGCCTTGGCCAGCTCCTTCTGCCCTGTAGTGTAGTTCTCTTCCAGTTCAGTGATCTTGTTGTTGAGCTCAAGCAGCCGTGTCCTGGCTGAGGTCAGCTCTGTGTTCTGCTTCTCAACTGTCTCCTGCAGGTCCATCACTCTACCAATGTCAGAGTCTGGCTCAATGGATCCATTGGATAACCTCTGCAAACAAAACATTCAATATCAACAGAGACAGGGTGGGCATAGGGGGAGGGGGGCCACAAGAGACAAGAGGCAAGAGGGTGTGGCATGTTTTGCTTGAAGATCTGTGCTCCAATAGGAAGACCCAGGGTAGACAAGGAGTACAAGTTTAATTCAAAGGAGATGACATTAACAGATAAATTAGCAAGACATAAGCAACACAGGTTTAATTCAAAGGAGATGACATCAACAGATAAATTAGAAAGACATAAATAACACAAGCTTTATTTAAAGGAGATGACATCAACAAATAAATCAGCAAGACATAAATAACACAAGCTTAATTCAAAGGAGATGACATCAACAGATAAATTAAAAAGACATAAGTAACACAAGCTTTATTTAAAGGAGATGACATCAACAGATAAATTAGAAAGACATAAATAACACAAGCTTCATTCAAAGGAGATGACATCAACAGATAAATTAGCAAGTCATAAATAACACAAGCTTAAACGGAAAACAACTTTTGGGACAGGATGCTGTTAATGAGCCAGTTCTCCTTGATGTTCAGCTCGTTCAGAATGTCGATGTTTTTCCTCTTCCTGGTCCATGGTATTTTAAGAATTTTGCTACAACATTTCAATTCAAAGTTGTACATAAAACAGATAAATTAACAATATATAATATAAGCATATATAGTTGGTTGGAGTAACAGAACTAGCAGGAATAACAGGTTTTTAAAAAAAACCAGACAAATTAGCAACAAATAACAGAAGTTATTTGGTCAGAAAAAACAGATAATTAGTCAGGGGTAAAAGAAGTCTAATTAAAACATCAGAAAAACAGATAATTCATCAGGGATAAAAGAAGTTTATATGGAAATCAGAAAAACAGTTTAAGTTTAGAAGCAGTTAAAGTAGCTTAGGATAAGAGAAGGTTAAATGGAGATCAGATAAACAGATAAGCCAGATAAGAATGATTATGAGTAGCTGACCTTAGGCAGACTGGTCATGGAAGACTCCCGCGAGTCCCCATCTGCCTGGCTCGTGGAATCTGTGCGGCTGGATTTGATTTCCTCCACACTGCCACTGGAATGACGTGATTTGGTGGCCTGTTCTCGGAATGTAAACAGCTGAAAGGACACACACATACATTAATGTATTAATGCTTGATGCAGTCGAAAGGCAAGACACAATCACAAAGACAGAAATATCAGAGCAACATTTACGGATGTCATGTGGAAACAATAAGGCTATGAAGCTGAGAGGTACCAATGATTTAGTCATACATGACATTCACCAACGATGCAATCTGCGGGTCAGTCCTTGATCAAACTAAGAGATGTTGCAACTGAAGTCAGCTGCAAACACACTATACAATCTTTTGTGAGTCACTAAAGAAGTGTCTTTATTACCAATCATGACAATAGATCTGTCAGTGATGCATAAGAAATTCTATTGTCAGTGATGAAGCAGAGATTCTCTATTTGTCAGTTATTTATAAGAGATGCTTTCTTTTTTTCTTTGTCAGTCATGTATCAGAGATACTATCTGTCAGTGATGTAGCAGAGATTCTACCTGTCAGGGATGTAGCAGAGATTGTATCTGTCAGTGATGTTGCAGAGATTCTCTATCTGTCAGTTACTTATCAGAGATTCTTTCTTTTTTTTTTTTTGTCAGTCATGTAGCAGAGATTCTATCTGTCAGTGATGTAGCAGAGATTCTATCTGTCAGGGATGTAGCAGAGATTCTATCTGTCAGGGATGTAGCAGAGATTCTCTATGTCAGTTATTTATCAGAGATTCTTTCTTTATTTTTTTTTTTGTCAGTGATGTAGCAGAGATTTTGTCTGTCAGGTATGTAGCAGAGATTCTATCTATCAGTGATGTAGCAGAGATTCTATCTGTCAGGGATGTAGCAGAGATTCTATCTATCAGTGATGTAGCAGAGATTCTCTATCTGTCAGTTATTTATCAGAGATTCTTTTTTTTTTTTGTCAGTCATGTAGCAGAGATTCTATCTGTCAGTGATGTAGCAGAGATTCTATCTGTCAGGGATGTAGCAGAGATTCTAACTGTCAGGGATGTAGCAGAGATTCTATCTGTCAGTGATGTAGCAGAGATTCTGTCAGGGATGTAGCAGAGATTCTATCTGTCAGGGATGTAGCAGAGATTCTCTATCTGTCAGGGATGTAGCAGAGATTCTATCTGTCAGGGATGTAGCAGAGATTCTCTATCTGTCAGGGATGTAGCAGAGATTCTATCTGTCAGGGATGTATCAGAGATTCTATCTGTCAGTGATGCAGCAGACATTCTATCAGTGATGCAGACAAGATTCTAACTGTCAGTGATCTAAGAGAGATTATATCTGTCAGTAAAGTAGTAGAAATGCTATCTGTCAGTGATGTAGCAGAGATTCTATCTTCAGTGATGTATTAGAGATTATGTCTGTCAGTGATGTAGCAGAGGTTTTTCTGTCAGTGATGCTTTCTATCAGTGATGTGTTCCCTGCTCAAGTATTATTGTATATCTGTCAGCAGTAACATAGCTTAGTGTACCTGCCAGGCAGTGGAGGTTGCACAGGCAGAGAAACTGGAGGTTAACTAGAAAGAACCTTATCACTGATCCCACCCTTACTGTGGCTTCCACCTATTGTCCACACTGACCAAGAACTTTCCAGGCCCATACTGAACTAATCAACCACCTTCGTACTCATAATGATTGATCACTGATACTTTGGATGAAAATTCATGACGATTAACTGCATAACCACTCTAAGAAATGCAAAATCCCACACAACCACTCTAAGAAATGCAACATCCCACACAACCACTTCAAGAAAAGCAACATCCCAGACAACCACTTCAAGAAATGCAACAATCCAGACAACCACTTCAAGAAATGCAACATCCCACACAACCACTTCAAGAAATGCAATATTTCAGACAACCACTTCAAGAAATGCAACATTCCAGAAAACCACTTCAAGAAATGCAACATCCCACACAACCACTTTAAGAAATGAAACATTCTACATAACCATTTCAAGAAATGCAACATCCCACACAACCACTTTAAGAAATGAAACATTCTACATAACCATTTCAAGAAATGCAACATCCCACACAACCACTTCAAGAAATGCAAAACAACACACAACCACTCCAAAAAGAATGCAACATTTGAGACAACCACTCAAAAAAATGCTACATTTCACACAACCACTTCAAGAAATGCAAGATCCCACACAACCTCTACAAGAAATTCAACGTCTTGCAACATCCCACACAACCAATCAAAGAAAGGCAACATCCCACACAACCATTTAAAAAAATGCAACATCCCACACAACCATGCTAAGAAATGAAACATTCTGAACAACCATTTAAAGAAATGCAACAGCCCACACAACCATTTCCAAAAATGCAACATTTCACACAACCATGCTAAGAAATGCAACATTCCAAACAACCATTTCAAGAAATGCAACATCCCGCACAACCATGCCCAAAAATGCAAAATCTACAATTAAATTATGAAACATAATGTGTAACACTGGCTCACTTACTTCCTGATTGGCATTTGCAAGCTCCTCCTCCAACTGGGCAACCCGCTCCAAGGCCACACGCAGTCGTTCTCTAACCTAAACAGATGAGCATCTATCAGGAACACTGCCAACAACAATCAAATAAACATGCCAGTGACAGCCACAAATATGATCTTCTTCACTGGCTCTTCTACTGCGTCAGGTGTCGAGGGAGACATAAGGCTCTGCTTCTTGCGCAAACACATTGTGCTGTTGTAAAGATATGATTACAGTAATAAACAGATCAAGGAGGAGCTGGCGGAACGGACACGGTGCTCTCATGCGGGAATTCAGGGTTCAAATCCTGGGTAAGGTTGAGGATTTGGCAATCCTCTGAATAACGGTCCCAAATTATGGAGGCTGAAAATTTACCCTAACAGGGCCTCAGTCACGTGTCAATTGCGAACTTCCAGCGACCTAAACTTCGCTCACGCTGTGTGGATTGGGGCGAAACTAGATGTCTGGGACTCACGAGCAGCAGCTACCGCATCTCCTGCAGCTTCCTTCATTTTATTTGCTGGTGAGTCCTCGTCCATCTAGTTTAGCCACAATCCACGCCGCATGAGCGGCTTGGGGGATACTCTCGGCAGTGGCGGTATAGTTCCCAGGTGTCCGCAATTTGGGGGTGGCGGTATAGTCCCCGGAAGTCCGCAAATAACACGTGATTGAGGCCCTGTTAGGGTATATTTTATGCCTCTATAATTTGGGACTGTTATTCGGAGGATAGCCGGGGATTTTATTTTTCTGTTGGAGGGCAAAAGTAAACATACTAACTTGCACAGCCCATGAGGACAGCACTAGCTATGTAGTAGCCTTACATCCTCTGACCTAAAGATCCCCCTCCCCCCCCCCCCCCCCTTCCTTTTCCTCCTTTTGTCCTACAACACAAAAGTGGTAAACACAGGCTATAATGGCTGTGTTAACAAACAGATCATCATCATGTTACGCCGAGCGGCTCACACATTTGTGTTCATCCATAAGTATGTGTTTTCTGATGTCCATGGGGTATGGTAACAATATAGAATGTTCATCTCTTGGGAAGAAACCCTGTCTTGGATCAATCTGCATGATATCCCTATGTTTTTCTCTCCTCTACTGTTATCATCAGTGTTGGATAATTGCATCTGTCCATCTGTTGTTATCACTAGTGTTGGATAATTGCATCTGTCCATCTGTTGTTATCACCATTTATAGATAATTGCATCTCTCCATCTGTTGCTTTACCATTGTTGGATAATTGCATCTGTCCATCTGTTGTTATCACCAGTGTTAGATAATTGCATCTGTCCATCTGTTGTATCACCAGTTTTTGGATAATTGCATCTTTCCATCTGTTGTTATCATTAGTGTTGGATAATTGCATCTGTCCATCTGTTGTTATCACTAGTGTTGGATAACTGTATCTGTCCATCTGTTGTTATCACCAGTGTTGGATAATTGCATCTGTCCATCTGTTGTTATCACCAGTGTTGGATAATTGCATCTGTCCATATGTTGTTATCACCAGTGTTTACTGTTGTTATCACCAGTGTATCTGTCCATCTGTTGTTATCACCAGTGTATCTGTCCATCTGTTTTTATCACCAGTGTATCTGTCCATCTGTTGTTATCACCAGTGTTGGATAATTGCATCTGTCCATCTGTTGTTATCACCAAGACACCTGTCAATCATGCTCTTTTCAATCATCAGACACCAGTCAATCATGCTCTCTCTAATCATCAAACATCAGTCAATCATGCTATCCTTAATCACCAGACACCAGTCAATCATGCCCTCTCTAATCATCAGACACGTCAATCATGCTTTCTATAATCACCAGACACCAGTCAATCATGCTCTCTTTAATCATCACACACATTTCAATCATGCTCTCTTTAATCATCAGACACCAGTCAATCATGCTCTCTCTAATCATCAGACACCAGTCAATCATGCTCTCTTTAATCATCAGACACCAGTCAATCATGCTCTCTTTAATCATCAGACACCAGTCAATCATGCTCTCTCTAATCATCAGACACATTTCAATCATGCTCTCTTTAATCATCAGACAACAGTCATCATGCTCTCTTTAATCATCAGACACATTTCAATCATGCTCTCTTTAATCATCAGACACCAGTCAATCATGCTCTCTCTAATCATCAGACACATTTCAATCATGCTCTCTTTAATCATTAGACACCAGTCAATCATGCTCTTTTTAATCATCAGACAACAGTCATCATGCTCTCTTTAATCATCAGACACGTCAATCATGCTTTCTATAATCACCAGACACCAGTCAATCATGCTCTCTTTAATCATCAGACACATGTCAATCATGCTCTCTTTAATCATCAGACACATGTCAATCATGCTCTCTTTAATCATCAGACACATGTCAATCATGCTCTCTTTATTCATCAGACACATGTCAATCATGCTCTCTTTAATCATCAGACACATGTCAATCATGTTTTCTTTAACTAAACACCTGCCAATCATGCTCTCTTTAATCATCAGACACATGTCAATCATGCTCTCTTTAATCATCAGACACATGTCAATCATGCTCTCTTTAATCATCAGACACATTTCAATCATGCTCTCTTTAATCATCAGACACATGTCAATCATGCTCTCTTTAACTAAACACCTGTCAATCATGCTCTCTTTAGTCATTAGACACCCTGTCAATCATGTTTTCTATAATCATTAGACACCTTCAGTCATCATGCTCTCTTTAATCATCAGACACGTCAATCATGCTTTCTATAATCACCAGACACCAGTCAATCATGCTCTCTTTAATCATCAGACACATGTCAATCATGCTCTCTTTAATCATCAGACACATGTCAATCATGCTCTCTTTAATCATCAGACACATGTCAATCATGCTCTCTTTATTCATCAGACACATGTCAATCATGCTCTCTTTAATCATCAGACACATGTCAATCATGTTTTCTTTAACTAAACACCTGCCAATCATGCTCTCTTTAATCATCAGACACATGTCAATCATGCTCTCTTTAATCATCAGACACATGTCAATCATGCTCTCTTTAATCATCAGACACATTTCAATCATGCTCTCTTTAATCATCAGACACATGTCAATCATGCTCTCTTTAACTAAACACCTGTCAATCATGCTCTCTTTAGTCATTAGACACCCTGTCAATCATGTTTTCTATAATCATTAGACACCTTCCAATCATGCTCTTTTCAATCATTCTGTTCATCTTGTAGAATCAATGTGGATCCGACATTCAAAAACCATATATCCTCTAGTAGAATCAATATGGGGTAGAAATGCAATCACCACATATATTATCTAGTAGAATCAATATGGAGCCGACATTCAATCACCATATAGACTTTAGCAGAATCAATATCGGGCAGATATTCAATCATCATATATATATTCTACTAGAATGAATGCAAGCAGAATTCAATCACCTTAAATGATTAAGTAGAATCAATGTGGGGCAGACATTCAATCATCAGGATTATCATACAGACATTTAATCACCTACCCTGGTGTTATTTCTTTCAGCCTTTAGCTCAGCAATTTCTTCTTCTCTTTCCAGTAACTGCTCTCTGACCATGTTTAGCTCCTTCGTCACAGTGGCCAGTTCCTGCACAAACAAACATGAATGTGTCACTAGTTCCTGCACAGCCACTGTCTAGTTTTTCACACAAACAACTATATGGGGTTCTTCTCAGTCCAGTTCCTGCATAAACTATCCAACAGGGTTTTCAGTCCAGTTCCTGCATAAACTATCCAACAGGGTTTTCAGTCCAGTTCCTGCATAAACTATCCAACAGTGTTTTCAGTCCAGTTCCTGTACAAACTATCCAACAGGGTTTTCAGTCCAGTTCCTGCATAAACTATCCAACAGGGTTTTCAGTCCAGTTCCTGCGCAAACTATCCAACATGGTTTTCAGTCCAGTTCCTGCATAAACTATTCAACAAGGTTCTTCTCGGTCCAGTTCCTGCACAAAGAATCAAACCGTGTTTTCAGTCCAGTTTATGCACAAACAATCAAACAGGGTTTTTCTTAGTCCAGTTCCTGCACAAACAATCAAACAGGGTTCTTCTCAGTCCAGTTCCTGAACAAAAAATCAAACAGGGTTCTCAGTCCAGTTCCTGCAAAAACAATCAAACATGGTTGTGTGACTAGTTGCAGTACAAACAACCATAACCTCATCCTACGCGTATGTGTGGTGCTATCTTCTCCACCAGGCAAGCTTAGCAACAATCTTGCATCTGCATGTACCAAAAATGAAACTTTGTTTGTTGGCAGGCCAGAAATCTCACCCAAGCCTAAACAAACAAATCTGCCAGATTTAATGATTCAAACCAAACTCATTTCAATAACTGAAGGAATGCTGAATGGAAGAATGCTAACTTAAAAGCTTGAGTTGGTCAGTGCACATCCTAACTCACCTCATTCCTGCAGCCAGCAGACTCACATAAAACAATTTCATCTTGCTGAATGTCCCTGTAATAAAAGTTGCTGAATTAGAATGTCCCTGTAACAAGAGTCACCAAATTAGAATGTCCCTATAACAAGAGTTTGCTGAATTAGAAATTCCATAACAGGATTCGTCGAATTAGAATGTCCCTTTACCAAGAGTCACTGAGTTAGAATGTCCCCGTGACAAGAGCCGCTGAATTAGAATGTCCCGTAACAAGAACCACTGAATTAGAATGTCCCTGTAACAGGGATCTGCTGAATTAGAATCCCTGTAACGAGAGTCACTGAATTAGAATGACCCTTTAACAAGAGTCACTGAACTAGAATGTCCCTGTGACAAGAGATGCTGAATTAGAATGTCCCGTACCAAGAGCCACTAGAATGTCCCTGTAACAAGGGTTTGCTGAATTAGAATCCCTGTAATGAGAGCCACTGAATTAGAATGTCCCGTAACAAGAGCCACTGAATTAGAATATCCCTGTAACTAGCGTCACTTAATTAGAACGTCCCTGTAACAAGAGCCACTGAATTAGAATGTCCATGTAACAAGAGTCGCTGAATTAGAAACTGGGTACTATCCCAAACTTGAAGTTACATAATTTAAGAAATGTTCCAGTACCTGAGGTGTGGTCTGCTGCAGCTGTTTCTGCATCATCTCTCGGTCCTTGTTGGCTTCCTGCAGCTTGGTCTCCAACAGTTCTACGGTTTCCTGTTTCTCCCGAAGACTCTCCATCAATTTATCCCGCTCATCCAGCATGTTCACCATCAACTGCTCAAAGTTAGAGTCATCACCCGAGCCCTGGGACTCACGATCATTGCAACCATCTTCAGAGATGGTTGGCATTACGTCACACATCATTTTTATCTCTTTGTTGGATGTTCACCACTTATATTAAATAGAGTTGTATGACACCATGGGATATGACATGCAGCCAAAGTTTTTCTCAGACAAGATCCACAATCACATCTGTGTCTCTTCCAATCTCCTTCAGTGACTGATACAATGCCACCATAAGATGGTCAGTGCATTCCCTCAAAGAGATGTGTTATTTAACGGCTTTACGTCCTCTCCAGCAATTAGCAGATGTCAACATTGTATATAAGTGTAGCACTGGATGTGACTCTGGAGGGGGGAAGGAAAACTGACTGGAACATGTCAGAGATTTTTATGTTAGTGAAATCTGTTCCAGACTAAACAGAAGTCAGTGAGCACTCCAAATATGATGGCCTCCTCATCAGTTCAGTTCTGCTTTACAATATCAGCTGATGTTACAAGTTCCCCGATAAAAGTGACTGAGATGCTCTCCAATAATGCAAAGGAAGAAAACCAGTGTTTTATCCCCTCAGGAGAACAGGAACAGTTTCAAATCCCCACCTCCATCAGCTCGAACTGATGCTGAAGTTCTCAATCTGCAACAAGTGACCCGATATTTAACCCCTTCAGCACTTTCATATATGTCTCTCTGTCGGACAGATCTGATGATAAAGACTGCACAATAACCAGCGTCTAATTCCCACAAAAGGACAAGAACACTGTCATATTTATCACCATCAGATCGGAGTACAGTTATAAGTCCTACCTACAACACAATATAGTCTGCACTGAATCCCTTTAACATCCCCACGATCGTCATACAGGTTCTACAACATAAGATAACTAGAACTGAATCCTTTCAACACTTTACCCCCCTAAGACCTTTCCCTCCACGTCAGGCAGGGCGACCAGGCCGCAGCACAAACCACTAGCAGACGAACGGCTCTCGCCAGGCGCCGGTGCGGTCAGCTTCCAGCCTGTTGGCGTTCTCCTGCAGTCATCCGCTGGCTAGGTACAACGGTTGGATGAATTTATAACATGAACTAGTAATCCATTATTGCAAACCGATGTGGGGTAGATGATGAAGGTGGTGGTGTGGGAGAGAAAAAACGGCTAACATAGTGTGGAGATAAGAGCAGGGAGGACATTTTTCTCTTGGGGAGAATCTGTGTCACACCCACAATCCCCGGCGCCATGGCGGGATCACTCTGCCTAACGTCTCTCTCAGGGGCGGAGCCAAGTTCTCCACAACAGCCAAGTTACCCAACAAACTCATGACAACTACGTGTTGCTAGCGAGCACAGTAAAATCGTTAAGAAATGTTTTTAAAAAACGTATTTTGAACATATACATTCAACTAAAACAAGAATGATTACCTCAAAAATCGTAGTTATAATCACAAATAAGTCTTCTTCTCAAACAAGTTTAAAGTCTACAGGTGGATGAGCCATCAGAACTTTTCGCTGGAGTTTACAGCCCATGAACAAAAAGGAAGAAGACAAATAAGTAATCCATGATAACAGTTGTGATATTTTTTTTTTTTTGGAAAGGGGGGGGGGGCAATTACTCGTAAACTAAACACTATACTTGTTTTAAAGTCTTCAAAGCATTTGCCTTTTTATCAACAGATCTGCTCGCGTATTGTATTCTACCATACTACGTCGAACTGAATACTTGATATTCCAGTTAAAACCTAGAGGATTGAGCAGGATATGTTTCATACAATTACTACTACTACTACTACTACTACTACTACTACTACTACTACTACTACTACTACTACTACTACTACTACTACTACTACTACTACTACTACTACTACTACTACTACTACTACTACTACTACTACTACTACTACTATTGCTGCTGCTGCTACTACACTGCGCCCAGGGGCATAGCAAGGTCAAGTAGTACAAGTGCAGAAGATTTCCTGTCACCCCTATACACATACAAACACACACACATATTTTGTATGCTAAAACACATGTTTTTGCCATTTTGTCAACCCTCCCTCCTCCCATTGGTTTACGTATATGTAACTTGTTGGTTCTTTGCCTCTCAATCAGATGCATTTCGACTTCAAAGGAAACAGCCCTAATTAGTCGACACTTAAGACATCTTTGTTTGAGGACACTAGGTCTATTCTATTTTCCCCATAATTGGGCCCCGTAATCATTCAGGGATTTATCTGTGTAAATCCTTACTTGTTCTGTGTTAACTGTATCCCCTATCAACATACTAGCACATCGAAAAGGTTAGTTGCGTATCCTTTACAGGACGTTGCAGAACCAACCCCAACAGCTCCTGGCTGTTGTGTGGTTTTTCTATGCAAATTTACGTCCAGTAGTTTGCCATAACACATCGAAACTTGGTGGAATATTAATGCATAATGAGACATAACGTGGTTACGGCCTTATGGTGACGAGGGGATCTGGCTGACACTCAACCTTCAGAGGAAAGGCAGGACGGGGATATAACCTGACTGCTACTGGTACCTACCACTAGTACTGAAAATCTGCGCTGGCTGCTGAAGATGAGGACGAAACGTTTATGTGAATGCCACTAGTGTTGTGATGTCGATTTTTAAATTAACTCATGTTATCTTAGGTTACCACTGTTCCTAGATGGCATATTTTATTATGTTATCAATATTTAGATGTCATGTTATGTTCGTTGTCGCTGCTAATAGATGTCGTGTTATGGTATCACTGCTAGTAAATTATATGTTATGTTACATTATCGCTGTTCCTAAGACGAGTATGATCCGGAGGGTTCAGGCAGGTTCAGTGCGAAGACAACGGCTTGAATCATTACAGAAGTCCACTGTTCGTGGAGTCACCTTTATTTTTGTTCCGGGACACGCAGGCGTCGATGGAAATGAAAGAGCTGACAGGTTGGCTGGATCCGCTATCACTACCGACGGTCAGCCTATGGATCATGCTGATATTATCAATGCCCTCAGAGAAATGGGAAGAATAGAGGACTTTGGTGGCAGTGAATCCACATCACTCGCCAGAATGGCAGACTTGGGAATTAAGATCGGCACAGCAAAAAACGAGACGCACACCAGCTACGCCAGAAGACTTGTTAATCAACATAGAACTGGTACTATTAGCCATCGGACGTTGGGGTTCATACTGAGGGGAGGATCTGAGCACCTATGGACATGTCCGGAGTGCAATGAGGATAACCCAACTAACTAACTAACTAACTGTTCCTAAGACGGCATAGACGTGCTTCACCAAAATGTACTCACAGGTCACTCAGTTATATTGGAGATTCGTCATAATGCACTAGTCTTGCCCTTTCAGCAATTGCTGTGTCTTTTGATAGATACTCGAGTCTATTCACTCGCCGAAGAAAGTTCTCATATAAAAGATGCTGGATATTGTGTTATTTATTTCTGTTGAAAGATGACCGTCATTGTTGCCCAGTAACAGTTGCGCTCTGAGCCTAATTGTGCACAACCAGTTAACGTGGCACCCACATTTAACGAGATGCCCACAGTTAACGTGGCATCCACAGTGCACCGTAGACCTGGTTAGTGTTAAAATATCCCGACCATACCATAACCAGTATGGAGATGCATGTGTTGTATATGTGGGCTCGTGTGGGTGTGTGCGCGTGCGGGCGCGTGGAAGTGTCGGTGAGCGGATATATGTGTGGGAAGTTTTAGAAAATGGGGAACGTTTTAATTCTTTTTGTGTTAACTAACTAGCACTCCGCGCCTCAAGATTCCTGCGCTCCAGGGCCTACTCCCCTTTTACACGCAGCAGATCGTGCGTTTTTTTTTTTTAAATTATTATTATTTATGCTCGTCAACGTATAATAATTGTCCTAAGTTACTGGTCAGTTCACGGATGCATTAAGAGAAGTTATTACTGATTTAAGAATCGACATCCATAGCACACCAGGCATACACGTAGAAGTTCCGTCTCTCGCAGCAAATGTTTAAAGGTGTAGATGCCAAGTTGGCAGAGAAACAGATTCAGACACCAGAATAATGCAAGAACAGTTTACTGCCACCAGTGTGTTGGCTGCCCTATAGTCTGCAGTAGGTGTTTATTACTACTCTTACGCCAAACTGTCGGTTATTCAATAATTTTTATTGATCTGTTACTGTTACATATTACAAACATGTGTTTCTGAATTACTACTGATCCGCCAGATCTTAAAGTGCACACTTTACAAACTTATGTAACTAGTGAAATATAGTTTCCAGTTTTGTCCTTTTCAGGACGAAATTTTTTGTCATTTGATGCCCCACCCTGGCTTTTGCCAGGGGCCGCAATATAGGCAGGCCATATATATGGCCAATTGTCTGAACGCGGTTTCTGGGACCTCTCCAAGGCGATCCTCATCCGCGTGGTGGCACTTTGTGTCATCGGGTGTTTATCGTTTGTGTGATGTCCTAGTGGGGTAGAAAGTCCGCCAGTCCTTCAAACTTAGGTAACCAATTTACCGTAAAAATACGAGTGTTACCGAACCAACATGGCGACAGAGAGTTGTTCTGCCACTTTCGGTTTCCTTCATCCTTTGAACATTATGTCTATTCTCATTTGTCATGGCAAGAACAGATGAAGACAACAACGACCATCAACCGACTAAAAACAGGATGCCAAAAGACGGCAGAAAGGGAAGGAAGAAGCAGGGTTACTTATCTATTTCAGGTAGTAGTAGTATTATTACTAATTTAATTAGTCATCAGAATTCAGTATGTCACTGTCAGAGTCTGAGTAGTGTAGTAGTTAACTATAGTATAGTAGTAGTTACAAATACTAGTGAAAGGTTTTTATTTTGTGTTCATAACTTATGAAACCATCACAGCTAGATAGAGATTAAAAGTACAAATCCAGCGGGACCTCAATGAAGCCTGTAAGCCCTGTACGTCAATTCTAAGCTGAGGAGGTAATTCATATTTTAGTGACGGATACGACCATAGAAACATATTAGAATCTGATAAATAAAAGATGGATTCTGGTCAGCGACCATATCGAGTTCTGCATCAGGGAAAGCTAACAGATACATTGAAATAAAAACAGGTGTGCAACAGGGATGTCTTTTGTCGCCTCTCCTATTTTTACTGGCAGTTGACTAGATTATTAAGACAACTGCTAACAACAGGACAACACAGCATACTGCCTAGAGTATCTCCCGCGCTGCTACGCGCGGAGCGGGGCTAAACTAGATGGCTGAGACTTATGAGCAAATAAAATGGAGGAAGCTGCAAGAGATGCGGCAGCTGCTGCTCGTGAGTCCCAGCCATCTAGTTTAGCCCCGCTCCGCGCCAGGCATAGCGGCACGGGAGATACTCTCGCAGTGACTTTAACTCGGCAGAAGCATTTTCACTGTATGCTGTGTAGTCACCTGAAGAGGTCCCCAATTTACACGTGACTGAGGCCCTGTTAGGGTATATTTTCGGCCTCCATAATTTGGGACCGTTATTCGGAGGATAGCCCAGTGGACCTCTACAAAATAGCATGATGATCTGGACTTCGCTGATGATATTTCTCTTCTGTCCCATTCACTGATTCAGGTGTAAGATAAATTAAATATACTTGATGCAAGATCACAACAGCTAGGTCTGAAAATCCATAAGGGAAAGATAATGAGAATAAACCCGGCAAATAGTAACGTGGTTTCTCTTAATGGTACCGCACTCTAAGATGTGGAGTCATACACCTTTTTGGGCAGTAATGTAGATAAAGATATTTAAAAATGAATACAAAATGCAAGAAAAGCTTTCAAATCATTAGGAAATTTGCGGAGTTCAAAAGAAATTAAAACTAATACTAAGTTAAAATATTGTAATCCTAATGTCAAATGAGTGCTGTTGTATGGAGTGAAAACATGAAGAACAACTAAGGCAATTACTAATAAATTACAGACATTCATTAACTGGTGCCTGCAAGTATAGAGGGAATTAAATGGTATGATAGAATCACTACTATAGATCTTTGAGAGAGAAGTAAGGAAGTTCCGGTGGACCAAGAAGTGAAGAAAAGATGCTGGCGTTGGATAGGACGCCGGAGAACAATTTAACTAGTATGCACTGGAACAGGGGCATAGGAAAAAAGGAAGAAAAGAAAACACACACACATTGGGAAGGAAGCTAGAGAGTAAAGTTAAATAGATGGGGAGGACATGGAAAGAGCTGCATGCAATAGCAAAGGATAGAACGACATTGGCGTGAGTTGATTGAGGGTTTATGCTCCATTGGGGGCTTAAAAAAGCAGAAGAAGAAGAATGATCATATTATCCTAGGGCTCAGGCCTCTGGTCTGTGACGATCCCCATTTTCCAAATTTGGGACCCTCAGTAAGTTTACTGAGTAAACTTAGTTAAATAGGGCAGGTATGGACTGTAGTTTAACTGAAAGTTAATCATCATCATCATCAGCTCTCGTTATGCCTAGTGGCACATGAGGCTTCAGAGAGGACTTCCCATGCTTTCCTGTCCTGTGCAATCTTCAATGCACTGTAAGTTAATAGCACTTTAAAAATGCAACCCAGTGTTATCTCATTGAAATCTGTCTGTCAGCTGAGATATTTCAGTTTATATTTTTAGATAAAAATTGGGTGGGGGGGGGGGGGGGGGGGACCAAAGGCTGATTCATTGCTGTTACTTACAAAGTGCTTGTGTAAAGCTTCAGTCCCTGAAGCAAATGAATGATTATTTTTTACAAAATTGTGTATTATGGTTGCTTGTTTCCCAGACATCACATTGCATGATTTTGCTGATTGCCGGAGGCCCCAAGCCTGCAGTCGTGTGAAAAAATCCATTGCAAGTGCAGCAGCTGGGGGTAGGATAATTTCACATTTCTGTGGGAACAATATTTGTTGACACATTTCATGAATCATGTCTGCTCAAGGTTCTATTGTCTATCTCATTATGAGCCAGTTTGTTGGTAGACCTAACATTATGAGCAAATCTGTTGGCAGACTTGACAGTATGAGCAAATCTGTTGGCAGACTTGACAGTATGAGCAAATCTGTTGGCAGACTTGACAGTATGGGCAAATCTGTTGGCAGACTTGACAATATGGGCAAATCTGTTGGCAAACTTGACAATATGGGCAAATCTGTTGGCAGACTTGACGGTATGAGCAAATCTGTTGGCAGACTTGACAGTATGAGCAAATCTGTTGGCAGACTTGACAGTATGAGCAAATCTGTTGGCAGACTTGACAGTATGAGCAAATCTGTTGGCAGACTTGACAGTATGAGCAAATCTGTTGGCAGACTTGACAGTATGAGCAAATCTGTTGGCAGACTTGACAGTATGAGCAAATCTGTTGGCAGACTTGACGGTATGGGCAAATCTGTTGGCAGACTTGACAGTATGAGCAAATCTGTTGTCAGACTTGACGGTATGGGCAAATCTGTTGGCAGACTTGACAATATGGGCAAATCTGTTGGCAGACTTGACAGTATGGGCAAATCTGTTGGCAGACTTGACACTATCAGCAAATCTGTTGGCAGACTTGACAGTATCAGCAAATCTGTTGGCAGACTTGACAGTATCAGCAAATCTGTTGGCAGACTTGACACTATCAGCAAATCTGTTGGCAGACTTGACACTATCAGCAAATCTGTTGGCAGACTTGACACTATCAGCAAATCTGTTGGCAGACTTGACACTATCAGCAAATCTGTTGGCAGTTTTGACAGTATGAGCAAATCTGTTGGCAGATTTGACAGTATGAGCAAATCTGTTGGCAGATTTGACAGTATGAATGAACTTGTTCTGTAGTTTAGAGTATCCATTGACTTCTGCACTCTGTCTCTTACAGTGATATATAACTGCTCCACTCTTGTTTCTTACAGCAACATATGACTGCTCCACTCTTGTCTCATACAACAAATGACTGCTCCACTCTTGTCTCATACAACAACATATGATTGCTCCACTCTTGTCTCTTACAACAACAAATGACTGCTCCACTCTTGTCTCATACAACAACATATGATTGCTCCACTCTTGTCTCTTACAACAACCTATGACTGCTCCACTCTTGTCTCATACAACAAATGACTTGCTCCACTCTTGTCTCATACAATATATGTCTGCTCCACTCTTGTCTCATACGACAACATATGACTGCTCCACTCTGTCTCTTACAACAACATATGACTGCTCCACTCTTGTCTCATACAACAACATATGATTGCTCCACTCTTGTCTCATACAACAACAAATGACTGCTCCACTCTGTCTCTTACAACATATGACTGCTCCACTCTTGTCTCATACAACAACATATGATTGCTCCACTCCTGTCTCATACAACAAAATATGACTGCTCCACTCTTGTCTCATACAACAACATATGATTGCTCCACTCTTGTCTCATACAACAACATATGACTGCTCCACTCTTGTCTCATACAACAACAAATGACTGCTCCACTCTGTCTCTTACAACATATGACTGCTCCACTCTTGTCTCATACAACAACATATGATTGCTCCACTCCTGTCTCATACAACAACATATGACTGCTCCACTCTTGTCTCATACAACAACATATGATTGCTCCACTCTTGTCTCATACAACAACATATGACTGCTCCACTCTTGTCTCATACAACAACATATGATTGCTCCACTCTTGTCTCATACAACAACATATGATTGCTCCACTCTTGTCTCATACAACAACAAATGACTGCTCCACTCTGTCTCTCACAACATATGATTGCTCCACTCCTGTCTCATTCAACAACATATGACTGCTCTACTCTTGTCTCATACAGCAACATATGATTGCTCCACTCTCGTCTCATACAACAACATATGACTGCTTTATTCTTGGCTCTTACAACAACAGATGACTGCTCTACTCTGTTACCTTAATGAACAAATCTGTTATCATAGTTTACCATGTCTGACAGGGCAACAGTTATCTAAGCATCCACATGTTGAGTCCAAATGTAAAGCAGGATGTTGCTGACACACAGCTTTGATAAATGTCCTGTCCTCTCTGTCAGGATGTCGCTGACACGCAGCTTTGATGAATGTCCTGTCCTCTCTGTCAGGATGTCGCTGACACACAGCTTTGAGGAATGTTCTGTCCTCTCTGTCAGGATGTTGCTGACACACAGCTTTGATGAATGTGTCCTCTCTGTCAGGATGCTGCTGACACACAGCTTTGATGAATGTCCTGTCCTCTCTCTCAGGATGCTGCTGACACACAGCTTTGATGAATGTCCTGTCCTCTCTGTCAGGATGCTGCTGACACACAGCTTTGATGAATGTCCTGTCCTGTCAGGATGCTGCTGACACACAGCTTTGATGAATGTCCTGTCTCTCTGTCAGAATGCTGCTGACACATAGCTTTGATAAATGTCCTGTCCTCTCTGTCAGCATGCTGCTGACACACAGCTTTGATGAATGTCCTCTCAATCAGGATGTTGCTGACACAGCATGTTGATGAATGTCCTGTCCTCTTAGTCAGTATGCCTGTGACTGAACCAACCAGATTTTCTAGCTTATATGAATGAGACCAAAATTTAGTCAACTCAGATGTGTGACAATTTACATTCCATACCAATGTCAAAATTCGGTGCTAAGTGGTCTTGTGCCAAAGTGCCTGCAGTTGAATTTAACCACATATTTCAGAATTTGAACCATGTCATGGACACCAGTTCTTGCCTGTGGTTGCAGTATAATCCAGGATTCTTGGGGGTGCCCTGGATCAAACATCAATAGGTACCTGTACAAAAATGATTAACCTGGTTGTTATCAGTTGCGGTCCTGCTCTCCTCCACAGCCATACCAAAGACATCCAGTGTCCAAACAGTTCTCAGCACAGCAGATGATGACCTCAGCTGGTTTGAAAAAGACCTGGAGAACTTTGTTATAGAAGATGAAACTCATGAAGATGATGAAGATCTCACGGCAATTAGCTGTAGGTATTCTGTTGTAGTCAGTGATGATCTCACCACAGTTAGCTGTAGGTATTCTGTTGTTATTAATGATGATCTCACCGCAATTAGCTGTAGGTATAGTATTCTATTGTTGTCATTAATGATGATCCCACCACAGTTAGCTGTATGTATTATGTTTTTGTCATCAATGATGACCTTACCAAAATTACCTGTAGGTATTCTGTTGTTGTCATCATTAATGATTTCACCACAATTACCTGTACCTACAGGTAATTTGTTATCGATGGTGCTCTTACTACAATTAGCTGTAGGTATTATGTTGTCATCAATAGTGATCTCATCACAGTTAGCTATAGGCATTCTGTTGTCATCAGTAATGATCTCATCACAATTAGCTGTAGGTATTCTGTTGTTGTCATCAATGGTGATCTCACCACAGTTAGCTGTAGGTATTCTGTTGTTGTCATCAATGATGATCTCACCACAGTTAGCTGTAGGTATTCTGTTGTCATCAGTAATGATCTCATCACAATTAGCTGTAGGTATTCTGTTGTTGTCATCAATGGTGATCTCACCACAGTTAGCTGTAGGTATTCTGTTGTTGTCATTAATGATGATCTCACCACAGTTAGCTGTAGGTATAGTATTCTATTGTTGTCATTAATGATGATCTCACCACAATTAGCTGTAGGTATTCTGTTGTTGTCATCAGTGTGCTGCCAGACTGGTCTAAGCTGTTAGTGTCTCTAATTGTGTTGTCACACACTGAGGGAACTGGATAATGTTTCTCTGTTTGTTGTTTATGAAACCTTACTTTGGCAGGTGACCTTATACATCTATTTAGTTGGCCATGTTGACAAAGACAGGGAAGCAGATATAAATACAAATGAACAATATGAACAAATAATTGCACAATTTATGGCCTGGCATATTTGATGGAATCTCATTAGATACATTACTAGAGAGTTAAATCAACATGTAACAAAGCATATTTAGTTCTATAATAATGCACCTGACGAGATAAGCGAAATATGCCAGGCTGTGTATTGTTTGTGTTCATATTATTTCACTAATGCAGTTTCCAGCAAATAAAGTAGTGAGGAAACTATACAAGAGCCTGATAGGACATGTTTGAAAAGTATCTAATTGTTCTTTTTTTTACCCCCTGAATGCACAGGAAGATGAGATAGCGGTTGACCTGAAAACAAATGAAGATAATTGAAGACAAAAACAGGAAACATGGAGGAGTTGCAGGAGATGACAACAGTTAAAGAATATCAGGGAACGTGGAGGAGTTGCAGGAGATGACAACAGTTGAAGAATATCAGGGAACATGGAGGAGTGGCAGGAGATGACAACAGTTGAAGAATATCAAGGAACATGGAGGAGTTGCAGGAGATGACAACAGTTGAAGAATATCAGGGAATATGGAGGAGTTGCAGGAGATGACAACAGTTGAAGAATATCAGGGAACATCGAGGAGTTGCAGGAGATGACAACAGTTGAAGAATATCAGGGAACATGGAGGAGTGGCAGGAGATGACAACAGTTGAAGAATATCAAGGAACATGGAGGAGTTGCAGGAGATGACAACAGTTGAAGAATATCAGGGAACATGGAGAAGTTGCAGGAGATGACAACAGTTAAATAATATCAGGGAACATGGAGGAGTTGCAGGAGATGACAACAGTTGAAGAATATCAGGGAACATGGAGGAGTTGCAGGAGATGACAACAGTTGAAGAATATCAGGGAACATGGAGGAGTTGCAGGAGATGACAACAGTTGAAGAATTTCGTGAACATGGAGGAGTTGCAGGAGATGACAACAGTTGAAGAATATCAGGGAACATGGAGGAGTTGCAGGAGATGACAACAGTTGAAGAATATCAGGAAACATGGAGGAGTTGCAGGAGATGACAACAGTTGAAGAATATCAGGGAACATAGAGGAGTTGCAGGAGATGACAACAGTTGAAGAATATCAGGGAACATGGATGAGTTGCAGGAGATGACAACAGTTGAAGAATATCAGGGAACATTGAGGAGTTGCAGGAGATGACAACAGTTGAAGAAAATCAGGGAACAGGGAGGAGTCGCAGGAGATGACAACAGTTGAAGAATATAAGGGAACATAGAGGAGTTGCAGGAGATGACAGCAGTTGAAGAAAATCAGGAAAAATGGAGGAGTTGCAGGAGATGACAACAGTTGGAGAATATCAGGGAACATTGAGGAGTTGCAGGAGATGACAACAGTTGAAGAAAATCAGGGAACAGGGAGGAGTCGCAGGAGATGACAACAGTTGAAGAATATAAGGGAACATAGAGGAGTTGTAGGAGATGACATCAGTTGAAGAAAATCAGGAAAAATGGAGGAGTTGCAGGAGATGACAACAGTTGAAGAATATCAGGAAACATGGAGGAGTTGCAGGAGATGACAACAGTTGAAGAATATCAGGGAACGTGGAAGAGTTTCAGGAGTTGACAACAGTTGAAGAATATCAGGGAACGTGGAGAAGTTGCAGGAGATGACAACAGTTGAAGAATATCAGGGAAGTTGCAGGAGATGACAACAGTTGAAGAATATCAGGGAACGTCGAGGAGTTGCAGGAGATGACAGCAGTTGAAGAATATCAGGGAACATGGAGGAGTTGCAAGAGATGACAACAGTTGAAGAATATCAGGGAACATGGAGGAGTTGCAAGAGATGACAACAGTTGAAGAATATCAGGGAACATGGAGGAGTTGCAAGAGATGACAACAGTTGAAGAATATCAGGGAACATGGATGAGTTGCAGGAGATGACAACAGTTGAAGAATATCAGGGAACATGGAGGAGTTGCAGGAGAAAACAGTTGTTAGAGAACCAAGTGACAGCAGGGGATCTTCTTCTTGACGCTCATCAGCTGTAAACCCCCAACAGAAAGTTCTTGTTGTTCTTATACTTCTGGACTTTGGTCTTGATCTGGAGCTTGAGTTTTGCACATACACCTGTTTTACAGATCTGGCTTAAAAATGTTCAGTGAAGACTGCTGGTTCCTTGCCTTTCAGGCAGATGCATCCTGACTTTGAAGGAAACATCCCTAATTAATTGGTCTGCCCCACCCCTCCCCCTCTCCAACTGGGTTCCGAAACCCACACAGGAACAGTTGGGAATTAAAAGTAGAAGAAGCTTTGTACGTACATATTTGACACTTGTATCGTTGACAGTTCTGTCTATGTGTTTATATATGATATATTTATCTCAACAGCAAATGTCAGTGCTGACAGTTCTGTCTATGTGTTTATATATGATATATTTATCTCAACAGCAAATGTCAGTGCTAAAGGCCAGAAGCAAAAAGAAAAGATAACTTCCAGTGATGGAGTTGTGTATCCACATGATTTATGGTTCCTTGTCTCTGATTACATTCATCCTGAGGATATAGGAAGATTCTCTGGGATCTGCAGGGGGGCATACTCTATTACACTTACTGCTGCTTTTTGGAGGCGATTATATGAGAGGTTTGTATATTTTTACAAGATGATTATATGAGAGGTTTGTATATTATTATAAGATGATTATATGAGAGGAATGTGATTATTATAAGATGATTATATGAGGTTTGTATATTTTTAAAAGGTGATTATATGAGAGGTTTGTATAAGGCAATTATATGAGAGGTTTGTATAATATTAGATGGTGATTAAATGAGGGGTTTGTATGATATTATAAGGTGATTATATGAGAGGTTTGTATAATATTATAAGGTGATTAAATGAGGGGTTTGTATATTATAAGGGGATTATATAAGAGGTTTGTATAATATTATAAGGCGATTATATAAGAGGTTTGTATAATATTAGAAAGTGATTAAATGAGCGGTTTGTATGATATTATAAGGTGATTATATGAGAGGTTTGTATAATATTATAAGGTGATTAAATGAGGGGTTTTGTATAATATTATAAGGCGATTATATAAGAGGTTTGTATAATATTATAAGGCGTTTATATAAGAGGTTTGTATAATATTAGAAAGTGATTAAATGAGGGGTTTGTATGATATTATAAGATGATTATATGAGAGGTTTGTATAATATTATAAGGCGATTATATAAGAGGTTTTGTATAATATTATAAGGCGATTATATAAGAGGTTTGTATAATATTATAAGGCGATTATATAAGAGGTTTGTATAATATTAGAAAGTGATTAAATGAGGGGTTTGTATGATATTAAAAGGTGATTATATAAGAGGTTTGTATAATTTTATAAGGTGATTAAATGAGGGGTTTTGTATATTATAAGGCAATTATATAAGAGGTTTGTATAATATTATAAGGCGATTATATAAGAGGTTTGAATAATATTAGAAGGCGATTATATGAGAGGTTTTATATAATATGTAAAAAGTAATTTTATAAGGGGTATGCATAAAGCGATTGTATAATATTATAAGGCAGTTATATGAGATGTTCGTATATTATAAGGCAGTTATATGAGATGTTCGTATATTATAAGGCAATTTTATTAGAAGTTTGCATATTATAAGGTGATTTTTATGAGAGGATTGTATAATATATAATAAAGCGATTTTATAAGAGGTTCATATAATAATAATAAAGTTTTATAATATTATAAGGCGATTATAAGGTTTGTAAAATATTGTGAGGCAATTTAATGACAGGTTTGTGAAATATTGTGAGGCGATTTAATGAAAGGTTTGTAAAATATTGTGAGGCGATTTAATGACAGGTTTGTAAAATATTGTGAGGCGATTTAATGACAGGTTTGTAAAATATTGTGAGGCGACTTTATGAGATGTTTATTTAAACAAATTTGAGAGGTTTCTAGTTTGCCGCAAATATGTTAAATTGTTTATCTGTTTCTGGGCTTGTCATCATTATTTTATATCTTGTATCTCTTTCTGGTTTGACACCAATGTTATATCTAGTAATTGTTCTGGTTTGTCATCACTATGTTGTTTAGTAATTGTTCTGGTTTGTCATCATTTTATCTAGTAATTGTTTCTTGTTTGACACCAGTGCTGTTTCTGCTTAGATGAAATGTGTTGGAATTTTCAGAAATGTCAGATGTCATGTGACAGATCAGAATAATATTGATCTGTTCTACATCTGTCTTAGGTTTGGGGTCAAAGGCAAAGACAAGTTACCAGAACATTTGAGGCCACACAGCATGGAACGACTACACGGGTTGAGAGCTAGAGTTATACGCTCTTTGTTCTATCTGAGCCCAGTGTTGATGAGCAGGGTACACAACAGAGGTCCTATGGAGGATGAACCACATTGTCTCAAAGGTTGAACTCATAGGGAATTAATAAGTATTTCACCAGCTGAACTTTTAGGTGTCACAGAGGGTGAACTGTTGCAGTATATAGAGTGTTAGGTGTCACAGAAGGTGAACTGTTGCAGTATATAGAGTGTTAGGTGTCACAGAGGGTGAATTGTTGCAGTATATAGAGTGATAGATGTCATGGAGGGTGAACTGTTGCAGTGTATAGAGTGATAGGTGTCACAGAAGGTGAACTGTTGCAGTATATAGAGTGATAGGTGTCACAGAGGGTGAACTGTTGCAGTATAAAGTGTGATAGGTGTCACAGAGGGTGAACTGTTGCAGTATATAGTGTGACAGGTGTCACGGATGTCACAGGAAGAATTGTTGCATTATTTTAAAATTGTTGCAGTATACAGAGTGACAGAAGTATGCCAGAGGTTGAGTGAAGTACTACAGTATATTGAGTGATTGCTATGTCGCATCAAGAGATAACATGACAGTCACTGCAAGAGATGACATGACAGATGCAGCAAAAGATGACAGTTGCAGCAAAATATAACATGACAGTCACTGCAAGAGATGAATGACAGCTCCTGCAAAAGATGACATGACAGTTGCAGCAAGAGATAACATGACAGTCCCAGCAAGAGATGACATGACAGCTCGCAGCAAGAGATGACAAGACAGTCGCTGCAAGAGATGACATGACAGTCGCTGCAAGAGATGGCATGACAGTCGCTGCAAGAGATGAAATGACAGTCACAGCAAGAGATGACATTACATTCACAGCAAGAGATGACGTTTTAGCAAGAGATGAAAGTCGCAGCAAGAGATGACAGTCGCGACAATAGATGACATGACAGTTGCAGCATGAAATGACATTACATTGGCAGCAAGAAATGACAGTCGTGAAATAAATGACATGACAGTTGCAGCAAGAAATGACATTACATTGGCAGCAAGAGATGACAGTCGTGACAATAGATGACATGACAGTTGCAGCAAGAAATAACATTACATTGGCAGCAAGAGATGACAGTCATGACAATAGATGACATGACAGTTGCAGCAAGAAATGACACTACATTGGCAGCAAGAAATGACATTACTGTTGCAGCAAGAGATGGCATGACAGTAACAGCAAGAAATTACATGACAGTCACGGCAAGAGATGACATGGGTCACGAGGGGACAGTAGCAAAAGAGATGACTCGACAGTCACAGCAAGAGATGACATGAATCACAGTAAGGGGTGACACAAAAGAGATAGCTTATAATAAATTATTTCCCAGGTCATAGATGTCTGCTAGCGTGGCACCAACCAGCAACAAAAGGTTGGCAGTTCTGTTTCAAGTTTCAGAAACCAACCCTGCAGTCCCTTACTAGTCAGCGGCCGGTCAGTAAGCTGGACGTTTACCATGGTAATTGTTTTTTTTTTTTTTGACTTGACAGCTGGGGCAGCATCCACATTATGTCCCACACTGACCCATCCCTGAATCTCTTATCACCAAGAGAATGTCTGACACTGAACCTCTATCATCAAAACAGTGTCTGACACTGAACCTCTATCATCAAGACACCGTCTGACACTGAACCTCTATCACCAAGAGAATGTCTGATACTGAATCTCTATTACCAAGAGAATGTCTGATACTGAATCTCTATTACCAAGAGAGTGTCTGACACTGAACCTCTATCATCAAGACACCGTCTGACACTGAACCCCTATCACCAAGAGAATGTCTGATACTGAATCTCTATTACCAAGAGAGTGTCTGACACTGAACCTCTATCATGAAGAGTGTCTGACACTGAAGACTCCCGAACCTCTTATAAAAAAAATATCTGACACTGAACCTCTATCATCAAGTGAATGTCTGACACTGACTCACTCCCGAACTTCTATCATCAAGTGAATATCTGACACTGACTCACTCCTGAACCTCTGCTATCAAGTGAATGTCTGACACTGACTCACTCCTGAACCTCTAGCATCAAGTGAATGACACTGACTGGCTCACTCCTGAACCTCTGCCATCAAGTGAATGTCTGACACTGACATACCTGAACCTCTGCCATCAAGTGAATGTCTGACACTGACACTCCTGAACCTCTGCCATCAAGTGAATGTCTGACACTGACTCCCTCCCAAACCTCTATCATCAAGTGAATGTCTGACAGTGACTCACTCCTGAACCTCTATCATCAAGTGAATGTCTGACAGTGACTCACTCCTGAACCTCTATCATCAAGTGAATGTCTGACACTGACTCACACCCGAACCTCTATCATCAAGTGAATGTCTGACAGTGACTCACTCATGAACCTCTATCATCAAGTAAATGTCTGACACTGACTCACTCCTGAACCTCTATCATCAAGTGAATGTCTGACAGTGACTCACTCCTGAACCTCTATCATCAAGTAAATGTCTGACACTGACTCACTCCTGAACCTCTATCATCAAGTGAATGTCTGACAGTGACTCACTCCTGAACCTCTATCATCAAGTAAATGTCTGACACTGACTCACTCCTGAACCTCTATCATCAAGTGAATGTCTGACAGTGACTCACTCCTGAACCTCTATCATCAAGTGAATGTCTGACACTGACTCACACCCGAACCTCTATCATCAAGTGAATGTCTGACAGTGACTCACTCCTGAACCTCTATCATCAAGTGAATGTCTGACACTGACTCACATCCGAACCTCTATCATCAAGTGAATGTCTGACACTGACTCACTCCCAAACCTCTATCATCAAGTGAATGTCTGACACTGACTCACTCCTGAACCTCTATCATCAAGTGAATTTCTGACACTGACTCACACCTGAACCTCTATAATCAAGTGAATGTCTAACACTGACTCACCTCTGAGCCTCTGTCATCAAGTGAATGACACTGACTTACTCCCGAACCTCTATCATCAAGTGACAATGACACACTCCTCATAAACTAAACCAGTTTCCATTATGCATCAAACTAAACTGAAAACATCCATCTTTGCTTCCATCCTTCAGTTGTTTCATCACAGATTGTAAGACAAGTGCAAGCCTGCTATTGTGTGGGAGAGCTCAGTGAGGGCAGATAGGTGCTACTTGCTTAGTTGTTGATTTCCGATGATTGTTTGTCTTATATAGATACTCTACATCAGGGCTGTTCAACTCAGTGTACTCAGGGACCAAAATATTGAACATGAGTATCGTCCCAGGCCAAAGCCCAAGCATAGAAAGATCATGAATACTATACGGTTGGCAGTGATATGCTAGCACCTTTGCCACATTTGGTCCATGGGTCGCCAGGTGAATAGCCCTGCTGTACATGTTTGATGGTCCATATTTTGGTATCCCTAGTTCCATCCTTGCCCGCCGTATGCTGTGATGTGACTTTTGTTTCTAGGTTACAATGACCTCTTGTACAACCCCGAAGCTGGCTGTTCCGTTCTGCAGGTCACCTGCTGCCATTTTGCTTCTGTGGCTGCTGTCATGGGACTGTTGCTGAATCAGGTCAGTTGGTTTGAGTTTACAAGCTTCTTCTTGTGCTAGGACAACACATTTTGTATCCATACATGCAAGGAAACAACTGGGAGAAGTAAACATAATTTTTAGATGGCAAGAGTCATTGTTGAAGGATTGTTTGTGTTCAGACATATGACCCAATCATGTGTTTCCTTGCTGAAATACTTGATGAAGAAATGTGACTTGTCCTGGTATTTTCTTGTTAAACATTTCATTGAATTTTTGAAACAATCTAATTATGCTTGATGTATAGGCTGTGCCTACAAGTCCCTGTCTATAATAGTCAACATTTTACTAGCTGACACAGGGTTCTATTGACACTCCCTTCTCATGGATAATTCAGTTGAGGTCATAGACACTGAGGCTCATGTGGCTACATGTTGCTAGCCCTGCAGGTCTTAGATACTGAGGCTTATGGGGCTACATGATGCTAGCCCTGCAGGTCATAGATACTGAGGCTTATGGGGCTATATGATGCTAGCCCTGCAGGTCATAGATACTGAGGCTTATGGGGCTACATGATGCAAGCCTTGCAGGTCATAGATACCAAGGCTTATAGGGGCTACATGATGCTAGCCTTGCAGGTCATAGATACCGAGGCTTATGGGGCTGCATGATGCTAGCCCTGCAGGTCATAGATACTGAGGCTTATAGGGCTACATGATGCTAGCTTTGCAGGTCATAGATACTGAGGCTTATGGGGCTACATGATGCTAGCCTTGCAGGTCATAGATACAGAGGCTTATGGGGCTACATGATGCTAGCCTTTCAGGTCATAGATACTGAGGCTTATGGGGCTACATGATGCTAGCCCTGCAGGTCATAGACACTGAGGCTTATAGGGCTACATTATGCTAGCCTTGCAGGTCACAGATACCGAGGTTCATAGGGGCTACATGATGCTAGCCTTGCAGGTCATAAGACACTGAGGCTTATGGGGCTACATGATGCTAGCCCTGCAGGTCATAGATACTGAGGCTTATAGGGCTACATGATGCTAGCTTTGCAGGTCATCTAGATACTGAGGCTTATGGGGCTACATGATGCTAGCCTTGCAGGTCATAGATACTGAGGCTTATGGGGCTACATGATGCTAACCTTGCAGGTCATAGTTACAGAGGCTTATGGGGCTACATGATGCTAGCCCTGCAGGTCATAGATACTGAGGCTTATAGGGCTACATGATGCTAGCTTTGCAGGTCATCTAGATACTGAGGCTTATGGGGCTACATGATGCTAGCCTTGCAGGTCATAAGACACTGAGGCTTATATGGCTACATGATGCTAGCCTTTCAGGTCATAGATACTGAGGCTCATGGGGCTACATGATGCTAGCCTTTCAGGTCATAGATACTGAGGCTTATGGGGCTACATGATGCTAGCCTTGCAGGTCATAAGACACTGAGGCTTATATGGCTACATGATGCTAGCCTTTCAGGTCATAGATACTGAGGCTCATGGGGCTACATGATGCTAGCCTTTCAGGTCATAGATACTGAGGCTTATAGGGCTACATGATGCTAGCCTTGCAGGTCACAGATACCGAGGTTCAAAGGGGCTACATGATGCTAGCCTTGCAGGTCATAAGACACTGAGGCTTATGGGGCTACATGATGCTAGCCTTTCGGGTCATAGATACTGAGGCTCATGGGGCTACATGATGCTAGCCCTGCAGGTCATAGACACTGAGGCTTATAGGGCTACATTATGCTAGCCTTGCAGGTCACAGATACCGAGGTTCATAGGGGCTACATGATGCTAGCCTTGCAGGTCATAAGACACAGGCTTATGGGGCTACATGATGCTAGCCCTGCAGGTCATAGATACTGAGGCTTATAGGGCTACATGATGCTAGCTTTGCAGGTCATCTAGATACTGAGGCTTATGGGGCTACATGATGCTAGCCTTGCAGGTCATAGATACTGAGGCTTATGGGGCTACATGATGCTAACCTTGCAGGTCATAGATACAGAGGCTTATGGGGCTACATGATGCTAGCCCTGCAGGTCATAGATACTGAGGCTTATAGGGCTACATGATGCTAGCTTTGCAGGTCATCTAGATACTGAGGCTTATGGGGCTACATGATGCTAGCCTTTCAGGTCATAAGACACTGAGGCTTATATGGCTACATGATGCTAGCCTTGCAGGTCATAAGACACTAAGGCTTATGGGGCTACATGATGCTAGCCTAGCAGGTAATAGATACTGAGGCTTATGGGGCTACATGATGCTAGCCTTGCAGGTCATAGACACTGAGGCTTATGGGGCTACATGATGCTAGCCTTGCAGGTCATAGACACTGAGGCTTATAGGGCTACATGATGCTAGCCTTGCAGGTCATAGATACCGAGGCTTATGGGGCTACTTGATGCCAGCCTGCAGGTCATAGATACCGAGGCTTATGGGGCTACATGATGCTAGCCCTGCAGGTCATAGATACCGAGGCTTATGGGGCTACATGATGCTAGCCTTGCAGGTCATAGATACTGAGGCTTATGGGGCTACATGATGCTAGCCTTGCAGGTCATAGATACTGAGGCTTTTGGGGCTACATGATGCTAGCCTTGCAGGTCATAGATACTGAGGCTTATGGGGCTACATGATGCTAGCCCTGCAGGTCATAGATACTAAGGCTTATGGAGCTACATGATGCTAGCCTTGCAGGTCATAAGACACTGAGGCTTATGGGGCTACATGATGCTAGCCTTGCAGGTCATAAGACACTAAGGCTTATGGGGCTACATGATGCTAGCCCTGCAGGTCATAGATACTAAGGCTTATGGGGCTTCATGATGCTAGCCCTGCAGGTCATAGATAACTAAGGCTTATGGAGCTACATGATGCTAGCCTTGCAGGTCATGACACTGAGGCTTATGGGGCTACATGATGCTAGCCTTGCAGGTCATAAGACACTAAGGCTTATGGGGCTACATGATGCTAGCCCTGCAGGAGGGAGGTCCGGTGTAGAACAAGCTGTAAATGGAAAAGATGGGGTTTGTGTGAGATGGCTGTGGAGTCTCTGTTGCACATGTGTGAGCAATGATGTTGTTATACCATTCAGCGCACCCATTAAATGTCATTTAGTGAGCTTGTGCACTGTGTAGTTGTTGCATTGATAATGGCTGAATGAGTAAATGCTGCAAAGAATTGGCATATGATTTTGCATTAAGCTTAACTTTGATCCTACAGACTGCCTTTGTGCCACACTTTTATTTGAGATGCACTTATTTTATCATCCTGAAAAGCCTTCTGATTCATCCCAATAGTTGGACTCATTCAGCATTGAGAGGAATGTTGGAGCTTAATGCCAAATTTGATGCAAATCTTTGCTCTGCCTGTTTAGCCATTTTGAATCTGACAACTGCGTAATGCACATGCTCACTAAATGATGTTAAAAGGCCACACTGAATGGTCGAGTGACATCACCATTGCTGACCCATATGCAGGATAGACCACTCTTATTGGCTGCCAGGTTACAGCGATGTCGCACAAACTGTTCTTTCATTTAACTATGACTTGTTCTTGTCTGGACAGCCCTTATATTTTTAAAACCAATACAAAATAACATTGTGTTTCTGTGCGCTGACAAACACACTGTTTCACCCCCAGGTCTATGTGACACTAAGCACTGGTTTCCGACACCATCGACTACGTCTGCACTTTGATTCCAGCATCAGCCAGAATGCTTCGGACACCGTGGTTGTTCTGGATGATGTTCTCTCCATTAAACTGATGCGATGGTGGCACCCTGGCTACCCCTTCACTGGCTGACTTTGTCAACATTCCTATATCATTTTTGTACACGTGGGGACAGTGATGGCAATAACACAGGGACAGTGTACACTTGGGGACAGTGAGGGCAATAACACGGGCACAGTGTACACTTGGGGAAAGTGAGGGCAATAACACAGGCACAATGTACACTTGGGGACAGTGATGGCAATAACACAGGCACAGTGTACACGTGGGGACAGTAAGGGCAATAACACGGGCACAGTGTACACTTGGGGACAGTAAGGGCAATAACACAGTCACAGTGTACACTTGGGGACAGTGAGGGCAATAACACAGGGACAGTGTACACTTGGGGACAGTGAGGGCAATAACACAGGCACAGTGTACACTTGGGGACAGTGAGGGCAATAACACAGGGACAGTGTACACTTGGGGACAGTGAGGGCAATAACACAGGCACAGTGTACACTTGGGGAGAGTGAGGGCAATAACACAGCCACAGTGTACACTTGGGGAGAGTAAGGGCAATAACACAGGCACAGTGTACATTTGGGGACAGTAAGGGCAATAACACGGGCACAGTGTACACGTGGGGACAGTAAGGGCAAATAACACAGGCACAGTGTACACGTGGGGACAGTAAGGGCAAATAACACAGGGACAGTGTACACTTGGAAAGAGTAAGGGCAATAACACGGGCACAGTGTACACTTGTGGACAGTGAGGGCAATAACACAGGGACAGTGTACACTTGGGGAAAGTGAGGGCAATAACACAGGGACAGTGTACACTTGGGGAAAGTGAGGGCAATAACACAGGGACAGTGTACACTTGGGGAAAGTGAGGGCAATAACACAGGGACAGTGTACACTTGGGGAAAGTGAGGGCAATAACACAGGGACAGTGTACACTTGGGGAAAGTGAGGGCAATAACACAGGGACAGTGTACACTTGGGGAAAGTGAGGGCAATAACACGGGCACAGTGTACACTTGGGGACAGTGAGGGCAATAACACGGGCACAGTGTACACTTGGGGACAGTGAGGGCAATAACACAGGCACAGTGTACACTTGGGGAAAGTGAGGGCAATAACACAGGCACAGTGTACACTTGGGGAAAGTGAGGGCAATAACACAGGCACAGTGTACACTTGGGGACAGTGAGGGCAATAACACGGGCACAGTGTACACTTGGGGACAGCTGGAGACCATACCAGGACAGTATATAACATATGAACAATGTATAAACTGTAGATATCATAAGGACATGTCTTTAGTCTACATTGAGATAATGCAGAAACAGCATAGACTTGGCGATGGCTGTAGACAATGTAGTGACCACTGACCTAGGAAGAGATCAAGACATGGTACACAGCTCTAGCTAGTGCAGCATTTGTTGCAACTGTCATACAATAAACCACATTACCGAATAGAATAGATTCTCATCAACCACATTACTCAGAATGTATTCATATAGGCCACAAAAACAAATCGTCAAACAAACTGCAAAAATGATGGGGAAGTGCTTCACCAGAACTAACCTTAGCCAAAAGCACACAGAGAGGACAGTGAAAGTTCTATGGGGAATATTTATTCTACATCTGTGATCATTTTTTGAAATAAACAGATTGTTTTTGGACCTCTCTCCTTGTGAGTTATACATTTGATAGACAAAGTGCTCATAATGATGTAAGGTATTGTGCTCTCAAATGTTGCTGACATGAGGTAAAGTGCTCTGAGATGCTGCTGATGTGAGGGAAAATTTCAGTTATACAATTCAAAAGCCAGTAGTGATTAGTGTCACGTTTATTTGATATACCCACAACACAATTCAAAAGCAAGTATATCTAATTTGTGTCATGTTTATTTGATATACCCACAACATATTTTAATATTTCCTCTTTCCCTGGGGAAAAAGGGGGGGGGGGGGGGGGGGGGGCACATAAATGTTGTTTCTATGATTGCTTGCAAGAAGTGTAGTGTATCTGATAAATGACTGCCTCAGACACTTACATGTGCAGATATCACTTACAATGTTAGAGCTGGTGCCTCATATCCTGGCTTCAGGTTGCCTTGAATATGGGGAAAAGCTTTAGAAGCCAACCCAGAGACAGGAGTTCCTGGGGTAATCTGTGGCTGATCCTAACTCTATTCTGGCAGTTCCTGCAATGGCATTGGCAGAAAACTCTGGTGTGAGAAAAATGACAGTCAACCGTGCACATAAATGTTGTTTCTATGATTGCTTGCAAGAAGTGTAGTGTATCTGATAAATGACTGCCTCAGACACTTACATGTGCAGATATCACTTACAATGTTAGAGCTGGTGCCTCATATCCTGGCTTCAGGTTGCCTTGAATATGGGGAAAAGCTTTAGAAGCCAACCCAGAGACAGGAGTTCCTGGGGTAATCTGTGGCTGATCCTAACTCTATTCTGGCAGTTCCTGCAATGGCATTGGCAGAAAACTCTGGTGTGAGAAAAATGACAGTCAACCGTGCCAAAAAGGATGCACAGAGGCAGTCAACTGTGTTATGTGAGAAATGATGCACCAGGCAGTCACTAGAGTCTTTACTTGTCACAGACTCCATGAAGCCACATGTCTGACACAGAAACTGTTGACTGCAACATCCTGACCTGCACATAGTATCTGACTCTGGAACTTTCACACACAGTACAGAAACTGTTGACTGCAACATCCTGACCTGCACATAGTAACTGACTCTGGAACTTTCACACACAGTCCCTGGTCCAATGTCTCCCAGCGGGTGCACAGACAATAGATAAGGAAGGTGAGAGGCTACACTCTTTCATCTCTACCTTCTGCACGATGCTGCTGATAAAACAAGCCAGAACAGACTTGCTGTGTCTGTTGTCAGGGATGTCTGCTGGGGGACTGATCACAACTCTAAAGCCCTGATGATGGCTTCTCTGTCCTTGAGAACTTTAGCGATAGTTTCCTTCTCTTTCTTAGTCGGTGACTTTTTCTTCTGCCTGGCGATCTGGATTTTTCTGTAAGCCTCCATGACCTGCCAGACAAACAAACAACTTATTAGAATTTAGACTTCTCTGGAAGTCCCCATGACCTGAAGAAAGAGAATGTGATAGAACTCAAAACATAAAGAAGAGAATGTACTAGAACATACCAAGTCTCTGTAATGGAGACTGGCTGCAATGGATTTCTAATATAGTTTATCTCTGGCACAATCCCAACTCTGCAAACTGTTGTTTACTGATCTCTACCTCCCAACCTGTACCGTTGAAAACCTCATGCTTCGACTTTTATCTCCAGGATGTTTTTATAAAAGCACCAAATTTCTTAGCCTACCTGAAACATACAATCTCCCAACTCTAACCACACAATCCCTCCACTGTAAGCACACAATCTCTCTGCTGTAAGCAGGCAATCCCTCCACTGTAAGCACACAATCTGCCAACATACCTCTGAATCAGCAGCCAGCAGTTTGGTCTTGAGCTCCTGCCTGGCCATATCCTCCTGCCCTTGCCTGTAGAGAGACTTGAGAATGTTGACATTCTGCTGGCTAATGGCCCTCAGCTCTTGTTGCTTCTTTCTCAGTTCTGCTAACACCTCATCATTGGGATCATCTTCTTCCTCTTCTTCTTTCTCCAGTATGCCTGAAGTATCACAATTAACAATCAAGTCAGCTACAATGAAGGAAAGTAATGTTACAGAACAAAATGGAGCTTGTTTCTACAACTTCAAGCATGAGGATGGAAGTGGAGGCAATCAGTGCAGCTCTGAGTTGGATAGCAGAAAACAATGTTAACAGAGGAATTATTGTGTCTGATTCTCAGTCAGCACTGCGGAGGGTTCAAAATTGACTAATGAGGCATCAGTGGATACCAAGCATCAGTACGTCAACATTGCAGGGAATCACATGGATGTACACTCTTAGTTTATGCAGGAGTGTGAAAGAGCAGATTTTCTGGCAACAAAAAAGAAAGCTACAGGAACACTTGTACTGGAGAAGAGAGATATTCTGAAGACCATATATGAACAACTGTTGACAGAAGACACGAGATTAGATAAAATAACATGTGCAAGAAGAATGTGTGAATGAGGAATTCAGTGTGGATCCAGCAAGGAGGGATGTATGAGAGGAAAAGAACGATGTATGTATAATTAGTGTGCTTTGGGAACAGTAAGCATTTACACCTTAGGACATTTGTTGCGGGAGACGGAGCGCCTATGTGCCCAGTGTGCTATGATGTGGATTCTTAAATCAGTAATCAATCAAGTCACACCGTCCAATATGTCTCTTGCACACACACCCCCACCCCCTTTTTTTTACACCTCCATTTCCCCCAACATATGAGATTAGTTTTGTGACTTCAGAAAAAGATCTACTCTGTGATCTCTGAGCGAGAGAATGTGTGGTATGATGTAAGAGCTACAACCCTATACGCTGGCTGCATACACACAGCTGTGTTGTGGGAAACCACCTTCTATATTTAAGCACCAGCACACACGCCACTGACCTATTTAAAGTGTTGTTGGAAACCACCTTCTATATTTAAGCAACAACACACACACTACTTCACCTATCTGTTGTGGGAAACCACCTTCTATATTTAAGCACCAGCACACACGCCAATGACCTATTTAAAGTGTTGTTGGAAACCACACTCTATATTTAAGCAACAAAACTCTCCCTTGGCCTATTTGATGTGCTGTTGGAAACCACCTTCTATATTTAAACAACAACACACATACTACTTGACCTATCTGTTGTGGGGGAACCACACTCCATATTTAAGCAACAACACATGCCCTACTTGTCAAGCCTGACAGTTTTACCTTGCTCCTCCAGCTCCTTACGGATCCTCCTCTCTAGCGTTGCTGGGTTACCAATGTTGAGCTGTTTTGCCAGCATCCGGGGAGACATAGCAGGAGCTTCGTCGGCACATTCTGTAAATGAAACCACCACAATCACTGAACACTGCATCATAACAATCACTGGACATATATTAGAACAATCATTGAACAACAATCAATGGACATAGAACAATTATTGAACAACAATCAATGGACATATATTTGAACAACAGTCAATGGACATATTAGAACAATCGTTGAGCAACAATCACTGGAAATATATTAAAACAATCTTTGAAGAACAATCACTATACATAGAACAATCGTTGAAAAACAATCACTGGACATATATTAGAACAATCATGGACAGCTGAGACACCATCACATCTAAGAGCTGGGGATTTTGCCTGGCTGAGCTGCAAGGGGAAACTCTAGGGTTGAGCAGGGATGTGATACTATATATAAAAACATGTCAACACTTACTGTGAGGTTTAACAAGGATGTGATACTATCTATAAATGAACTAAGCGCACAACAGCACTTACTGTAAGTTTTAACAAGGATGTGATACTATCTATAAATGAACTAAACGCATAACAGCACTTACTGTGAGGTTTAACAAGGATGTGATACTATCTATAAATGAACTAAGCGCACATCAGCACTTACTGAGAGGTTTAACAAGGATGTGATACTATCTATAAATGATCTAAGCGCACAACAGCACTTACTGTGAGGTTTGACAAGGATGTGATAACTATCTATAAATGAACTAAGTGCATAACAGCTCTTACTGTGAGGTTTAACGGATTTGATAACTATCTATAAGTGAACTAAACGCATAAAGGTAAAAGGTAAAGTCAGGAGATGTGAACCAGCGTCATTGCACACAGTTATAAAGAAACTGTGTCGCCGCCTGCACGAAACTCGGTAGCTACAGCGACGTTCCTTTATTTACACCAGAGTGTTAATTCTGGTACCCATTTCTTAGAGGCTGTGAAAACTCAGGGAACTGGCCACTTGCTGTAGTCGCAGCTGGATTTGAAAGCAAGTCTCCTATTTACTGCGCTAACACAGCCCCTTTACTAAACACATGTCAGCATTTACTGTGAGGTTTAACAAGGATATGATACTATCTATTAATGAACATAACACATGTCACACTTACTGTGAGGTTTAACAAGGATATGATACTATCTATAAATGAAGTAAACACATGTCACACTTACTGTGAGGTTTAACAAGGGTATGATACCATCTGTAAATGAAGTAAACACATGCCCCACTTACTGTGAGGTTTAACAAGGGTATGACACCATCTATAAATAAACTAAACACATGTCACACTTACTGTGAGGTTTAACAAGGGTATGATACCATCTATAAATGAAGTAAACACATGTCCCACTTACTGTGAGGTTTAACAAGGTTATGACACCATTTATAAATGAACTAAACACATGTCACACTTACTGTGAGGTTTAACAAGGGTATGATACCATCTATAAATGAACTAAACACATGTCCCACTTACTGTGAGGTTTACCAAGGATATGATACTATCTATAAATGAAGTAAACACATGTCCCACTTACTGTGAGGTTTACCAAGGATCTGACACCATCTATAAATGAAGTAAACACATGTCCCACTTACTGTGAGGTTTAACAAGGATATGATACTATCTATAAATAAAGTAAACACATGTCCCACTTACTGTGAGGTTTAACAAGGATTTGATACCATCTATAAATGAACTAAACACATGTCACACTCACTGTGAGGTTTAACAAGGGTATGACACCATCTATAAATGAACTAAACACATGTCCCACTTACTGTGAGGTTTAACAAGGATATGATACTATCTATAAATGAAGTACACACATGTCAGCACTTACTGTGAGGTTTACAAGGATGTGTTAGGATGCAAGCCTACCTGCTGTATCGGCCATGGAGTCATCTATTGGAGTCATGAGGTTGTCCTCTATTAAAGCTGACACCAGTCTCTGAGTCAGAGGTCCAAATGGAGAGTCATCCATGCTAAAATCAACCAATCACATAGCAAGGTAGCGGTGAAGAATGACAGAAGCAGATATCTCCACAAACAATATCACCTGCCTGCTATATCCGAATGTACTTGATAGATGTGAGGCCCCTCTGCTGGACACCCTTATGGAGCGCACACACAATGTTAATGCCCTTAGAGTGGGGCTATTCAAGCTGGCAGCCCACGGGCTAGATATGGGCCACCGAGGCCTAGCAAACGGCCCATGGATTATTGCCAGCTGTGCTGTATCCATTATCTCCCAATCCTTAAGAAAGAGGATAGGGGCTTTTGAGCTGAAAAGCTATAGAAAGATTCTCAGAATATCTTGGACAAAGAAGAGAAATACTGACATCTTGAAAGATCTGAAGATCAAGGAAGATTGGCTAATAAACAGCATCCTGTCTCAGAAGCTGAAATATTAGCATCAAGCAAAATGACGGATTGGAAAAAATAACAGCAGAAGGCATGGTACCAGGAGAGAGGGGCAGATCAACACAAAGATGGGCACAGGATATAATTGACTCCTTGAGTATGAAAGTACATGAAGCGGGAGAGCTGGCGAGAGACTGAGTTTCTTTCAGGCAGACTGTGATGAGAGTCACGTTCTGCAAAGGACCTGCTACATGATGATGATGACTGTATCCATGATCTTTCTATGCCAGCACTGTGACCCATGCTGATTCTCATTCTCAAAACTGTGGCCCCTGAGCAAACATAGTTCAACAGCTCTGCCGAGAGATATAGGATGACGGGAGGACTCTGGGAACAATGTCGCTACTAGAAATGTGAGTAAAGATCAGCACACCAGACATACTAGAAGTCTTGTCTACCACGGGACTGGCAGTATTAACTATGGGGCCCTGATGTACAGGCCATGGGGAAAGCTGTGTGGAATCCCATGAAGATAATCTAATTCATCAAAACATCTCACTGGTGTTATATTTCAACATGTAACTCAAGACACCTCACTGGTGTTATATTCTAACATATAACTCTCAAAACCTCGCTGGTGTTATATTCTAACATATAACTCACAAAACCTCGTTGGTGTTATATTCTAACATAAAACCTCACTGGTGTTATATTCTAACATATAACTCACAAAACCTCGCTGGTGTTATATTCTAGCATAAAACCTCACTGGTGTTATATTCTAACATATAACTCACAAAACCTCGCTGGTGTTATATTCTAGCATAAAACCTCGCTGGTGTTATATTCTAACATATAACTCACAAAACCTTGTTGGTGTTATATTCTAACATATAACTCACAAAACCTCGTTGGTGTTATATTCTAACATAAAACCTCGCTGGTGTTATATTCTAACATATAACTCACAAAACCTCGCTGGTGTTATATTCTAGCATAAAACCTCACTGGTGTTATTTTCTAACATACTTCTCTACACATGTGAAGTCCCACTACCAGACACCTCAGTGGTCTATGGATTTGGAGAAAAGCTCTGCAACACTGTCCCTGTGGCGCTGAGCCAGAAAAATCTCTGGCGGAAAAGTATAAGCATAAAAATCTCAACAGATTTCTGGTAGATTATGCAGGTGTGCACACATGTACTTCTGAGCCTGTTCTCATTCTGTTGGACACTGCCAGTAAATGTCTGGTCTGTGTGATACAGGATCTCAAGTTTGTCTCAACAGGTTCCAATCTATGTCCCCAGCAGCTCATTCTACAATCTATGTTCCCAACAGCTCAGGCTACAAACAGCAAAGACGGCTAGACAGGAGCTAAGGCTAGAAGATAGGAAGCTGACAGTCAAGAGAAAAGGGGTGTTGTTAGACAGCTGCAGCAGGACAGCGCCAGGGATGGAAATGTTGTAATCAAAGCTGTATTAGACAACTAAAGACATCAAATGCAGCAAGATGAAGCAAATATGAACTACAAAGTAAATCACAAACTCACAAGTAATCCGTTTTACATAACTCTGCCTTTTTGAGGAGCACGCCAGTTTGTGCATATGTTGTAACATTCATTTCGTTGTTCGATGGCGATTTCTTCTTTTTCCTGTCACTCAACTTTGTACCTGCAGGTCAATTTGCATCGGTCAGTATGCATATCTAAAAGTCTACTTTGTAAACTATTTGATCAACGAAAACATTGATACACACAGAAGTTTTCATGATGGGTCAACTACTAAACGAATCAAAGGCTAAATTGGCACATGTATCTGATTGGTTGAGCACCGGAATAAGCCAAACCTGTAAGTGAACAGGTGTTTGCTGATTAAACTGTCTCCCTGTATAAATTTAGTGGCCTGTGTGTGTGTGTGTGGGGGGGAGGGGGGGGAGTAGATCCACTGTCTCCATAACAAGCATGTCCTACGAGTTGACTAACTGGGGGTTTCCTTTGAATTAGATCAGTCCAAGGGGCACGGGACCAGCAGTCTGCATACAAATATACGATATTGGTAAAACAGATGTGCACATAAAACTCAAGTTCTGGACCCCCCCAAAAAAAGTCCAGAAGTGGACGAACAACTATAACTTTCTGCCTAGAGCACCCAAGGAGATGTGTTTACTTTCTAAGGATCAACATCTCTGAGAGGTGAAGTTCCACTGACTGTCTTGTACATCTCGCTTGTTTTCTCTATTTGGAGAAGGGAAGAACAGCTCTGCAACCTACTCTTCCAAAAGATGGCACTTCAGTATTAGACCCGGCGGAGAAATTTACACCAACCCGACTCTGATCGATGCAAGATGTTGTCACCACTGAAACAACCTGTGTGACATAATTCAGGATTGAGACAACCTGTATCAGATGGAGTTCAGGGCTGAGACAACCTGTATGTGACATAATTCTGGATTGAGACAACCTTTATCAGATGGAGTTCAGGGCTGAGACAACCTGTATCAGATGGAGTTCAGGGCTGACACAACCTGTATCAGAAAGAGTTCAGGGGAGATATCCTGTATCAGAAAGAATTCAGGAGAGAGACAGCCTGTATTAGATAGAGTTCAGAGGAGAGGCAGCATGTATTAGAGTTTAGAGGAGAAAGAGCCTGTTTCACAGTTCAGAGGAGAGAGAGCCAGTATCAGATGGAAGTTCAGGGCTGAGAGCCTGTATCAGAGTTTAGGGGAGAGACGGCCTATTTCAGACAGAGTTCAGGGGAGAGAGAATGTTTTATGGCAAGAGAAAAACGTTTCTAGATAAAACAAGTATACACAGCACGGGAACATAGTCAGTATTTCATGTGACTATAGAGGGAATGTTTCATGGCAAGAGAAAAACATGTTTCTAGATAAAACAAGTATACACAGCACGGGAACATAGTCAGTATTTCATGGGACTATAGAGGGAATGTTTCATGGCAAGAGAAACATGTTACTAGATAAAACAAGAATACACAGAACGGGAACACAGTCAGTATTTCATGTGACTATAGAGGGAATGTTTCATGGCAAGAAAAAACTATGTTTCTAGATAAACAAAAATGCTCAATTATTCATTGAAGCAAGCATGTCCTACAGTAAGTTTGTGTCTTCCTTCAATCCTTACCATCATTCTGTTCTTCCATGAGATCTTCTTCAGCCCATCTCTGAGTATAATGGACACCCAGGGCAGGAATCTTCAGGTACTCAGTCTCCTCGTCGTAGGACTTCAGCATCTCCTCAATAACCCGCAGGTCGTCAGAGGTTATTGGGGCACAGTACGGCTCCACTGACACCCAAAAACGGTTGACAGCATCGTTCTTGGGCAGTTTGGGCGTGTCTGTGACATTTGAATCTCCATTTGTTGCATCTTCAGACTGCACTTTGGACTGCTAATTGAAAATAATTTTTTTTTAATCATATCAGAAATCTGGTGAACAGAGCAGACAACTCGCAATGTGTGTTTTCTATCTGACTGTATACTATATATATTCAACAAGGATAATGCACAATTGTATACCTAATGATTTCAACAGGTGGACATCAATAGATCATGGGTGTAAACATGCAGGGAGAGAGAGGTAGAAAGAAGAGAGAGCAAGCGTAGGGAGTGAACAAAAATGAAACAGATCTGGAAAAAAAAAGGACAGGGTAAGTGTGTGGAAATGTATATGTGGGGAAAACACACAAGAGACACAAAGGCTCTGTGTGTGTGTGTGTGTGAGTGTAATCATGCATGCGTGTGTGTTTTACCAACTGACAAGTGGGCAGACATGTAATGTGCTGGTCTGTACACAAGTGATAAGTGGGCAGACATGTAATGTGCTGGTCTGTACCCAACTGACAAGTGGGCAGACATGTAATGTGCTGGTCTGTACACAACTGACAAGTGGGCAGACATGTAATGTGCTGGTCTGTACCCAACTGACAAGTGGGCAGACATGTAATGTGCTGGTCTGTACACAACTGACAAGTGGGCAGACAAGTAATGTGCTGGTCTGTACACAAGTGATAAGTGGGCAGACAAGTAATGTGCTGGTCTGTACACAACTGACAAGTGGGCAGACAAGTAATGTGCTGGTCTGTACACAACTGATAAGTGGGCAGACAAGTAATGTGCTGGTCTGTACACAACTGACAAGTGGGCAGACAAGTAATGTGCTGGTCTGTACCCAACTGACAAGTGGGCAGACAAGTAATGTGCTGGTCTGTACACAAGTGATAAGTGGGCAGACAAGTAATGTGCTGGTCTGTACACAACTGACAAGTGGGCAGACATGTAATGTGCTGGTCTGTACACAAGTGATAAGTGGGCAGACAAGTAATGTGCTGGTCTGTACACAAGTGATAAGTGGGCAGACAAGTAATGTGCTGGTCTGTACACAACTGACAAGTGGGCAGACATGTAATGTGCTGGTCTGTACACAACTGACAAGTGGGCAGACAAGTAATGTGCTGGTCTGTACACAAGTGATAAGTGGGCAGACATGTAATGTGCTGGTCTGTACACAAGTGATAAGTGGGCAGACATGTAATGTGCTGGTCTGTACCCAACTGACAAGTGGGCAGACAAGTAATGTGCTGGTCTGTACACAACTGACAAGTGGGCAGACATGTAATGTGCTGGTCTGTACACAAGTGATAAGTTAAGTCATGTAATGTGGGGGACGACACCCAACAAACACAATGACATATCAAACAACAAACACAGACAAGGACACAGCAGACAACAAACAATGACAAGGACACATCAGACAACAAACAACCTGAGAGTTTTTGCCTTTGTTCCTAGGCCCAGAGACTGGGGTGGAGGGATGCACGCCTCGACCACTGAGATCTCTGAACTTTTTGCTGGACTGCTTCTCTTTCTCTCTCTCATCTGTGGGTGTACCCTTTCGTTTGGTCGGGGTAGTTGACTGGCTCTCAGACTGAGGACATCAATTAATGTATCAATGATCATCAACTAGGAGCTCATTGTGTGGTCATTAATATCAAGACGTGAAGCAAGAGCAGTAATTCAGCATTTCCACAAGACAAGGGAGACACTATAGGCAGTGGTCAGATCTCACCTGTCAGCAGACAAGGGAGACACTATAGGCTGGTGGTCAGATCTCACCTGTCAGCAGACAAGGGAGACACTATAGGCAGTGGTCAGATCTCACCCGTCAGCAGACAAGGGAGACACTATAGGCTGGTGGTCAGAACTCACCTGTCAGCAGACAAGGGAGACACTATAGGCAGTGGTCAGATCTCACCTGTCAGCAGACAAGGGAGACACTATAGGCTGGTGGTCAGATCTCACCTGTCAGCAGACAAGGGAGCCACTATAGGCAGTGGTCAGATCTCACCTGTCAGCAGACAAGGGAGACACTATAGGCCGGTGGTCAGATCTCACCTGTCAGCAGACAAGGGAGAAACTATAGGCAGTGGTCAGATCTCACCTGTCAGCAGACAAGGGAGACACTATAGGCTGGTGGTCAGATCTCACCTGTCAGCAGACAAGGGAGCCACTATAGGCAGTGGTCAGATCTCACCTGTCAGCAGACAAGGGAGACACTATAGGCAGTGGTCAGATCTCACCTGTCAGCAGACAAGGGAGACACTATAAGCTGGTGGTCAGATCTCACATGTCAGCAGACAAGTACCAGAAAATATTAAAGGTGAGCAGACTGATGTTGACATCATCAATCCAACAGCATGATGTTGACATAACCTATACTAGGGCCGGATACTGACATCAGCTATCAAGTGGCATGATGTTGACATCACCCATCCAGTGCAGGATGTCATCACTTATCCAGTGGCACGATGCTGACATCACTTATGCAGTGGCATGATGTTGAAATCACCTATCTAGTAGCATGATGTTGACACTACCTATCCAGTGCAGAATGTTGATTTTACCTATACTAGGGCAGGATACTGTTCTATCCTATCCTATTACATGCAGCTCTCTTTTATCTTTTTAAATTCACTACCCAATCTCCATGTGTTTTTTGGTCTTTCTTTATTTGTATACCCCTCTGGGTTCCAGTGCAAAGACACTAGTTATACTGTTCTCAGGTTTTCTCAACGTGTGTCTTATCCAATGCCATCATCTTTTCTTCACCTCTTAGTCCACTGGAATTTGTTTAGTTCTTTTCCAAAGCTCTACATTAGAGCTTTTAATTTCTTTTTTTTTTTAGTTCCACAAATTTCCTTGTGCTATGAAAGCTCCTTTAACCTTCTGTATATGTATTTTTATATCTCTATCAGTTCCCCCATCTGTATCTACATTACTGCCCAAATATGCATATGATTCCACATCTTGGAGTTCGATATCATAAGAGAAACCACATTACTATGTGCCTGATTTATTCTTATTATCTTTGTCTTTCCTTTGTGGATTTTCAGACCAAGCTGTTGTGATCTCATATCAAATATATTTAATTTATTTTGCAATTCACTGTGTGAGTGGGACAGAAGATAAAAATCATCAACAAAGTCCGGACTATCAACCTGTTTTGTGGGCGTCCAATGAATCCCATTCCTGATGTTAGCAGTTGTTGTCTTCACAATCCAGCACCATCACTAGTGTCAGGAAAAAAAAAAGGTCCTATGAATTACTAGACATAACTTCAACACATGTGAAAACCAGAGGGTATGGGTGGACAGAAGGACACAAACAAGAACAATCCAACCACAAACCCCTTTAGTGGCCGACTTTTTGCTGTCCTTCTTGTCAGGCCAGCCAGCAAGTATGGAGTTCTCAGAGCCCAGCTGTTTCAGCCTTTTCCCTACAGACACCAGCAGCACTTCTAGGTCAGCCTGAATCTGGTCTAGTTCCTCTACACTGACAAAGCCCGCATCATCTCGTGCCAGTACTAACCAAAAGACAAACAGAAATCATCAGATTTCTAGTAACATTTCTAGAAAAATGGATTCAAACACAAACGACCAAATAACATCTCTCACTCCAAGAAAGCCAATTTTTCTGGCTTTTATGGTTTCGGTTGATATGTCTTTGGACAGTGCCCAGTACGCCTGTATAACAGCTTTGGAACTACTGGAAGCAACTGCATAATGTGTAGAGGACACCGTGGATACGGTTATATTATGACATAAAAAAAAATATTATTGGGATTTTTTTTTTATTCTGAATTCAAACGACTCACATAATTTTTATTGCTGGGTCACATTGTTCTCTGTGGCAAAATGACAACAACAAAAATTCAGATGATCAAAGGGAAGGAAACCAGTTAATTCGTTGCTCTGTCGGTTTTTAGTGATTTTTTCCTTATGTACGAATTAACCTTTTCTCAGATTAGACAGATGGTGACTTAGAAAACATTTCCTTTTAATTTTCTGTTGTTTTTCTGTTGATGATTTGACATCAAAGCAGCTGAAAAATTCAGGATTACCTGTATTCTTGCTGGTCTACTGGTTTGGCCTCCTGGACGTTAATAAAAACTGACCTACACTCCCAAATGGATTTAATTCTTTGTCTCTTCTAGTTTCTTACGGTAGCTTCAGAGAACTGTAAGGATGCTTTTTTGGAAAATTTGGGGGAAAGGGGAATTTTTAAAGATAATTACGCAACAAAAGGGGAGAGCAAATGATTGCAATTACAGTGAAAATATCCTACCTAGGCACATGCATCCAGTGTCCATGATAGTCCACTTTATCCATTTACACCAAGTGACTTGTTTAGAGTCAGTATATCAGTATAATCTCTTTTTATGCCAAGTTAAACATCTAGAGTCAGTAAAGTCTGCATTTACACCAAGTTACATGGTCAGAATCAGTCAAGTTGCCATTTACACCAAGTTAAAATGTCTACAGTCAGTCAAGCCAAACACCATTTACACAAAGTGACATGTCTAGAGTCAGTCACGTCTCTACTTACACGAAATGACATGTCTAGAGTCAGTCAAGTCACTCCCCATTTACACGAAATGACATGTCTAGAGTCAGTCAAGTCACTCCCCATTTACATGAAATGACATGTCTAGAGTCAGTCAAGTCACTCCCCATTTACACGAAATGACATGTCTAGAGTCAGTCAAGTCTCCACTTACAGGAAATGACATGTCTAGATTCAGTCAAGTCTCTATTTGCACCAAGTGACTTGTCTAGGGTCAGTCAAGTCTCCATTTACACCAAGTGACTTGTCTAGGGTCAGTCAAGTCTCCATTTACACCAAATGACAGGTCTAGAGTCAGTATTTTAGGGCTGACACTAAATTATGTGTTGGAATATTTTGGGAGATGGGTCCCACTATGTTGTGAGCAAATTTGTTCCTTTCTTGACTTTGTGGATTTGTTCATTATGTTTTAATAAGTAGTTTTACTATAATAGTATAATTCAACACATTTTCCACTGATGTCTGTGGGCCTCACGCTAGGGTGAGGAACCTGTGTAAACAGAAGAAAGTTGGGCTATCCTCTGAATACCGGCCCACAAAAATACCCTGATAGGGCCTCAATCACATGTAAATTGCAGATTTCTTTCCGGTGAATATACCGCGGCAAAAGTAGGATAAATTTCAGATGATGATATGTCGTGAAACGCAACAAATCACCAAGTTAAACTCGCTGCCAAGAGTTTCACCCAAGCTGCTATGCATGGAGAAGCGCTAAACTAGATGGCTAGGACTCACGAGCAGCAGCTACCGCATCGTGCAGCTTCCCCATTTTATTTGCCCGCGAGTTCCAGCTTTCTAGTTTAGCCCTTCTCCGCGCCGTGCATAGCGGCGTGGGGGATACTCTTGGCGATGAAAACAGTGTTACCAATCCGGCACTAGCCGCGCTTTGTTCCGATCATATTTAGCCGAGTTTCAATGACGCCACAGGCACAAAGAGCAGATTTTCGGGTACTATTCACAACTTTTGTGCCACAAAGACCTCAATTATCTGTAAGTAGTCCATTTCATCATTTTCCTTTTTTTGTACCTTATTATTTTCAAGTTCAAGTTTTTGACTGTTAACAAAACACGACCTAATGAGGCCCTGTCAGGGTGTTTTTTTTTTTTTTGGCCGCTTTAATATGTGGCCGTTATTCAGAGGATAGCCAAAAGTTGGGCTCTCCTGTCAAATCCGGACGAAGAATAAACAGCCGTGGACGAGTTAGACAGAGTTCTCTCCCTTGGCCGCACTCCGAACAGTAATCGGAAAACAAACGAAATAAACGACACACTTACCTATCATCCTGCGGTTGCCTGTAGGGCTGCGTACGGTTTCGTGAGGCATTGTGAATGGTTGTGTAGTCATCATCATGCGGTTGTTGGGTTAGAGTTAGGGTTAGGGGTAGGGTTAGGGGTAGGGTTAGGGGTAGGGGTAGGGTTAGGGGTCGGGTTAGGGTTAGGGTTATGGGTCGGGTTAGGGTTAGGGTTAGATGTTAAAATTTTGACGTAGGGTTTGGAAATAGTGGCCGACAATCTGATGTTTGTGGGCGTGGCGCCACTGGAATTCTGCTAAATATGACGCCAATAGTGTGCATCTGGTGCCCAATCGTTGGCGAATGGTGCGTTTCACCAGCATCCAGAGGCCCTCAATTGTTTGTGTGTGTATGTGACGGGGACATAGGAACATTGGCCGCGTGCACGAGGAACACGGTTGCGTGTTTCTTATCAGACTATGCTCAGCTAGCCACCGCAACCACGCATACTTATCTGTCATTATGGCATACAGGTCTGCAGGAGTTATGTCCGTGGCAACTAAGTCGTGCGTCGGAATAACGATGTTAGTTATGTGAGTGCGTCTAACTGCCATGTTGCTTGTGTCGTTTGTTTCGTTGTGGCTTTTCCGATCACTGTTCGCAGTGCGCCCAAGGGAGAGAACTCTGACTAAGTCGTCCAAGGCTTTTTATTCTTCGTCCGGATTTGACAGTAGTACCAAAAGTTGACCCACTGAAAACAAACCCAGGTGGGTGATGCACTAGCCTTAGCCTGATGACACAATCTGCCTAAAATCAAAACACTGCTGTTGTATTTATATTTTGAGATAACTGGCAGACAACCTGAACAATCTCTCTCTCTCCTGTTTTAGTCTAGGGGTTAGTAGAAAGAAAGAACATACCTTGACAATATTTTGGACATTCGATCACATGGTCTACAGTGCACAGACTTGGAAACTGTAGTGGGCAGTCTTTGATATCCCCATCCTTCTCTTTCTCCTCTGGAGCCTTCCCTTTTCCTTTCATTGTCTGCGAATCACTCAACAGTCAACAGCCTGCAGTATTTTCTGTGTTGACGTTTCTTTTAGAATCCACTCCCACTGACCCCAAGCCAAAACAAGTCCAGGCTGAAGTGAAGAAAGTAAATGATAAAAATTCAAATTCGCAGTATCCTGAACTGTGTATATATAAAATAACATGTAACAGAATGCACATAAACTGCTAGCTCGAGGCTATAAAGACTACATTAAAGGTAAATAAACAGCCAGCACAAATCCACAGACTGAATGTGTTTCATAGAAACGCTTGCTAGATCCACGCCGGAAGTACCATACATGCTCAGTACGCATGCCTGGCTCCAGTCACGTCCGAAGGGGGCGGGGGTGTTGATGGCTGAAAGACTGGATCAGTTGTTGTAGCTTACGGGAAATGGATGGGGGAGTCTGAAATATGGACATCATTTGTTGTTCAAGACTGGATCGGTTGTAGCTGACGAGGAATGGATGGGTGAGCCTGAAACATAGACATCAGTTGTTGTTCAAGACTGGCACTGGCGAGGAATGAATGGGGGTGCTTGAAACATCGACATCATTTGTAGTTGATCAATACTGGCGGGTAACGCTGAATGTAAGGGGTTAATTCGATACAAGTGGGATCATACCAGGACCACAGCAACATTGTATACTGCATGGCTGTTACCTGTGATTAATTCGAGTTGTATCAAAACAAATATTTAGATAGACAAATCGATTCTTTTCCTCGATCCCGGACAAAGTTTGAGTCTGTATAGGAGAGATTAGTGCAGTGCGTTTTTCCCCCCCTGACCAGTACTCCAGGACCACGGCCAGCTCCAGTACCTAATCCACGGGGGGGGGGGGGGGGAAAGGGGGGGGGGGTGTGAAGGCGACTGGTGTGTGCAAAATTAGCACTGGATCAGAGAGAAATATATATCTTCTTCGCGCTCACCGGATGTAATCTTGGCGGAAGGTTCTGGTGTTTAGCCGCTACTGCACTTTTGATCTTGTAAAAACTGAGTTTTGTGTGCGCATTCGTTTAAGAGATCTGGCTTGTGTGTATGTAGACTGCTGGTTCCTCGCTTTTCATGTAGATGCACTTCGACTTGGAAATAAAAGATATCTAATTAGCCGACACACGACATGCTTGTTAGGGGGAAAATGGGTATGCCCCCCCCCCACAAATGGGGCCTTAGAACCCACACGGAATATTGTTTTTCATTACCAGCTGACTTCTCCGATGCCCGGAGAGATCAAACAGATTTGAAGAGAAACCCTAACAAGAAACATCAAACAAGTGGTCTTATGAATGATCATTGTTAACTTACGTACTTGTATAGGCTGTGGTTAATGCCAGCCTGATAAAGGATATGCATCGTACATGGGGAATAGAAGAGGGGATACAAAGAAAGGACATGGTAAATAGAGAATCCAAAGGGAGGTACATAGAACGGACATGGTAAATCCAAGAGGAATTACATATAATGTGCATGGTAAATCTAAAAGAATTACATAAAACTGGCATGGTAAATCCAAGAGGGAGTACATAGAACGAATATGGTATATAGAGAATCCAAGAGGAATTATTTAGAACGGGCATGGGGAATAGAAGAGGGGATACAAAGAAAGGACATGGTATATAGGGAATCCAAGAGGAATTATTTAGAACGGGCATGGTAAGTTGGGAATCCAAGAGGAGGTTCATAGAACTGGCATGATAAATGGGGAATTTTAAGAAGTAAACAGAACAGGCATAATAGATAATCATTATCACCATCAACTTCCACTATAACTGTCGTGGGAAAGATCTGATTGGAAGCATTGGCTCTTGTCTTTCGTTGTTGGTGCATAATGCCTTTAATGTCATCAATCCATCGTCTATCGAACAAAGGTTATCAGTTGCAGTTCTAACTTAATGGCAAACGGGTCAACCAGTAATCACTTTTCTTCTTGTGTCAGTAGAAACCATACAAAATACTGATCAGGGACCCAGGTGAAAAGACTGACAGCAGTCCTGTCAAAATCCAACAGCTCACACATGCATTAAATGCATGAGGCAGTCACATAACGTGCTCTCTACTTAGAAAAAGATGTTCTACAAATGACTATCCATATTATTGGTCTACAGCACGCATTGTAAGAAGCTGGGAAAAGATTCAACCTTTTTGATTTGCAGAATATCATCAACTCATGCAGTCTTCATTATTGTTAGTTTTGAGAATCTGTCAGCCTGTTCTCACACTGCTTTTTTTTAAACTGTTATTTTAACAGTCTTGTCACAATGTTTCCTGTGACATCTGTGTTACACTGATGGGACTGTTATTTTAGCAAAGTCTTGTCACAACGTTTCCTGTGACATCTTTGTTACACTGATGGGACTGTTATTTTAGCACAGTCATGACACAATGTTTTCTGTGACATCTGTGTTACACTGATCTGACTGTTATTTTAGCAAAGTCATGTCACAATGTTTTCTGTGACATCTGTGTTACACTGATCTGACTGTTATTTTAGCAAAGTCTTGTCACAATGTTTTCTGTGACATCTGTGTGACACTGATCTGACTGTTATTTTAGCAAAGTCTTGTCACAATGTTTTCTGTGACATCTGTGTGACACTGATCTGACTGTTATTTTAGCAAAGTCTTGTCACAATGTTTCCTGTGACATCTGTGTTACACTGATGGGTTGGGATACTATCAATTTGTAAGCTGCTCTCTGTACTAGAGACATGTCTTCTCTCACACAAGTATTCTAAATTCAGATGGGATATACTGGGATAAAACAGACAAGATAAGATGGGAGACATTGGGATAATATACAGACAAGATAAGTTAGGAGATGCTGGTAAAAAGCAGACAAGATAAGATGTGAGATGCTGTTAAGATGACACGAGAGATACTTGTAGCTGGCAGCAATATGAAGTTTAGTTATTATGGTAGATCAAAGAAATTATGAAACTCAGGTCATGATCCAAGAATATTTGTTTTATTTGAAGGACTTCAAATCATTTGTGTGACACTTAATAAAACATAACAAATCTTACCAAAAGCCATACAGACATCAAACTAACACAACAGAGAACCAAACCTCCCAGACAAACATTACAGACATCACAGGCACAACAAAATGTTAAAGACAGAAAGAAATATCATAGATTATCAAAGTGACAGAGAGATAAGCATCACAGAAGATAAAACATCTCTGAGATGTAAACATCAGAGTAATCAAAGAGGATCAACCATCATATAGAATTACACATAAAGAGAATCACATTCCACAGAAACCACATCTTGCATACATCATATCTATTATCAAAGAAAATCCAACTTCTTTTTCTTCTTCTTCAGCATTCTGAGCCCCTGAGCTTCATTACTGAAGTGATCACCCACTTCCATTAATTTCTCTGGTTAAACTTCTTGTTCCAGTTGGGGATACTAAGTGTTTGTAGTCTTGTCTAGATATTATCTCTCCATCGTTTTACAGACAATCCAACATCACAGAAAATCACACACCATCTACATTAGAGAACTCACATTTATCACATAACTCACACATCACAGTACTCAAAACATCACAGAGCTCAGAAAATATTCATCATAGAACTCAAATCATAAAAGAACTCAAAACATCATATTTATCACAGAACTCAAAACAACACATTCATCGCATCACTCAAAACATCATATTTTATTACAGAACTTAAAACAAAACATTCATCACAGACGTCAAAACACCACAATCATTACATCACTTAAAAAATCACATTGATCACACAGCCTAAAACATTCTCCCATTCATCATGGCACTAAAAATATTGCATACATCACAACAGTCAAAATATCAATTCATCGCAACACTCAAAATATCACATTCATCACAAAATTTAAAACCTCAGTTCACTCTACCGCACACAAACGATTGTACACACGCATACAAAACACACATGCACACTAAAAGCAATCATAACAGAGACAATAGAAACATAGACGGCACTACAGAGGATTAAACATCATAGAGTTTTTTTTTTAAAACATCACAGAAGATTAAACATGCTCAAATTGAGGATGAAATATGATGAACCAAACCTAACAGATGACCAAGTAAACAAATACAAACTGGCACTGTGTGAATTCATCAACTGGTATCACAAACTGACACACTCACTGATGGCATGGGCTGAGTTGTACTAGTGCTGGTGGTGGGGTGTGTGCGCACATGGTACAATATCAAAACCACAGTATCACAAAAACTATTGTTGTTGGTACCTTCCCATCATGCTAGACAAATGTTTTATATTGTGCTATGGCGAGGCATGGGACTCACAGCCCATGGTGATGGCGATTGTGACTAGCAAGACTTTCCAGATGACAATGTTATGCTCATTGTACCATGAGGAGGTGTTATATTGTGCCATGAGGAAATGTTATATTGTACCATGAAGAGGTGTTATATTGTGCCATGAAGAAATGTTATATTGTACCATGAAGAGGTGTTATATTGTGCCATGAAGAAATGTTATATTGTACCATGAGGAGGTGTTATATTGTGCCATGAGGAAATGTTATATACTACCATTAAAAAGTGTTATATTGTGCCATGAGGAGGTGTTATATTGTACCATGAGGAGGTGTTATATTGTGCCATGAGGAAATGTTATATTGTACCATGAGGAGGTGTTATATTGTGCCATGAGGAAGTGTTATATACTACCATTAAAAAGTGTTATATTGTGCCATGAGGAGGTGTTATATTGTACCATTAAAAGGTGTTATATTGTGCCATTAGAAGGTGTTATATTGTACCATGAGGAGGTGTTATATTGTACCATATGGAGGTGTTATATTGTACCATGAGGAGGTGTTATATTGTACCATGAGGAGGTGTTATATTGTACCATATGGAGGTGTTATATTGTACCATGAGGAGGTGTTATATTGTACCATGAGGAGGTGTTATATTGTACCATGAGGAGGTGTTATATTGTACCATGAGGAGGTGTTATATTGTACCATGAGGAGGTGTTATATTGTGCCATGAGGAGGTGTTATATTGTACCATGAGGAGGTGTTATATTGTACCATGAGTAGGTGTTATATTGTGCCATGAGGAGGTGTTATATTGTGCCATATGGAGATGTTATATTGTACCATGAGGAGGTGTTATATTGTACCAATGAGGAAGTGTTATATTGTGCCATGAGGAGGTGTTAAATTGTACCATGAGGAGGTGTTATATTGTACCATGAGGAGGTGTTATATTGTGCCATGAAGAAATGTTAGGAAACGTCTTCCACAATTAGAGAATGGGATATCAGGACCGTTGTTGCCATCACATACATTTAGTGAGGTTCCTTTTAGAGACTCAGCTCTCATCCTTTCTGGAATCACTTCTTGTCCTTCATTCCCATTCCCTTTCTGATTTTCCCCCCTCCACATAACACAGTCCATGGCATTCTGTTCTCATGAATCTACCTCAGTACCAGTCTCAAACATGTCCCGCTTGCAAACATCTTTATATCGTCATAGAGGCCAGCCTCAACATCTTCTCCCTTTTTGTAATTCACCAAATTGGTAAATATGCACACATTCACCAACTTCTACAAATACACTATAACAAAAACAGTATCACAAGTACAATATTACAAAAACAATATCACACAGTAGCCTACAGTACAACGACCCTACATAAGCGAAGCCACATTATGTATACAAAACTACAAATCTTCAATGGATGTAGATCACTCATCTATGAAATCATCTATGTAAAAAAATCTCTGAGGTTAACTGTCATATCTTGTGTCTGTTATGTCATCCAGTCATGTCCAACGCTGTCCTTGTATGAGCTCAGTGACAAAACACTGACAGCTTACCTGACAACTCTACCACACAACCACCCACACATAGGAGACGGGATGGTATACATGCAGACACACCTACACAACTTGCACACTCACACAAGCTGCACACACACACACACACCCACACTTACATAATCTGCACATACAGCCACATTTACACAACCTGCACACATACCCACACTCACACAACGTGCAAACACATACACACACACAACCTACATACACAACTACATTCACACAACCTGCACACACACTCACAACCTGCACACATACCCACACTCACACACACCCACACAACCTGCATACACAACTACACTCACACAACCTGCACACACACCCTCACAACCTGCTTACACACACAATGTACAGGTGAGCACTCTAGCATCCACACGTGGTACAGGTGAACACTTCAGCATCCACATGTGGTGCAGGTGAACACTTCAGCATCCACACGTGGTACGGGTGAGCACTCCAGCATCCATACATGGTAGGGGTGAACACTCTAGCATCCACACGTGGTACGGGTGAGCACTCCAACATCCACATGTGGTACAGGTGAGCACTCCAGCATCCACACGTGGTGTACAGATGAGCACTTCAGCATCCACACATGGTACGGGTGAGCACTCCAGCATCCACATGTGGTACGGGTGAGCACTCTAGCATCCACACGTGGTACGGGTGAGCATTTCAGCATCCACACGTGGTACGGGTGAGCACTCTAGCATCCACACGTGGTACGGGTGAGCACTCCAGCATCCACATGTGGTACGGGTGAGCACTCTAGCATCCACATGTGGTGCAGGTTAACACTCTAGCATCCACATGTGGTACAGGTGAGCACTCTAGCATCCACACGTGGTACGGGTGAGCACTCTAGCATCCACATGTGGTACGGGTGAGCACTCCAGCATCCACACGTGGTACAGGTGAGCAGTCACCGTCTTGCAGAAACACACACACACACCTAACTGAGGCTATCATGTAGTTGATGTCATCTCTTCCTGGCACTGAACAGCTTCCCAGAGACGGGACAGATATACTTGTTCTTAGCACAATGAACGTGGGTGACCACTCCGTTTGGGTAGCGGACAAAACTCGGGTTGTTGAAAGCCCGGTTGCACACAGCACACAGCCTGCAGATGACAGCAATAATTCACTGACAGATGTCTGCTAGCAGTGTTCCTGTGAGATATCTCAAGTATATCAACTATAATATCTACCTAAGGTCATTCTATGTCACATGTAGGGGGGAGATGTACAGGAATGGGGGTGGGGGGATGAATAGCAATGGATGTAGGGGGTGTACACAAAAGGATGTTAAGGGGGTGGGGGGGGGGGGGGGGAATGTACATGAAGGGATGTTTAGGAGGAATGTATAGGAATGAATGTACAGGTGGTATGTACAGAAAGGGATATACAGGTAGGATCTATAGATGGTATGTATAGAAAGGGATGTACAGGTGGGATGTATAGAAAGGGATGTACAGGTGGTATGTATAGAAAGGGATGTGCAGGTGGTATGTATAGAAAGGGATATACATGTGGTATGTTTAGAAAGGGATATACATGTGGTATGTACAAAAAGGGATGTATAGAAAGGGATGTATAGGTGGTATGTACAGAAAGGGATGTATAGGAGGAATGTACAGAAAGGGATGTACAGGGGGAATGTACTGAAAGGAATGTTCAGGTGGTATTTATAGAAAGCGATGTACAGGTGGGATGTACAGAAAGCGATGTACAGGTGGGATGTACAGAAAGGGATATACAGGGGAATGTACAGGAGGGATGTACTGAAAGGGATGTTAAGGTGGTATGTATAGAAAGGGATGTACAGAAAGGGATGTACACGGGGAATGTATAGAAAGGGATGTAAAGGTAGTATGTATAGAAAGGTATGTACAGGGAGAATGTACAGGGGGGATGTACTGAAAGGGATGTACATGAAGGGATGTACAGGTGGTATGTATAGAAAGGGATGTACAGGTGGGATGTATAGGAGGAATGTACAGGGGGGAATGTACAGGAAGGGATGTACTGAAAGGGATGTATAGGAAGGGATGTACAGTGGGGATGTACTGAAAGGGATGTACAGGAGGAAATGTACAGGAAGGGATGTACTGAAAGGGATGTACAGGAAGGGATGTACAGGGGGGATGTACAGGAAGGAATGTACATGAGGGATGTACAGTGGGGATGTACAGGAGGGAATGTACAGGAGGGATGTACTGAAAGGGATGTACAGGAGCGATGAACAGGAAGGGATGTACTGAAAGGGATGTACAGGAGGGAATGTGTACAGGAAGGGATGTACTAGGCTGTAAATTGATGAGGCTTCTTTATAAACCATGTGACATTTATGTCAAAAGTCTGTAGCCACAGGGAAACAAATAATGTCACAAACAAACCTTCAATGGTTCTATTACCTATGTAAGACTTGTTCTTCACCTACCTTATCATCATTGAAGCATAAACTCTAATTAACCTGTTACAGTAGAGAAACCATGTCAGTTTTAGAGAAAACTTGTTAGAGCAGGGTCAGAAAAAACTAAGTTTTTTGTTACAAAAAGTCTGTAAGGGTTACAGAAAGTCTGTTAGGGTTACAGAAAGTCTGTTAGGGTTACAGAAAGTCTGTTAGAGTCAGGGTTACAGAAAGTCAGTTAGAGTGAGGGTTACAGAAAGTATGTTAAGAGTCAGGTTACCAGAAAGTCAGTTAGAGTGAGGGTTACAGAAAGTCTGTTAGAGTCAGGTTACCAGAAAGTCAGTTAGAGTCGGGGTTACAGAAAGTCATTTACAGTCACGGTTACAGAAAGTCTGTTAGAGTCAAGGTTACAGAAAGTCTGTTAGAGTCAGGGTTACAGAAAGTCTGTTAGAGTCAGGGTTACAGAAAGTCAGTTAGAGTGAGGGTTACAGAAAGTATGTTAAGAGTCAGGTTACCAGAAAGTCAGTTAGAGTCGGGGTTACAGAAAGTCAGTTACAGTCAGGGTTACAGAAAGTCTGTTAGAGTCAAGGTTACAGAATGTCTGTGGTCAAGGTTACCTCTCATCACTGATGATAATGGCATCTCGCTGTATTTCAATGAATGCTTGCTTGACCAGAAGATTTTCTCCCCTGGCCATCATACGCTGGATACGGGTCATACGACAGTTGTGCATGCTGGTACGGACAGCTCGAGCAAGAAACTGTGACAGCAGTCCCACAGACCAACTATCTGGCAACAACTGTAAAACCTGTCAGAACAACATCAACATAAAGGGATATTTCACAAGTTACATAAAACAGGACACATATAGAGTGACACCTTGTAAATTGTCAAATCTGATTAATGTATTCCACACAGTGATATCTGGCTATTTGAGTGTAGTTGTCTCAGTCTCCATCTCATACACAACTTTACCATGCCTACCTTGAAGTAAATCATGCTTATCTTGACTTCATCAAATTAAACCATGCCTACCTTGACTGTAACCAAAGTAAACCATGCCTACCTTGACTGTAACCAAAGTAAACCATGCCTACCTTGACTGTATCAAAGTAAACCATGCCTACCTTGACTGTATCAAAGTAAACCATGCCTACCTTGACTGTATCAAAGTAAACCATGCCTACCTTGACTGTATCAAAGTAAACCATGCCTACCTTGACTGTATGAAAGTAAACCATGCCAACCTTGACTGTACTAAAGTAAACCATGCCTACCTTGACTTTATCAAAGTAAACCATGCCTACATTGACTGTATCAAAGTAAACCATGCCTACCTTGACTGTATCAAAATAAACCATGCCTACCTTGACTGTACCAAAGAAAACCATGCCTTCCTTGACTGTACCAAAGTAAACTATGCTTACTTGACTTAACAAAATAAACTATGCCTACCTTGACTGTATCAAAATAAACCAAGCCTACCTTGACTATACCAAAGTAAACCATGCTTACTTTGACTGTACCAAAGTAAACCATGCCTTCCTTGACTGTATCAAAAAAAAACCATGCCTACCTTGACTGTACCAAAGTAAACCATGTCTACCTTGACTGTACCAAAGTAAACTATGCCTTCCTTGACTGTATCAAAATAAACCATGCCTACGCTGACTGTACCAAAGTAAACCATGCCTACCCTGACTATCAAAGTAAACCATGCCTACCCTGACTGTACCAAAGTAAACCATGCTTACCCTGATTGTACCAAAGTAAACCATGCCTACCCTGACTGTACCAAAGTAAACCATGCCTACCCTGACTGTATCAAAGTAAACCATGCCTTCCTTGGCTGTACCAAAGTAAACCATGCCTACCTTGACTGTACCAAAGTAAACCATGCCTACCTTGACTGTACCAAAGTAAACCATGCCTACCGTGACTGTACCAAAGTAAAACATGCCTACGCTGACTGTACCAAAGTAAACCATGCCTACCTTGACTGTATCAAACTCAGCCACAGAACTGTTCAATAAAGCCATTGCAGGGGCCACCAATGTGTCCCTTCTCCTGGAGACAAAAGTGTTGTAGATAATTTCAAATATTGGAGACAACAAGTATTGTAAATAATTTCAAATTTTGGAGACAAAAGTGTTGTAGATAATTTCAAATATTGGAGACAAAAGTGTTGTAGATAATTTCAAATATTGGAGACAAGTGTTGTAGATAATTTCAAATATTGGAGACAACAAGTGTTGTAGATAATTTCAGTTACTGGAAATAAAAACAAGTGTTGTAGATAATATCAGTTACTGGAGATAACAAAAAGTGAGATAACAACAAGTGTCGGAGATAATTAGTTCTGAGACATTTGTTGAGAGATAGTACACATTTTGGATACTGTAACAAGGGTTGGAGTTAAAAACAACTGAAGGTAATAGGGACAGGAGAAAACAGGTTCTGGAGAAAGCAGTGCAGGAGAAAACAGGTTCTGGAGAAAGCAGTGCAGGAGAAAACAGGTTCTAAAGAAAGCAGTGCAGGAGAAAACAGGTTCTAAAGAAAGCAGTGCAGGAGAAAACAAGTGCTGCAGAAAACAGTGCAGGAGAAATATGAGATATAGCCCATGTATTACAGGGCGACTGTAAGATACAGCCCATATATTACAGGCTGACTGTGACATACAGCCCATGTATTACAGGCTGAATGTGAGATACATCTTATGTATTACAGGCTGACTGTGAGATACAGCCCATGTATTACAGACTGACTGTGAGATATATCTATATACTACAGCTGACTGTGAGATATATCTATATATTACTGGCTGACTATGAGATATATCTATATATTAAAGCTGACTGTAAGATTTATCTATATATTACAGGCTGACTATGAAATATATCTATATATTACAAGCTGACTGTGAGATACAGCCCATGTATTACAGGCTGACTGTGAAATATATCTATATATTACAAGCTGACCGTGAGATACAGCCCATGTATTACAGGCTGACTATGAGATACAGAACATGTATTACAGGCTGACTGTGAGATACAGAACATGTATTACAGGCTGACTGTGAGATACAGAACATGTATTACAGGCTGACTGTGAGATATATCCATTCATTACAGGCTGAGACAGAATGCAAGTGTTAAGGGCTGACTGTGAAATATAGCACAAGTGTTACGGGCTGACTGTGAGATATAGCACACATATTACAGGGTGACTGTGAGATATAACACATGTATTATAGGGTGACTGTGAGATATAACACATGTATTACAGGGTGACTGTGAGCTATAACACATGTATTACAGGGTGACTGTGAGATATAACACATGTATTACAGGGTGACTGTGAGCTATAACACATGTATTACAGGGTGACTGTGAGATATAACACATGTATTACAGGGTAACTGTGAGATATAACACATGTATTACAGGGTGACTGTGAGATATAACACATGTATTACAGGGTGACTGTGAGATATAACACATGTATTACAGGGTGACTGTGAGCTATAACACATGTATTACAGGCTGACTTTAAGATATATCCATATATTACAAACTGACTGTGAGATATAGCACATGTAGTACAGGCTGACTATGAGATATAACACATGTATTACAGACTGACTGTGAGATATATCCATGTATTACAAACTGACGGTGAGATATAGCACATATAGTACAGACTGACTGTGAGATATATCCATGTATTACAAACTGGCGGTGAGATATAGCACATATAGTACTGACTGACTGTAAGATATATCCATGTATTACAAACTGGCGGGGAGATATAGCACATATAGTACAGACTGACTGTGAGATATAGCACATGTAGTACAGGCTGACTGTGAGATATAACACATGTATTACAGGCTGACTGTGAGATATATCCATGTATTACAAACTGACGGTGAGATATAGCACATATAGTACAGACTGACTGTGAGATATATCCATGTATTACAAACTGGCGGTGAGATATAGCACATATAGTACTGACTGACTGTAAGATATATCCATGTATTACAAACTGGCGGGGAGATATAGCACATGTAGTACAGGCTGACTGTGAGATATAACACATGTATTACAGGCTGACTGTGAGATATAGTACGTTAGGGGCAGACTGTGAGATATAACACATGCAATACAGGCTGACTGAGATATAGCACATGTATAACAGCCTGACTGTGAGACATAGCCCATGTATTACAGGCTGACTGTGAGATATAACACAAGTATTACAGGCTGACTGTGAGATATATCCATATATTACAGGGTGACTGTGATATATAGCACAAGTGTTACAGGCTGACTGTGAGATATAATACAAGTATTACAGGTTAACTGGCTGTGAAATATTAATTACATGAACAATGACATGAGCAATGATAACAAACAGTGATGACAGTCTACACTCACTCGTATGTGGGGTCTAGATAAACACTAAGCAGCATGTGAAACAAGCGCTTGCAATAGCCGGGCTCCTTGTTCTGAGAGTTGACTACACAATAATTCTCTGCTGCTCCATAATCCTTCAACTTGTGCACTAGGATCCGCAGAGCTTTCTCATGTTCCTCCAACTGATAATCAAATCACAATTTACAAATATTTAGGTGAAGTCAGCATGTGATATGTAGGAACAGTGTGTGAGGGAGACATTTATGTGAGGCCAGTGTGTGAGGGAGACACTTATGTGAGGCCAGTGTGTGAAAAAAATGTTTTTCTGAGGTCAGTGTGTGAAGGAGATGTTCATGTGAGGTCAGTGTGTGAAAGAGATGTTTATCTAAGGTCAGTGTGTGAAAGAGATGTTTATCTGAGGTCAGTGTGTGAAGGAGATGTTTGTTCATGTGAGGTCAGTGTGTGTGAGGGAAATATATCACACATGATGGACATTAAACGAATCGTGACTGACTAGTATCCCAAACACCAGATGCACACACACACACGCACAAAATCCTGACTGACTGAATGATAGCAGCCATGGGTGTGAAACAAACTTTGACTGGCTATCCCACACAATGTATGTTACAAACTCAACTGACTGATATCACACATGACAGATGTTATAAACTCAAATGACTGATATCACACATGAAAGATGTTACAAACTCAACTGACTGACATCACACATGAAAGATGTTACAATCTCAACTGACTGATATCATACATGAAAGATGTTACAAACTCAGCTGACTGATGTTACACATGAAAGATGTTACAAACTCAACTGACTGATGTTACACATGAAAGATGTTACAAACTCAACTGACTGATGTTACACATAAAAGATGTTACAAAATCAACTGACTGATGTTACACCTGAAAGATGTTACAAACTCAACTGACTGATATCACAAACGAAAGATGTTACAAACTCAGCTGACTTATGTTACACATGAAAGATGTTACAAACTCAACTGACTGATATCACAAATGAAAGATGTTACAAACTCAGCTGACCGATGTTACACATGAAAGATGTTACAAACTCAGCTGACTGATATCATACATGAAAGATGTTACAAACTCAACTGACTGATATCATACATGAAAGATGTTACAAACTCAGCTGACTGATGTTACACATGAAAGATCTTACAAACTCAACTGACTGATATCACACAAGAAAGATGTTAAAACTCAACTGAATGATATCACACATGACTGGTGTTAAACTGACTCATATATGACTTTTATTAAACTGACTTATATATGACTTATGTTACACATGAAAGATGTTACAAACTCAGCTGACTGATGTTACACATGAAAGATGTTACAAACTCAACTGACTGATGTTACAAACTCAGCTGACTGATGTTACACATGAAAGATGTTACAAACTCAGCTGACTGATGTTACACATGAAAGATGTTACAAACTCAACTGACTGATATCACAAATGAAAGATGTTACAAACTCAACTGACCGATGTTACACATGAAAGATGTTACAAACTCAGCTGACTGATATCATACCTGAAAGATGTTACAAACTCAACTGACTGATATCATACATGAAAGATGTTACAAACTCAACTGACTGACATCACACATGAAAGATGTTACAAACTCAGCTGACTTATGTTACACATGAAAGATGTTACTCAGCTGACTGATATCACAAATGAAAGATGTTACAAACTCAGCTGACTTATGTTACACATGAAAGATGTTACAAACTCAACTGACTGATGTTACACATGAAAGATATTACAAACTCAACTGACTGATATCATACATGAAAGATGTTACAAACTCAACTGACTGATATCATACATGAAAGATGTTACAAACTCAGCTGACTGATGTTACACATGAAAGATGTTACAAACTCAACTGACTGATGTTACACATGAAAGATATTACAAACTCAACTGACTGATATCATACATGAAAGATGTTACAAATGCAGCTGACTGATGTTACACATGAAAGATGTTACAAACTCAATTGACTGATATCACAAACGAAAGATGTTACAAACTCAGCTGACCGATGTTACACATGAAAGATGTTACAAACTCAGCTGACTGATATCATACATGAAAGATGTTACAAACTCAACTAACTGATATCATACATGAAAGATGTTACAAACTCAGCTGACTGATGTTACACATGAAAAGATGTTACAAACTCAACTGACTGATATCACACATGAAAGATGTTAAAACTCAACTGAATGATATCACACATGACTGGTGTTAAACTGACTCATATATGACTGGTGTTAAACTGACTTATATATGACTGGTGTTAAAATGTCTCATATATGACTGGTGTTAAACTGACTCATAAATGACTGGTGTTAAACTGACTTATATATGACTGGTGTTAAAATGACTCATATATGAATGGTGTTAAACTGACTCATATATGACTGGTGTTAAACTGACTTATATATGAGTAGTGTTAAACAGACGGACATCAGACAGGATTGGTGGTAAACTGACATCAGACAGGCCTGGATTTTAAACTGACTGACATCACTCAGGACTGGTGATAAACAAACCATGACTGATTGAAATACCTTGCCATAGAGTATAGCACATTCAGCATGTAAGTCTTTCTCTTTGGCTTTGCCCAGGATCAGCTGCACACGGTACAAGTTGGACATCTGTAACATGTGGCGCAGTTTGGATCTATAGAATAAACACACACAGTACAAGTTAGACATCTGTAACATGTGGCGCAGCTTGGATCTATAGATTACATGAACACAGTACAAGCTAGACATCCGTAACATGTAGCGCAGCTTGGATCTATAGAATAAATGCACAAGACCAATGTTTATGAAACATAAAATAATTTTTAGACCCATGAAATGATTCACAGACCAGGGAAATGATTCAAAGACCAGAGAAATTATTTATAAACCTTGGAAATTATGGGGTTAAATATTACAAACCTAGGAAATTATTTATATTCATGGAAAGTTGTTTATAGATCTGGGAAATAGTTTATAGACCTCCTGAAGGATTTATAGATCTAGGAAATAATTTATATACTGTTGAAAATAATTTACTGCAGACCTCAGAAATGGTTTATAGACCTAGGAAATAATTTAAAGACTCAAGACATGTATGGGGGACCTAGAAGTTGATTCTTAAACCTCAAAATAATTTACCTGGAAAATGATTCAAAGACCTGGGACATTTACAACTATGTGATTTGTTTCAGTACCAAATAAAATTATTAAAAGACATGTAAAATAGTTTAAAAGAACAAACAATGATTTACAGAAAAGTGAATTGGGAAGGGAGAGGCAGAGAGAACATTTTTTGGACAATCTGGCATCATGAAAATGAAAAACATTTGTAATAAAAATGTCTTCATCGTTGCGTTCACATATCTTAACCCTACTAAATTCCAGTGGATAGTTCTGGTTGTTCATCCGCTTCTGGACTCTGGTCTGTTGTGCGGTGATTTCGGTCACAGGCATGAGGGAAAGTTAAGGCGGCTGTGATGTGTACAAGGAGATACTCTGTAGCTCACATCAGGTGCCAGCTGGCTCTGTGCTGGTTTCACAGATCCTCATGTAAGACTCCTGCCACACGTCCAAGTCAGCTGCCATGGATGGTAACCTATATGGGCATAAACCGAGCCGGCAGTAGATCTCGGAATTGGTGGCCCCTAGATATTCAGTGCATTGGAAATCCTCTGGCTCTCGTCAGTCCACCCTCTTGTGATGCATGGGTGATAACATCTATAAAACAATACACTCATTTGGAATTTGAGAAAAGCCCGCTGGCCGAATATCCTATTGTAAGACAAACCTCAGTTCAAACATCTGATAAAGCCATACTGATTAGACTGAAATGTTCCGCCAGTTATATGTTGGGGTGTCGAAATCAGCTGAGTAGCCGCCTCACTGCAAACTTCTGAGATGACCCTAAACCAAGAGATTTGTTTGCAACTTAGCAACATCTCCTGTGGGTGGCATCGCATGGTTCTGTCTTACAACCTAACAGCAAAGTTTTAGATGTCCAACCATCAAATGTCTTTCTGTGTGAGGCAAGATTCAGAACTCCCACCATCAAATATCCCATTGTGTGACAGATAAGCTCAAAATGTACGCTACCATTAGCTCCACTCGTTGTTGTGTTGAGGAACAGTGCCTGATGCATGCTTCTCCGATACTGTCATGCTAGGTGTCCCAATGCAATAATGTTAAAGGTGTCTAACATGGGGGGAAACAAGAACAGACTCAATGTATTCCCAGCAAGCATGTCGTAACAGTCGCCTAACTGGGAGCTTCTTTCAAAGATGGAGTGCATCTGCAATGGTTACATGGTCAGCTATGTGACTGTGCTTCATCGTTTGTGGTTGTTCCACCTTGTTCCATACTGACTAGAGTTTAGTATTCATCCAGTGGGCTTGGATTAGGGTTAGAGCTAGGGTTAGGGTTAGGGTTATGGCTAGGATCAGGGCTAGGGCTAGTGTTAGGGTTAGGGCTAGGGTTAGGGTTAGGGCTATGATCAGGGCTAATGTTAGAGCTAGGGTTAGGGCTATGGTCAGGGCTAGGATCAGGGCTAGGGTTAGAGCTAGGATCAGGGCTAAGGTTAGAGCTAGGGTTCGGGCTAGGATTAGAGCTAGGGTTATCGCTAGGGTTAGAGTTAGGGATAGGGTTAGGGGTAGAGTTAGGGTTAGGGCTAGGTCTAGAGCTAGGGTTAGGGCTAGGATCAGGGCTAGGGTTAGAGCTAGGGTTAGGGCTAGAGTTAGAGCAAGGGTTAGGGTTAGGATTAGGATTATGGCTTGGGTTAGCGCTGGGGTTCGGGCTAGTATTAGAGCTAAAGTTAGCGTTAGAGCTAGAGCTAGGGCTAGGATTAAGGTTATGGCTAGGGTTACGGCTAGTGTTAGGGCTTGGGTTAGGGCTAGGATTTACACAAGTTGTTAAGCGCTTACCTGGCAATGTCAAGCTCCTCCTGTCTGCTGCTGCCTTCCATGAGTTTCAGAACTGCCTCCATGTACAGGACAGCCAGATGTGTGTGGTACTTCTCTTTCTGTGAAAACAAGGCAAATGTTACAGGATGGCAAGATATGTGTATATATGTGTGTGTGTGTGTGTGTGTGTGTGGTACTTCTCTTTTTGAACACACAAGGCAAATGTTACAGTACAGCTCTGTGTGTGCGTGTGCGTGCAACTCTGTGTGTGTGCAGGGGGGGGGGGGGGGGGGGGGTAACTAGTCCGAAAGAGAGTAACAAGCCTGACCAGAGAGAGTTACTAGCCTGACCAGAGAGAGTTAATAGACTGACCAGAGAAAGTTACTAGCCTTACCAGAGAGAGTAACTAACCTGACCAGAAAGAGTTACTATCCTGACCAAAGAGAGTAACTAGTCTGATCGGAGAGAGTAACTAACCTGATCAGAAAGAGTAACTAGCCTGACCAGAGAGAGTAACTAGCCTGACCAGAGAGAGTAACTAGCCTGACCAGAGAGAGTAACTAGGCTGACCAGAGAGAGTAACTAACCTGACCAGAGAGAGTAACTAGCCTGATCAGAGAGAGTAATTAGCCTGACCAGAGAGAGTAACTAGCTGACCAGAGAGAGTAACTAGCCTGACCAGAGAGAGTAACTAGCCTGACCAGAGAGAGTAACTAGCCTGACCAGAGAGAGTAACTAACCTAACCAGAGAAAATAACTAGGGGGAATCATCAGTCTAAAGCTGATCTCACATGCAAGGTGGCTATAGCAGGGAGAATCATCATTATAAAGCTGATCTCACATGCAAGGTGGCTATAGCAGGGAGAATCATCATTATAAAGCTGATCTCACATGCAAGGTGGCCATAACAGGGGAAATCATCAGTCTAAAGCTGATCTCACATGTAAAGTGGCTATAGCGGAAAGGGGGGGGGTATCATCAGTCTAAAGCTGATCTCACATGTAAGGTGGCCATAACAGGGGGAATCATCAGTCTAAAGCTGATCTCACATGTAAGGTGGCTATAGCAGGGAGAATCATCATTATAAAGCTGATCTCACATGCAAGGTGGCCATAACAGGGGGAATCATCAGTCTAAAGCTGATCTCACGTGTAAGGTGGCTATAGCGGGGGGAGGGGGGGGGGGGTTATCATCAGTCTAAAGCTGATCTCACATGTAAGGTGGCTATAGCAGGGGGAATCATCAGCCTAAAGCTGATCTCACATGTAAGGTGGCCATAACAGGGGGAATCATCAGTCTAAAGCTGATCTCACATGTAAGGTGGCTATAGCAGGGGGGAAATCATCAGTCTAAAGCTGATCTCACATGTAAGGTGGCTATAGCAGGGGGAATCATCAGTCTAAAGCTGACTTCACATGTAAGGTGGCCATAACAGGGGGAATCATCAGTCTAAAGCTGATCTCTCATGTAAGGTGGCTATAGCAGGGGGGAATCATCAGTCTAAAGCTGATCTCACATGTAAGGTGGCTTTAGCAGGAGGGAATCATCAGTCTAAAGCTGATCTCACATGTAAGGTGGCTATAGCGGGGGGGGGGGGGGGGGGGGGGGGAGGTAGTGTGGGATTCATCAGTCTAAAGCTGATCTCACATGTAAGGTGGCTATAGCAGGGGGGAATCATCAGTCTAAAGCTGATCTCACATGTAAGGTGGCTATAGCAGGGGAAGGGGGGGGGGGGGGTAGTGTGGGATTCTTGAGTCTAGAGCTGATCTCACATGTAAGGTGGCTATAGCAGGGAGGAATCATCAGTCTAAAGCTGATCTCACATGTAAGGTGGCTATAGCAGGGGAAGGGGGGGGGGGGTAGTGTGGGATTCTTGAGTCTAGAGCTGATCTCACATGTAAGGTGGCTATAGCAGGGAGGAATCATCAGTCTAAAGCTGATCTCACATGTTAGGTGGCTATAGCAGGGAGGAATCATCAGTCTAAAGCTGATCTCACATGTAAGGTGGCTATAGCAGGGGAAGGGGGGGGGGGGGGTAGTGTGGGATTCTTGAGTCTAGAGCTGATCTCACATGTAAGGTGGCTATAGCAGGGAGGAATCATCAGTCTAAAGCTGATCTCACATGTTAGGTGGCTATAGCAGGGAGGAATCATCAGTCTAAAGCTGATCTCACATGTAAGGTGGCTATAGCAGGGGGGAATCCTCCATGAGAACACAACGACAACATGAAACAGTCACAGCAGTTCTGTAGCTAAGTCGCAGTGACCCACCTCAAGTCGTCTCTGGAAGACCAGGTATTCTAAATACGTAATCACAGCCCGCGGAAACCTGTGCAGGTAATCTACAACAGTCTCTGGCCGCAGTCGCTCAGACACGGCTTCATTGGCTGGCCTGTCAGTAAAAATCTGAAACGATCGAAATAAATATGAATAATCCAATGTGGTAATAAATATACAACATGAAGAGATCATCCAGTACATCGAATTTCCTTCAAATACAGAGTGCATCAGAGTGCGGAGAGGTACGGAACCAACAGTCTGCAGACAAATAAACCAGACCTGAAAAGCAGACGTGCACTCAATACTCAAGTCTTGGAACAAGATCAAAATTCAGAAGTAGACAAACAACCAGGACTTTCCGCCAGAATTTACAGCTGGTGAAGAAGAACGGTTAAATCTAAATATGATGACATTTGCCCCCCCAAAAAAACGGAGTATCTACGAGTTTGTCTTTAGTGCTCAGAAGCCAAATCTCAATCCTGGACAGTGAACAAAAATTTGCTTAAAAAGTTCTACTAAACTATAGACAGTCTGACCTCTCTGATGTTGTCTGTCAAATTATGTTGGACCTCTTTGCCCGATGATGTCTGTCACATTATGTCTGACCTCTCTGATGTTGTCTGTCATTATATCTGACCTCTCTGTTTGATATTGTCTGTCAACTATGTCTGACCTCTCTGAGGTTGTCTGTCACATTATGTCTGACCTCTCTGCCTGATGTTGTCTGTCACATTATGTCTGACCTCTCTGTCGGTTGTTGTCTGTCACATTATGTTGGACCTCTTTTCCTGATGTTGTCTTTCACATTATGTCTGACCTATCTGTCTGATATTGTCTGTCACATTGTGTCCAACCTCTCTGTCTGATATTGTCTGTCACACTATGTCTGACCTCTCTGCCTGATGTTGTCTGTCACATTATGTTTGACCTTTATGATGTTGTCTGTCACATTGTGTCTGACCTCTCTGCCTGATATTGTCTGTCACATTGTGTTTGACCTCTCTGCCTGATGTTGTCTGTCACATTATGTTTGACCTTTCTGATGTTGTCTGTCACATTATGTCTGACCTCTCTGTATGATATTGTCTGTCACATTATGTCTGACATCTCTGCCTGATGCTGTCTGTCACATTATGTTTGACCTTTCTGATGTTGTCTGTCACATTGTGTCTGACCTCTCTGCCTGATATTGTCTGTCACATTGTGTCTGACCTCTCTGCCTGATGTTGTCTGTCACATTATGTTTGACCTTTCTGATGTTGTCTGTCACATTATGTCTGACCTCTCTGTATGATATTGTCTGTCACATTATGTCTGACCTCTCTGCCTGATATTGTCTGTCACATTATGTCTGACCTCTCTGCCTGATGCTGTCTGTCACATTCTGTCCAACCTCTCTGACGTTGTCTGCCACTCTTCCTGTCTCATATCCAGGTTGTAGCTTGAGATCTTGTCACATTATGGCATGCTGGGATAGACTGGCAACAGGTTTCCATGGAGTTAATTTCCCCATGCCAGCTTGGCTCTCACAGTGGTTACCACTGCTTGTAGCTAACTTGGAACCATAAATTAACAACTAGTGAACACAGGCAGATATGACAACATGATACTAAAAACTGGCCTCACTACTTCTCTCTGACTGGCCCCTAGAAGACAATTATCTTTTACCCTAAACTTTTCTATAATAATTTTTTTCTACAATCAACTTCTCTACAATAATCTCTCCTACAGTCAAGTTTTCTTCAATCAACTTTAACAGATTTGCATACCCAAAAAATTTCATCATCAAAAGAAGAAGAAAGGGAAGACAGGAAGAAGATAAGGAAGCATCAGAATTTGAGGTCGGGAGACTTGTTTGCAATCTGAAGAGAGACTCACCCGAACACCAAGCTCCTCATCCTTCTCCAACACCCAGTCGACATACTTCCATAAGAGCTCATGGTCTGGGAGGCTGGTAGCAAAAGTCAAACAAACATTCAGCCAAAAAACATCACTAAAGGTGCATCAATCATAAACAGTCAGCAACTAGGTTTAGAATTTGTTCAGTGGTCAGACAATATGACCAAAGGGGCATTAGTCTTACACGGTCAGCGACCAGGTTTAGAATTAATTCAGTGGTCAGAAAATGTAAATTTAGTTGCAGTTCTCCAAGAAACACATACAAGTGTAAACTGATTAGAAGCAGGCTATCTTTCTTAAAGATGAGGAGAAACAAACTCCGAGAGTTGAAGACAATCAGCAAACTGTAGACACAATGAAAACTCTGAATATGAACAGGACCCTTATAAAACCTGTTAATAGTATAACAAAAGAAATAAAACAAAATAGGAGACATGAAAACACTGCAGAAAGAACTTAGAGATAGGTGATGACCACAAGACAGAAAAATGGCTTGGGATCAATAGGCAAGTGGCCTCGTTCCATTGGGGCCACAAGCAGCAAGAAGGAGATGACAGATGTTCATGTCAACAGAGAGACCAACAATCACTGTCTGCTGATCATCACACTATTTCATACAGATGTATTTTGCATGATTAATGAGGTCACCCTCTGAAGGATAAGTGCATAAGCTTATATGTAGATGTAAATCCATGAGCAACTGGTTACTGTGCCTGTGTATGTGTTTATAAGTGGATGAATGTTTATATAAAAATTTAAACATGAATTTATATGAGCAAGTGTTTAATATCCTTCTCTTTCTCTCTCTCTCTCTCTCTCTCTCTGTGTGTGTGTATGTGCATATGCACATATGCATGTGTATGTGCACGCGCGTGTATGCATATGTGTGCATGCGTGCATGCATGCATTATGTCAACATAAAACAACATTAAGGAAAAAACCTGGCAAGAAACTCGACCACAAACTCCAAGCCAGGGAAGGAAGGATCACTCTGGTTACTGTCCACCAATCTGCAGAGTTAAATGCCCATATTTCAGTTACAGTAGAATTCTAACATTAACAACAACTAAAACAGGAACAAATTAGACTCAAACACAGACTAAAGTGGAAGGATAAGGTCAACACATGAGACCCAAGTAAGCAGGACCAGATAAACATTCAGCAATAAACCAGATTTGTTACATATAAAGGAATTATCAAACATCTAGGCCTATTGCTCTAACACTGCAGGTATACAATTCACCTGTTTCACACATAGAACACATACACAACACTACTGGTTCTCACATAAAATGTTCACAACACACATGGTTCTGAAGCAACAGGTATACAACACACCTGGTACTAACACAAAAGATACAAAACACACCTTTTCCTCACATAATAGGTACACAGCACCCTTAGTCCTCACATAATAGGTACAAAACACCCTTAGTCCTCACGTAATAGGTACACAACCTACATGGTCCTCAAACAATAGGCACACAACCCACATGGACCTCACACAACAGATACACAACACCCCTAGTGTACACATCAGGTACAAAAACACCTGGTCCTCACACAACAGATACACCACACACCCAGTCCTCACAACACACCTGGTCCTTACGCAACAGGTACACAACACACCTGGCCCTCACATAACAGATACATAACACGCCTGGTCCTCACAACACACCCAGTCCTCACACAACAGGTACACAACACTGGTCCTCACTCAACAGATACACCACACACCTCATCCTCACACAACAGATACACAACACACCTGGTCCTCACATAACAGATACATAACAGGCCTGGTCCTCACAACACACCCAGTCCTCACACAACAGGTACACAACACTGGTCCTCACTCAACAGATACACCACACACCTCATCCTCACACAACAGATACATAACACACCTGGTCCTCACACAACAGATACATAACACACCTGGTCCTCACACAACAGATATATAACACACCTGGTCCTCACAACACACCCAGTCCTCACACAACAGGTACACAACCCTTCTGGTCCTCACACAACAGATACACAACACTCCTGGTCCTGATACAACAGGTAAGCAACACCCATAGTCCTCACAACACACCAGGTCCTCCCACAACAGGTACACAACACACATGGTCCTCACACAACACCCCTAGTCCTCACACAACACCCCTAGTCCTCACAACACACCTGGTCCTCACACAACAGGTACACAACACCCCTAGTCCTCACAACACAACTGGTCCTCACACAACACCCCTAGTCCTCCCAACACACCTGGTACTCGCACAACACACCTGGACAACATAGTGCAGGTATACAACTTACCTAGTCCACACAGTAAGAGCTCTGTCATATTCTCCATGGTGTTGGTACAACAGGCCCAATGCATGCAGGCGCTGATACTTCTCCAGCCACTCAACACAATCATTCAAATCACAGCCTGTATCCACGGAAATGAGCTCCGACAATTTCTCTGGAGCCGATTCCGCGTAAAGTTTCAATAAGGCCACATCGATTTCCTGCAGGAAGAATTCATGTGTTTGATTATCCCGTGTGGGTTCTAGGGACCCACTGCAGGGGAAAACAAAAACAGACCCATTGCCTCCCTAACAAATACGTCATTAGAGTCAACTAATTAAGGACTTCCTTTGAAGTTGGAGTGCATCTGCCTGAGAGTCAACAAACATTCTTCATACAAATAAGCCAGATCTGTAAAATGGATGTACACATAAGACTCAAGCAATGGAATAAGATCAAAGTCCAGGGGTGGATGGACAACCAGAACTTTCTGCTGGAGTTTACAGCTGATCAGCACCAAGAAGAAGACTGCTTGATAGTTAAAGACAATACTCTCCTGTCAAGGCAGCTTTTCTTTTTATTCTTAGCACTCACTGGCTATAAACTGGCAGAAAGTTCATGAACATCCTTATCTTCACAGATATGGAACTCATGTTCACATATGTGGAACTCCTCTTTTACACAGTTAGACATTATCTTCACACATCTGGAACTCATTTTCACACACCTGAACCTTTTCTTCACACAGTTAGACATCATCTTTATATATCTGGACCTTATCTTTGCACAGTTAGACACCATCTAGACATCATCTTCACACAGTTAGACATCACCTTCACACAGTTAGACATAATCTTCACACACCTGGACCTTATCTTAACATAGTTAGACATCATCTCCACACAGTCAAATATCATCTTCACACATCTGGACCTTATCTTCACAGTTAGACATTATCTTCACATATCTGGACCTTATCTTTACACAGACATCCTCTTTATACAAATGGACCTTTTCACAATTCTGGACCTTATCTTCACAGATTAGGAACTTAGTTTCACATATATGACATCTTCACACATTTGAGATTCATTTTCATACATTTGAGAAGGAGCTGAGTTGTCTTGAGATAAGGATTCGCCTCAAGTGCTGAAGGTCCCGGGTTCAAACCCCGGTGAAGGCGGGGATTTTTTTAACGTGAACTTAAAGTAATAAAGTAATTTCTCCTGGTCTCTGGGTAGTAAAACTAGACGGCCATGTGTATTGTTGTGCAAGTAAAAAATACAATGGCAGTTGAAAAAAAAAAAAGAGTAGCCTAACGATGCTGCTAGGGCAATATTTGAAGTTAAAAATCTACCCAAAGTATTCAGGATCCTTGCCGGTGCAATGGAGTTCGTGCAATGTGCTGAGATTCTTCAGACTCAAACTTGAGTTACATCCATGTGCCGTGATGTTGATCCATTGAATAAACATACACACACATTTGAGACTCGTCATCCCACACCTGCACCTATCCCAACATACCTGAAAGCCATTTTGAAACATTTCTTTATATACACAGCTTTCACTGTGATTAAAATGTCACATTACTAATTTCTTATATGCGTAAAAAGTGCTTCAATCATGGACAAAATATCTACATACTGGTTTATAACTTTGTGCCAGTTTTGCTCTAAGGTAAGTTCAACAAAGAATTAGATGAGCGGACAGTCTACTTACTCAGTTATAGCCCTGTGCCAATCCAGTTCTAGGGTTAGACAAAGAATGAGATGAGGTGACATGTGCACTTACTCATTTATAACCATATACTGATTGAGTTCTAGGGTTAGACAAAGTATGAGATGAGGTGACACGTGCACTTACTCATTTATAACCTTGTACCAATCCAGTTCTAGGGTCAGACAAAGAATGAGATGAGGTGACACGTGCACTTACTCGTTTATAACCATGTGCCAAGCTTGTACCGCGAATATCTTCCAGGAATGTTTGCAGAAAATGTTTGTATGCGGCCTTCACCTTCTCATCAGACTTGGATAACTGATTGATGTCAGCGATCTCATGCAAGGGCGGCACCGAGCGTGTGAAGTTAGTGTTGGCTGGCAGGTAGTGTGGGTACAGGCTGATGATCTGTGTCACAGATTGAAACCAAGGTCAAACGGCAGACAACAGAACACTTTTGGTCACAGCAGTCCACAGTGTCACATAAGTTTACTGGTAGTTCATAGTTTCACAAAAGTTTACTGGTAGTTCATAGTGTCACATAAGTTTACTGGTAGTTCATAGTGTCACATAAGTTTACTAGTAGTTCATAGTGTCACATAAGTTTACTGGTAGTTCATAGTGTCACATAAGTTTACTAGTAGTTCATAGTTTCACATAAGTTTACTGGTTGTCCATAGTTTCACTAAGTTTACTGGTAGTTCATAGTTTCACTAAGTTTACTGGTAGTTCATAGTTTCACATAAGTTTACTGGTAGTTCATAGTTTCACATAAGTTTACTGGTAGTTCATAGTTTCACATAAGTTTACTGGTAGTTCATAGTTTCACATACGTTTACTGGTAGTTCACAGTTTCACATAAGTTTACTGGTAGTTCACAGTTTCACATAAGTTTACTGGTAGTCCACAGTTTCACATAAGTTTACTGGTAGTTCATAGTTTCACATAAGTTTACTGGTAGTTCATAGTTTCACATAAGTTTACTGGTAGTTCATAGTTTCACATAAGTTTACTGGTAGTTCATAGTTTCACATAAGTTTACTGGTAGTTCATAGTTTCACATAAGTTTACTGGTAGTTCATAGTTTCACATAAGTTTACTTGTAGTTCATAGTTTCACATAAGTTTACTGGTTGTTCTTAGTTTCACATAAGTTTACTGGTTATCCATAGTTTCACATAAGTTTACTGGTTGTCCATAGTTTCACATAAATTTACTGATAGTTCATAGTTTCACATATATTTACTGGTTGTCCATAGTTTAACTAAGTTTACTGATAGTTCATAGTTTCACATATGTTTACTGGTTGTCCATAGTTTCACTAAGTTTACTGATAGTTCATAGTTTCACATATGTTTACTGGTTGTCCATAGTTTCACATAAGTTTCCTGGCTGTCCATAGTTTCACATAAGTTTCCTGGCAGTCCATAGTTTCACTTTAGTTCACTGTAGTCAGTAATTTCACTGAAGTTCACTGGTAGTCCATAATTTCACTTAAGTTCACAACATCTGTAGCCACACATTATGTAGACCACACAACATCTGTGCAATATGTCGTGTTCCACTTGTAATAATCGTGGTCTGACCTTTGGCTGGTTGTCTAGGGGATGATGTGTCTACTGGATGATATTACTCACATTCTAAGATGACATAGTCGTTACAAATCGACACCGTCTCCAAGATACAAGACTGGTAATTGACATATAACCACTTACATAGATTGTCCCGTCCATGTCCTTATCAACAGCTTTCACGCAACACATTGTTCAGACGCCAACACGCTGACTCTTCACACATTCACCAACCAGAGTTCTGCGTCTTCAGTTCCACATCTCCGCATAGATGGATCTGGTCATTGCATCGAGTTTCACACCACTGACTTGGCTGGACTTTACTTCGATGGATGTTGTTGTCTGGTCTTCATCTTGCAGCAATCAGTTTTGCGTCCTCATTCACACTCGATCACTCTCACGTCCTCTCGTTCTGACGGTCAACACATACTGTCTGATCAGACTGGGGTCTGAACTTATACCCAGTGTTCGCTCCATGTGGCAACACGTGGTCGTTCTTTGGTTCCACGTGGCGACCTGTGGTCGTTCTCCTTGGGTTCCACGTGGTAACACATGGTCGTACCCTACCTTGAAAACCTCAGTTAATCTGAGTATCTGGCTTCTCTCGGTGTTCCCCCCAAAACCTTCCCAATCAGGGTGAAAATATCCCCCATTACAATCTGCTGTACACACATTATGCAGCCTAAACATAATGTAGAACAAACAACATTTGCAGCCCACACAACATATGTAGCTCACACATTATGTAGACCACACAACCTCTGTCGCCCAAAGAACATAACCCACAATCAACCCCCTCCCCCCTCTTCACCCAGCCTCCGAAAAAAAAAACCCATCTATATTTCCCTGAAGCCAACAAAACATATTGTCAGGGGTAGTGCTGGTTGTGTGACATTACAGTGTGATGATTATTAATCATCAGGTCAGTGTATAGTGACCCCTAACTAAACTCAGGGCTAGTGCAGACAAGCCGAAATAAGGATACATCCATGTTTGCTGAACTAGACTTGCCAGGTATCATCGGACTTCACAAAGTGTCGACTCAACGCTGAGCCCCGGTAGTTCAACAAAACATTTGGACAAAGGACATATTGGGAATTCTTGGCAGGACATCTGTGTGACCTGGACATTGTTTGACCAGATCGTTAGATTATAGTAGTTCACTGACAAATTGTAATAACAGGTAGAAATGTGGTGTGTGTTAGATGTTAGCTGTGATTCGTACAGTCCAGTGTTTGACTAAGTGTAGTTAGTACTTTACGGTGTATGTAGGAATTGCTTCACTTAGATCTCATTTAACAGATACATTCACCATAGCAGTTAGACTCCTTTCAGTAGTGACAACTCATTATGGGAAACAAGGTCAAGCATTGTTTGTGGCGATAGCATCTGCCGACACACCTTCAGCCCTCACTCGGAGTGTGCCACAGAATCCTTGGCATCAGGAGATAGTGACTTGAGACAGCACTTTATTGGAGTGTGGTTGGAACTCAGAGCTTATTTAATTAAATGTGTAAAGGCGCGTCTAGCCATTTTAAAACTACAGCAGCCTGGTTTAAAAATAAGGATCTCTACCCCTTCTGAAACTAAACTGTGTAAGTTCGTACTCTTTGATATTAAGGAATTTGTTGTTGTTTAGGGTTGTTTTGGGTGTGTGTGTATGTGTGTGTGTGTGTTCCTTTAGCAGATTTATCTGTCAGCGGCCTGCAGCACAGCCACAGATTTAGACCCTAGAGAAGAAGGTCGTTGACACGTCAACTGTAGTTCCATGGGTGAGTGGGTGTGTGTGGGTTTTTTTTTTTTCCTTTAGCAGATTTATCTGTCACCGGCCTGCAGCATAGCCATAGATTTAGACCCTAGAGAAGAAGGTCGTTGACACATCAACTGTAGTTCCATGGGTGGGTGGGTAAGTGGGTGTGTGTGGGTGTGTGTGTTTTTTTTTCCTTTAGCAGATTTATCTGTCACCGGCCTGCAGCACAGCCATAGATTTAGACCCTAGAGAAGAAGGTCGTTGACACATGTCAACTGTAGTTCCATGAAGTCCACAAAACATAAAACATATCAACTGTAGTTCCCTGAAGCCCACAAACATACAGATCTGGGTGGAGTACCTCTCTGACATCGACAGCACTTTCCTGAAACAGCTGGCTGGCCTCCTCAAAGCGCTGCTGAGAGAACTCAATGAACGCTGCTTGTTGCTGGATTCTTTTGAACATCTGAAATCAGTGTAAATACACACCCTACATGTGGCGGTCACAAAACATAGGTGCTATGTGGTGCAAGAACATTACTGCTGACATGTGACATACAACACAACAAGAACATTACTGCTGACATGTGGCATACAACACAACAAGAGCATTACTACTGACATGTGGTATACAACACAACAAAAACATTACTGCTGACATGTGGTATACAACACAACAAGAACATTACTGCTGACATGGGGTATACAACACAACAAGAACATTACTGCTGACATGGGGTATACAACACAACAAGAACATTACTGCTGACATGTGGTATACAACACAACAAGAACATTACTGCTGACATGGGGTATACAACACAACAAGAACATTACTGCTGACATGGGGTATACAACACAACAAGAACATTACTGCTGACATGTGGTATACAACACAACAAGAACATTACTGCTGACATGGGGTATACAACACAACAAGAACATTACTGCTGACATGTGGTATACAACACAACAAGAACATTACTGCTGACATGGGGTATACAACACAACAAGAACATTACTGCTGACAAGTGGCAGTCAGGGAACACAATAAGAACATTACTGCTGACATGTTGCAGTCAACCAACACAAATTGATTTGTATATTGTTCACTACTCATTTTTAATGTCTGAAACTATTTTTAAAATATTCAGGGAAGGTTACTCTAATGATTTTACTTTTTTTTTTATAAATCTTTGTTTACACATTTAGGTAAAAAATTATCCAATTCATTGGCACAAAATTATCAAATTCACTGTGAGTGTTACTTTCAGACTAAATTTCTAACTTCATTTTTGACTGACCACGGACACCATGGTCTGTATATAACTACAAAGTTAATATTTTGTGCGTATAGGTGCTTTTTTCCTGCAATTCTTTACTTTCAAATTTAGTTCAGCACTCTATTAGAACCAAGAATCTCTAAATGATAAACTAACCCAGATACTTATCAGAACTTTTGAATTTATTAGGAACTGAACAAACTTTAAAGTGTTATTCTCAAATTTAGATATTAACTGCTCTTGTGGCAAAAACCATGGTACATGAAGAATTATATTACAAAATCTTGTCTTTGTAAACATAACACCTGAATTTTTTTTTTTTTTTAATTAACAGAACTAAATATTGACATATTGAATCATTCAAAATCCTTTAAAAAAAATACATACCTGTGTAGGGAGTAGAAATATATTACAGTCTCTATTACTTTTTTTTTTTTTTACACCACCCCTCTTTTTTGTAAAAAGAAATTAATGTGAGCCAAGTCTGTCAAAATTCATGGGCTTGAAAGAGTTAAAAGCAGAACCAGACAATTGCCTGCAATTATCATCAACTGAACCTGAAATAAGTTTGCTGAAACATAACAGCAGCGCAGGTGTCTTAATAACCATCTGTATGCTATTTTAAGAACCTTTTTTGTTGCTCTCACTAAGGACATATCTACAGAAACTGTATGAAATCTTGAATGTATAAAAACTATGGATAAAACTGTAGAAGAACTATTAAAAACTACAAAGTGTGACAGATTTGGAGCAAATCTAAAAGAGATGAAGCCTTATTTCAGGTTTTTGAAAATAAGAGTCTTACGACAAATCTTTGGACCCATCAAAAATGCAAACAGCGGGGAATGGAGAGTAAGAAGCAACAACAAGATTCATAATCTGTTTAAATTACCATTGATAACTAGCATCATGAGAGCTAACAGACTGAAATGGCTGGGGCATATTGAGAGAATGTCAGATGACAGAGAAGTGAAAACTGTATACACAAGGGAGATGAATGGTTGTAGACCACGAGGCAGACCAAGAAGATGATGTAGAGATAATGTCCAGACAGACCTGCAAACACTTGGTGTCACCAGCTGTAAAGAGAAGGCCAACCAGAGAGATGAGTGGAGGCGGGTGATATCTGCAGCAATGAACCTCAAGTGCTCTGAACGCTGAAGAAGGCCTACCAGAGAGATGAACGGAGGCGGGTGATATCTGCAGCAATGAACCTCAAGGGCTCGGAATGCTGAAGAAGAAGAAGTGTGACAGATGTATTTTGCTGGTAGCTTAGAATCAAATGACTACAAGGGTAACATTCTCAGTTTTTCTGAAATCATTTTATTGCATGGAGATTACCAAGTTGCTTAGATACGCATTACTTTCAATTCCCAGACTTCCTCGTGTGGGTTCCAGTGCCCCATTGTGGGGAAAACAAGAATAGACCCACTGCCTCCCCAAAAGCATGTCGTAAGAGTCGACTAATTGGGGAGCTTCCGTTGAAGTCGGAGTGCATCTGCCGGAGAGGCAAGGAACCAACAGTCTGTATTCAAGAGAATGAGATCTGTAAAAACTGATGCACACGTAACACTCAGCTTCTGGAGCAGGACTGCAGTTCAGTAGTGGACGAGCAACCAGAACCTTCTGCCAGAGTTTACAGCTAGTGAACGCGAAGAAGAAGAATTCCCTGACTATCTAGCCTCTGTTCCAAGACTCCATAACATGACTTCTAAACACCATCAACTTATAAGACATAGGGTTCGGCAGGTCTAACTAAACACCATCAATTTATAAGACATGGGGTTCGGCAGGTCTAACTAAACACCATCAACTTATAAGACATAGGGTTTGGCAGGTTTAAGGGGCTCCACCATAGAATCTGATCCTTAAAAAAAGGCTCTGTTCAACAAGGTTGAGATCTGCTGCTCTAAGCACACCTAGGGAGCACTTACCTTGAGGAACTTGTCTCGGGTCATGCCAGTTTTATTGGCATTTCTAGCCAAATCTAAAGCTTCTTGCACACGCTTGTCTGCAAGCAAAGCTTGGATCTGAAAACACAGGTGAACAAGGAATAAATTAAAATCCTAATAAACGTCACTGGCCCTGTACCAGTCACCTGAGTGTTAAACTTGTGTTTTGAGAAAATTGTGTTTAAACATTGAGATCAGATGTGTAGTTGTGTGAAAAATCATAGTTTATCTTGACTGACTAGGAGTTTGAATATCCATGTGTGCTTCTGGCATATTGTCAAGTGACAAACAACAGTTCTGGAAATGCACTGAGGTGAAAAGTTCCAAAAATGCACTGGCAACTATCAATGACATCAGAGGATAACAAGGACTCAAGAGCATTGAGCACTGATGACCAACAAGTCAAAAACTCAACAGGTTCAACCTTGGCGCGGTGATTTAGGTCACAGGCGTGAGGGGAAGTTAAGTCCAACATGATGTGTATAAGGAGATACTCCGTACGTCACTCGGGCGCCAGTCCTTTACTATCCTGGTTGTACGGAACCTCACGCAAGACCCCTACAGCACGTCCTCGTCGTGCGCCACGGATAATGTCTCAAATGAGCATTAACAGAGCTGTCAGGGGATCTCTGAGTTTGGCGGCCCCCAGAGGTGACGTGTCCTTGTGGCTCTCACCAGCCCGCCCCCAAACGCTTGGGTGAAAAATGTTATAAAAACTCATTAGGAACATGAGTAGGTTCGACAAAAGTACAGCTAAAATCACAACCCTTGGTTAAAAGACTGCTGAGTAAAGAGAACATTGCTCAATGCTCATCCTCGGTTAATTCTCAGTGTCGTCGTCACCGCGCTGAGATGCAACACAACAGAAACCATACATGGGCTGGCCATCCTTGTGCATCCTCGGTTGGCCCTCAGTGTCGTCGTCACCGAGCTGAGGTGCACCACAACAGCAACCATCCATAGGCTGGCCAGTCACGTACATCCTCGGTTAACCCTCAGTGTCGTCGTCACCGCGCTGGGGTACACCACAACAGCAACCATCCATTGGATGGCTAAGCCTAAATGTCCGACAAAACTAGATCATACGGATCAAAATCTGACCATCAAAATTTGCACTGAAATGCAAAAGGCCGAATGTCCATACCCAAAGACCCCACTCGCCCGAGTGTTGGGACAAAACTGATAACGATATGCCTGATTCAGGATGTGAAATTCTGCCGGGCTAATGTACCTATCTGTGTGGTCACAAAAGTCCAAAACCAACGGGCTGCTCCCCGCTGACTTCCAGAGGGCGCAGCCCCTGTCGAGCGGGAGGCCTGATATGGTTGTGAGGTTAAGCAGGCATGTGCAGGACGTGACGATTCCTTGGGTGAGCCCAGAACCAGAGCGCCATGTGCCGGCTCTGCATGCATGGAAGCCTCCTTGGATGGCGGGGAATGCCCATGATCTGCCCCTGCCTTCCCTTGAGGGCCAACTGTTCCACAGGGGGTTGCCCCAAAGGGGTACTCCGGGGGCAATACCTGCGGCGAAGGAGACAAGGCGGACACCACACAAATCAGGCAGTCTCGACCCACACAAAACAATGGCCACAGTCACCCTAGAAATAGGCCTGACGTCTTCCTTCGAAGTCGGCGTACAGCTGCCCAAGAGGCAGGGAAATAAAAAACGGTTGTACACGCAAAAATCAGGTCCAGGTGAAGGCCAAAAGTCTAAGCGGACGATTAACCGGGACCTTCCACTGGAATTCACAGCCGGTGTTCGATGAAAAAAAAAAAAAAAAAAAAAACAGGTTCAACCAGCTACCCCCGAGGGGGAAGCTTTCAATTATATTGTGGTCTGTGTTTATTTGCGTCATATTCACGGTTAAATAGACCGCATTAGCCCAATCGATAGGAGACTCATTTTCAAATCCAGCTGCGACTCGATGCAGCCCACGGCTGGTGTTCAAAACTGTGCGGTTCCCGGGGTTAACCCAGCCTCCAGGTAATGGGTACCAGAGCTAACACTTTATTTAGTACTTACTTAGTCGCTCCTCTTCTACCTTGGGGTGTAGAGGTTTGCCAAAGAGATCGCCAGACGTCTCTATCAGCAGTTTTCTTTCTGGCTTTGTTCCATTCCAGTCCTCTGTCAGTTAGGGACTGTCGGATGTTGTCTTCCCAGCGCACCCTGGGTCGTCCCGGAGGTCTGGTTCCCTGGTTCTTAGCCTCTCATGCTTGCCATGGTGGCCGAGAGCTAACACTCTGGGGTAAATAGAGAAACGTCGCTGTAGCTACGAGGTTGCGTGCGGATGGCGACGCAAGTAGACAGTTCCTTATCAGCTGTCTGTACTGGTGGCAGAGCACTTATGGTTTATAACAGTGTTCAATGATGCTGGTTCACATCTCTCAACTTTACCTTTACCTTTTAACATTCAGTGTTAAAAACTGCTTGCCATCTAGAAAAGGGCTCGTGCAGTGTTTATGTGATGACCGCTCCAGGCCACTTTCTAGACCGGCAAGCGAGTCACCACACAGAAACAATAAATCACTTAGGTATCAATGAGGACACACACAAAAACCGCTCTGTATTTAAGATGTCTGAAACACTGATAAGTGATGACCCTGGTGAGGGATGTTCCACATCAATAATGGGAAACACTGATGAGTGATGTCACTGGTGAGGGATGTCACACATCAATTATGGAAAACACTGATGTAACTGTCACAGATGAGTGATATCACATAGAAATTTTCACAATTATTATCACAAAAACTAACCTGTTTTTCAAAAGGTATTGGGAGTAGGGCGTAGATCTCACGACAAGAAGCAACAAATATGCGTCCATCAAAGTCTCCAAGGAAAACTCCACCTTGGAAAGGAATGGCTTGTTTCTGCTGTTGGTCCAAAATACTGGTAGTCGAGAGAAATAAAGACACAACTCTAATGTGACACGACCATGTGACTGAATGAGACAGCTCTAATGTGACATGACCATGCGACTGAATAAGACAGCTCTAATGTGACACAACCATGTTACTAAATGTGACCGCTCTAATGTATAGATTGTATGTATAGATTTGACGTGACAGATCTAATGTGATATAACCATGTGATGTGATGTGACAGCTCTAATGTGACACGACGATGTGATTGAATGACACAGTTCTAAAATGGTATGACCATGTGATGTGACAGCTCTAATGTGACATGACTATGTGATTTAATGTGACAGCTCTAATGTGATACGACCATGCGGTTGAATGACATAGCTCTAATATGATACGACCATGTGATTTAATGTGATAGCTCTAATGTGATACGACCATGTGATCTAATGTGATAGCTTTAATGTGATACGACCATGTGATTTAATGTGACAGCACTAATGTGACAAGACCGTGTGATTTGATGTGATAGCTATAATGTGACAGGACCATGTGATTTAAAGTGACAGAACTAATGTGACATGACCATGTTATTTAATGTAACAAGACCATGTGGTTTAAAAATGGCAAATAGTAGCGGTGTTATTTTTTCGATGGTTGTGATTTCTCTCGATTGTTCTGTTCCGTAATCATAGGCTGTTATTTTGTGCACATTTCTAATGCTGGAAACTGTGTTTTTCATGGAAAAAAGCATGTATTGTGGTTGTGTTATGTTGGGGTGAGATAATGATCGATAGTTTTGCAGCCTCCACCAGGCTGCCTTTGCAATGTTTTGATCACAGCGGCCCACTATCCAGGAAAACAGAATCTCATCAGCAAGGGACTGCAACTGACAAGAGAGCAAACTCGTTAAAAACTGTCCCCCAAAACCGAATTGTCAACCATTTTTTTTTAGTGGGAAGGGATCGACACATACGGTTAACTCATTGGCTAAAGTGACAGGACCATGTGATTTAATGAGACACGAAAGTGCAATTTAATGTGACATGACAATGTGATTTAATGTGACAGCTCCAATGTGACACAACGCTGTGACAGCTTTAATGTGACAGGACCGTGTGATTTAATGTGACTGTATAGACCTTTTTCTGTTTAGGTCCAAGGCAATGGAATGTAATCCATTTAATTCTCCACGTCTTTTGTGTTTTACTGACTACTTCACTTGATATACACATATATATTAATTTTTTTAATGGACATACTTTTAAATAAAGATTTATGAGTGGCTTGTGAAATATTTTTTTTTTCAGGTGTTTCTGAGGGGGAATTCCTGATATTTGTTTAAAAGAGTTAAGCTGCGGGACTGAATTATCTTTGTCGAGTATGTTGGTAGACCTACAAGCCAGTAGATTTTATTTCCTTTCAAGCAGCACCCCGCTAATTGTATTCTTATTTGAGGGTTCGTGCCAATGACAGAAATAACTCTGGTTGATATTTTCTGCAACCACTTTCAGCTGTCTCGTCATGCTGACATGAATCTCTTCAATACTTCAGATGGGGTGGGGGGGGATGAGCTCGAAGCGATGAAATGCTGTGTTGGTGGTCACTTTTGACATTGTTAAATAACTTCAATATCTTTGATCAACTTATGGCAGGACTGTCTGAAAGCTGACTGCACCATTTCAAAGGTTTCAGAACTAGCTGAAAGCTGACTGCAACATTTCAAAGGTTTCAGAACTAGCTGAAAGCTGACTGCACCATTTCAAAGGTTTCAGAACTGGCTGAAAGCTGACTGCAACATTTCAAAGGTTTCAGAACTAGCTGAAAGCTGACTGCAACATTTCAAAGGTTTCAGAACTAGCTGAAAGCTGACTGCAACATTTCAAAGGTTTCAGAACTAGCTGGAAGCTGACTGCAACATTTCAAAGGTTTCAGAACTAGCTGAAAGCTGACTGCACCATTTCAAAGGTTTTAGAACTAGCTGAAAGCTGACTGCAACATTTCATAGGTTTCAGAACTAGCTGAAAGCTGACTGCAACATTTCAAAGGTTTCAGAACTAGCTGAAAGCTGACTGCACCATTTCAAAGGTTTCAGAACTAGCTGAAAGCTGACTGCAACATTTCAAAGGTTTCAGAACTAGCTGAAAGCTGACTGCACCATTTCAAAGGTTTCAGAGCTAGCTGAAAGCTGACTGCACCATTTCAAAGGTTTCAGAACTAGCTGAAAGCTGACTGCAACATTTCAAAGGTTTCAGAACTAGCTGAAAGCTGACTGCACCATTTCAAAGGTTTCAGAGCTAGCTGAAAGCTGACTGCACCATTTCAAAGGTTTCAGAACTAAATTTTCCAAGACCAAAAACAGAATTCACTGAGCACATGTTTCTGTCCATTCTGAAAATCCTGGAAGTACAATAAAGGCTTCCCCAGTGCATGCATGGATTCTCATCTGGCACCACCATCAGTCAATGGCTGCTATAGGGTCACTGTATTCATGTAACCTTGTTAATTATGACACTTTGTCTTAAACAAAAATTTTGTCCCTGAACTCAGTGATTAGCCCTCACATACAAATATACTGTCATGTATATTCTTTAACATATAAAAACTGTTTTGTATATTTGACTTAAAGCACATAAAAACTGTTTTATATGTGTGATGTAAAAGCACAAATACTGTCTTTTATGTGTGATGTGAAAGCACAAATACTGTCCTCTATGTGTGATGTGAAAGCACAAATACTGTCATATATGTGTGATGTGAAAGCACAAATACTGCCTTATATGTGTGATGTGAAAGCACAAATACTGTCTTATATGTGAATGTGAAAGCACAAATACTGCCTTATATGTGTAATGTGAAAGCACAAATACTATCTTCTATGTGTGATGTGAAAGCACAAATACAGTCTTCTATGTGTGATGTGAAAGCACTAATACTGTCTTATATGTGTGATGTGAAAGCACAAATACTGTATTCTATGTGTGACGTGAAAGCACAAATACTGTTTTATATGTGTGATGTGAAAGCAAAAATACTGCCTTATATGTGTGATGTGAAAGCACAAATACTATCTTCTATGTGTGATGTGAAAGCACAAATACTGTCTTCTATGTGTGATGTGAAAGCACAAATACAGTCTTCTATGTGTGATGTGAAAGCACTAATACTGTCTTATATGTGTGATGTAAAAGCACAAATACTGTATTCTATGTGTGATGTGAAAGCACAAATACTGTCTTCTATGTGTGATGTGAAAGCACAAATACTGTCTTCTATGTGTGATGTGAAAGCACAAATACAGTCTTCTATGTGTGATGTGAAAGCACTAATATTGACTTCTATGTGTGATGTGAAAGCACAAATACTGACTTCTATGTGTGATGTGAAAGTACAAATACTGTCTTTTATGTGTGGTGTGAAAGTACAAATACTGTCTTCTATGTGTGATGTGAAAGCACAAATACTGTCTTCTATGTGTGATGCGAAAGCACAAATACTGTCTTCCTCTCTTGTACTAGGATCAGTGTTGCAGGAGAAGCAAACCCACAGTGTTCAGACCAGCAGGTGGATGCTCTATTTTACAAACAGCAGCAAGAACATGATGAAGCAAAACTTCTGACATACAACCCAAACTTTTCTCAGTGATTAGGGACTTTCTTTAAAGTCAGAATTCATCTGCCAGAGAGAGAGAGAGAGACAAGGAACCAACAGTCTGCACACACATAAGCCAGATTTCTACACCAGATGTGTAGGCAACACTCAAGTTCTGGAACAAGACTTAAATACAGAGATTGCAGCCAGTGAGCGTGAAGAAAAAGAAACCAAACTTTCATATCCTTGCATCAAACAACACCAACAAACAAAAACACTTGCCTGTGAACAGTAATGAACTCATCATTCATGGCCAGTATATACGGGTGTACAAAACAGACCGCTGTCACACCATCTGACCACTGCATGGGCGGTCGCTGGGACACACCAGCAGAGGTGACAAAGATGCCCAGGGCATTTGGACCATTTAGCAAAAACTCTTCCTGCAAGGATTAATGGACAAAACACAGAAACATGAGCAAAATCCTCAAACAGTTGTTTTTCTATGTGTATCCTCCATTAGTGGATCGATTTCTGACATCTGTCAGCGCAGAGATAAATCAGCATAGCTAAGATGTCACAATCAACAATCATGTCCCTCATTACAAGTAGACATACACACCACAATCAGGACCTCTAAGTACCAGTAGACAGATATGTCAAAATCATTGCTTCTCATTACCAGCAGACAGACACACAACAACCATGACCTCTCATTACCAGCAGACAGACACACACAAATCATGACCTCTCATTACCAGCAGACAGACACATCACAATCATGACCTCTCATTACCAGCAGACAGACACACAACAACCATGACCTCTCATTACCAGCAGACAGACACACCACAATCATGGCCTCTTATTACCAGCAGACAGACACACAACAATCACAGCCCGTCATTGCCAGTAGAAGACACATCACAATCATGACCTTTCATTACCAGCAGACAGTCAAATCCCAATCATAACCTCTTGTTACCAGTAGACAGACACACAACAATCATGGCCTCTCATTACCAGCAGACAGACACACAACAATCACAGCCCGTCATTACCAGTAGAAGACACATCACAATCATGACCTTTCATTACCAGCAGACAGTCAAATCCCAATCATAACCTCTTGTTACCAGTAGACAGACACACAACAATCATGGCCTCTCATTACCAGTAGACAGATACACAACAATCATGGTCTCTCAATACCAGCAGACAGACACATCACAATCATGACCTCTAACTACCAGTGGTCAGATCCACAACAATAATGACCTCTCATTACCAGCAGACAGACACACCACAATCATAACCTCTCATTACCAGCAGACAGACACACCACAATCATGGCTTCTGGTTTAAAATGTATGAGACATATTGTATGCTGTCTGCCATTGGACAACTCACTTTGCTGATCCTTTTGATGATTGGCCGTATCTGATCTGGGTCAATAGGAAAGAGATCAGTGATGTGACCACTGTCAGTGTCAATCATACAATACTGGGAGGTCAAGGCCGCGCACACAAATATGCCATCAACACCCTGCCAAAGACATATCATGAATGTATTATAATAAACAGTTATCAAATTCTTGCCCTATTAACTCATTACAACCTGACAGCTGACAATTTACAATAAATCCAAAAAGGAGACACTCAAGTGGCTCTGACAAATTTACAGGCAAACTGGACATGCACAAGTGGGTTTGAAAAACTTAAGACACAAATGAACAATTGGTTGTGACAAATCTACACAAGTGGGTTTGACAAACTGACCACACAAACAACTGGTTGTGGGAAGTTTACACTAGTGGAATTGACAAAGTGACCCCACAAACAATTGGTTGTGAGAAGTTTACACATGTTGGTTTGACAAACTGACCATACAAACCAACAACTAGCTGTGAAAGGTTTTTACAAGTATTTTGATGAACTGACCCCACAAACAAACAATTGGTTGTGACAAGTTTACACAAGTGGGTTTGACAAACTGACCACACAATCAACTGGTTGCAAGAAGTTTACACAAGTGTGTTTGACAAACTGACCACACAAACAAACAACTTCTTGTGAGAAGTTTACACAAGTGTTTTGGCAAACTGACCATATAAACAAACAATTGGTTGCGAGAATTTGACACAAGTGGGTTTGACAAACTGATCACACAAACAAACAATAGGTTGTTATAAGTTTACCTAAGTGTGTTTGACAAACTGTCCACACAAACAAAAAATTGGTTGTGAGAAGTTTACACAAGTGTGTTTGACAAAGTGACAACACAATCAACTGGTTGCAAGAAGTTTACACAAGTGTGTTTGACAAACTGACCACACAAACAAACAACTTCTTGTGAGAAGTTTACACAAGTGTTTTGACAAACTGACCATATAAACAAACAATTGATTGCGAGAATTTGACACAAGTGGGTTTGACAAACTGACCACACAAACAAACAATAGGTTGTTATAAGTTTACCTAAGTGTGTTTGACAAACTGTCCACACAAACTGAAAATTGGTTGTGAGAAGTTTACACAAGTGTGTTTGACAAAGTGACCACACAATCAACTAGTTGCAAGAAGTTTACACAAGTGTGTTTGACAAACTGACCACACAAACAAACAACTTATTGTGAGAAGTTTACACAAGTGTTTTGACAAACTGACCATATAAACAAACAATTGGTTGCGAGAATTTGACACAAGTGGGTTTGACAAACTGACCACACAAACAAACAATAGTTTGTTATAAGTTTATCTAAGTGTGTTTGACAAACTGTCCACACAAACAAAAATTGGTTGTGAGAAGTTTACACAAGTGTGTTTGACAAACTGACTATATAAACAAACATCTGTTAGAGAGAAGTTTACACAAGTGTGTTTGACAAACTGACCACACAAACAATAGGTTGTTATAAGTTTACCTAAGTGTGTTTGACAAACTGTCCACACAAATAAAAAAATTGGTTGTGAGAAGTTTACACAAGTGTGTTTGACAAACTGACCACACAAACAACTGGTTGTGAGAAGTTTACACAAGTGTGTTTGACAAACTGTCCACACAAACAAATAACTGGTAGTAAGAAGTTTACACAAGTGTGTTTGACAAACTGTCCACACAAACAAATAACTGGTTGTAAGAAGTTTACACAAGTGTGTTTGACAAACTGTCCACACAAACAAAAAATTGGTTGTGAGAAGTTTACACAAGTGTGTTTGACAAACTGACCACACAAACAAATAACTGGTTGTGAGAAGTTTACACAAGTGTGTTTGACAAACTGACCATATAAACAAACAACTGGTTGTAAGAGGTTTACACAAGTGTGTTTGATAAACTGACCACACAAACAACTGGTTGTGAGAAGTTTACACAAGTGTGTTTGACAAACTGTCCACACAAACAACTGGTTGTGAGAAGTTTACACAAGTGTGTTTGACAAACTGTCCACACAAACAAATAACTGGTTGTAAGAAGTTTACACAAGTGTGTTTGATAAACTGACCACACAAACAACTGGTTGTGAGAAGTTTACACAAGTGTGTTTGACAAACTGTCCACACAAACAAATAACTGGTTGTAAGAAGTTTACACAAGTGTGTTTGACAAACTGTCCACACAAACAAATAACTGGTTGTAAGAGGTTTACACAAGTGTGTTTGACAAACTGTCCACACAAACAAAAAATTGGTTGTGAAAAGTTTACACAAGTGTGTTTGACAAACTGACCACACAAACAACTGGTTGTGAGAAGTTTACACAAGTGTGTTTGACAAACTGACCATACAAACAACTGGTTGTGAGAAGTTTACACAAGTGTGTTTGACAAACTGACCACACAAACAACTGGTTGTGAGAAGTTTACACAAGTGTGTTTGACAAACTGTCCACACAAACAAATAACTGGTTGTGAGAAGTTTACACAAGTGTGTTTGACAAACTGACCATATAAACAAACAACTCGTTGTGAGAAGTTTACCCAAGTGTGTTTGACAAACTGACCATACAAACAACTGGTTGTGAGAAGTTTACACAAGTGTGTTTGACAAACTGACCACACAAACAACTGGTTGTGAGAAGTTTACACAAGTGTGTTTGACAAACTGTCCACACAAACAAACAACTGGTTGTGAGAAGTTTACACAAGTGTGTTTGACAAACTGTCCACACAAACAAATAACTGGTTGTGAGAAGTTTACACAAGTGTGTTTGACAAACTGTCCACACAAACAACTGGTTGTGAGAAGTTTACACAAGTGTGTTTGACAAACTGTCCACACAAACAAAAAATTGGTTGTGAGAAGTTTACACAAGTGTGTTTGACAAATTGACCACACAAACAAATTGTGAAAAGTGAGTGATAAACAAGTGAGTGAGAGAAGCTTACAACAACCAAGGCCTGCTCAGGAAGTGAGACATCTCTCAGGTGCATCAGTCTATCTTCTGTCACTGTGTAGAGCTGGATCATTTTTCTTTTCAAGGCCACACAAATCTAGGCCACAGAGAAAACATAAATCCTCAAAAAACCTTAAAAAAAAGTAATAACGTTAGAGGTGTTCTATGTACAATTTATCATAAATGTTCTACACACCATTTAAAACACATTCTATACATCATTTGTCACATACATGTTCTATGCCCAATTCATCATACATGTCACACATGTTCCGTACACCATCTGCCCCACACATGTTCCATACACCATGTGTCCCACACATGTTCCGTACACCATTTGTCCCACACATGTTCCATACACCATTTGTCATACACATGTTCCATACACCATGTGTCCCACACATGTTCCGTACACCATTTGTCCCACACATGTTCCATACACCATTTGTCATACACATGTTCCATACACCATGTGTCCCACACATGTTCCATACACCATTTGTCACACACATGTTGCATACACCATTTGTCTCACACACCATTGTAGCTGAACTAGAACTGACAAATGACAGGTGGCTAAACTAGAATTGACAAATGACAGGTTGCTTAACTAGAACTGACAAATGAAAGGTGACTAAACTATACCTGACAAATGACAGGTGGCTAAACCAGAACTGACAAATGACAGGTGGCTAAACCAGAACTGACAAATGAAAGGTGACTAAACTATACCTGACAAATGACAGGTGGCTAAACCAGAACTGACAAATGACAGGTGGCTAAACTAGTACTGACAAATGACAGGTGGCTAAACCAGAACTGACAAATGAAAGGTGACTAAACTAGAACTGACCAATGACAGGTGGCTAAACTATACCTGACAAATGACAGGTGGCTAAACTATACCTGACAAATGACAGGTGGCTAAACTATACCTGACAAATGACAGGTGGCTAAACCAGAACTGACAAATGAAAGGTGACTAAACTATACCTGACAAATGACAGGTGGCTAAACCAGAACTGACAAATGAAAGGTGGCTAAACTATACCTGACAAATGACAGGTGGCTAAACCAGAACTGACAAATGACAGGTGGCTAAATTAGAACTGACAAATGGAAGGTGACTAAACTATACCTGACAAATGACAGGTTGCTTAACTAGAACTGACAAATGACAGGTGGCTAAACTAGAACTGACAAATGACAGGTGGCTAAACCAGAACTGACAAATGAAAGGTGACTAAACTATACCTGACAAATGACAGGTGGCTAAACCAGAACTGACAAATGACAGGTGACTAAACTAGAACTGACAAAAGACAGGTGACTAAACTAGAACTGACAAATCACAGGTGGCTACACCAGAACTGACAAATGACAGGTAACTAAACTAGAACTGACCAATGACAGGTCTGCATAACATAATTAACAAATGACAGGTTGATAAACCAGAATCCACAATAGGCTGGCATACTAAAATTCACAAAGTGTAAACAAGATTTCACAAACAGCAAACTGGAATTAAATAATTAACATATGAAAGATTGGTAGTCTAAAATCAGAAAGTTCAAGAACGCAAGAGCCAGAAGTGACGCAACAATTACCTCCACACTGAACGGGTTTGTTCTCACTGGGTTTTCATTAATGCAGAAGCACGCCACACCTTTGACCTTTGCCCCGGTTACTATTGGCTGAAATGACAAAATAAAAACAGTTTTAACTTGTCCTGAAAAATTCACATCAACGCATTCACTGTCAGACAGGCCTCATTTCTTGATGGCTTTTACACATAAAACTGACAGACAGCTGAACAAACAAGTAATGACACATGTCACCAGAGGCTTTTTAGACAGATACTCAGACAAACACTCAGACAGGTACTCAGAGAGGTACTCAAACACTCAGACAGGTACTTAGACAAGTGCTCAGACAACTACTCAGACAGTTACTCAGACATGAACTCAGACAAGTACTCAAACAAGTACTTAGACAGGCACCCAGACAGGTACTCATACAGTACTCAGACAGGTACTTAGATGACCACTCACAAAGGTACTCATATAGGTACTCAGATATAAGTACTCAGATGAGCACTCACATTGGCACTCAGACAAATACTCAGACAAGAATGCAAACCAGCACTCAGACAATAACCGTTAGACAAGCAAACACAAAAGTCAACTGGTCTCCTGAAGCAGAAAACACACTGGAACTTTGGGCTGCCCTTGTCCAACTGCTAATAAAGAAAAAACACACGTGTTGTGTGCGTGGTTGCCGGCAATTCTAACTCACTCACACACAAGATGAATCCTGACATAAAAATGCCCAATCCAGTCCCACATGTTCAAACAGAACCTCATGTATCGCCGCACAATGTGATTACACACTGACAATAAGTGATAATACAGCAGACAATGTGACAACCCCAATACATAACATGAAAACACCACCAGACAATGTGACAACCCCAACACATAACATGAAAACACAACCAGACAATGTGATTACACAAACACATAACATGAACACACCACCAGACAATGTAACAACCCCAATACATAACATGAAAACACCACCAGACAATGGGATTACACAAATACATAACATGAAAACAACACCAGACAATGTGACAACCCCAACACATAACATGAAAACATCACCAGACAATGTGATTACACCAACACATAACATGAAAACACCACCAGACAATGTAACAACCCCAAAACATAACTTGAAAATACCACCAGACAATGTGATTATACCAACACATAACATGAAAACACCACCAGACAACACATAACATGAAAACACCACTACAGAACATAAGAATTCTCAACATAACAACAGCATCATACAACATAACAGCACCACATGACACCATAACCCAAACCTCTAAATCAAACATGTTGAGTAAGGTTAGCGTCGCGTCACACAGCACCATGATACGGTTCAGTGCAGAGGCAGCTTGTAGTTGCACCACAGGTTTTTTCTGGAAAGTAAAAAAAAAAAAAACTTGATCTTTTAGTACTGGTTGTTAATATCATGGAACATGGCAGAACATGAAGGAACTAACAACTGTAGATCAACAGACAACTGTAGATCAACAGACAACTGTAGATCAACAGACAACTGTAGATCAACAGATAACTGTAGATCAACAGATAACTGTAGATCAACAGATAACTGTAGATCAACAGACAACTGTAGATCAACAGATAACTGTAGATCAACAGACAACTGTAGATCAACAGATAACTGTAGACCAACAGATAACTGTAGATCAACAGACAACTGTAGATCAACAGACAACTGTAGATCAACAGATAACTGTAGATGAACAGACAACTGTAGATCAACAGACAACTGTAGATCAACAGACAACTGTAGATCAACAGACAACAATTCTTCTTCTGCATTTAATTTTAAAGGAGCAGCTGGCATCTTGTGCTATGGTTTACAGCGCAGCTGTGGTATCCATGCCATCCGACCTACACAGCAATTTCAGCAAATCCTTAATTAGTCACCGTTCACGATGTGCTTGTTGAGGAGCAGTGGGTCACACCCCCCCCCCCCCCCTTTCCCAACCTGAAGGTCCAGAAATCCGCAAGGAGAGAAACAAACAACCATACATAACATCATCCTAACTGATCAAGTCTTTTGTTACACACAGAACAAGTTTTCATCACAGCATGACACTCAGATAGTAACAGAGTTAATAAAATGTGCCTCCCAAAAAATAATTGTAACAGAGTTAATCAAGTGTTCCATGAAACAAACAAATTGTAATTGAGCAATCAAATATACCATCAAACAACAACACATAACAGAGTTAACAAAATGTGCCCCGAAACAAACTTATAACAGAGTAAACAAAATGTGTCATGAAACAAACAACTTGTAACAGAGTTAACCAAATGTGCCATAAAACAAACAACTTGTAACAAAGTTAACAAAATGTGCCATAAAACAAACAACTTATAACAGAGTTAACAAAATGTGCCATGAAATAAACAACTTATAACAGAGTTAACAAAATGTGCCAAGAAACAAACAACGTGTAACAGAGTTAACATAATGTGTCATGAAACAAACAACTTGTAACAGAGTTAACCAAATGTGCCATAAAACAAACAACTAGGAACAGAGTTAACAAAATAAGCCATGAAACAAACAACTTGTAATAGAGTTTAACAAAATGTGCCATAAAACAAACAACTTGTAACAGAGTTAACACAATAACTAGGATGGAACCAGGCGGGCTCTCGACAACACTGTCACTAGTAGAAATATATAGAGGCCAGTGTGTTCCTATACTGAGACTTGGTTCTAGACTTCTCTGTTATCTGATTCAGACAATCATTCTAGACTTTTATGTTATCTGACTCAGACAATCATTTTAGACTTTTCTGTTATCTGACTCAGACAATCATTCCAGACTTCTCTGTTATCTGATTCAAATAATCATTTTAGACTTCTCTGTTATCTGACTCAGATAATAATTTTAGACTCCTCTGTTATCTGAATTAGACAATAATTATAGACTTCTCTGTTATCTGACAGATAATCATACTAGACTTCTCTGTTATCTTACTCAGAAAACTATTCTAGACTTCTCTGTTATCTTACTCAGATAATCATTCTGGAGTTCTTTGTTATCTGATGCAGATAATCATTTTAGACTTATCTTTATCTGACTCAGATAATCATTGTAGACGTCTCTGTTATCTGACTCAGATAATCATTCTAGATTTCTCTGTTATCTGACTCAGATAATGGTGTACATCAGTGTTTCTCAACCTTTCTACAGCCACAGCCCACCAGGTGAGGAAAATTTGTGTACATCAAATAATGTTCTCTCTCCATTTTCTGCATGTGCTCCATTAATACTAAAATAAAATAGTATCCTTTCATTCTGAGTTAGGACACATATGTTTCAGGGATGTTTGATACACAACAGGATAACTATGTTCTGCATCAACACTCAGCCATGGGAGTCGCACTCAATAAGAAGATTGATAATCAACAAGGAGATCAACACTCAACGATGAGACTGACATTCAACAAAATTATCAAAACTCAACAGGGAGATCAACACAAAACAAGGAAATCAGCATAAAACAAGGAGATCAACTCAAAATAAGGGGATAAAACTTCAATAACGCAATAACGAGATCAGCACTCAACAGGGGACCACACTCGATAAAGAGATCAACACTCAACAAGGGGATCAACACTCAACAATGGAATCAGCACTCAAGAGGGGATCAATGCTCAACAAAAGGATCAATGCTCAACAACAAAGAGACCAACATTCAACAAAGAGATCAACACTTAACAATGGCATCAACACTCAACAAGAAGATCGATTCATCAATGAGATTGACACTCAAAATATAAATCAACAGTAAAAATCTGACCACGACCAGGAACTTGTGACCCTGTTTCTCTGTGACAAAAGTGATCCTGCCATTGGCATGCATCTTTTCTTCAATGCTGTAGTGTACCACAAAGCTGCAACAACATTACATTAGACATAGTATGTCACATGATAGTATGACACAGCATAAAAACTTTACACAACATGACAGCATCACACAACATGACAATATTACATAACATGACAGCATAATACAGCATGACAACATCACACAAAATGACAATATTATAAAACATGACAAAATCATATAACATGACAACATCACACAGCGTGATAGTATAACATAAAATGAATGAATAACATGACAGCATTTCAAAGCACTTGCATATGGTTCCTGTCATCTGTAACAAAGACAGAAGTAGCTGTGACTGTTAAGCGCAATCTGACAGTCAGAAATTAAACCACAGACAAAAGTGGCTGTGACAGCTAAAAGCTATCTGACAGTCAGAATTTAAACAGTCAGAAATTAAACAGTCAGAATTTAAAGTCAGAAATTAAACAGTCAGAAATTAAACAGTCAGAAATTAAACCACAGACAAAAGTGGCTGTGACAGCTAAAAGCTATACGACAGTCAGAAATTAAACCACAGACAAAAGTGGCTGTGACAGCTAAAAGCTATCTGACAGTCAGAATTTAAACAGTCAGAAATTAAACAGTCAGAATTTAAAGTCAGAAATTAAACAGTCAGAAATTAAACAGTCAGAAATTAAACCACAGACAAAAGTGGCTGTGACAGCTAAAAGCTATATGACAGTCAGAAATTAAACACAGACAAAAGTGGCTGTGACAGCTAAAAGCTATCTGACAGTCATAAATTAAACACTGACATAAGTGGCTGTGAAAGTTAAAAGCTATCTGACAGTCAGAAATCAAACCACAGACATAAGTAAAGGGGAGGTGAGGGCAACATATGACAACATTTCTTGCTATCCAAGGAGGCTTCCATCAAAGAAACTCCTACAGACTATGCTGGTACTGGGCTCACCCCAGGAATGGTCATGTTCTGTACATGGATGGCCAGCTGGACTTTCGCAGACTAACTCAACCTTCCATTCATCAAAGGTCTCATTCTGGGAGATCAGTAGGATGTAGGTCACAAGCCTCCACATGGTGAGCAGGATGCTCCTTAAGTCTGGACAATGACTTTTACAAACATTCTTCAACTGATGCCTGCGCAGGATCAAAGGACTAAAAGGCAGGAGAAACATTCATGCAGAGCATGTAGAAACAACTGAGCAGATGTATGGCAGAAGTCTTGCATGGGAATCTGGTGGAATAAACATAGAGACTGCCACCATCACAGGCAAGGTACAGAGTCCACCTTAATGTGCAACACAATTAACTTCATTTCTTATGATGTCATAGACACTACATTGGATTTAACTCTGCCCTTTCCAAATTTCGACTGATGCCATAGCTCAAGCTACTTCAATACCAAAGTTTTGTAATCGAGGTAATCAGGTGACCGCAATTCCAACTTCTCAGCAAACATAATTGCTCCTTTTCCTGTCCTATTGAGAACCACACAGAATGGCCACACTGTCCCCTGTAGACACAGAATGGCCACAGCTGTCCCCTGAAGACACAGAATGGCTACAGCTGTCCCCTGTAGACACAGACTGGCCACAGCTGTCCCCTGTACACACAGAATGGCCACAGCTGTCCCCTGTAGACACAGACTGGCCACAGCTGTCCCCTGTAGACACAGACTGGCCACAGCTGTCCCCTGTACACACAGAATGACTACAGCTGTTCCCTGTAGACACAGACTGCAGTCTCGGCAAAGCAGGTAACATTCACATGCATTCAATGCAGACAGCAGTCTTTACAAGTGCCAACACAAACAGTCCCACACTAGAACTGAAGTTCATAACTGGTGGAAGCAGCACTACATCCAGTATGGGAATAGAGGCGGAGACATTAATGGCAGCTTTCCGATGGCTTGAGATCAGCACAGCCCGACATGTTGAGATTGTAACAGACTCACATAGCATGCTGCGGAAAAACTGAAACTGGTGTCCTGCAATCAAAGTGGCTTGCATCACTTGATAAAACCCAGACCAAGAGTACATCATAGATTTTCTGTGCATGAGGTAACGAGCAGGTTGATAGAAAAGCTGCTGCTGCTCCTCTGGGTGATTGAGCTACTACATGGTAAAACAGATAGTGTGAAGGCTCTAGGGGATCAAATGGACAGTGCAAAAGAACAGATAGGGAATCCATACACTGAAAGACTAATTCAACAGGGGTTGAGTAGAGGTTCTGGAAGATATTCAATACTGAAGGGGAAACAGAGGTGGATCTTTAAATTAGGTTACAAATGGTACTGTTAGCATGTCAACTCTTCTTTGGCTACTGAAGAAGGGGACGGAGCAAGTGTGGGAATGTCCCGAGCGCAGTAATGTCAATTCTTAATTCATTCATTCAAGCAGTAGTTGGAACAAATCAGCGGCTGCACAAGCAATTAATCCCATAAGGCACCACAAACAGTCTTGACGTCATTTTCTGAATTTGCAGTTGGAAAAAAACAAACTATGTTGGGCAGTAAAGAAGCTTTCCATATTAAATCTGCAGCTCATAGTGTCTCTCATGCATCAAGCTCAGTAACTGGGTGATAGAACTACACATCTTCAGTCCAGATATTTTGAAAAATGCAACAGGTTACATAATAGTAGCCAGAAGCTAAATTACATTGCCTCGACTAAAAAGAGTAAACCTGCTTATCGGCTATATTGAACGGAAGTCACAAGGAACAAGAAAGCCATGTACTCACCAGTCATTTGTTCCGATATAAATATTTTTGCCACACACATCCAAGCATTCAATCTGGAATAACACAAAAATTCACAAATGCTACATGAATTCAAATTTGGAACATTGCTAAAATGTCACATTTATACCACTGCTACTATGTCACACTTGGACCATTGCTACAATGTCACATTTATACCACTGCTACTAAATCACACTTGGACCATTGCTACAATGTCACATTTATACCACTGTTACTATGTCACACTTGGACGACTGCTACAAGAAAGTCCCAGTTGGACCTTTGCTACAATGTCCCATTTAGACCACTGCTGATTAATGATCGGCACCTTTCCGTCTTTCCAGACGATAGTGTTAAACTGGGCTATGAGGCGGCATGGAACTCACAGCCCATGGCGATGGCGAGTGTGACTAGCAAGACCCGCCCATATCAAGACTACTCTTCCACAATGATAGCATGGGATTTCATGTAGACCATTGCTACAATGTCACATTTAGATCACTGCTACAATGTCACATATAGATCACTGCTACAATGTCACATTTAGATCACTGCTACAATGTCACATATAGATCACTGCTACAATGTCACATATAGACAACTACTACAATGTAAGATTTAGACCATTGCTACAATGTCACATTTAGATCACTGCTACAATGTCACATATAGACCACTGCTACAATGTCACATATAGATCACTGCTACAATGTCAGATATAGACAACTGTTACAATGTCAGATTTAGACCATTGCTACAATGTTACATATAGACCACTGCTACAATGTTACATATAGACAACTACTACAATGTCAGATTTAGACCACTGCTACAATGTTACATATAGACCACTGCTACAATGTTACATATAGACAACTACTACAATGTCAGATTTAGACCACTGCTACAATGTTACATATAGACCACTGCTACAATGTCAGATTTAGACCATTGCTACAATGTTACATATAGACAACTGCTACAATGTCACATATAGACAACTGCTACAATGTCAGATTTAGACTATTGCTACAATGTCACATATAGACAACTGCTACAATGTCAGATTTAGACCACTGCTACAATGTCACATTTAGACCTTTGATACAATTTAAATAATGCAGACACAAACAATACACCGCACTATTTACTGTCTGGCATATTTCGCTGTAACTCCTCAGGTGCATTACTACAATCACATCAACATATAGTGAAGCACACAATGAATCCTTTTCTTGCTGAAAAGCTTAAACCACAGTGTCAAATTGTTGTACATCTATCTGCCAGAAATTCAAAATCAATCATATGATTACCATATTAACTTCAAATTGATTACGTGATGTTTCAGTTTACATAACATTTTTGTAACCGCATTGTGTAAATTTACAACAGGAAAACACTGTTTTGAATTTCTTTGCTATATTGTCACATTTAGACTTTTGTTACAATGTTACATTTAGACAACTGCTACAATATCACATTTGGACAATTTCTACAATGTGACATTTGTACAACTGCTACAGTGTCACATTTAGACCTTTACTACAATGTCACAATTAGACCACTGTTACAATGTCACATTCATTTGGACCTTTACTACAGTGTTAAGTTTAGACCATAGCTACAATGTCACAATTAGACCACTGTTACAATGTCACATTTATTAGGACCTTTAGTACAGTATCACATTTAGACCATGGCTACAAAGTCACATTTAGACCATAGCTACAATGTCACAATTAGACCACTGTTACAATGTCCCATTCATTAAGACCTTTAGTACAGTGTCACATTTAGACCATGGCTACAAAGTCACAATTAGACCACTGTTATAATGTCCCATTCATAAGGATCTTTAGTACAGTATCAGATTTAGACCATGGCTACAATGTCACAATTAGACCACTGTTACAATGTCCCATTCATTAGGATCTTTAGTACAGTATCACATTTAGACCATGGCTACAAAGTCACATTTAGACCATTGTTATAATGTCACATTCATTTGGACCTTTACCACAGTGTAACATTTAGACCATTGCTACAATGTCACATTTGGACTACTGCTACAATAAAGTCATATCTGGACCCTTGCTACAAGAGTAGCAGATGTTGCACTCCCACTGCTGCAGTGACAACTTCAACAAACACACTTTATCAGCTAGTCAAGGTGTAACACTGTGTGTCTAATGACTGCAGTTCGAGACAGTCATGCCCATCTGGCCATGACAGCTGCTGGACTATGCTAGGGGTTATGATTTGACCTCATTCTATGTTCACACAAAATGCGGAAAGGTGTGCTTGTGCACTGGGTGGAAAACCTGGAAAGAATTTTAATTTTTTCGCAAACTGCTGCGCAACTGTTACAAGTAAGTGCTGCTGCTGCAACGTTCTGTCTGTCTGTCTGTGTGAGTGTGTGTGCATGTCAGCACTTCTGTAACATTCTGTGTGTGCATGTTGTAACCCCATTTACACACCACCAAATGTAGGTCAACTCCATTGATGAGTTGGTTGGACTAGTCTACTATGGTCGAGGTTATGGGTGTCGCAGTCTGTTGTTGTCTGGCATTTACGTTTTTATTTCCGAGAAAGAGACGGCCTGTGACATATGTTTTATCAAGATGGAGTTGTGTGTTAGACCCAGTATCTAAATGTTTTAGAAGTGTTAAAAGCTTTGGCATGATGAAATATACAACACACGGCATGAACGTGAGTGCAGAATATCCCTGTGACCTTATGTGAAAGTCGGATCGCTCGAGGCCGACCTATCAGAAGGGAAGTGGCCAGTAAGTCATTCAATCAGAAGTGAGATAGTGTGTAGCGATGTTTAAATTGGGAGACCAGCGTAAAATTTACCGAATAAATGCCAACCACAACAACGCAACACATTACACCTCTAGAAAAGTTGACTGGGCTAGGGTTTCCAGGATTTCCCTCGTTTGGGGTAGTTTAAAATTATTGTACCTCACATCGTCAGTACAGTTTCCTGTGTTATTATTCATCCTGTTCATTGATAGACAGTACAGTATCTTGCACAACTCGCAATACAAAGCGAATCGCCGAGCGTTCTGAACTTTATTAGTGCTCCCTTACAAGAAACGTTTCCTCCACTTCTGAGTTAACTAAACGTTTTAAAAGAGTTAACATGATCGCTGATATTTACCTCGAACAGTTCAATTACAGTAGTTGGCATTTTGGATAATCACAATTATTGAATAGTTAGTGCAGTATTGTATAGTATTAGTTTAGTAGTAGTACTAACTGTACAGTACCTGAGTTTTCGCTTTATCTGACATGAGCTTTACCCGCTCAATGGCAGAGACAAGCTCGAATGCCTTGATGCTCATGGCTGGTGCAGTTGTCAGACTGTCAGGAGTCACGTGAAGAGGCTAACGTTGATATGTTGTTGTCGAGAAAAAATCAAATCAAGCCTCCTCCACAACTGGAGGCTTCGGGAACCTAACCATGGCAGAGGCCATGTTTACAACAGCGACATCTAGTGAAAGCCACCGCCTACTTCCACAAGGGCGGCCACTCTCTATGTTTGCGAGGTGGGGGTCACACGAGCCTTTTTGTGGCTGGGAAGGAACCGACATAATAGCCCCCGGGACGTTCTTATAAACGCTCCGTCCACATCTTCAGCAGCAAGCGCAGAGTTCCAGTTTGGATGATACCAGTTACTGACTGTATGTCTGTCTCGCCTTTCCCATGAGCGTCGTCCAAATACCCTGGTCACACCTCACTACACAATTCTCTTCAGAATGAGAATCTAGGTTTACGTTTCGACGACGGATTAACATCACGGCACACGGGTAGTAGTCTATAAGTGCTCCGTCTACTTTTAACTCAAGTCCGAGTCCAAAGAATCTCAGTGCAAGAAATCTGTAGGATCGGCGAGAATCCTAAAATATTTTGGGTATATTTTTAAACTCTGAATTCTGCCCGTCCAGCACCGTTAGGCTACTCGCAATACACACAGGCGTCCGATCTTACTACACAGAGACCAGGGGGGAAATGTGTTTGGACCTTCGCACTGTTTATTGTATTCAAATCGCCCTTATAGCATCTAGCTTGTAATGTTTTAATTTACCAGCTAGTGCTGATTAACCAGCTAGTCTATCCACCGGTTCGTGTCCCAACACATTTGCAAGAACAAGAATTGCAAGGTGGCAGTGAATCCACATCACTCGCCAGAATGGCAGACTTGGGAATTAAGATCGGCACAGCAAAAAACGAGACGCACACCAGCTACGCCAGAAGACTTGTTAATCAACATAGAACTGGTACTATTAGCCATCGGACGTTGGGGTTCATACTGAGGGGAGGATCTGAGCACCTATGGACATGTCCGGAGTGCAATGAGGATAACCCAACTAACTAACTAACTAACTAACATTTGCAAAACCAGCAGAGAGATGTAGTGACACAATTCACCTCCATTCGCAAAATACAGGTAGGTGTTTCCAAATTCACGCTTTGTTGCACTAAGTGATGTCAATTCGCTTTTGCTATGGGACCCCCCCCCCCCCCCCCCCCACTTCTGCACAGAGATATTTGTATAGGTAACCACAACCACTGTGGAGGAAGTTTCATGAATTATTTGCTGAACGAGACTAGAACCGTATGCAGACATTGTACTGAGTCATTCTAAAAGTCAACGGTTTGTGGGGTTACCGTTATTTTTAGAGTCCCGGGATATTTTGATGTTGTCGACAATAAAATAGCAGATAGATTGGCGTGCACTACTGAAGGTGCAGATGGCCGACCAATAGATCGCACCGACATGGTCAGTATCCTTAGAGGGCGGACGATTGGATGATTCTGGGGGCAGTGCGTTCACATAGCTGTTTAAAATATGAGATGTGGAAGTAAAGATTGGCATGACTAGGCACGAGAGGAACGCTGGACGTATGAGACGTCGTGTCAAATGTCAGCCAGCATTCAACTGGCACTGTTAGCCACTATAGCATTCGACTGTTCTCATTCTGGTGACGACGCAGTGAGAGAATCTCCTAGTAATGGCATTCGACTATTCTTACTCTGGTGAGGACACAGTGAGCGAATCTTCTAGTGATAGCATTTGACTATTGTCACACTGGTGAGAACGCAATGAGAGAATCTCATATTCATACGGAATGAGACCTGTCATATAGGACGAGACCTGTCTCATGAGATAAAATCTGCCATACGGAATTAGACATGTCTTTAGGATAAGGCATGTCAAATAGAGATTAGTCTTGTCGTATGGGATGAGGCATGTCGTATATGATGAGACCTGTCATATGGGATGAGGCATGTCATATGGGATGAGACATGTCAAATATTGATAAGACTTGCCGTATGAGATGATGCATGTCGTATTGGCTGAGACCTGTCATTTGGAATGAGGCATCTCATATAGGATGAGACCTGTCATACGGGATGAAGCATGTAGTATGGCATCATATGGGAAGAGACCTGTCATATGGGGTGAGGCATGTAGTATGGAATGTGGCATCATATGGGAAGAGACCTTTCATACTGACTGACTGACTTTCTACCCCACCAGGACATCACACAAGCGACAAACACCCGATGACACAAAGTGCCACCATGTGGATGAGGATCACCGTGGAGAGGTCCCAGAAACCGCGTTCAGACATTTGGCCATATTGATGGCCTGCCTATATTGCGGCCCCTGGCAAAAGCCAGAGTAGGGCTTCAAATGACAAAAAATTTCGTCCTAAAAAGGACGAAACTGGACCTTTCATACGGAATGAGGTATCTCATATAGGATGAGACCTGTCATATGGGATGAGGCATGAAGTATGGAATATAGCATCATATGGGGAGAGACCTGTCATATGGGGTGAGGCCCGTGCTATGGCATGAAGCACTACGGGATCAAGCCTGTCCTGTGAGATGAAGTCCTGCAACCGGTTTGTCCTCATTTAGTACCCCGGTTAAACCGTTAACGCCTATGCTGTGGAGATAAAGAGGCCCTGTCTGGGGGTGACCAGAGCCGGGTCACCAGGGCCAGTAACTCCTGCACGGTTGAAATATGGCGGCCCCCGGAGCTGGAGACGGTTGCAGGTAAACTTGCGAGTTCTGGTAGCCATAAGCACAGATTCTCGCTTTGTTGAAACATTCCACTGCTCATTTTCTGATAGTGGATAGACACCAAATGTAGCAGTTATCGGTGTCAGTAACTTGTTGGGGGATGATATATATCGAATCTATTATCGTTCTCGGTTTTTTTTTCCGGGCATTGTTTGATTTGCATGTCGTATTGGCTGGGTGAACAACATTGCAGTTAATACAAGAAAAGCAATTTTTGATAATTATAATAATATCAGAATATAGATATTGAAACAGCACCAACTGTACCTCCACCCCCTCCCAGCCTTTTCTCGTGATAAAACACACGCCCTCAAACATTTGGCAGTTGTTTGATTGTTTACCTTTATGCTAAGTTTTACAGCCAAACTTTTTCAAATTTAATATTGAAATATTCGGCTATCCTCTGAATAACGGGCACTAAAGATGGCGGCCGCAAAATATCCTTACGAGCAAAGCTGCAGGAGATGCGGAAGCTGCTGCTCGTAAGTCCTAGCCATCTAGTTAAGCCCCAAACCACGCCGCTCATGCGGCGTGGGGGACTCTTAGCGGTGGCGGTAGTCGCCGGAAAACCGCAAATTAAGTCGCCGGAAGTGCAGAATTGACACGTGACTGAGGCTCGTAAGGATATTTTGCGGCCGCCATCTTTAGTGCCCGTTATTCAGAGGATAGCCAAATATTCTATTATGCAGGTCCTGTGCAAGTTAATAATTTTTAATAACCAGTCATCTCCTTGTGGGATGCAATCTTTTGTTATTTTGAAGCCCCACCCTGGCTCTTGCCAGAGGCCACAATATAGCTGAGCCATAAATATGTTCTAATGGCTGAATGCGGTTTCCGGGACATCTCCATGGGTGATTCTCATTCACATGGTGGCACTTTGTGTCTTCAGGTGTTTATCGCTTGTGTGATGTCCTAGTGGGATAAAATGTACTACTACTACTAAGTTAATAATGCAGAGATTAAACAGCATGAAGAACCTATGGCAAAGCACCTGTAAATTATGTAAATTAAAAATCTTGATATGATGAAATTTTTCTGTGGCAACTTACGGCTGTGAGTCCTGGACTCTCGCTCATTCATTGAAGAAAAAGATTGGAGCTTTTGAATTAAAATGTTACAGAAAAATTCTCACAATACCATGGATCAAGAAGAGGAAAAACATGGACATTCTACGTGGTGTCCCGAGTGCTGTGATGCCGATTCTTAATTCAACATTCTGCACGAGTTAAACATCAAGGAGAACTGACTCCTAAACAGCATCCTGTCCTGAAAGTTGAAGTATTTTGGCCACATCAAGAGTCATGGTGGCTTGGAAAAGATAGTGATGGAGGATGCAGTTTGTGAAAGGTGAGGCAGGGGTCAACCTCCGTGAAGATAGAGACATGACATTGAAGATGCATTAGCCTTGAAAGCACATGGGGCCGGAGAGCTGGCTAGGGAAAGGGATAATTTTAGGCGTGCTGTGAAGAGAGCTACGTTCTGTAAAGGACTTGGTGATGTGTTAATATTGTGAATTGTCTTCTTCTTCTTCTTCACTTCCTGTTTTACCGCTGTGGGTGTCGAGGGAGATATAAGGTTCTGTTTCTAGCTCTTCTGGCTGCCTCGACCATAGGCACATCGTGCTGTTGTAGTTTCTCTGATGTTATCCTTCCATCTTGTTCTTGGTCTACCCCGTGCTCCACGTCGTCCTTCTATTTCCATGTATGCTTTGTATGGTATGGTGTCACAAGGCATTCTCTCTAAGTGGGCAAATCATTTCACTTGCTGTCTTTGTATGTAATCCAGAATTGGTTCTGTGCCGACTTGTTCTCTTATGATCTCATTCCTGATCTTATCTCTTATGGTCACTCCTATAGCCCTTCTCAGACATCTCATTTCCGTGGTTACTAATTTTCTTTTATGGTTTGTTGTGAGTGACCATGTCTGGCACTGGTAGCACAGAGTTGGAATAAATATGCTTTGAATAAGATGTCTCTTTATGCTGATTGGGATTGTCTTATGCTGTAAGAGGGGGGCTAGCTGTCCCAATACTTGGTTTGCTTTACTGCATCTAATGTCAATTTCTTTATCCTATTTCCCATCTTCGGTAAATGTAGTTCCCAGATATTTAAACTCAGATGCCTGTTTAATGTCTTTGTATTCTATTGCTATGTTTAGATCTGTCTTCTTTGTGGCCGCCATTTTTAGTGCCCGTTATTCAGAGGATAGCCAAATATTAATTGTGAATTGTGCTTGCAGTAAAAGTTAACAGAAATGTTAATGTGAAAGGACTTGGCGATGATGTGTTAATATTGTGAATTGTGCTTGCAGTAAAAGTTAACAGAAATGTTACTGTGGGAATTATTGAAGTCAGCTAAATGTATAATTTGGTCAAGGTTGTCACTGCAAGTTTCCACTGGCTAGCTAACACGATACACACACATCCTGATTGTAACTGACCCAGAAAGCATGCTGAGGAAGGTGAGGATAGGTGTGCAGAGTGGTATGCTAAGAGCATTGTCTTGATTTTTTTCTCTGGTATGCCAGTGTTTTTGAAAATGAACAGGCAGGCAGATTGGCTGACTCTGCACAACTTGGTGAAATATTGATGCATGATAAGATAGATGTGGTTAATGCCTTGTGGGAGCACATGTACAATCTGGAACAGAGAATGGATTATCACAGTCTGGTGAGAGTGATGCAGTGAGGAGTGACGAGGGGATCGGGCCCATACTCTACGCTCAGAGGAAAGTCAAGATGGTTGTGTAATCAGACTGCTACTGGCACCATTGGTATTGGAACTCTGAGCTGGCTGCTGAATATGGGGACAGAGTGCTAATGGGAATGCTCTGATTGCTATTATGTCAGTTCTTAAATCACATCAAATCAAGTGTGCACATGTACTGAGTACAAGCTCATCATTGCTGTATTGTTCACTCCATCAGTCAAGATCATTGCTAGATTGTTCACTCCATCAGTCAGTACAAGATCATTGCGCTATTATTCACTCCATCAGTCAGTACATGATCATTGTTCTGTTTTTCACTCCACCAGTCAGTACAAGGTCATTGCTCTTTTGTTCACTCCATCGGTCAGTACAAGGTCATTGCTTTGTTGTTCACTCCATCATTCAGTACAAGATTATTTATATGAACTACATAGTAGATATTGCATTAGTCAAATACTATCTAATTAAATGACAGTGTTAAACATTGGAGCTGTTTGTTTTATATTGTAATGTCTTCATAGCATTCACCTCACATCACATATATACTGACCAATAGGTGATGAGATCAAGAATGGCACAATGTTTGTTACACATCCATGTGAAAGATGGCTATAATATCATTTGTTGTGTCTCCAGGCCTCGTGACAGAGATCATTGACTGGAGATCTCAGGCACTGATTACAGGCACAGTTGAGACTTTAACCAGCTGTAATATCTGAGGTTAGCTACATTCGTACATCTTTTCTACATTTGGATCTACAAGTACCATACATTTGGCGGTACAATTACCTAACAGTTGGTGGTACAAGTACCTTAAAGTTGGTGGTATAAGTACCTTACAGTTGGTGCTACAAGTACCTTACAGTTGGTGCTACAAGTACCTTACAGTTGGTGCTACAAGTACCTTACAGTTGGTGGTACAAGTACCTTACAGTTGGTGGTACAAGTACCTTACAATTGGTGGTACAAGTACCCTAGAGTTAAAAGCTACAGTTAAAGGTGCAACTACTCTACAACTGAAGTCAACATATCCTTAGCAAGTGATATGGCTGCTACAGTGCCAGTAACCAGAGCAGATGCCCAGGATGATAGTGAAACAACTTTGGATCTCAGGCTGCCTACAGAATCCCCATCACCAACACATGATCACAGTGAATCTGCAGTGCTGTCTATGGGGGGCCTGAAGTCAGAGGAGTCGCCTACAGCAGTTAATGAATCAAAGTATTGCTTTTCACAAATTGACCTGGCCGGCAGATTTGAGGATTCAAATAAGATGTACATTTGCCATCTGTGTGATTTCCGAACAGCTTTCAGAAACAGTCTGTTGAACCACCAGGCAGTGCATTCAGATTTCAGACCATGGGTGTGCAATGTGTGTGAATATGCTGCCAAGAGGAAACAAGACTTGAAGAAACACTTGCATACCATCCATGGCTTGATGGTTGAGTCAACAATGTTGAAACCTGTGGGCTTACCAAGCATCCACTCCACAATCACCTCTGGACTGTTGTCCAGAGGAGAGAGTGGAGAGGAGAATTCCTGGGATGGTATTAAAGGAAACAAAATTTCAGAGCTGGATACAGTGTACACTAACTCGCACTTCCTTCAGCCAGTGACTGACCTGCCAGGAGCAGACATCATGACCGTCTCCATCAAACAGGAGCAGCTAGAGTTGACTGGTCAGAAACCACTGCCCAGTATGTGCAACTTCATCAGCAGAAGCCCACCAGAGTCTGAGTGTGACCTGCCCATTTCATTTCCATCAGTTCACATTTCTAAAGACAACATGGCTACTCATGCACAGAGCATGTCCAAGCTGTCAGAGTCATCACTGCGTTCGAGAAGTTACACTTCTCTTTCAGATAAAGCCAAGACCTCTAAAGACAGCAAAGTTTCCCTCAACTTTTCTAAGCAGACACTGGACTGTGATTTTCCTCTACATAGCTTCTCAACACCAACCAGAAAACGACTTCGCAGTAATCCCGTTGACAGTCAGTCGTACACAGAAACATCGCAGGAACATTTAACACCCCCGGTAAAATCTGCCAAAATGGTGGACTGTGATGAGCTTCCTTGCAGCAGCTCTGTTGGTGCTTGTCACAGCCGAAGCAACCAGACGCAGACTTCATTTCTGTGTGAATTCTGTGACATCATGTTCTTCCAGAGAGCCATGTACCTGATGCATGCTGGTCTACATTCGGCTGACAACCCTTGGTGCTGTGCTGTGTGTGGTAGCAGCTTTACAGAAAAGTATAGTTTCACTTCACATTTCATCAACCAGCACTGACATGACACACTGCAGACTCATTGACCAGCACTGACATGACACACAGCAGACTCATTGACCAGCACTGACATGACACACAGCAGACTCATTGACCAGCACTGACATGACACACAGCAGACTCATTGACCAGCACTGACATGACACACAGCAGACTCATTGACCAGCACTGACATGACACACAGCAGACTCATTGACCAGCACTGACATGACACACAGCAGACTCATTGACCAACACTGACACGACACACAGCAGACTCATTGACCAGCACTGACATGACACACACGAGACTCATTGACCAGCAAAGACATGACACACAGCAGACTCATTGACCAGCACTGACACGACACACACCAGACCCATTGACCAGCACTGACATGACACACACGAGACTCACTGACCAGCACTGACATGACACACACCAGACTCATTGACCAGCACTGACATGACACACACGCCTGACAGCTGACTCATTGACCACTACTGACACATCAGTCAGCAATAACTTGACACACACACACAACACAGCTGATTTATTGACCAGCACTGACTTGACAAACAAAACAAGCTGATTTGCAGATGTGCTAGTCATGTTTAGCCAAATATTCATTGATTGTCAACATTCTCATGTCTCACCAATGGCCTTTAAGATTCATGTATACACGCAGTTTTGATTTTATATTTATAACTGTTGCTGTTTTTATGTTGAATTGTTTAGTCACAACTCTCTCACACACACACACACACCAGGCCTGGATGTTTTGCAAATGGAGAACCTAATCAAGGTCACAGACTGCATGAGTCCATTAATAGATGAGAATTGATGTATCTTGTTATCTCCTTCATGTTAGCCTCTGCAGTGTCTGACCTTTCTATGTATCAGTGAAACTGTGAACCAGCCAGTGACTAAGGGTTCATACTTCTGTGTGTCAGTGAAACTGTGAACCAGCCAGTTATTGTCTCTAAGGATTCATACTTTTGTGTGTCAGTGAAACTGTGAACCAGCCAGTCATTGTCTCTAAGGATTCATACTTCTGTGTGTCAGTGGAACTGTGAACCAGCCAGTCATTCGTCTCTAAGGATTCATACTTCTGTGTGTCAGTGGAACTGTGAACCAGCCAGTCATTCGTCTCTAAGGATTCATACTTCTGTGTGTCAGTGAAACTGAACCAGCCAGTCATTGTCTCTAAGGTTCATAGTTCTGTGTGTCTGTGAAACAGCCAGTCATTGTCTCTAAGGGTTCATACTTCTGTGTGTCAGTGAAACTGAACCAGCCAGTCATTGTCTCTAAGGGTTCATACTTCTTTGTGTCAGTGAAACTGTGAACCAGCCAGTCATTGTCTCTAAGGATTCATACTTCTGTGTGTCAGTGAAACTGTGAACCAGCCAGTCATTGTCTCTAAGGATTCATACTTTTGTGTGTCAGTGAAACTGTGAACCAGCCAGTCATTGTCTCTAAGGATTCATACTTCTGTGTGTCAGTGAAACTGAACCAGCCAGTCATTGTCTCTAAGGATTCATACTTCTGTGTGTCAGTGAAACTGTGAACCAGCCAGTCATTGTCTCTAAGGATTCATACTTCTGTGTGTCAGTGAAACTGTGAACCAGCAAGTCATTCGTCTCTAAGGATTCATACTTCTGTGTGTCAGTGAAACTGTGAACCAGCCAGTCATTCGTCTCTAAGGATTCATACTTCTGTGTGTCAGTGAAACTGTGAACCAGCCAGTCATTCGTCTCTAAGGATTCATACTTCTGTGTGTCAGTGAAACTGTGAACCAGCCAGTCATTGTCTCTAAGGATTCATACTTCTGTGTGTCAGTGAAACTGAACCAGCCAGTCATTGTCACTAAGGATTCATACTTCTGTGTGTCAGTGAAACTGTGAATCAGCCAGTCATTGTCACTAAGGATCCATACTTCTGTGTGTCAGTGAAACTGTGAACCAGCCAGTCATTGTCTCTAAGGATTCATACTTCTGTGTGTCAGTGAAACTGTGAACAAGCCAGTCATTGTCTCTAAGGATTCATACTTCTGTGTGTTTGTGAAACTGTGAACAAGTCAGTCATTGTCTCTAAGGATTCATACTTCTGTTTGTCAGTGAAACTGAACCAGCCAGTCATTGTCACTAAGGATTCATACTTCTGTGTGTCAGTGAAACTGTGAACCAGCCTGTTACTGTCTCTAAGGGTTCATACTTGTGATATCACTCAATTACCCACTTATTGTTTCTAGTGGCTAATATTTACATTAACCATTTGCATAAAAGTAAATAGTAGAAATAAAATGAATTTCTTCTTCTTCATGTTCCAGCAGAAATTTCTGGTTGTCAGCTTCTGGACTTTAGTGTTGTTTCAGAACTTGCGTTTTATGCCAGCCCCCTCTACAGCAGCCTTTACTAGGTGCTTGAGTGCTGCTCCAAGCCACTAGTTCTGGTGCAGTTGACATTTCTTAGCCAACATAATTGGCACAAAGAAAAAAAGACCACAATTATAACTGTACTGCTCGCTGTCGGTTGAACGTGGTCAATTTTTTTGTTTTGTGTTTACATAAATGGATGGATGGATTGGGGGTCAACCTGTCTACGCATGGATACCCTGGGTGGTATCTGAAAGGGCAAGACCTGTGGATAAAGGGGAAAAAGACAACACCACACAAATAAGGCTACAACATGTCCCTGCCCCACAAAACTATCCGGGAAGTTAACCTGGTCAACAAATGCTTGATGAAGTCAGATGTGTCGGCAGAAAGGTGCACATATCACAGCTCTGCTGTAAACTGGCACACACATTTACGTCACTTGGATAAATGAAAAAAAGAAGAAGAATGTACAATCATTACAAAGATTAGATACTTAGGAGAGCTGCTAAAGTAACAAGAAAAGGCAACATTTACTATTTAAAAAAAGGAGCTTAGAGAAACTTTAAAGAAGAAGACTGAACCAGACACATAATTCATTAGAAAGCAACGGAATAAACTTGCAACTGTTGCTACAAGTATCCAAGTGCCTTTGTTGTCTGGCGGGTGTTTCTGCAGCCCTTGATACAGTGGCTTGGAAAACTGGTACTGTTCCTGATGTGTGGCTACATGTGGTGACATTTTATTTTGTTTATTAGCTTTGGACTGTTTGTGGGAATATTGGACTATCTGTGGGAAGATTGGACCATCTTTAGGAACATTGGACTATCTGAAGGAACATTGGGCTATTTGTGGGAACATTGAACTGTTTGTGGGAACATTGCATTATCTGTGGAAACATTGGACTATCTGTAGGAACATTGGGCTATATGTAGGAACATTGGGCTATTTGTGGGAACATTGGACTATCTGTGGGAACATTAGATATGTGGGAACATTGGGCTATTTGTGGGAACATTGGACTATCTGAAGGAACATTGGGCTATTTGTGGGAACATTATATGTGTCCAGTAAATGGTTATATCTCTAGTAGATAAAGAAAATGTGCCCTATTGTTGTTGTTTACATTGCTTTCTAAATTGTTTGTACAGATAGTCGACAGATTATCCTCACTGCACAACAAAGCAGTCAGTCTATAAGCGCTCGTATGCACTCCTCAGTCAATCCCGCAGCCTGTAGCAGCTGAGGACACCTGTCCTGTTGTTTCTGTGGGAGAATGCAAGCTAGCTAAATGTTGTCCTGGCAGTAAGTGCCCTTGCTTTTCCTCACAGTTGACAGGTTCAGTACCCAGCAGTGTTGTTTCCATCAGACACGCTTCATTGGTTCTTCTTCTTCTGTTCTTTATTCTCCAGTGGGGGAAAGGCCCTCAACCAACAAACGCCAAGTCCTCCTATCCTTTATCTTTATTTGTTTCATTCACCAGTTCTATTCTCAGTGTTTTTTTTTTTTTGGTTTGCTTGTATTTCCATGCCTATTGGGTTCCGTGGCATAGGTGCTTAAGCAGATGTGGTGTCTATATCTTTCTGTCTGTGGTCATCCTAGAAACAGGGACCTGGTCAGTTTACATAGGATGTTATTCCCTGGAAGTCCGAGTAAATTTCCTGATAAGTGAGAAATCAACTGTGTGTGCACACACAAAACTCATGTCTGGAACAAGAGTCAAAGTCCAGAAGTGGACACACAGCCAGAACTTTCAGCTAGAGTTTACAGCTGGGGAACACAAACAAGAAGGTTCCTGGTGTGTGTACATGGTGGCTGGTTATGGTTGTTTGTCCACGTGTGGACTTTAATCTTGTTCCAGACATGAGTTTGCGTGCACACACAGTTGACAAGATTTGGCTTATTTGTGTGTACATGGTTCCTGCTGTATGTACATGGTGGCTGGTGTGCACACATAGTTTCTGGTATGTGTACATGGTTCATGTGTGTACATGCTGGCTGCATACTGTATGGTCACCACAGCAAGCACTCAAAGGAACTTGTTTTTGGGATATAGCTCTACACAACAATTTTGTATGTGTTCTCTACTCTCATAATTTGCCTTCCACATTAAGTGATCCTGACTGATAAACTAAAGTTGGTCATATCCAGCTTGTAGTACCTGATCTTGTCTTTACTAAAATTGTCTGGTCTGGTCATCCTCTTGTGTGTGTTAGCATGTTTCTTTTTAGGGAACACTGTTACATCAGTTAAAACTGAGATTTGTGGTGAATGTACAGTGATGGCTGATATGCGAGACTGATCAGTGGTGTGTGTTCTATAATGGTTGAGGTATGAGCCTGACAGATACCTGGTGTATGTTCTGAGATGGTTGACCTGTGAGACTGACAGATATATATCCATAAAGTTGATGTGCTCTGTACTCGTTCAAGTGATCTGTACTTCAATCATGTCATGAGAAACAATTTGGGTGGGGTAAGAAAGGACACAATGTGTGGGGGGTCAAGAGATAAGACAATGTGGGTGGATCAAGAGATAAGAAACAATGAGGGTGGGATGAGAGATAAGAAACATTGTGAGTGGTGGGCCAAGAGATAAAGACTGGGTGTAGTCTGAGGGATAAGAAACAATGTGGGTAGGCTGAAGGAAAACAAGATCTAGTCCTGTCCAAAGAAAAGTGTCTGCCCTTGTCACTGAGGATTGGAAATGAAGAACTGTCAAGGAGTGGGCTAAAAGTGGCTACCTCTCACTGAAGAACTGTCAAGGAGTGGGATAATAGAGGCTACCTCTCACTGAAGAACTGTCAAAGAGTAGGCTGAACCTGTAGGTTATTGACTTCAGATCCTACTGTAACTAGTTATTACAACAAGAAAGTTAGTTACAAAGTTTAAGACAGTCATAAGATTACTGTAACAACACAGTAACCAATTCCCAAGAACCAAAAAAGACACCATGTTTCCCCGAATCATGCCCTCCTCCAGTTTTTTCCTAATCCATTATAAGTGTAAAGTAAAGTAAAGGACCCTTTCCACGCCTTTAGGCGTATAGGGCATATAGGGCTAGACCTATATTTTTATAGACCAACGGCACAAGATGGGTGATGTGGTCAGCATCACGCCGGCCGCCTCTACTTCCCGGGATTGCACCTGGTACCCACTCAAGGCTGGGTCGACCTGGGAGCCAAGGTCATTTTTAATCCATTATAGTCTAAAGTATTTCAGTTTCGGAGACAAGATGCTGTTTTCTTCATGTTCTAATCTTTTAGGACGATGCTAGTATTTCTTCTGCTCCTGGTCGTTGCAATAGTAAGAATCTTTCTACAGCATTTCAGCATAAAATCCCCAGTTTTCTTTCTGACTGATTGTTTAGGTGACTCACATCCATGTTGCTTCAGCAAAGATGCATAGCTCTCAAAAGGTTGACTAACATTTGCTTGTTGGCACTTAGACTTTTAATGTTTAAATCTTTGCATTTCATGGTCACCAAAAGAAAAAGAACAAACACAGACCTTGTGAATATTAAGTTCTAGTAAGTAACATGATAAGACAGGTCTCATGGTCACACACTACAAATAAGGACTGGAAGGAAGAACTCATGTATCTGCAGCATCATATCAACAAACAACACGATCCTGGAATCAAGACCAGACACACACCTTGACTACAATGGAAGTACTAGTCACATGTTTCAACTGCTTGCTTGCACGCACAATGTTGGGTGTCACAGACTGGCTGTTACATTCAACACTTACAATATTCTACAAACACCCAGTGTAACTGTTTCCCTCTCCATTCTCACATTAATTCAAACAGATGTCAGGATCAAACAATAAGTGTTCAAACACTGGTACAGATATCAAACACGGACAGATCATCTTCTGTTACATCCACACAGGGATGCTACAAATCAATGGAAGCTCCTGAATGCAACAAATAAGTCACTACAACATGCATGAGTTTGAACCATTCCACCCCGAGATGCAGCTAATCTGGCATCTATGACTGTTATAAATCCTCACTTAACCGGTATTGCTGCATTGCACTGTCCCCAGCAAGCCTAGTTCATGGTTTTGGTTTCTGTTTGTGCTTGCACATAATGTAGTAGGAGGACCAAATTATGATTATATTTACTTTTTTTTTTTTTAAAAAGAGCGTTTAGTGGGTAATTTATTGTGAAACTGGCTTTTTAGAAATGAATAGCCAACTTGACATCATAATTTGCTTTTAGTCTTAGCAGTTGCACTGTGGCCCAGTCATGGTATGAGGCACTATTTGAAAAAAAAAATATCTAGGCCCAAGAGAAAATATTCTATTTAGTTCTCCCCTTCCTGTTTGTGTTTACTGAATACTATCTTTTATTTATTTCTTTTTTTTTTTAAAGATGTTTAAATATATATCAATAAATAAATTATTAAAGAGCAGTGACAAATGGTTGCTTTATAAAGAACTGTTTTCGAAATCCTTGGGTTTGTGACTTTTCTTCCCAAGGGTTTCTGTTGCAAAATGTTTTTTTTAAAAGCTGTGTATCACTAATATAAACCACTAGTGCAGACATAATACTGTAGCAATAGGTACAGACAAATCACAATTGTAGTGTACTACTCAAACGTGGCTAGAGATAAGTTATGTTTTTCAATTCTATGTAAACTAAGGGAGACAGACTGGGAATCAATACAAGATTGCTGCAATGCAGATACTTGTGGGTGGCATGCAGAAACATGATGTTAAACAAAACAAGTGCAGCCATACATACATTAAATACGAGAGAAAAAAAACACGCACACACACATATGCCAAAAACTAGCAGGGTCTTGGGCTAAGCTAATCTTAAGGACCAGAATCACAAACCGGTAACAACTAGGGGCTAGAAAAAGATAAAGAAAACACACACCAAAGTGATTCACAACTAGATGATAAGGGCAATCAACTGAACAATGGACACATCACATTCCGTGGCAAGAGACACATAAACTACCAGGCAATGATAGGAGAAAACAACAAAACAAGCACACCCATCATATTAGGGAAAGGGATCAACAGTTTCAATGGAATATAGGCAACCATTAACAACTTGAGTAAAAAAAAATGTAACAGGCCATGAAACAAATGCACTCATCATCATCAAGTAGCAGGTCCTTTGCAGAATGTCGCTCTCATCATGGTCTGCCTGAAAGAAACACAGTCTCTTGCCAGCTCTCCTGCCTCGTGGACTTTCATACTTCAGAAGTCACTTATATCCTGTACCCATCTTCGTATTGGTCAGTCCCTGCCCCTCCTTCCTGGTACCATGCTTTCTGCTATTATTTTTTGCAATCCGTCCTGGCGCTTGATATGAACAAAATATTTCCGCTTCCGAGACAAGATGCTGTTGATTAGCAAATCTTCCTTGATGTTCAGATCTTTTAAAATGTCAGTATTTCTTTACTTTTTTGTCCATGGTATTCTGAGAATTTTTTATTTCAGCTCAAAAGTCTCTATTTTAGAACTAAACTTTATAACAAAACAGGCATAAATATTCTGGACAGCTTAAATAATAATTATTTAAAAAAATTAAAAGTACAGACATTTTACCATCACTACATAGCAAAGGAAACAATGGATTAAAAAAAAAAAATGAATTAAAGATGAAGGTTCGAGAAATACATGAAAATTAAAACAGAACTGAAGCCAAGAGTAGAAAATGATGAGACAAAATGGACTGCATCAATGAGGCACATCACAGTGACGGAGGAGAAGGGAATGATATGGGGATGGATAGGACCAGCTGCAGTACCATATTTCTCTGTTAGTTCTGGGGCCATATTTGAGGGAGGGGGGGGGATCAAACCCATTGCCTCCATTACAAAACAAGCATGTCATAACAGGTGATTACAAAAGAATTTGTGGAAATCAGATGTGTTGGTCAAATACTGCAGCCTAGCTGTAAACCATAACACTAGATAATAAACTCACTGTTAGGGTGAACACAGAATTACAGGGGTGATATCTGATTTCTCAAACCAGGCCCCCATGATGTGAAAGTTATCCATTGGAAGAGAGACAAGAAATGACAGTTGAAGAGAACTGATGAGAGACAAATTTACCAAGCCAGGCACACAAGATGTTTGTCTCTGTTCCTTTCGACAGTGATCACAAGATATGACAGATACAGATGAGAGACAAATGAATGGAGATTCAGACGATCACAATAATATTTTCTAGCGGGTATCACCCCTAGCCGCCAGTTATACAATCAAACAACAATAGTGCAAGCACATCTCATAATTCTGCATGAACTTCCTCACCTATCTCCAGATGAAGCTCATCAATTTTATCAAAATGTCCGTGCCACTGGTTGAATGCAAGCAGGGCCACATTCTTGGCACCGATGACACTTATCTCCATGGCTGCTGCCGCAGACTCAATGGCATTGACATAATACAAGCGGTCATAGAGCATGAATGGTGGCAAGTCGTTGCCGGGTCTGTATTCAGGGTAGGCCAGCCAGTCAACAAGTCTCAAGTCGGAGCGATTCTCAAACAGCTGGTTGATTTGTTCCTCTGTGGGAACTTTATTTAAAAATGTTTTCCAAACAGCACTTTCTTTTTGCCCGGTTGCCTCTGATCTTGAGCCAGGATTTACAGAAGACAGTTTGCCGATCGAGTTGAAAAATAAATCTGGACTGACAGTAAAAAGGTCTGTAGGAAATTCATCTTGGTGACTTAGTTTGAAAGTAGTTGAATTGATTCTGCCCTGAACAAACATAGCAATTGTTGTGTGGTAATCTTGAACAAATGGCGTCATGGGGTTCGGAAAATCGATGAATGATATCCGGTGCTTAGTGCCAGACACTGGCGTTGCAACTACTACGATGTCATACTCACGGGAGCTAATGTTGTTATTAGGATCCGCATGTGTCTTCTCGTATTCTACCTCATAGGCGATGCTGCCTGTGCCAAGTTCATCTTTCATCAAAATAACCGAGGTGACCTTGGCTTCAATCAGTGATGCCTTGGACTCCTTCAGTAGCAACTCTACAATCTGTTTGTTACCTCCACGTACAGACCACAAATCTGACTCAGCTCCTATCAGTGAAACAGCACCTGGAACACAAAACAACACCTGTTAAATAGAACAGCACCTGTACATAAAACAGAACCTGTCAAATAGAACAGCACATGTTAAATAGAACAGCACCTATCAAATAGAACAGCCCTGTAACATGAAACAGAACCTGTCAAATATAGCACCACCTGTACACAAAACAGAACCTGTCAAATAGAATAGCACCTGTACATAAAACATAACCTGTACACAAAACAGCAACTGTCAAAAAGAACAGCACCTGTCAAATAAAACAGAACCTGTCAAATAGAACAGCACCTGTCAAATAGAACAGCACCTGTCAAACAGAACAGCACCTGTCAAACAGAACAGCACCTGTCAAATAGACCAGCACCTATCAAATAGAACAGAACCTGTCAAAAAGAACAGCACCTGTCAAAGAAAACAGAACCTGTCAAAGAAAACAGAACAGAACCTGTCAAACAGAACAGAACCTGTCAAACAGAACAGCACCTGTCACATAGAACAGCACCTGTCAAATAGAACAGCACCTGTAACATAGAACAGCACCTGTCAAGTAGAACAGCACCTGTCAAATAGAACAGCACCTGTAACATAGAACAGCACCTGTCAAGTAGAACAGCACCTGTCAAGTAGAACAGCACCTGAAAAATGTAACAGAATATGTAAAATAAAAATGTTAAATAAAATGACATCAGTTAAATAAAATAGCACATGACAACTGGACAGCATATGAAACAAAACAGCATTTGTAAAATAAAAATAAAAACATCTGTAAAATTAAAAACGACACCTGAAAATCTGAACAGCATCAGTAAAATAAAATAAAACCTGTCAAACAGTCCATTACTGAAAAATTTTTAACTTAACAGCATAAGTTAAACAAAAGGACATATTTAAAATAAAACAGCACATATAAAAGAAAGAAAAACCAAACACTCATAAGATACCGTCAGGCAGGTGATCGATCTCATTCATGTAACTCACTGGGGGACAGGAAAGGGTCAACAGTTATATAATCAACAGCTTGCCAGGACACTACTTTAGGCTAGATTGTGTATACACTCAATGGATCAACACCATACCGGCGACCTTTACTTGCCAGGACACTACTTTAGGCTAAGTTCTGTATACACTCAATGAATCAACACTATGTCGGCCACCTTTACTTGCCAGGACACTACTTTAGGCTAAGTTGTGTGTACACTCAACTGATCAACAAGACATCATGCCGACCACCTTCACTTTTCTGAACATTAAAAACACATCAAAGACATCATACAATAACATATTGACATAAATGAATACACCTACAACATACAGAAGCACATTGACATATATTATTACACCTACAACATACAGAAACTACTCATGTATAAAACATAACATAGAAATATACCTAAAAACTTAAACTCACAAGAAAACACAACAAACAGTTCACATTTTCAAATTAAAAATACAAACGTCTAACAAGAGACTTCAACATACCAACAAAACCATGAGCACTTGTTGTTTGGCCATAATTGTTTCTCAGCGCAGCCATGGCTAACTCATCAATAAAGCGCTGAGACAGGCCTGCATCACGAAGGACATCTTGTAGACTGTGGCGAGTCATGTTGAGGATGCTGTCACTCATAGCCCTCAGCATGTCTTCCAGTGTGGTGAACGCCATCCCCCTGTCCTGGAACTCATAGATCCTGTCACAGAAGCAGAAGTAACAGTTAAACACACAAGAGACAGTAGTAGTACAACAGTAACAACTTCACACACAGGAGACAGTAGTAGTACAACAGTAACAGCATCACACACAGGAGACAGTAAAAGTACAACAGTAACAACTTCATACACAGGAGACAGTAGAAGTACAACAGTAACAACTTCATTTACAGGAGACAGTAGTACAACAGTAACAGCTTCACACACATGAGACAGTAGAAGTACAACAGTAACAACTTCATACAGAGGAGATAGTAGTAGTACAACAGTAACAGCTTCACACACAGGAGAGAGAAGTAGTACAAAAGTAACAGCTTCACACACAAGAGACAGCAGTAGTATCACAGTAACAGCTTCACACACAGGCAACAGCAGTAGCATAATGGTAAAAGCTTCATAAACAGGGGACAGCAGTAGTGTAACAGTAGCAGCTTAACACACAACAGACTGCAGTTGTATAACAGTAACAGCTTCACACACAGGCAACAGCAGTAGCATAATAGTAAAAGCTTCATTAACAGGGGACAGCAGTAGTATAACAGTAGCAGCTTAACACACAACAGACTGCAGTTGTATAACAGTAACAGCTTCACACACAGGCAACAGCAGTAGCATAATAGTAAAAGCTTCATTAACAGGGGACAGCAGTAGTATAACAGTAGCAGCTTCACACACAACAGACTGCAGTTGTATAACAGTAACAGCTTCACACACAGAGAACAGAAGTAGACAGCAACAGCCCCACATACAGGAGACAGCAGTAGCATAATAGTAAAAGTGTCACATATAGGAAACAGCAGTAACAGTAGAACAGTAACAGCTACACTCACAGGAGACAGCAGTAATAGCTTCACTCACAGGAGACAGCAGTAATAGCTTCACTCACAGGAGACAGCAGTAATAGCTTCACTCACAGGAGACAGTAGTAATAGCTTCACTCACAGGGGACAGTAGTAATAGCTTCACTCACAAGAGACAGCTGTAGTATAACAGTGATAGTTTCACTCATAGGAGACAGCAGTAATATGTTCACTTACAGCAGACAGCAGTAAAAGTTTCACTCACAGAGGACAGCAGTAATAGCTTCACTTATAGGGGACAGCAGTAATATGTTCACTTACAGCAGACAGCAGTAATAGCTTCACTCACAGGGGACAGCAGTAATAGCTTCACATATAGGGAACAGCAGTAACAGCTTCACTCACAGAGGACAGCAGTAATAGCTTCACTCACAGGGGACAGCAGTAATAGCTTCACATAAAGGGGACAGCAGTAGTAGAACAGTAAATACTTCACTCACGTGAGTCAGCATTTACTTCCACACAGATCATGTGGAAACTGAAGTCTGAGAGAGACAGCAGGTTTATTCAAAGTGTGCTGAACTAAAGTCCGAGAGAGACACAGGAGGTTTGATCATAGTGTGCTGAACTAAAGTCTGAGAGAGAGACAGGAGGTTTGATCACAGGGTGTTGAACTAAAGTCTGAGAGAGACAGCAGGCTTGATCATGGTGTGCTGAACTAAAGTCTGAGAGAGAGACAGGAGGTTTGATCACAGGGTGTTGAACTAAAGTCTGAGAGAGACAGCAGGTTTGATCACAGTGTGCTGAAACTTTCTTGACATCCGGATTTCCTGTGTTTGAAGATCAGCCTACTACAAACCCATGGATTCTCAGTTATCTCCTCTATGCGTCACCAGGAGAGATGCTTTCCCCACCAAACATAATTCTACCAGCAATGGACCCAAATTGATTTTGACTTTTCATCCTAACAATGTGGTTGATTCCAAAGTATTCTTTTGCCATTTGGTCATCCTCCGCTCTGATCTGGACACCAAGATGATCTTTAGTGAGAAGCTGAGATTAGTTAATAGACCAGACAGCAAACTTAAAGACCTACGTGTCAGTAGTCGACTCCCTCTGATCCACACAGCATTTTATTTTGGGACTACTGAATGCTCTGGCAGCAAGTGCAAAACATGTCCTTTCGTTGTCCAGACCTCTTTAGTCAGTTTCCCTAATGGTTCTTTGATCAGAGCATGTGGAACTAAAGTCTGAGAGAGACAGCAGGTTTGATCAGAGAATGTGGAACTAAAGTCTGAGAGAGACAGCAGGTCTGATCAGAGCATGTGGAACTGAAGTCTCAATAGGTGATGAACATTGAAGAAGAAAATACTCCAATTCAAAGGTATTTGGTAGCACTGTAAACACAGTCACATGTGTGCTTTCACTACAAGAAGAAGTCAGTACAAAAAATATGAATCAACAAACCTTTCAAACTTGCTAATCAGTGAATGTTTAGTCCACTCTCGTAAAGTGTAGAGATCGAATCCATACCGCCACAGCAGTTTGGCTAAACTGACTGCCTGCCAATCACTGGTCTGAAACACCATTCCAGAATTACCATAGAGTCCGATAAATGAGGCAGAATGAGACAACCGGTCATCACCTACAGACAAAAATCAGGTCATCTGTGAATACAAGAGACATGTAATCATTAGAGGCCAAGACAAGGTTATTTCTTCTAAGTTCAAGTGAGAGTGTGGCTGAAAGTCATTAGATCCCACACAAAGCTGGTTTTTAAAGAAGCTCTTATCAAGACAAGATTATCTGTGAGATGAAGGAAGAGACAGAAAGTAATGAGATGTCAACACATGGCTGCCTGTAACGAAGAGATGTAATGTCACCAGATGTCAACACAAGACTGCATGTAACCAAGTGATATCAACACAAGACTGCATGTAACCAAGAGACTAAATGTCACCAGATATCAACACAAGACTGCATATAACCAAGTGATATCAACACAAGACTGCATATAACCAAGTGATATCAACACAAGACTGCATATAACCAAGTGATATCAACACAAGACTGCATACAACCAAGTGATATCAACACAAGACTGCATGTAACCACGTGATATCAACCCAAGACTGCATATAACCAAGAGACTAAATGTCACCAGATGTCAACACAAGACTGCATGTAACCAAGTGATATCAACACAAGACTGCATTTAACCAAGAGACTAAATGTCACCAGATGTCAACACAAGACTGCATGTAACCAAGTGATATCAACACAAGACTGCATATAACCAAGTGATATCAACACAAGACTGCATGTAACCAAGTGATATCAACACAAGACTGCATATAACCAAGTGATATCAACACAAGACTGCATATAACCAAGAGACTAAATGTCACCAGATGTCAACACAAGACTGCATGTAACCAAGTGATATCAACACAAGACTGCATTTAACCAAGAGACTAAATGTCACCAGATGTCAACACAAGACTGCATGTAACCAAGTGATATCAACACAAGACTGCATATAACCAAGTGATATCAACACAAGACTGCATGTAACCAAGTGATATCAACACAAGACTGCATGTAACCAAGAGACTAAATGTCACCAGATGTCAACACAAGACTGCATGTAACCAAGTGATATCAACACAAGACTGCATATACCAAGTGATATCAACACAAGACTGCATGTAACCAAGTGATATCAACACAAGACTGCATGTAACCAAGAGACTAAATGTCACCAGATGTCAACACAAGACTGCATGTAACCAAGTGATATCAACACAAGACTGCATATACCAAGTGATATCAACACAAGACTGCATGTAACCAAGTGATATCAACACAAGACTGCATATAACCAAGAGACTAAATGTCACCAGATGTCAACACAAGACTGCATATAACCAGAAACTAAATGTCACCAGATGTCAATTCAAGATTATCCGTCAGTAATATATCTGACAGTGGCTGGCAGCAATGCTCTGCACAACAGGAAATACCTCAGTCTGCTGTAAACAGTGTCAGTGTGATAAAAGACTGGTCACTGAGTGTGTCTGCTATCCATTGTCTGTGTATAAGTATATGATTACTGTTTTCATTTTAAACATTTATTTTTTTCCCCTGGAAGCTGACAAACCAGGCACTTATGGTGCTCCAAGAGCACTGCTTCACCTGCATTTCCTGGACGAGTTTCCATATTTGTAATAATGTTGTTAGTTTTTAGTTAGGCCTCAGCGACTCAGGTGTCCTCACTATTCAGGTGTTAAATACACATATGTTGACAGGACACCAGTTTGATGAGACAATATTTTATTGTGGTTCCGACAATAGTATCGTCTAGTCGCTGTCCTCACTCATCGTGTTAGGATCGATCATCAATACAGTTACATCAAACGCACTGGGTTCAGAATATGGTTACCTTTCATTACATGCATTCCATTCATGTGAAGGATTTGCATCTCCAACACAGCGCCAGAAATCTTCATAGTCGTTCGAGGTGTTAATTCAAGACAGCTTCTGCTCAGTCATTCATTCTCAGGTATCAGGGAATTCTCCACCTTGTCAGCAGTCGCACTTCATAGCAGTCATTCGTCTCGCAAAACTCAAAATTTTCACTCCGGCTGTCAAACATCAACTGATTCTATCTCCTTTCTCACCTTCAAACCTTTGTTCTCATCCCACGGTTTTCGGCTTGCAATTGTTCTTTTAGACTCGGGGATTTGGGAGCGTCCCTTTCTCAGTTACCCCCCCCCCCCTCTCTCTCTCTCTCTCTTGACTGACCTTTGACCCTAACTTGTCATTCTGCAAATCCCTTTGGGATTCCTGGGAAGTTCCCTCTTATTACAACAGTGATGTGTTTACAAAACACCTAGCTAATACCAGTGGTTGTTTCTGCGCCTATCAACATTTAGGTCAAGTTAGAAATATAATTACTAAAAATACCATATAGGGTTTTTCCCTTTTGAAATAAATGGCTTTTTTAAAGCCAAATTGATTTCAAATTTTCCCATAAGCCTCTGTGACAGAAATCAAGGCATGAGTCACCTGATACATATTTGTTTAGGAACTGGGGAATGTATTCCATTGAATGCTTCACTCTTTTCATGTTTTTTATTACTCTCTTTAGATATTTATATAGTAACACGTCAGACTGAAGCCATGAGGGTCATTCTGAGATGTAAAAGAGATACCGCATAATAAGTATGAGATATATATTTGCACTGCCAACTATTACACAGTTTAAAGTGCTGCAAGCAAAGTCATATCTCAGAGTGTAAGCAGACAAGATGAACCTTCTGCATGAAGCCCTCAGTACAGCTAAGGGTCACAGACTGAAAAGAGGAAACCAAAATTTCAATGAATGAAGATGTTTTGTAAGTGTTGTGTTCTAAGACAAAAACAGTTACAGTAACAACTATGATAAAAGCATTTACAGTAACACCTATAGTTTGTTCAACAACTCATAAACACGCTTGCAAGCCATTTTCTCAAAAACTGCCTGTTAGATTGCAACGATTTTTTTGCATACAGCCTTAGAATATCCATGACTCAAAAATAGTGGCTTTGTTTAGTCCATAGATGCTCAGGATGCTGAATATCAGCCAATTCCTTTGATATTTTCGAACCATTTTAAATAAGTGGAGTGAACTTTTAGATTTTACAGTAAAAATCTTAATTTCCAGTTCAATTTTTAGTTCAGAGCGTGTCTTCGTAATACATTGATAGGTGAAGTAAATTTATTTGTTGTCATTTATGTTAAACTGAGTTGAGTTGAGCTGAGTCAAGAAAGACCTCACAGCACTCGGGGCATTCCCATATGTGCTCCGTCCCCATCTTCAGCAGCCAGCACAGAGTTCCAATACTAATGGTATCGGATGCAGTCTGATTATATGTCCATCTTGCCATTTCTCTGAGTGTAGTGTGCCGGTCCTCTGTGGTCACACCCAGGTGTATCATTCTCTCCAGGCCATGATAATCTATTTTCTCTTCTGACTTAATTACTTGTTCCCAAAGGGCCTTGACCACATTTGCCTTGTCGTGTATCAATTCACCACCTAGTGATGAAGACAACCTTTAACATGTATGCAGATTTGATAACAATGGACACTGCAAAATCAGAAGTTCAACAAATGATTCACAACAATTCCCGCCCAGGTGATGTGATTATTTATTCCGATGGCTCTGCGTTGAGAGACAAGGCACATAGGGAGTCATCGCAACAGCCAATGGAAGTCGCTTAGTGCAACAAAGCGCAGCATATGATACTAGAACATCTAGTCTGAGGATGGAAGAGGTGGTGGTCACTGCAGTTTCCAGCTGTGCATACATGTTGTAGTTATAACTGGCTCACACATTATGTTGAGAAAGATGGAGATAGTATGTTCTGTGCAGAGTGGCAAGCATCACTTTAGAGGTCCTGGGTAGTTAGCATCCTTTGGATATTTTTTTCCAGGTCATACCAGTGTGTTGGGTAATGAACAGGTAGTTAGACTAGCTGGATCTGCACCACTTGGTCGTGTACAAATGCAGGATAAGCTAAATGCTGTAAAAGTCTTTTTGGGAGTGAGTGTCAAGTGCAAAATCACAAACAGGTCACCATGGTGTGAGTAGAATGGTACTGTGAGGAGGGACCAGGGAGGACTCACAGGAACATAAATGGAAGTTAGGAATTACACCAAAAAACAAGAGGGTTAATTTGAATTAAAATGGTAGGCTTAGAAGACTGGTACAGCAGGAGGACTTACAGGAACATAAATGGAAGGTTTAGAATGACTGATACAACAGGAGGACTTACAGGAACATAAATGGAAGGTTTAGAATGACTGGTACAACAGGAGGACTCACAGGAACATAAATGGAAGGTTTAGAATGACTTGTACAACAGGAAGACTTATAGGAACATAAATGGAAGGTTTAGAATGACCGATACAACAGGAGGACTTACAGGAACATAAATGGAAGGTTTAGAATGACTGGTACAACAGGAGGACTCACAGGAACATAAATAGAAGGTTAAGAATGACTGGTACAACAGGAGGACTTACAGGAACATAAATGGAAGGTTTAGAATGACCGGTACAACAGGAGGACTCACAGGAACATAAATGGAAGGTTTAGAATGACTGGTACAACAGGAGGACTTACAGGAACATAGATGTAAGGTTTAGAATGACTGGTTCAGCAGGAGGACTTACAGGAACATAAATGGAAGGTTTAGAATGACTGGTACAGCAGGAGGACTTACAGGAACATAGATGTAAGGTTTAGAATGACTGGTTCAGCAGGAGGACTTACAGGAACATAAATGGAAGGTTTAGAATGACTGGTACAGCAGGAGAGCATATGAACAGATAAAGCAAGAGATCAAAAACTTACTTTTATTAAACTGACTGGCAAACTCAGCCATGTATCTGTTCTTTTTATGAATAATGCTGGCACCTGCCTCATAATCTTGCCCATCAATGTTTATAACAGCTGCACGCCCTCCGACCCTATTTGCTTCAAAAACATCAATCTGGACTTCTTTACCAAACAACTGCCGCAGGAAATAGGCAGAAGATGCTCCACCGAGCCCTGCTCCAATAACAGCTGTAGGAAAAGTTAAACTACATTTCAATTACATGTTTGTTTGACACCACAGAAGTTAACTAATGTATCTAAAGCTGATGTGTGACAACAAGTGAATCTGGAGCCAGTCCAAGAGTTGCCTCACAGTAGAACTTCAGGCTGTGGATGCTGACTGTTTAGATCTGTGTTCATTGTCATCAATGAGTTACATGAGTTGGTAGATTTATATCCTCTCTTTTCATCTTCAGTGTCCTAGTCTTGTGTGTTTTTGAAGAATCATGTCAGCTCTTATTTTCACACACCTGCATTTTAAATTCACTTGTTTCTGGAGTTTTCAGGAATCCCCATGTACTAGCCACAACCATCCATTCTTAACTTTCCAATAAGCTGACAAGTCTGAGAAAATTAATGTCTTTTGCAACCAAAGTATATTCTTCTTCTACATTGTTCTCAAAATGATGTAACTGCACTGTATCTGTTTACAGCACAGCTGCCATATCTGACCCTTTCCGCTGACACATGCAAGTTAACAGGGTGTTCGTTGTCTGATCTGGCCTTCCTGGTTAGTTCTGTGGGACATTCTGGCCTCATTCTTGTGTTGTCCCCTTTGCAATCTTGTCCAAGGGTGATGCTTCCAGTGAACCCATTCATGGTAACTATATACTTTAAGGTCGGCCCTCATGGGGAAAGGCAAGAGCAGAATATGGGCAGTCTACGCCATCTAAGAAGGCGTGCATAAATGCAGAGCTGATACATGCTGCTCTTCTTCCCGTACACTATCTGTAAACTTCGGCGGAAAGTTCTAGTTGTTCCCCCATGACTGGACTTTAGACTTGTTTCACAACCTAAGTGTTGTGGAAATACAGAGGATAGCAAAGGGTATCAGAATCTGACATGTGTTTGTTGCCCTGTGTTGCACTGGGGATACAAGTTTGAAAATGATGTCAATAATCAGATCTCCATGGTGGCAGCCTAAAACTCTTGTCTGTCAGGCTTGTGTTCTCAGCACTTTGCTTTATGGCAGAGAAATGTGGTCAACTTTTTTGTACCAGGAGAGACGGCTAAATAGCTTTCACATGTGATGCCTAAGAAGAATACTTGGCATTAAGGGGCAAGACAAAATCACAAACATTGAGGTACTGGAAAGAGCAGGTACTACAACAGTCATCTCAATGCTCAGTCTATGAAGGTTCAGATGGCTGGGTCACACTTGGAGAATGGAAGATGGCAGTCCCTAAGGACATCCTTCATGGTGAATTAAAGATGGGAAGAAGATGTTGAGGCCGACCTCCACTATGGTATAAAGATGTATGCAAGCAGGACAGGAATGATACCGGTATTGAGGTTGACTCATGGGAACAAAATGCCATGGACCGTGTTTTGTAGAGAGGGCATATCAGGAAGGGAATGAGAGTGAAGGGAGAAATGACAGCTGAAAAGATAAAAGCTGAGCGTCTGAGAAGAAACAGATTAAACACAAATGTTGACAACAATGGTCCTGAAATCCCAGGCTATCATTGTGGCAGACTATTCTTGACACGGGCAGGTCTTGCTAGTCACACTCGCCATCACCATGGGTTGTGAGATCCATGCCTCTTCATAGCGCAATATAACACTATCATCTGGAAAAACAGAAAGTTGCCAATAGAATGGTAGCAGCCTTGATCTCCATTCTCAAAGTTACTTTATATACTATGTTCTGTTTAGTTAACAGCTATTGACACTAGATTTTTAGAGCACAATATATCTATCAATGTGCACATTCAACCCCAACACTGTGTAACTTCCAGTCTTGTAAGAGTGATAATTATTATGTGCATGCTCAGCCAAGCAAGTGAGGTGTTCTTCAAAACAATGAAGACTGTGACAGTGGCCATTTTCTAAACGATATAAACTATAGATTGTCATAATTGGGGGAGGGGGTAGCTGAGGCCTCCAGCTATAATACTAATTCAAAACTAGTTAGGCGTGTACCTAGAGGTAATTCCTGTTTTCGTGTGAAAATAAAAAGGCGTGACCTAATGTTGCGTTCACCTGTTAGAAACTATTAGACTGAATCCTGTATCAATTAAACTATTAGTACCAAACAAACTGAACCTGGTAAGGTGTTTCAGTTTCGGTGTTGAGTAACTGTATCGCTACAAGAAAACTCCTGGGTTTATTTTTGTAAAAATCTATTTTTAAAAAAAATGAAAATACAAAGAACATTGTCAAACCAATGCGAGGCAGCGTGTCGTCATCTTGTGTGCTGTAGACTTTGTGTAAGAACAGAAGAGCTAGTAGAAGAGACCAGAGAGACCACGACCACATTCTCGGCTCCAAGCTTGTCGTCTGCCACAGGACTAGCAGGCGCTCTTCAAAACTCCACCCGGCATCACAGAGTTTTTTTTTTAAATTTCATTTTCATATTTTGCCTGTTTTTGTTTCATTGTTTTATGTTATCAGTTAGAAGTGTAAGTTATATACATCTGTAACGATTATTGCCAACTAAATAACAATATGCAATCATGGATTTAAACATTAATAAGTATTCATCGTTATCCGTACCCGGAAATTATAATTTTTAAACAAACACGTCAACAGCTGAGGAACAATGGAGGCGTCAACAAACACAATACAGACTGAGTGTCTATGACAAGACATTTTTTTGTAACGGAGGCGCGTCAACAAACACAACACAGAGTTTCTGTGTCAAGACATTATATGTAATGGATGTGTCAGCAAACACAACACAGACTAAGTGTCTGTGACCAGATATTATATCTAACGGAGGAGTCAACAAACATTACAGTACAGACTGAGTGTCTGACAAATATCTAACGGAGGAGTCAACAAACACAACACAGAGTGTCTGTGACGAGATATTATATTTAACAGAATGTTGGATTAAGAATGGACATCATAGCACATACTATATAAAACTTCACTAGCATCCCTCATAGTAGTTAGTGGTAGTGTAATAAAATTATAATAGTTAGTTTAACGGAGGGATTTCAGCTGACGAAAAGGAAGTCAGAAGCAACATTGTCATTATAGAAGACAGGATGCTGACTAGGAGTGTTGTCTGTCTACAGAAGATACTGGATGTCATGACTTTGTGAAACTGGCTATTTGTAAACTTGTCTTTTCTTAGGGCAAGAGCCCATCATTTGACTCCAGTAATATTAATAATTGGTCATGTCACCTGGGCTGTTTCCATCACTTCACTGCGCACTGAATCCAGTAGAATTACTTATGACCACTCACTCCCAAACGACTTGAACTGTATATCCACATCAATCCATGGAAGAGAGAATAGTTACAGAATGTTTACCGACGTCGCTGTAAGAGAGCAGTGTCACAGTACAATATTGTCAGCTTCTGTCATTTGGAACAGTCTGTTTGTGGTTTTCACTGCATATTCATAGTCTTTTTTTCTGTGTATTGGAACTTGAAACATTATGTCCCACAGATTGAGAATGAGATAAAGTGATTGTACTGTTGAATTAAGTACTGGCCGGCTAACTACCTCAGAGCTGCAGTGATTGCAGCCACATCCCACCTTCTCACATATGACATTAAAGAGCTTCACTCAAATATTTCCTTCACTGATGACAGACAGACTTCCAGTGGTGTATACACATGCAAACCTTTTTTTAATTGACAACAGACAGATTGCCAGTGGTGTATACACATGCAAACCTTTTTTTAATTGACAACAGACAGATTGCCAGTGGTGTATACACATGCAAACCTTTTTTTAATTGACAACAGACAGATTGCCAGTGGTGTATACACATGCAAACCTTTTTTTAATTGACAACAGACAGATTGCCAGTTGTGTTTGCACATGCACCTGTGTTAGCCCCACTTCAAGTACAGTTTTGTGTACATAAAGATGACCACACTGTGTGATGATGATGATCGGCCATGTACCATTGCAGAGCTGGAGAACATTATTACAGCGCCATCTGCTGGTTTAACTTTATATCCTGGAAGAGCATATGATGAAGTGTACGATGGAATTTTCATAGGAGAGGGGTAAGTCTATTTTACTGTGGCAGGTCTAGAACAGAGGTGGGTCTGTTTCACTGGGGCAGAGAGGGGTGAGTAGATTACACTGTGGCAGGTCTGAGACAGGGGTGAGTCTATTATACTGTGACAGGTCTGAGACAGGGGTGAGTCTATTACATGGTAGCAGGTCTGGGTCAGGGATGAGTCTATTACGTGGCAGCAGGTTTTGGACAGGGGTTATTTAATGAAATGGCGGCAGGTCTGGGACACAAATGAGTTTATTACACGGTGGCAGGTCTGAGACAGGAGTGAGTTTATTACACTGTGGCAGGTTTGGGACAGAAATGAGTTTATTACATTGAGGCAGGTCTGGGACAGAAATGAGTTTATTATACCGTGGCAGGTCTGGGACAGAAATTAGTTTATTACATTGCGGCAGGTCTGGGACAGAAATTAGTTTGTTGCAGGGTTGCAGGTCTGGGACAGAAATGAGTTTATTGCACTGTGGCAGGTCTGGGACAGAGATGAGTTTATTACATGGCAGCAGGTCTGGGACAGAAATTAGTTTATTACACAGTGGCAGGTCTGGGACATGGGTGAGTTTATTACATGGTGGCAGGTCTGGGACAGAAATGAGTTTATTACACGGTGGCAGGTTTGGGACAGAAATGAGTTAATTACATGGTGACAGGTCTGGGACAGGGGTGAGTTTATTACACAGCGGCAGATCTGGGAAAGAAATGAGTCTGTTACATGGTAGCAGGTCTGGGACAGAAATGAGTCTATTACATGGTGGCAGGTCTAGGACATAAATGAGTTTATTACACGGTGGCAGGTCTAGGACAGGGGTGAGTTTATTACACGGTGGCAGGTCTGGGACAGAAATGTTATTATATGGCGGCAGGTCTGGGACAGAAATGTTATTACACGGTGGCAGATTGGGACAGGGGTGAGTTTATTACACAGTGTCAGGTCTGGGACAGAAATGAGTTTATTACACGGTGGCAGGTGTGGGACTGGGGTGAGTTTATTAAAGTGTGGCAGGTCTGGGACAGGAGTGAGTGTTACACTGTGGCAGGTCTGGGACAGGGATCTCATTGACCACCTGTCACTGATTATTGAAATACATGAACTTGTTTTAAACCATTATTGCTGATGTCTAGATTAACTCAGTGTGTTGTTGTTTGTTGTTTTATAACTTCTAGTGAGTGCAGTCACGTACTGATATTTGCCTGCTACTTTCAGAGATTCAGCACAGAGTATCAGCTGTATGAGGAGGCTGGGTGTCACCCACGTATTGAATGCAGCTCAGGGAACAGACATTTTTCATGTAAACACCAGTCAGGCTACATATACACGAGCAAAACTTTATTTTCTGGGGATTGAAGCTACTGACTTTATCAACTTTGACCTCTCCAAGCACTTCCTTACAGCTGCTAACTTTATAGAGGCTGCGTTACAAGCAGGAGGTAAGAGACGCTACTAGCAAACCATTGATAACTTATGCTAGGATATAATCTGAACCAGCAGCTTTCCTATCCTTCAGGAGTTTGACAGCTCTTCTACTGTCTTCTTTAGATGATTTTTCTCATTTGATATCGAGTAAAACTTCTAAATACTGAATATCTGGGGGGAAGATTTGATCTTGGATGTTGTTGTGAACTTTCCCATTGTTATTTTTAATCAGTCCACCTAGTTGATCATACTTTCCTGCAGTTTCCCTTGTTGTAAAGGACTCTGTGGTTTTCTTTCACCGCTGCCTTTTCCTCTAGGCCAACTAAGTTTTGTCTTTCCCCACCATTATCCACACTCCAACTTCTTTTATTAGTCCTAAGCATGAGCTTTGACTTGAGATCTAATTTTATTGTTTGAATCTGCATTTTGATTTCTCCATTCTGTTATTTAAAAATAAAATAAAAAAGGTACTGGGTACTATTAGGGCTATGCTTTGTTTTTGTTCCCTTTTTTCTGAGTGTATGTGATTCATTTTAAATCTACTGCCATTAGTCATCTGTACTCACCTCTTCATAAAAGAATGTGAGAGGTGACAGATTAATAGCATGAGCTGAGTCACGCAGCATGATAATAGGTAACACCTGGTTTAAACACCATCCTCGAAGATTGTGGACTTGGAAAAGTCCTGGTGATAATGTCTGCAATCAGATTGATTATATTTTGATTTCAAGAAGATTCAGGAGCAGCTTAGTTGGAGCAAAAACTAGACCAGGAGCAGACTGCTTTAATGACCATGTTCCAGTTGTAGGAAAAATTAGAATAAAACTAAAGAATATTAGAAAAACACCACAGAACATCGAGTTAAATTTAGAAATTCTTATAACGGATAAAGAAATTAAGGACCAGTACAATGTCACTGTACAAAACCGGTATAATGCAATGGAAATTATACAGACTATTGATGAACAGTGGGATATGTTGCGTGAGTCAATTCAGCAGACATCTGAAGAGACAGTCCCACCAACCCATACAGTTGCAAAAAAGAAATGGATGTCAACCGAAATTCTGCAGTTGATGGATGAAAGAAGGAAGAAAAAGAATGATAAAGTAGAATACTCTAGAATACAAAAAGAAATAGTGAACAAATGCAAAGTGGCTAAAGAAGCCTGGCTGAATCAAATGTGTACAGAGATTGGGGAAAACAACAGGAAAGACTCACATTCCATGTACCAAAAGATAAATATGTTAACAGGAAAGATGACACGTAACAGCACTGGATGTTTGAAATCAAAAGATGGTGACTTATTAATGGGACATAGTAATATAATTAACAGATGGACAGAGTATATAGGGGAATTGTATGATGATAATAGACCAGATGTAGAATTGCAGACCAACAATGATGGTCCACCAATAATGACTGCAGAAGTTGAGGATGCAATACATCATATGAAGAAAGGAAAAGCACCTGGGCCAGACAACATCTCACTGGAAGAAATCGAAGCACTGGGAGATTTGGGAATTGAAATAATAACTAAACTTTTAAATGATATTTATAATAGTGGGTATATTCCAAATGACTTTTTAAAATCCATATTTATAGCTCTGCCTAAGAAACCAGGCACTATAAAATGTGAAGACCATCGCACAATAAGTCTTATGAGTCACATGACTAAGATTTTACTGAGAATAATTATGAGAAGAATAAGAAACAAAATTAAACCAGAAATCAGCGATGAACAATGTGGAATTGTAGAAGGAAAAGGTACAAACAATGCCATACATCCTGACATTGTCAGAAAGAGCTATAGAAGTAAAGACTGATTTGTACTTGTGCTTCATAGACTATACAAAAGCATTTGACTGTTTGAAGCATGAAGAAGTAATCAAACTGTTAGAAAAATTAAACATTGATGAGAAAGATCTATGAATAATAAAGAATATGTATTGGCAGCAAACAGCAGCTATAAGAATTAACAACTGTTTAGGTACATTTCAAAGCATAAAGAGGGGCGTACGACACGGATGTGTACTGTCACCTGATTTGTTTTCAATATACAGTGAATATATAATGAGAGCTTTAATTGGAATGCCCGGAATTGTGGTTGGTGGTCACAATATAAACAATTTACGTTATGCTGATGACACAGTCTTGATAGCAACAAGTCAGAAAGAACTACAGGAAATGATAGACATTGTGGTGTTGGAAAGTAGAAGAATGTGCTTCAGTTTGAATAATGGGAAGACAGAAGTAATGGTGGTATCAAAGAAACGTATTATTCCTAAGTGTGTAATAAAAGTCGATGGTGTTATTTTAGGACAAGTACAGAAATTTAAGTATCTGGGCACATGGATAACATCAGATGGAAGATGCATAACTGAGATAAGAAATAGAATAGGACAGGCAAAAACTGCATTTTATAAAATGAAAAACATCTTTTGCAATATATCCTTGTCATTGAGAGTTAGAAAAAGAATTCTTGCTTGCTACATACATCCAGTTTTAACATATGGCTGTGAATCCTGGACAATCGGTAGGCAGGCCAAACAATTTCTGGAGGCCTCGGAGATGTGGTTTTACAGAAGAATGCTTAGAATACCTTGGACAGCCAAAAAGAGCAACCAAGAGGTTTTGAAAGAGGCGGGAGCCCGAAGACAACTTATCACAGACATCAGAAGGAGACAGACATCATTTTTCGGCCATGTTATGAGAAGAGGGAAAATAGAACCTGTTGTGACCATGGGATAGATATGTGGAAGGAGAGATAGAGGAAGACGAGAGAAGATGCTTGACAGTCTTGTTGCATGGCATGGAGGTGTGTCGGCACACGAACTGATACATGCTGCAAGAGATCGCAGATTATGGAGAGGCATGATCATCCACGCCAGTCGGCAAGGCACCTGATGATGATGACTCACCTCTTCACTGTTGCAGGGCCTGATTCTTATTCATGAGTGAAGTACCTTAATTTGTGACATATCCTGTATGTTCCATATCTTTGGTGATTCACTTTAATTTCTGAGATATCTTATATGTTGCAAATCTCTGTTTTACCTTAATTTGTGTGATATCCTGTACATTACATATCTCTGGAGTTTTACCCTAATTTGTGTGATATTTTCAGTATGTTGCACATCTCTGGAGTTTTACCCTAATTTGTGAGATATCTTGTACGTTACATATCTCTGGAGTTTTACCCTAATTTGTGAGATATCCTGTATGTTACATATCTCTGGAGTTTTACCCTAGTATGTGAGATATCCTGTACGTTACAAATCTCTGGAGTTTTACCCCAATTTGTGAGATATCCTGTATGTTACATATCTCTAGAATTTCACCCGAATTTGCGAGATATCCTGTATGTTACATATTTCTGGAGTTTTACCTAAATTTGTGAGATATCATGTATGCTACATATCTCTTGTGATTCACCTTAATTTCTGAGATATCTTATATGTTACATATCTCTGGGGTTCACCTTAATTTGTGAGATATCCTGTATGTTACATATCTCTGGTGATTCACCTTAATTTCTGAGATATCCTGTATGTTACATACCTTTGGCGATTCACCTTAATTTCTGAGATATCCTGTATGTTACATATCTCTGGTGATTCACCCTAATTTCTTAGATATCCTGTATGTTACATATCTCTGGTGATTCACCTTAATTTGTGAGATATCCTGTATGTTACATATCTCTGGAGTTTTACCCTAATTTGTGAGATATCCTGTGTGTTACATATCTCTGGAGTTTTTCCTTAATTTGTGAGATATCCTGTGTGTTACATATCTCTGGAGTTTTTCCTTAATTTGTGAGATATCCTGTGTGTTACATATCTCTGGAATTTTACCTTAATTTGTGAGATATCCTGTACGTTACATATCTCTCGAGTTTTACCCTAGTATGTGAGATATCCTGTACATTACATATCTCTGGAGTTTTACCCTAGTATATGTGAGATATCCTTACGTTACATATCTCTGGAGTTTTACCCTAGTATGTGAGATATCCTGTACATTACATATCTCTGGAGTTTTACCCTAGTATGTGAGATATCCTGTACGTTACAAATCTCTGGAGTTTTACCTTAATTTATGAGATATCCTGTATGTTACATATCTCTGGAGTTTTACCCTAGTATGTGAGATATACTGTACGTTACATATCTCTGGAGTTTTACCCTAGTATGTGAGATATCCTGTGTGTTAACTATCTCTGGAATTTTACCTTAATCTGTGAGATATCCTGTACGTTACATATCTCTTGAGTTTTACCCTATTTTGTGAGATATTCTCTATGTTACATATCATATTTTACCTTAATTTCTTAGATATCCTGCCCAAGCCCAAGCCATCTTGGCATTTATCTGTGTCTTTTTCTTTCTCATTTTCCACCAGTCTTGCCAGATGTCACAGGTACAAGTAAATTGGAATTTGCGCTTTTTTTTTGGAAACTAGCAGGCATTTGTTTTCTGCTTTGTAGCCCTTTATAGTCTTCTCCTCCAGCCCCTTGTGTAGAATGGCTTACATACCACTTTCAGACTGCTGTAGTATCAGCATCTGATTAATTTTCTTCTCTTTTAAATATAAATAACCCTTTCCTTGCCAGTAACCCATTTGTGCATATTTTTCTTTGCGTTCACGGCTGTAAACTCTTGACAGAAAAGTTATGGTTGTTCATCCACTTCTGCACTTTGGCCTTTTATCCAGAGCTTGAAATTTGTGTGCATTTTCTTTTTTACCAATCTGGCTTATTTGTATGCAGACTGTTGGTTCCTCACCATCAGGCAGATGCATTTCAACTTCAAAGAAAACACCCCTAATTAGTCACCTTGACATACATGTTAGGGGACAGTGGGTTTGTTCTTTTTATCCCCGAAATAGGACCCCAGAACTCACACAGGAAGCATAATGCATACGATGCTTAATTTGTATGTGAATAATCCTGGTGGCACTTAGTGAGGTGTCTGCTTAAAATATACCCAGTAAATATTTGTATAGGCCATGTGGCACTGAGTGAGGTGTCTGCTTGAAATATACCCAGTAAATATTTGTATATGCCATGTGGCTCTTAGTGAGTTGTCTGCTTGAAATATACCCAGTATATATTTGTATAATCCATGTGGCACTCAGTGAGGTGTCTCCTTGAAATATACCAAGAAGATATTTGTGAAATGCATGTGGCTCTTAGTGAGGTGTCTCCTTGAAATATACCCAGTATAGATTTGAATAGGCCTATATGGCTCTTAATGAGGTGTCTCCTTGAAATATACCAAGAAGATATTTGTGTAATGCATGTGGCTCTTAGTGAGTTGTCTGCTTGAAATATACCCAGTATAGATTTGAATAGGCCTATATGGCTCTTAATGAGGTGTCTCCTTGAAATATACCAAGTAGATATTTGTGTAATGCATGTGGCTCTTAGTGAGGTGTCTGCTTGAAATATACCCAGTATAGATTTGAATAGGCCTATATGGCTCTTAATGAGGTGTCTCCTTGAAATATACCAAGTAGATATTTGTGTAATGCATGTGGCTCTTAGTGAGGTGTCTGCTTGAAATATACCCAGTATAGATTTGAATAGGCCTATATGGCTCTTAATGAGGTGTCTCCTTGAAATATACCAAGTAGATATTTGTGTAATGCATGTGGCTCTTAGTGAGGTGTCTGCTTGAAATATACCCAGTATAGATTTGAATAGGCCTATATGGCTCTTAGTGAGGTGTCTCCTTGAAATATACCAAGTAGATATTTGTGTAATGCATGTGGCTCTTAGTGAGGTGTCTGCTTGAAATCTACCCAGTATATATTTGATTTAACATTAATGATGCTATTCTTGATAGTCAAAACTGACTGTTCTCATTTAATCTCTCTTCACAGGGAAAGTATTTGTCCACTGTGTGCAGGGGGTCAGCCGGTCAGCCACCTTAGTGATTGCTTATTTGATGATCAAGAAACACATGACTGTTCAGGAGGCACTGCGATTGGTCAGGGAGAAGAGAGAAATCTGCCCAAACCCTGGCTTTCTCCAACAGTTGTGTTGCCTCAATGAAGATCTGAAAAAGTCTGGACATTTCATACCTAACACAAACCCTGCAAAAGACTGTCTGCCTGTTATCTCAGGCCCAGTTGTTTACAAATGGCAGAAATGATTGATAAACAGATGTAAACAGTGATTGACAAACAGATGTACAGATGGGAACAGTGATTGATAAACAGATGTACAGATGGGAACAGTGACTGATAAACAGATGTACAGATGGGAACAGTGACTGATAAACAGATGTACAGATGGGAACAGTGATTGATAGACAGACAAACATTGTCACAAACAGATGTACAAGTGGTAACAATGATAGACAAACAGCTGTACAAATAGCAAAATGGTTTTTAAAAATGTACAGCTATTTAAAAAAAAAAATGATAAACAAATGTTTACAAAAATGACTGATAAGAAGATGTACAGATATAAAAAGTAAATATGATTGACCCAACAGAGGTACAAATTTAAAAAAAATGATTGACAGACAGTTGTACAAACACCAGACAGACAAGTTGGAGAGGTAGTGGCCTCATGTCTGTCATGCTCTTACTCTTGATTCTGTGCAGATGCTAATACTAAAAAATATATATATCTTCTTCTTCTTCGCGTTCACCAGCTGCAAACTCTGGCGGCAGGTTCTGGTTGCTCGTCCACTACTGAACTGCAGTCCTGCTAGAGAACCTGAGTGTTGCGTGTGCATCAGTTTTACAGATCTCATTCTCTTGAATACAGACTGTTGGTTCCTTGCCTCTCCGGCAGATGCACTCCGACTTCAAAGGAAGCTCCCCAATTAGTTGACTCTTACAACATGCTTTTGGGGAGGCAGTGGGTCTATTCTTGTTTTCCCCACAATGGGGCCCCGGAACCCACACGGGGGGAATATATATATATATATTCCAGTGGTCTTCTGCTAGCACACATTTCCATGTACTTATTCCCAGAAATCCCAATTTTTAGAGAACAGTTGCATTAATGTGCACATTTATAACAATACTGATTACTGCATACGAAACAATCTGAAAAATGAAAGCATTCAGATAAGTTCTTTTATTAAAGTAACTTTTGTTTTTCTGGTCACTAGTCAGAACTTTGCATTAAATTATTTCTTTATTTTTTAGTGCATTATAATTTTATGCATCTTGAATAAAAGAAGCTCATTCTGTTTAAAAATTAGTGTTAGACCTACACTTTATAAACCACTTGGCAGGGGAAGTGCTAAAACCACACCGATTGCCTTTACTTCTCAGGACTTTTAGCTGGTACACGGTTAAGACAGGGTCAACCTGCCAGCCAAGGTCACTTTAAAAAAAGGTCTTGCTTTGCCAGGACCTGAACCCATGACCTTCAGATCTGCAGGCTAGCATCTAGCCGCTACACCACGGCAGCTCTCACTATCTGTAGGACAGGATGAGAATCAAACTGGAGACAGTCTCATAAACTGGGTTCAACCTTATAAGACAGTTGTGTAAGAGCAGCCCCTGGAGTTACGGCCATTAACCTGCAGTCTCAGATGGGCTGGGATTTGATGCTGACACGCACACACAGAGGTGAGTGAGGAGTGATTTTCAACCCCACCACACACACAGAGAGAGGTGAGTGAGGAGTGATGTTCAACGCCACCACACACATACAGAGGTGAGTGAGGAGTGATTTTCAACCCTACCACACACACACACAGAGGTGAGTGAGGAGTGATGTTCAACCCCACCACACACACAGAGAGGTGAGTGAGGAGTGATGTTCAACCCCACCATACACACAGAGAGGTGAGTGAGGAGTGATGTTCAATCCTACCACACAGAGAGGTGAGTGAGGAGTGATGTTCAACCCCACCACACAGAGAGGTTAGTGAGAAGTGATGTTCATCCCCACCAGACACACACAGAGAGGTGAGTGAGGAGTGATGTTCAACCCCACCAGAAACACAGAGAGGTGAGTGATGAGTGATGTTCAACCCCACCAGACACACAGAGAGGTGAATGAGGAGTGATGTTCAACCCCACCAGACACAAAGAGAGGTGAGTGATGAGTGATGTTCAACCCCACCAGACACACAGAGAGGTGAGTGAGGAGTGATGTTCAACCCAACCACCAGACACAAAGAGAGGTGAGTGAGGAGTGATGTTCAACACTACCAGGACTGCACAACCATGGATAAACAGCCAGTGACACAAAGTGTTACCATTCAGATAAGAATCCCCCATGTACAAGACCCAGAAACCCTGTCTAACTGTTAAGTTATATAAGGGCCCCCGACAACAGCTTTAAATGGGACACAGAGAAGTCAATACTGCTTCAACAAAACACTATAATTTACATAAGGTTTACACTCAACAATATTAGAATGCTGATGGTAAATGTAAGAAATTCTTTATCCACTACCTATGACCTCCCTGTGGAACCTTGGGCCTAAACCCAATCACGGTAAGGTTTGTGTAAACGTAATCATCATTGGTTAAATTATGAAACTGAAAATGTCTACAGGTTAAGAGCTGTTTCTTATGACATGCATCTTTGCTTTCTTCCCTTGGGGCCCCAGGAACACAAGGGAAATGTCAGTAATACAAACAAATAAGTGACAATCAACAAAATGGATAATAACAGAAATCACAGCCTATTATAAAACAACTAATGCAACAATTGACTATGGAACTGTTTCATCAGGCTAAGTTTGGTCCCAGCAGTGCCCTGTGCACAGCAGACTTCTCATGAAATGGCAGTCTGTTAACAATGAAAGAAAACATGGACAATTGAAGTGTTGTTAAACTGCTTGAGACTTGTGTAAACACCTGATCTTAACTCATCATGCCGCATCAACTGTTACACTTAGCCACACTGCTCTAGCTATTACACTCACATACACTACCCCAGCTGTTACACTCACCCACACTGCTCCAACTGTTACACTCACCCACACTGTTCCAACTGTTACACTCACCCACATTGTTCCAACTGTTACACTCACCTACACTGCCCCAGCTGTTACACTCACCTACACTGCTCCACCTGTTACACTCACTCACACTGCTCCACCTGTTACACTCACCCACACTGCTACAGCTGTTACACTCACCCACACTGCTCCACCTGTTACACTCACCCACACTGCTACAGCTGTTACACTCACCCACACTGCTCCAGCTGTTACACTCACCCACACTGCTCCAGCTGTTACACTCACCCACACTGCTCCAGCTGTTACACTCACCCACACTGCTCCAACTGTTACACTTACCCATACTGCTTCAACTGTTACCCTCACCCACACTGTGACTTTGGCTAAAACCTACTAGCTAAGTACAATCTTTCTGGAATTTCTTCTTCTTCTGCCTTTCTAACCTCCATTGGAGCATAGGCTCTCAACCAACTCATACCAAGTCGCTCTATCCTTCACTACTGCATGCAGCTCATTCCATGTCCTCCCCATCTTTTTAACTGCACTCTCTGGCTCTCTTCTTCATGTATTTTTTTGGCATCTTTTATTTATATGCCCCTGTGGGTTCCAGTGCAAAGACATTCTAGTTACACTGTTCTCAAACTTTTTCAATGCGTGCTCTATCCAACACCGGCATCTTTTCTTCACCTCTTGGTCCACTGGAACTTGATTAGTTCTCTCCCAAAGCTCAACAATAGTGATTCTATCATATCATTTTATTCACTCTGTTCTAGGCAGGCACCAGTTAATGGATGTTTATAGTTTATTATTAATTGCTTTAGTTGTTCTCAATGTTTCTGCTCCACACAACAGAACTGATTTGACATTAGAATTTTAAAATTTTAGTTTAGTAATAGTTTTAATTTTTTTTTTTGACTTCCATACATTTCCTAGTGCTATGAAAGCTCCTCTTGCCTTTTGTATTCATATTTTAATATCTCTATGTTTCCCCCATCTTTATGTCTGGGCCTGAATAAGAAAAATAATATCAGCTGGTACTAGATGAGTTAAATATTTAGCCATGGAGATACCTATAATGAAACCAAAGACAAACAACAATGAGATGTCATTATCTGAACTCTGAACTTATCCTAACAGGAAAATGTAAACGCATGAACAACAACCCCATGCATCGAATAGCAAACAACAACACAAAACAACAATAAAATGACTAAAAAGACAGCTTTCACCATCTATCAAAATAGTTCTGCGCAAAAAACAGTGACATCTTTTCTAAAAAACCTTTAATGTTTGAAACGATCCAGGTAGACAGCATAGACACAGCCTAACTATACAGTCACAACAACAATTCCAGGCATAGACAGAAAGGCTGAAGAATGTGACATAGTACTGCATGACCCTTGAACATGTCTACAACTTTTACCCAAAAACCTGAATAGACACATGTATACACCAAGGGATCACTGGAGCTAGCAGGAGAAAACTGAGGAGCTGGTTCAGTCTTCATGCTGCCAGATGGGACCACAGTAGGAAAAGTCATGGCCTCTGGATAACTCTCAACAAACTTCAGAGCAGCAAGCAATTATTGATACAACTAAAGTGCTTGAGGAAAGAAAAATTAAAAACAGCAAAACTGTTTTCTGTGTGACTGCATGTCAGTCTTCCAGGCCACTGAATGGGATCCATGAGAGAGAGCTCACCTGTTTATTGTAATCGTGGAGAGAAAAAAACCAAAAGTAAACATCCACAAGACTCAACAGATAGCAACAGACAAAAACATTTTTTGTTTTCGAACAGGACACTGCAGGCTCAACTACCACATGCATTAAATAAAGATTATACAGTCCCACCAGTGTGCTTGTCAGAAAGGACCACAAACGCTTGAGCATATTCTGCAGACCTGCCCACTCTCTGACAACTTGGAAAAGAATATGACCACAAGAGCAATGTACAGTGCAAGCTATGAAGGACCTGCAGCAAACATGTAAGCTCATAGAGGCAACCTACCTGAGCAGTCAAAACTGAATTTAAAGAAGAAAGAAGAATCCTCAGCTGTGTCCCCTACAATGAAACCAAAGACAAACAACAATGAACTGACATTACCTGAACTCCGAGCTGTCTCAGGATATCCTTGAAGACACAGAGTCTAGTATCCTCACTTCTCTGGAACAAGGGCATCCAAGGTTTGATATAGATATTCTGATGGTCCAGAAGATGACAGGGGAACTCAATATGTACTCCAGACAGAACAGCTAGTCCACGCCCAACTCTACACCTAACTATGGCTGGAGAATTGTTCTCCAGGCTGCTGTACGTCCCCAGGATTTCCACCAATGGAGGTCTGCTGGTGAGGCCAACGTGGCTGGCACAACTGTCTTTACATGAGACACCATATTTTGTGTTAATTGTATCCATACTGGAGAAAGTAAGTCCATCTGTACTAATCCTGTCTTCGGACAGAACACATCCATCTCTGGATTGATTATAAAGTCTAAAAAAACCTCCACCTTCAGAGTATGCATCCAGGTGTTTGACATCTGTATCCAGGTGTCTGATGTCTGTTTCCAGGTGTCTGATGTCTGTTTCCAGGTGTCCGATGTCTGTATTCAGGTGTCTGATGTCTTTATCCAGGTGTCTGCCGCTTGTATACCTGACAGGTACTGCATGGACCCCAGCCTTAGTCTCATACTGGAAACCAGGGAATGCTGGGCCAATACACATACCTATGTGAACACAAGGTATCCATAATATTAAACAATACACATACCTATGTGAACACAATGTATCCATAATATTAAATCATACACATACCTAGGTATCTTGGTATAAAGCCATACACATACCCAGGTGAACAGAGTGTAACCTTAGTATTGAGCCATACCCACCCAGGTGAAAAACGTGTAACCTTGGTATTAAGCCATACACATACCTAGGTTAAAAAAAAGTGTAACCTTGGTGTTAAGCCATACACATACCCAGGTGAACAAAGTGTAACCTTGGCATTAAGCCATACACATACCCAGGTAAACAGAGTGTAACCATGGTATAAAGCAATACACACCCAGGTGAACAGAGTGTAACCATAGTATTAAGCAATACACATACCCAGGTGAACAAAGTGTAGCCATGGTATTAAGCCATACACATACCTGGGTGAACAAAGTGTAATCATGGTATTAAGCCATACACATACTCAGGTGAATAAAGTGTAACCGTGGTATTAAGCCATACACATACCCAGGTGAACAAAGTGTAACCTTGGTAAAAAGCCATACACATACCCAGGTGAACAAAGTGTTACCATGGTATTAAGCCATACACATAGGTGAACTAAATGTAACCATGGTATTGGCCTAAAGAGAACAGCAACATATGCTGTAGTTGGCCAGGTGTGTGTCTGTGTGTGGACGCGTACATATATAGTAAGTAAAGATCCCTTATCACGCCTTAAGCGCATCGGGTATATGGGAAAAGCGTCCCATATTTTTACAGACCAATCGGCAAAGGATGGGTAACGTGGTCAGCATTACACCGGCCATCTTTACTTTCCCAGGACAGCCATCCTGGTACCCATTTTAGGCTGGGTTGACCTGCGATGCCCCATACCTTGATAAAAATCCATGCAGCCAGCAGTGGGTTTCGATCGCGGTACGTTGGATTACAAGTCGGATTCGCAACGCTTAAGCCACGGACCACGTACACATATGGCCAAGACTAACATACATCGCTTGGTGATCAGTGTTCTGAGATACACAAAAAATACAGTTCGCTCGACATTGCGCTGAACAAAAAGATGTGCAATTGTTAAATAGGAAATTGCAATCTGGGATACAGAAAAAATGTAAAAAATAACACCATCTTCGACTGTCAGCCAGCAATGTCAGTGTTGGAGCTCACAATGTCAGTGTTGGAGCCAGGAATGTCAGTATTGGAGCCAGTAATGTCAGTGTTGGAGCCAGCAATGTCAGTATTGGAGCCAGTAATGTCAATGTTGGAGTCAGCAGTCAGTACTGGAGCCAGTAATGTCAGTGTTGGAGCCAGCAATGTCTGTGTTCCAGCCAGCAATGTCAGTGTTGGAGCTAATAATGTTAGTGCTGAAGCCAGCAATGTCAGTGCTGGAGCCAGCAATGTCAGTGTTGGAGATAGTAATGTCAGTGTTGGAGTCAGCAATGTCAGTGTTGGAGCCAGCCAGTAATGTCAGTACTGGAGCCAGTAATGTCAGCGAAGTCAGAGTCAGAGCCAGCAATTACAAATGACCCGCTGAACTTGCCATCGAATATAGTCACCCGTGGTTAGCAAATATACACAATTGGCTGTCTGCAAATGTCACATGGGAGCACATGATCATGACTATATTCTATTAAGATCCTTATTTTCATAATCTGCCTCAAACAATAACTAAATACAGAAATTTTGCTGGCAAAATGTGTAGCTTATGCACCAGACAGTTGGTGTTTTTGGACATGCTGTCAGAAGGAATGGACTCAAAAATCCCGTAATGATTGGCTAGATTAATGAAGGAGAGAAAGGGTAAGGCAAAGAGATAAATATCTGTATGGTTTAGCCATATGAATGAGGCGAGACAAGAACAAAGACCTGGTCTATTATTCTGGTAATTGTTTGATGGCGAAACATGAAAGTTTATGCTTGCCAGCGTGACACATGATGATGATGATAGTAATCTAGGTTGCATGTGAAATAAAATATCTTTCTCTCTCATGAACACACACACAAAATGTGTTTCAATATTGTACCAACCTGGAAAAAACTTAAGAAACCTTTCGCCTGTCACCTCCAGTGGACCACCTTTATCAAACAGAATAGAGTCGCAGGCCCAGTAAGCTCCAGCACACAGGCCCAGGTATGAGCCTCCAGCACAAACAAATGACTGGATCTGCCTGGTTCCCTCCCTGCCCAGCGCTGCTTCAAAACCAAGGTCATACCCTCCACCAAAGATGATCAAACAACATGTCTGCATCCATGAGCCTGCAACAAATTTGTGTGGTATATTAAAGAAATATGTTATTCTGCAGTAATTGAGGATGTCACCACATGTGTACTGTATTAAAGGAATACAGTATCATCATCAACATCATCCCATTACACTGCGTTTCGTTGGGTCACCAGTTTCTGTTGACTGATCAGCTCTCTCCACCTTTGGCGGTCAGTTGTGATGGATTTCATGGCTGCATGCCTGAGGCCTGTCCAGTCAGTCAGGTTCTGTAACCAGGTCTTTCTTGGTCTGCCTCTTCTACTCTTTCCCTGCTCAAACCTGCAGTATTGTTTCTGAGAGCCCATTAGATATTATATGTCCTTACCATTGCATTTTTTGCCTTTTCACTGTTGTTAAAACAGATTCATAGTTGCCAGTGTGCTGGATAATTATATAGCGAACCTCTTCAATTGTAATGTGGTCACAGTATGATATGCCAACAAATTTGCTGAAATGTCACATTTTCAATGCTTGTATCTTCCTTTCGAGTTCAGCTGTGAAGGTCCACTTTTCACAGCCATATGTAAATGTACTAATAGATAGTGCTCTGAGCAATCGAATCTTAGTTTTGCATGAAATGTTTTTGGATCTCTCTAATGTAACCAGTTTACTGCAAAAATTGAGGATTTCACCACACATGTACTGTATTAAATGAATATGATATACTGAAGTAATTAAGGATGTTACCACACGTGTACTGTATTGAGGGAATATGATATACTATAGTAGTTAAGGATGTCACCACATATATTAAAGAATAGGCTAGAATCATAAGAGAACAGCAGAATATCAACAGGCTAGAATCACTACAGAACAGCAGAACATCAACAGGCTAGAATTACTACAGAACAGCAGATCATCAACAGGCTAGAATCACTACAGAACAGCAGAACATCAACAGGCTACAATCACTACAGAACATCAACAGGCTACAATCACTACAGAACATCAACAGGCTACAATCACTACAGAACAGCAGATCATCAACAGGCTAGAATCACTAAAGAACAGCAGAACATCAACAGGCTAGAATCACTACAGAACAGCAGAACATCAACAGGCTACAATCACTACAGAACAGCAGATCATCAACAGGCTAGAATCACTACAGAACAGCAGAACATCAACAGTCTAGAATCAATAAAGAACAGCAGAACATCAACAGGCTAGAATCACTACAGAACAGCAGATCATCAACAGGCTAGAATCACTACAGAACAGCAGATCATCAACAGGCTACAACCACTAAAGAACAGCAGAACATCAACAGGCTACAATCACTACAGAACAGCAGAACATCAACAGGCTAGAATCACTACAGAACAGCAGAACATCAACAGTCTAGAATCACTAAAGAACAGCAGAAAATCAATAGGCTAAAATCACTAGAGAACATCAACAGGCTAGAAACACTACAGAACAGCAGAACATTATCAGGCTAAAATCACTACAGAACAGCAGAAAATCAACAGGCTAAAATCACAACAGAACTGCAGAACATCAACAGGCTAGAATCACAAATGCTACTGACCATGCAAAATCTGCTGTGGTGTGATGAACTGGATACAGTGATGACTGGGATCCACCACAGTCTGCAGTGCCTGCTGTAGTAATGTTCTGCTCTCTTCATTGCTTCCTGGGCCATTGTAAATCAGAATATGGGACAGATGTCTGGAGGACATCAGTCTCTGTGGGAAACAACCAGCAAAATACATGAACTGTCAAACGAGGTCAGGAGCCTCAGCACCACAACAAACAAACATGAACACAGGAGAAGGGATCCAGGGGCCCAAGCCATGTTTTTAAATGTGACAGTAACAATGTGCAGAATGGCAAATAAATAAAGCAATATATTTGAAATAATATAAGTATAAAAGTGAGCTTCAACATATGGTTGCGAATGAGTTGGGTGGGCGGTGGGGGGGGGGGGGGGGGGGGGGGGGAGGGTGGTATAAACTCCTTCCAGCCTAGTTTCTTCATTGTTGCTTAGTTTTTTTCTTGGCTTGATGTTTTTGCTTGGCATGTAGTTTTTGGCTTGGCATGTAGTTCTTATCTTGGCATGAAGTTTCTGGCTTGGCATGCAGTTTTTATCTTGGCATGCAGTTTTTGGCTTGGCGTGTAGATTTTTTCTTGAAATGTTTTTATCTTGGCATGTGGTTTTTGGCTTTGCATTTAGTTTTAATCTTGGTATGCAGTTTTTAGCTTGGCATTCAGTTTTTATCTTGGCATGTAGTTTTTGGCCTGACATGTAGTTTTTATCTTGGAATCTAGTTTTTATCTTGGCACCTAGTTTTTGGCTTCACATGTAGTTTTTATCTTGGCATGTAGTTTTTATCTTAGTAGCTTAGCATGTAGTTTTTGGCTTGGCATTTAGTTTTTAACTTGGCGTGTAGTTTTTGGCTTGGCATGTAGTTTTTGGCTTGGCGTCTAGTTTTTAGCTTGACGTGTAATTTTTGGCTTGGCATTTAGTTTTTATCTTGGCATGTAGTTTTTAACTTGGTGTGTGTTTTTTTTTAACCTTGGTGTGTTGTTTTTGGCTTGGCGTGTAGTTTTTGGCTTGGCATGTAGTTCTGAGAAAAGATACTACGTCTCCTAATTAATTATCCAATAAATCATATCTGGGGAAAATGGTGCAGCAGGGAGTGACCAGAGATCAGGCCGACACTCCAGGGGAAAGCAAGACATTTAATACTGCTACTTGTACTAATGGAAGTGGTTCTATTCTCTTCGCTAATTAATGAAGATAAGGAGGGCCACAATTGCAGTTATCAATGTCATACGATGATGTGTACTTGATATTTAAATACTTGTGAAAGGCTGACGAAAGAATCTGAACCTTGTCCAGTTTTCCCATTGTTGTCTTGGCTGCTGCACTGCATTTTAAATTTCAATAGAGAACAAAAAAAAAGAATGAAGCGTCAACCACCTTGCTAGAGAACTGTACAGACAGCACCAAGATCTGCTTGAAAGAGATGTAGCACTGTGCTAAAAACTTAAGCCAGAACCATGGACAAGCAAGCCAGAGAAGGCAAATGTAGTCCTAAAGGTACCAGGAATCACTTCAAAAGATGCCCAGATGGAGACACAACAGAGAACCCTGGCTCTTGCTATGCTTGGTGAGAAATATCCAAACACCACTTGGACTCAGGTTTTCACTGACGGCTCTGCTACAGATGCAGTCAGAAAGGGGGGTTGTGGAATATACATTAAACCCCCTAACAGCAGAGCAGAAACTTTCTCCCTACCAGCAGGTGACATCTGCACTAACTTCAGAGCTGAGGCAGCTACCCTCCTGTCTGCAGTCCAACATCTCATCAATCAAGAACACAGAGGGCACAAAATTGTTATACTTAGTGACTCATTGTCGGTTCTCCAAGCACTATCCAGCAAAAAACAAGACAAACTAATTGCAGATTTAAGGACCAACATTGGCTTACTCTCCAAGGAAGCAGAACTGGTCTTGCAGTGGATACCAGCCCACTGTAGTATTCAAGGAAATGAGAGAGCAGATGAGTTGGCAAAAGCTGTGAGTAATCTTCCACAACCTCACCCACCACACAGCTACAAGGAAACCAAAACAGCTCTAAAGCAGTCTTTCAAGCGGGAGTGGAGAAGGCAAAATAGAGATTACAGACCAGAGAGGACAGCATAAACAAACTCAACAAGAAAGAACAAACATCAATTTGTAGACTTCGGACTGGACACTGTGGTCTTCGAGCACACCTATGCAGAATAGGCATAAAAGAATCTGCTGCTTGTGATTGTGGTGCAGAAAGACAGACTCCTGAGCACCTACTGCAGTACTGCCCTTACCTCTCCCAGCAAAGACTGTGGATCTGGCCCAAGGGATCCACATCGCGAGAGAATGGGGGACCGGTGGCGACCTTAAACACACAATCCTATTTGTGACCCAGACGGGCCTCAAACTCAATGTTTAGCATGACTGATGTCGAACGCAGAAGAAAAAAACTCTCAAGAATATTCCCTCTCTCTGAGCTACCAACATAAATATGTACAGTTACTTTGTGCGGTGCCCACCTGGAAGCGGCAGATGTGCCTACAGCCACAGAAACTGAGAATGGTGAAACCAAATCCCGTGTTTGCGGTGATTCTGAAGTCGTGCTGGTGGCCAGTGTTGCCACTTTTCTTTGGCAGAAAATATCTAGAAATATCTAGATTTGCGCAGGGAAACGTCTATAAATGACATCCAAATGAAACAGTCGCAAAATGTATATATTCAATTTCGTCCTCTTTAGGGCGAAATTTTTGGTTATTTGAAGCCCCAACCTGGCTTTTGCCAGGGGTCGCAATATAGGCAGACCATAAATATGGCCAATTGTCTGAACGCGGTTTCTGGGACCTCTCCACGGCGATCCTCATCCACATAGTGGCACTTTGTGTCATCGGGTGTTTATCGCTTGTGTGATGTCCTAGTGGGGTAGAAAGTCAGTCAGTCAACAGTCGCAAATTACATAGCTATAGATATGATTTACCCTATAGAATCATGTCATCATCTTCACATGTCTGTCTCACAAGATCCACAGGATAAACGTAGCTTGGATAATGAAGTTGAAGCTTCTGGTATGATTTAGCAATTCCAATTTCTTTTAATAAACATTCAGGGAGCTGATAAGTTGAACAGCATTTTCCTACTTTCATCAAGCCAAATTTTATTGCCAAGATAGCATTTAAGAAGTCAAGTTTCATCCTATTTCTTAAGTTAGATTTGATATAATTCATAGCACTGAAAACTCTTTCTACATCAGCCTTTTAATGGGGTAGTATCATGACAGACATGGCACATTGAAAGAGCTTACTGAATGGACAGTTTCCTGAGGCATATTAAAATTGTCTCACTTCACCCTAAAACACCCCAGTTTCTGTTTTGTTTGTCCAGTCACGCCCATCTTGAGCTATTTATAAATAAAGTCGGCTGTGGTCCAGTCAACCAAGTTTATTTGGGTTAATTGACAATCTGCTTCAGCCACACTATTATCAGTAGCCCTTAACAATTTCATAACTTTACAATAGTTACGTTTGTCCTTTAATAGCTGAAGTATGTTGCTCACAGAAAAGAGTGAAATATTTTTCATTACATCTAGATTTTCAGGAAGTCTCTGTTTCAGGTAAATGAAGAATGAGACAAGGAAATCTTGACAGCGGGTTTTATGATTTTTAGTCTACGTACAACTCTTCAAGTCTTGTATTTTCTCTTTAATCCCCCCCCCCCCCGTGTGGGTTCCTGTGCCCCATTGTGGGGAAAACCAGAATAGATCCACTGCCTCCCAAAAATCATGTCGTAAGAGTCGACAAATTGGGGAGCTCCCTTTGAAGTCGGAGTGCATCTGCCGGAGAGGCAAGGAACCAACAGTCTGTATTCAAGAGAATGAGATCTGTAAAACTGATGTACACGCAACACTCAGGTTCTGGAGCAGGAATGCAGTTCGGTAGTGGACGAGCAACCAGAACTTTCCGCCAGAGTGTACAGCTGGTGAACGCGAAGAAGAAGAAGAAGAAGCTTTAATTTCACGTTTGTAGTACTCACAACAAGCCTTCGTCGTATTCCCCAGTCTTTAATTGTGTCATCATGCAGCCACTGTTGTCAACATTTTTGCTCATACTGCTTTACTTTTGGCATGTTAAAAGGTTTTTGCAAAGTAGAAGACACATATGAATGTGAGCAGTTACGAAAAAAATGACATAAAAATAGAACAACAAAGTCAGCATTACAGCTATAATTCACAACACAGTGAGGATACAGTTCAAACAAAGTATGTTTTACAGGTGCTCTTAATCAGTACCGGGGCTGCCAGATTGTTGAGTTACCAGTGTACGTGCCTAGACCACACACACAACCAAAAAAAAAAAAAAAAAAAAATTTGCAAAAATATTTCATACAGTAATTATTAAGTTAATTTCTTAATTTTTAATACACTTTCTGTATTCTGTGCTGCCTGACCACACGGACACAGTCCTAAATCCCCAAGCTTGAATATCTGGTGCAAATGACTGCACAATCTGTTGGCAAATGACTACTCTGCTCGTGTTTGTGACATTAACCCTTTCCGTACCAGATATATACAGTTAAGTCCCTTCTTTTCATACAATAGTAAAATTAGTAACCACGGAAATGAGATGTATGAGAAGGGCTGTAGGAGTGACCATAAGAGATAAGATCAGGAATGAGATCATAAGAGAACAAGTCGGCACAGAACCAATACTGGATTACATACAAAGACAGCAAATGAAATGGTTTGCCCACTTAGAGAGAATGCCTTGTGACGCCATACCATACAAAGCATACATGGAAAGAGAAGAAGGACGTAGAGCACGGGGTAGACAAAGAACAATATGGAAGGTTAACATCAGAGAAACTCTACAACAGCACGATGTGCCTATGGTCGAGGCAGCCAGAAGAGCTAGAAACAGAACCTTATATCTCCCTCGACACCCACAGCGGTAAAAGAGGAAGTGAAGAAGAAGAAGAAGAATTATTAAGTTGATATTGAAAGAAAAAAAAATATATATATAAAATATCTAGCCCCAAATGATAAGCGGCTAGAATTACATCTACCATCTAGACGTCAAAAACACAATCTAGATGCAAGAGCAAACATCTAGATCTGTATGTAAAACATCCAAAATGGCAACACTGCTGATGGCCTCTAACATTTGTTTTGTTTCGTATAACTTCATCATTTTATTTAGGTTTAAAAATTAGCGACTTAAAAATGTAGATTACTTTAGAAATGTACAAAACAATATAAAAATATTGTAAAAATGTATATAATTTTTAAGCAAATTTTAATAACATTATGCTTATATGTTAATGTCACACTTTCGTGTGAATTTTTTAACATGTTAACATAATTATTTATATGAACAAAATAAACGGTGGCATTTGCTGCAAAAAGTTCATTATACTCTTTGAAAAAATGGCGCCCTCCATGAAGTGCACCACGGGGATGTGGGCAATCCATTTATTCTTATGTTTTCTTTTGAAATTTGTCGATATTCATGCTGCAAAACTGAACGCCCCAAAATTATTATTACCGTTTTATAGTTCAGTTGTCGTTAACTACACACTGGAAGTGGAATATTCGCCAGAAGAAGCTCAGATAGCCAGCACCTGTTTTCAATGGTAGGTTGCTGTGGATACTACCGTACTTACCGGCGAATGATATGTTTAAATTAATAGTTGCTTCCTGCACTGTGCCAGTACTTTACTTAGTTCTCTGATGCACTTAATTGAATAATCTTTTAAATCAGTCGCAGATAAGAAGAAAATATACAATAATTTGACCACCCCATCCCACCTCTTTTAAAAAAATAAATGGGCTCTCCTCCGAACTTCGTCCCCATATTATGGCGGCCAAACAAATACCGTAACAGGGCCTCAGTCGTGTAAAATGCGGACTTCCTCCAACGAAGACATAGCAGCAAAACTAGGATCTGTCCGTTGACAATTTCGAGAAATGCAACAATACACACGATAATGACATGATGCGGGAAGACCATGTGCTTCAAAGCAGGTTAGCGTTAGTGTTTTTCTGAATAAACTCACCACCGAGCGTATCCCCCGCACCACTACGTGCGGCACGGATGGGGGGCTAAACTAAATGGCTGGGACTCACAAGCAGCAGCTACCGCATCTCCTGCAGCTTCCTCCAATATATTTGCTCATGAGTCCCAGCCATCTAGTTTAGACTCCCATCCGCGCATAGCAGCACGGGTGATACTGTCGGCAGGGGGCATAGTCGCAGAAACAGGTCTGCAGTTAATATATCGCTGAGACCTTGTTAGAGTATTTGTTTGCCCTAGATAATCTTCTTCTTCTTCTGCCTTTCTATCCCCCAATGGAGCATAGGCCCTCAACCAACTCACGCCAAGTCGTTCTATCCTTCGCCATTCTTTTTGACTTACCCATGGTTGGTTGGTTTTTTTGGCTATGGTTTTTACAGGATGAGGTAGCCAACCTCAAGCCCAACCCTACCCTTAGTCGCCTCTTACGACATGCCTGGTAGGGTGCAGTGTCACTATTCTTTGCTTCCTGTGAGGGCCCCGGTGACACACGGGCGGCCCTCGATAATATTGGCCCGTTATTCGGAAGCAATCCTAGTTTTGCCGCAATTTGTTCCTCGGCAGGCACTCCGCATTTTACACATGACTGAGGCCCTGTTAGGGTATTTGTTTGACCGCCATAATATGGGGACAAAGTTCGGAGGAGAGCCAATAAATGAAAGATCTTGTTTTCTTAGCGACTGTTAGTTGTTACCATTTTCTGTCATATTAAAATAATTAAATAATTAGTTCTCCCATTTTTGTGTATGTTTGTATTGTATTTTTGAGGTTCCTTACTCTTTCAGTCCCAAACAATGCATAATGAGTAATGGAATCCACCTAGCAAGTCTCACCCAATGAACAGTGTTCTCTTGCATTTTAATTGTGGTCAGAGAATATAAGGAAATCTGGGCACCCAAGTTTACATATGATCTACATCCAGCTTTCATAATTTGTTGCCAAGTAGGCATTGGCTGCCAGTTTTCTGGTACTGAAACAGTTAATTTTAGGCGACCCCCATCTTGTCGGCACTGATAGGGAAATCCTCAGAACATCCCATAGTATAGGAATCTAGAGCTACTGTCAAGTTTCTACTCTGTTTCAGTTCTGGCAAATCCTTCACTGAAGCACAGGGCTCCAACCAGCTAATGCCTCCTAGCAATTAAACAAAAAATTAGCTAACTTTATAGCACATGCATTTATGGATTTGAACAACACTGCGCTCATATATACCTGTCGTCAGTCTTTGGGCTGGTATAATCTTGCACTCCTGTCAGTCTTTGGGCTGGGTAAATCTTGCACTCAGATGTACATATCAATCTTTGCGCTGGTCAATTAGAGCACTCAAATGTACCTGTCAGTCTTTCGCCTGGGTAAATCTTGCACTCAGATGTACATATCAATCTTTGCGCTGGTCAATTAGAGCACTCAGATGTACCTGTCAGTCTTTGGGCTGGGTAAATCTTGCACTCATATATATATATATATATATATATATATATATATATATATATATATATATATATATATATATATATATATATATATATATATATATATATATATATATATATATATATATATATATATATATATATATATATATATATATATATATATATATATTTTGCGCTGGTCGATTAGAGCATGTACTCAGATGTACATATCAATCTTTGCACTGGTCGATTAGAGCACTCAGATGTACATATCAGTCTTTGCGCTAGTCAATTAGAGCACTCAGATGTACATATCAGTCTTTGCGCTAGTCAATTAGAGCACTCAGATGTACAGATAAATCTTTGCGCTGGTCAATTAGAGTACTCAGATGTACATATTAATCTTTCTGCTGGTCAATTAGAGCACTCAGATATAAATATCAGTCTTTGCGCTGGTCGATTAGAGCACTCAAATGTACATATAAATCTTTGCGATGGTCGATTAGAGCACTCAGCTGTACATATAAATCTTTGCGCTGGTCAATTAGAGCACTCAGATGTACATATTAATCTTTCCCCTGGTCAATTAGAGCACTCAGATGTACATATCAGTCTTTGCGCTGGTCGATTAGAGTACTCAAATGTACATATAAATCTTTCCGCTGGTCAATTAGAGCACTCAGATGTCTTTACGCTGGTTGAATCATGCATCTAGATTTGCATGGCATCTTTTGCGCTACTTTGAATTGTAACTACAAAAGCTGAAGTCAAATTGTTCTGGTATAGAAATTGTTACATATTTATTATTCTAGGCGCTCATCTCGTCCTGATGTGGCAGACATACATCTCATTGAATCTGTCGATGGAACTTGTGCCCAGGCAGCCATTATTTCTGCTGTTTCTAGAACAAATCATCAGGTCAGCGCGGTAATTATAGCTGAGAATAAAGGTATGTCTCTAATTGTTATATAGTGTCTTTTATTGTTGTATTGTGTCTTTTATTGTTATATAGTGTCTTTTATTGTTGTATTGTGTCTTTTATTGTTGCATTGCGTCTTTTATTGTTGTTTTGTGTCTTTTATTGTTGTATTGTGTCTTTTATTGTTGTATAGTGTCTTTTATTGTTGTATAGTGTCTTTTATTGTTGTATAGTGCCTTTTATTGTTGTATTGTGTCTTTTATTGTTGTATAGTGTCTTTTATTGTTGTATAGTGTCTTTTATTGTTGTATTGTGTCTTTTATTGTTGTATTGTGTCTTTTATTGTTGTATTTTGTCTTTTATTGTTGTATTGTGTCTTTTATTGTTGTATTGTGTCTTTTATTGTTGTAAAGGGTCAGTGTATTACATGCTAGACCTGTGTGGTTGTAGCTGAGAATAAAGTTATGTCTTTTGTTGTATAGTATCAGTATTGCATGCTAGACCTGTGTGGTTGTAGCTGAGAATAAAGTTATGTCTTTTGTTGTATAGTATCAGTATTGCATGCCAGACCTGTGTGGTTGTAGCTGAGAATAAAGTTATGTCTTTTGTTGTATAGTATCAGTATTGCATGCCAGACCTGTGTGGTTGTAGCTGAGAATAAAGTTATGTCTTTTGTTGTTGTATAGTATCAGAATTGCATTCCAGACCTGTGTGGTTGTAGCTGAGAATAAAGTTATGTCTTTTGTTGTATAGTATCAGTATTGCATGCCAGACCTGTGTGGTTGTAGCTGAGAATAAAGTTATGTCTTTTGTTGTTGTATAGTATCAGTATTGCATGCTAGACCTGTGTGGTTGTTGCTGAGAATAAAGTTGTCTTTTGTTGTTGTATAGTATCAGTATTGCATGCCAGACCTGTGTGGTTGTAGCTGAGAATAAAGTTATGTCTTTTGTTGTTGTATAGTATCAGAATTGCATGCCAGACTTGTGTGGTTGTAAATTACAATACAGATGTTGTATAGTTTCAGTATTGCATGCCAAAAATGGGTGCTGTCTCCACTAAGGGACACTTTTCACACTGTTAGGCATATGGTGCTAGACCCCATATTTTTAGACCAGTAGGCACTAGATGCGGGTATGATCAGCATCATGTTATCTGAGAGCCAGATTTTGAACCCGTGACTTTGGAACCAGCAGGCAACTATCAGTCCACTGCACTACAACAGCTCTCTGGCAATCTGTCTATGTTTATTATAAATGGTGTTATATTGTGACAGTTTTATGCGTAAGAAATATGTGGTTGTGTGTTATAAATGACTTGTAAAAAAATAATGTGTGGCTGTATTTGATAATGACTGTTATTGTATTGTTTCTGGGCTATCCTCCGACTAACGGTCGGCAAAGATGGCGGCTGCAAATTATCCAGTTGAGCCACAGTCACGTGTTGTAATCAGTCAAAAATTGAAGTGGAAACTAATAAGGAACAAAAACTAATAAGGAGCGACAAAAATGTTATATCAAATCGACTACTTACCAATAATTGTTATCTGGAAATTATGGCACAGATATTCTAAATAATGCTAGAAAATCTGCTGTTTATGGCTGTTACGCCATTGAAACTCGGCTAAGTACGATCGGAACAACGGTAACGCACCTTTCCTTTTAGTAGCATCCACAGACCGGCTATCCTCCAAATAATGGGCACAAAAGATGTCGACCAAAAACATGGCCTCACTCACGTGTCAATTTCGAACTTCCAGCGACTTAATTTGCGGTTTTCCGGCGACTACTGCCACCGCCGAGAGTAGCCCACACACCGCTCACGCGGCATGGATTGGGGCTAAACTAGATGGCTAGGACTCACAAGCAAAGCTGCAGGAGATGCGGAAGCTGCTGCTCGTGGGTCCCAGCCATCTAGTTTAGCCCCATCCATGTGTAGCGGCGTGGGGGAGACTCGGCGGTGGCAGTAGTCGCCGGAAAACCGCAAATTAAGTCGCTGGAACTCGGCGGTTTGTTCCGTTTCTCAAAATTGTCAACAGACACTAATCCTAGTTTTGCTGCGATATGCTCGTGACAGCTTGGCTCGATTGGATATTTTGCGGCCGCCATCTTTGCCGACTGTTAGTCGGAGGATAGCCTGTTTCTGTTATATGTAATAAATGTGTTGTATGTTATACATAAAAAGTTAGTTACGTATCCTTTACAGGACATTGCAGAATTAACCCCAGCATTTTTCGACTGTTGTGGTTTGTCTAGGCAGATTTGCGTTTATTCGTTTGCCATTGCTTTCTGGACGGTCGGCTTTTCGATACCACTGTCGAAACCAACGCAAGGCTCAAGGCCTGCAGCTAAGGTCGAACCTGGCATTATAAAGCTCGTTCACAACACTTAAGCCACAGATGCCTACATGTTATACATAACATGTAATAATTATGTGGTTATGTTTTAAGAAATGTCTGGTTGTATGTGATATTGACTGATCATCTCTCTACAGTAACCGGTGAAGTGCTGCGCAGTAATGTCAATGTGGGAGGAATTGACCATGTGCTGATCAGGACCACCACCAGAAGTTTGTTCTTGGAGGACACTCCTGAGGAACTCATCATTGATGGGTTTGACAGCAGTGGTAGGCATCATCAGTTTTTCCTCTTGTGTAGCTATATCATTGATAGATTTGATAACAGTGGTAGATATTGTCAGTTCTTACTTGTGTGTAGCTACATCATTGATTGGTTTGACAGCAGTGGTAGGCACCGTCAGTTCTTTTGCTAGTGTAGCTACATCATTGATTGGTTTTGACAGCAGTGGTAGGCACCGTCAGTTCTTCCGCTAGTGTAGCTACATCATTGTTTGGTTTGACAGCAGTGGTAGGCACCGTCAGTTCTTCCGCTAGTGTAGCTACATCATTGATTGGTTTGACAGCAGTGGTAGGCACCGTCAGTTCTTTTGCTAGTGTAGCTACATTATTGATTGGTTTTGACAGCAGTGGTAGGCACCGTCAGTTCTTTCGCTAGTGTAGCTACATCATTAATGGGTTTGACAGCAGTGGTAGGCACTGTCAGTTCTTCTGCTAGTGTAGCTATATCATTGATTGGTTTGATACCAGTGGTAGGCACCGTCAGTTCTTCCGCTAGTGTAGCTACATCATTGATTGGTTTGATACCAGTGGTAGGCACCGTCAGTTCTTCCGCTAGTGTAGCTACATCATTGATTGGTTTGACAGCAGTGGTAGGCACCGTCAGTTCTTCCGCTAGTGTAGCTACATCATTGATTGGTTTGACAGCAGTGGTAGGCACCGTCAGTTCTTCCGCTAGTGTAGCTACATCATTGATTGGTTTGATACCAGTGGTAGGCACCGTCAGTTCTTCCATTAGTGTAGCTACATTGTTGATGGGTTTGACAGCAGTGGTAGGCACTGTCAGTACTTCCTCTTATGTAGCTACAGGCTGCATCCAAATTATCACTTCTTCCTTTTGTGTAGCTACATCATTAATGGGTTTGACAGCAGGAATAGATGAGTTCATTTTTTGTTATAATATCAGCTACAGTTGTTGATGAGATCATTATTTGTTATAATATCAGCTACAGTTGTTGATGAGATCATTATTTGTTATATTATCAGCTGCAGTTGTTTAGTTCATTGTTTGTCACTTATAGTTGTTGATGAGTTCATTGTTATCATTTACATTTGTTGTGTTATGACTCTGTATTGTGTTCTTGTGATTATTGATGTGTGTTACATCTGTTCTGTTACAGGAAACATGTTCTCCTCACTGCAGGGCATGTCATTTGAGTGGAACTTAATGCTGGATAATGAATCTGGACAAGACGTGCATGATGTCAACAACATTCTCAGGTGCCCCCACTTGTGTGTCATTAGATAATTACTTTTTTTGTGTGTACTTCTTGACAGATGTCAGCAACGTGTCAGATGCCCCCACGTCCCCACTTGTCTTTCATTAGATAGTGACTTGCATTTAAAAAAATACTTGACGGACGTCCTTGTTTGATGTCATTGTGGGGTCATATCTTCTTAGTTTAAAATAACTAGAACGTCTTTACACTGGAACCCACAGGGGCATACAAATAAAGTTATACCAGGCGCCAAGAGGAGAAGTGAAGTAGACAGTGTGGTTAAACAGATGCAGAAGAGCAAACGAATGAACAAACCTTATTTTCAGAGTGTTACAAATCAGGCACACAGGCTCCTCTTAGATTCGGCCCTTCTGAGCATTCATTTTTCAGACCCCAGTTGCATATTTTCAGTAATATATGTTATGTTTATATTTAAAAAAATACATGACTCCCAAAAAAAGCATTTACACATTATGTATACCATATCATACACACTTGGAATATACACGTACACATACATACACTCTTGTTTGCCCACACAAGCACACCCATACAGATACATGCATACACACTCACTTTTACATACACACTCATACAAATACATACAGGCACTCATGTCAGGGAGTAAACTGCATGCCATGGTAAAGGATGGGATGGCTTGGCCTGAGTTGGTTGAAGGCTAGTGTCCCCATTGGAGTATTAGTTGTCACATAGTAGATGCCAGTTTTGACAGTAGGTTGTGACAGTAGTTTAATGCACTCTCCAAGGTTGTATCAAAACCAGTGACATGTAGTAGTGTTGTATCAAAGATGTTCTACATTTATTGACTGCCGGAGATAGATGTTTTACATTTGTTGACCGTCTGAGATAAATAGATGCTATACGTTTGTTGATTGCCTGGGATAGATGTTTTACATTTGATTACGGTCTGAGATAGATATTTGACATTTGTTGACTGTCTGAGATAGGTAGATATTTGACATACATTAACTGCCGGAGATAAATAGATTTGTTAGACATGTTGAACACTGTGGATAGAGATCATTGTTGTACATGCCAAGTTTGAAGAGTCCATGTGATGTATTCTGACAGGATCAAGAGGTTCACAGACTCACATTATGTAACACCTCCACACATCATCCCCCTGGAGGAGCAGGGCCTGTTTGGAGACATGGTGTTGGTTGAAGGGGTACAGACAGGCAGTGCTAAAGTCTCAGCCAGATTTAGGGATCCAGCATATAAGGTAAGCTGTGGTGTTGGTTGAATGGAGTACAGACAGGCAGTGCTAAAGTCTTAAGCCAGGTTTAGGGATCCAGCATATAAGGTTAGCTGTGGTGTTGGTTGAAGGGGTACAGACAGGCAGGCAGTGCTAAAGTCTCAGTCAGGTTTAGGGATCCAGCATATAAGGTTAGCTGTGGTGTTGGTTGAAGGGGTACAGACAGACAGTGCTAAAGTCTCAGTCAGGTTTAGGGATCCAGCATATAAGGTTAGCTGTGGTGTTGGTTGAATGGGGTACAGACAGGCAGTGCTAAAGTCTTAAGCCAGGTTTAGGGATCCAGCATATAAGGTTAGCTGTGGTGTTGGTTAAAGGGGGTACAGACAGGCAGTGCTAAAGTCTCAGCCAGGTTTAGGGATCCAACATGTAAGGTTAACTGTGGTGTTGGTTGAAGGGGTACAGACAGACAGTGCTAAAGTCTCAGCCAGGTTTAGGGATCCAACATGTAAGGTTAACTGTGGTGTTGGTTGAAGGGGTACAGACAGGCAGGCAGTGCTAAAGTCTCAGCCAGGTTTAGGGATCCAGCATATAAGGTTAACTGTGGTGTTGGTTGAAGGGGTACAGACAGGCAGTGCTAAAGTCTCAGCCAGGTTTATGTATCCAGCATATAAGGTTAGCTGTGGTGTTGGTTGAAGGGGTACAGACAGGCAGTGCTAAAGTCTCAGCCAGGTTTAGGGATCCAACATGTAAGGTTAACTGTGGTGTTGGTTGAAGGGGTACAGACAGACAGTGCTAAAGTCTCAGCCAGGTTTAGGGATCCAACATGTAAGGTTAACTGTGGTGTTGGTTGAAGGGGTACAGACAGGCAGGCAGTGCTAAAGTCTCAGCCAGGTTTAGGGATCCAGCATATAAGGTTAACTGTGGTGTTGGTTGAAGGGGTACAGACAGACAGTGCTAAAGTCTCAGCCAGGTTTAGGGATCCAACATGTAAGGTTAACTGTGGTGTTGGTTGAAGGGGTACAGACAGACAGTGCTAAAGTCTCAGCCAGGTTTAGGGATCCAACATGTAAGGTTAACTGTGGTGTTGGTTGAAGGGGTACAGACAGACAGTGCTAAAGTCTCAGCCAGGTTTAGGGATCCAACATGTAAGGTTAACTGTGGTGTTGGTTGAAGGGGGTACAGACAGGCAGTGCTAAAGTCTCAGCCAGGTTTAGGGATCCAGCATATAAGGTTAGCTGTGGTGTTGGTTGAAGGGGTACAGACAGGCAGTGCTAAAGTCTCAGCCAGGTTTATGTATCCAGCATATAAGATTAGCTGTGGTGTTGGTTGAAGGGGTACAGACAGGCAGTGCTAAAGTCTCAGCCAGGTTTAGGGATCCAACATGTAAGGTTAACTGTGGTGTTGGTTGAAGGGGTACAGACAGGCAGTGCTAAAGTCTCAGCCAGGTTTAGGGATCCAGCATATAAGGTTAGCTGTGGTGTTGGTTGAAGGGGTACAGACAGGCAGTGCTAAAGTCTCAGCCAGGTTTAGGGATCCAGCATATAAGGTTAGCTGTGGTGTTGGTTGAAGGGGTACAGACAGGCAGTGCTAAAGTCTTAAGCCAGGTTTAGGGATCCAGCATATAAGGTTAGCTGTGGTGTTGGTTGAAGGGGTACAGTCAGGCAGGCAGTGCTAAAGTCTCAGCCAGGTTTAGGGATCCAGCATATAAGGTTAGCTGTGGTGTTGGTTGAAGGGGTACAGACAGGCAGTGCTAAAGTCTGCGTCAAGTTTAGCGATCCAGCATATAAGGTTAGCTGTGGTGGCAGTTCTCTCTGACAAATTGTTGCTATTTTTTCTCCTTACCTGAATTGTGAATGTATAGAAGATACTTTTGAAAGAAAGGAGTGCAGACAGAATCCTGATTCTCCCCCCCCCCCCCCCCCCCCCCTTTTCCTCCCCACTTCACAGAGCTAACTGAGGAAAGAGAAGAAGACTGGAAATAATGTTTCTCTAGACACAGCTAGTAGATGGTCATTTTCTAGTACTTCTTCTCCACATTTCTTGCTGTTTATGTTTCTAACAATCAAAAATTTAGTCCTAGTTAAGTGTTTTTCTATACACAGACAACCTATGTTACTCCGCCATGTTGTATTATGAGTTATATATCTGTATGTGTCTGTATGTTAGTGTGTGTATGTATATACCTGTATTGTATACATAATAGTTTTTGTTTGGACATTTTTGTGTTGTGTACATAAATTGTGTATGTATCTTTTGTGTACACAAATTTGTATCTGAGTAGTGTGTAAATATCTGTGTTATGTACATATGTGTGATGTGTGTGTGTATGTGTGTTGTATTTAAACATCTGTGTTGTGTACATGCAGTGATTTAATTCTTCTCTGCTAGAACATCCAAGCAGAAGATGTGCGTATTATGGTGGTTGCCAACTTAATGCTGTCGCCCCCTGATGCCTACCTGCTGGTTCATGGACGGGTTCAGTACCAGGTGCAGCTGCTCAGACAGAATACCCTGTCACGTAAGTCCTGTCTGAGACGTGACACGACAGTGACACTGAATCAACAGTTTACAGTGCTTTGACAAAACTTGTATGTCACCCTTATATTTGACACACTGACATCTCACAGTTATGTTTGACAAGCTAAGTCACAGTAATGTTTGATACACTGCATAGATATGTCCCAGTTATGTTTGACACACTGACATATCACAGTTATGTTTGACACCTGACATGTCACAGTTATGTTTGACACCTGACATGTCACAGTTATGTTTGACACACTGACAAGTCACATTTATATTAACAGACGATAATAGTTATGTTGGACACACTGACATGTCATAGTTATGTTTAGTACACTGACATGTCCCAGTTATGTTTGACATACTGGCATGTCACGGTTATGTTTGACACACTGACATGTCCCAGTTATGTTTGACACACTGACATGTCACAGTTATGTTTGACACACTGACATGTCACTGCTAAATTTGACACACTGATGTGTCACCATGACGCAGTGATGAGAATACATGATGATGATATAAGTTCTGTGACAGTAACATGACAGCAACTTTTGATGTTTGCCTGTGTATTGTTAATGACTATAAAATCATGGTTGTTTGATGTGTGACTTGCAGAAATCAAGATGCCATCGAAGCAGTACTATCTGTCGGTCACAGAACCCGCTGTCTGTCAACTGGATGCTCAGACATCCATGGCCACAGCTCTGGCTCTGGGCTCTACACAAGTCGTATTATATGACAGAAGTATCCTTACTGCTTCCAGCATTCTCAGACAATTAAGGTTTCTTTTGATATGACATCTAGAAAGATTCTATCTTCTGTATTGCCTGGGGAAACTGGATTGTAGTATGGAAAACTGTTTTGGGTACATGAAGAAACTGGTTTGTAGTGGGGAAAACTGTTCTGTATACCTGGGTAAAGGAAACTGGTTTGTAGTGGGGCGAACATTGCTGTGTACCTGGGGCAACTGGTCTGTAGTGGGGAAAACTGTTCTGTTTACCTGGGGAAACTGGTTTGTAGTGGAGAGAACTGTGCTGTGTACATGAGAAAATCAGGTTTCTAATGGAAACAATTTTGTACTTTATACGTTTATAACGGAATAAACTGTTCTATATACTTAAGGAAACTGAGGTTTGTAGTGTGAAAACGGTTCTGTGTACTTGGAGAAACTATTAGGTTGTAGTGTTAAAGTCTGTTCTATGTACTTGGAGAAACTATGAGGTTTGTAGTGGGAGAAACTTTTCTAGGTACTTGGAGAAACTGTGAGGTTTGTAGTCTGAGAAACTTCTCTAGGTACCTGGAGAAACTGTGAGGTTTGTAGTGTGAGAAACTGTTCTGTGTACTTGGATAAACTGTGAGATTTGTAGTGTAAAAAACTGTTCTATGTTCTTGGAGAAACTGGCATTTGTAGTGTGAGAAATTGTTCTATGTACTTGGAGAAACTATGAGGTTTGTAGTGTGTTCTATGTGCTTGGAGAAATTGTGAGGTTTGTAGTGTAAGAAACGGTTGTGTGTACTTGGAGAAACTGTGAGGTTTGTAGTTAGAAAATAATCTATGTACTTAAAGAAACTATGAGGTTTGTAGTGTGAGAAACTGTTCTATGTACTTGGAGAAACTGTTTGTCGTGGCAGAAACATTTGTGTGATGTGTGACGTCAGTACTGAAGTCTTTCAAGTTACGAATCACAGTAACGACCCACCCACCTACACATGCACATGCATACACTCACACACATGCATGTGATGCTGCAGGGGTCCTGAAAGCAACCCAACCACAGATGTGGTATCTTACATGTGACAGTCCACTCAAACGTGGGCCATGATACTGCATGTCTTAACTGTGGTCTCTTACATGTAGTGCATTCTGCAGTTGTAGAAGTGGCCAGTTTGTGTATTAGTGATACACATAGCATATGCTGTAATTGTCTGAGGTGCATATTGTGTTTGGGAGGTGTAGCTTGTGTGTGGCAGGGGTAGACTGTAAATCAGGGGTAGACTGTGTGTAAGAGGGGTAGACTGTGTGTAGGAGGGGTAGACTGTGTGTGGGAGGGGTAGATTGTGTGTGGGAGGGGTAGACTGTGTGGGAGGGGTGGACTGTATGAGAGGGGTAGACTGTAAAAGAGGGGTAGACTGTGTGGGAGGGGTAGATTGTGTGGGAGGGGTGGACTGTATGAGAGGGGTAGACTATAAAAGAGGGGTAGACTGTGTGGGAGGGGTAGACTGTGTGAGGCAGGGGTAGACTGTGTGTGGGAGGGGTAGACTTAAGATAGGGGTAGACTGTGTAAGGGGGGGGGGGGGTAGACTGTGTGAGGGAGTGGGAAAATGTGTAAGGGGGATGTAGACCTTGTGAAAGGGGTAGATAATCTGTTGGGGTGATATCAAGTATGTAAGGGGCAGATAACCTGTTGAAGGATTGTGTGTGGGAGGGTCAGACTTTAGAAAATGTTAATTGTTGGCTCCTCAGTGGCAGCCACATTGGTCCCACCTTAACCCATGACCAGATATTGTTATCACAGAGTTCTTTCCCCAGCCAACAGCAGTCATCCATGTGGTCTCGCCAGCTTACTTGGGTAAGCTTGTTTCGGATCTAGTTGTCAGTGTGCTGTATCTCTGCTATCTGCTTTGTTTATCTCTGGTGTCAAGTTGTTGGCTTTATTACCTCTGAATGGCCATGTTCTCCACATTATGTCCTTAGCCCATGTTCTCACATAATGTCCTTAGCCCATGTTCTCCACATAATGTCCTAAGCCCATGTTCTTTACATAATGTCCTAAGCCCATGTTCTCACATAATGTCCTAAGCCCATGTTCTTTACATAATGTCCTAAGCCCATGTTCTCACATAATGTCCTAAGCACATATTCTCCACATAATGTCTTAAGCCCATGTTCTCCACATAATGTCCTAACCCCATGTTCTCCACATAATGTCCTTAGCCTATGTTCTCCACATAATATCCTAAGCCTGTGTTCTGCACATATTGTCCTAAACCTGTGTCCTCTATATAATGTCCTAAGCCCATTTTCTCTACATAATGTCCTAAGCCTGTGTTCTCTACATAATGTCCTAAGCCCACATTCTCCACATAATGTCCTAAGCCCATGTTCTCCACATAATATCCTAAGCCCATGTTCTCTACATAATGCCTTAAGCCCATGTTCTCTACATAATGCCTTAAGCCCATGTTCTCTACATAATGCCCTAAGCCCATGTTCTCCACATAATGTCCTAAGCCCATGTTCTCCACATAATGTCCTTAGCCCATGTTCTCCACAAATGCCCTAAGCCCATGTTCTCCACATAATGTCCTAAGCCCATGTTCTCCACATAATGTCCTAAGCCCATGTTCTTTACATAATGTCCTAAGCCCATGTTCTCTACATAATGTCCTAAGCCCATGTTCTCCACATAATGTCCTTAGCCCATGTTCTCACATAATGTCCTAAGCACATGTTCTCCACATAATGTCTTAAGCCCATGTTCTCCACATAATGTCCTAACCCCATGTTCTCCACATAATGTCTTAAGCCAGTGTTCTCCACATAATGTCTAAGTTCATGTTGTCAACATAATGTCCTAAGCCCATGTTCTCCACATATTGTCCTAAACCTGTGTCCTCTATATAATGTCCTAAGCCCATTTTCTCTACATAATGTCCTAAGCCTGTGTTCTCTACATAATTTCCTTAGCCCATGTTCTCTACATAATGTCCTAAGCCCATGTTCTTCACATAATGTCCTAAGCCCATGTTCTCCACATAATGTCCTAAGCCCATGTTCTCCACATAATGTCCTAAGCCCACATTCTCAACATAATGTCCTAAGCCCACATTCTCCACATAATGTCCTAAGCCCATGCTCTCTACATAATGTCCTAAGCCCATGTTCTTCACATAATGTCCTTAGCCCGTGCTCTCCACATAATGTCCTTAGCCCATGTTCTCTACATAATGTCCTAAGCCTATGTTCTTCACATAATGTCCTAAGCCTATGTTCTTCACATAATGTCCTAAGCCTATGTTCTCTACATAATGTCCTAAGCCCATGTTCTTCACATAATGTCCTAAGCCCATGTTCTCTACATAATGTCCTAAGCCTATGTTCTTCACATAATGTCCTAAGCCTATGTTCTCCACATAATGTCCTAAGCCCATGTTCTTCACATAATGTCCTAAGCCCATGTTCTCTACATAATGTCCTAAGCCCATGTTCTCTACATAATGTCCTAAGCCTATGTTCTCTACATAATGTCCTAAGCCTGTGCTCTCCACATAATGTCCTTAGCCCATGTTCTCTACATAATGTCCTAAGCCTATGTTCTTAACATAATGTGCTAAGCCTGTGCTCTCCACATAATGTCCTAAGCCTATGTTCTTCACATAATGTCCTAAGCCCATGTTCTCCACATAATGTCCTAAGCCTATCTTCTTCACATAATGTCCTAAGCCTGTGCTCTCCACATAATGTCCTAAGCCATGTTCTCTACATAATGTCCTAAGCCCATGTTCTCCACATGATGTCCTAAGCCCATGTTCTCCACAAAATGTCCTTAGCCCGTGTTCTCCACATAATGTCCTAAGCCTGTGTTCTCCACATAATGTCCTTAGCCCGTGTTCTCAGAAGTTGATTACAGGACTTCATCCTCTTAGTTGTATGCGAGGTTCTAGAGCCATAAATGGCAGTTGGTCACATCAGTGACTAGTGATCTTGGTGTTGAGAGAGAGCATTTAATTTTAGAGAGGTCTGTCTGAAGATTATATTATGAAGTTATACAGAATTTTTAAAATGTATGTTGCATTGCCTCTACAACAGTGTTTGTGGTTCTTCCGGACAAGAAATGGGTCCTGCAGACAGGCAGAGAATATGATATCTACATTGAGATTTACGATATCGACAGTCACAGGCTGTACCCATCAGATGTGAGTATATGGTTTGTCTGTCAGTAGAGAGCCCAGCTCGCTAGCTCAGTTGGTTAAATCTGACTGTGTGGGGATGACAAACTCCTTGTGGTCCGGGTTCACATCCGGGGGTAGGCAGAAAAGCCACGTTTCCTCCAGATTTACAGTATCTATCATGGAATCAAGGCTGAAGGGTTGAGGTATCCATAGTACTGAGCCAAAGGGTTTACAACTCATGGTTTCTCTCAGTAGAGCATTGCGTGACATCCAGAGAGGCACCGATGATGTACACAGAAACACAGATATTTGCTTATTTAGATGCATTTTGTAAATAGCTTGGACAGTAAGATTAACTGTAATAGACAACTGGCATGTGATAGAGAAATTGTGTGTACCTCAGATTACATCTGATACAGACATGGTTGGTAGCATGGATAACATGTGCCACAGAAATCATGTATAGCAAGGATTACATATGCTACAAGAGTCATGTATAGCATGGATTACATAGGCTACAGGAATCATGTATAGCATGGATTACATGTGCTACAGGAATTATGTATAGCCTGGATTAAATGGGCTACTGGAGTCATGTATAGCATGGATTAAATGGGCTACAGGAGTCATGTATAGCATGGATTACATGGGCTACAGGAATCATGTATAGCATGGATTAAATGGGCTACAGGAATCAAGTATAGCATGGATTAAATGGGCTTCAGGAGTCATGTATAGCATGGATTCAATGGGCTACAGGAATCATGTTAAGCATTGATTACATGGGCTACAGGAATCATGTTTAGCATTGATTGCATGGGCTACAGGAATCATGTATAGCATGGATTAAATGGACTACAGGAATCATGTATAGCATGGATTACATGTGCTACAAAAATCGTGTATAGCATGGATTACATGGGCTACAGGAATCATGTATAGCATGGACCGTATTTGATTCAGACACTGCATAGCCTAAAAAAACTATGAAGTCTGACACACACACACACACACACACACCCCCCCTCTTCCCCCTCCCCCCTTTTCCAGTTTTTTTGGTATCGGTGCTGCTGACGTGCCAGACCACATCCCCCTGTAGAATTAATGTAAAAAGGATCAACAACACAGGCAGTGTTCAATTGATTAAGAACTCAGGCAATGTTAAATGGATTAAGAACACATTCATCATCATCAACAGGTGCCTTGCCAACTTGCGCTTAGCCATCATGCCTCTCCACAATCCACGATCTTCTGCAGCATGTATCAGTTCATGTGCCGACACACTTCTATGCCATGCAACAAGACTGTCAAGAATCTTTTCTTGTTGTCTTTCTCTATCCCTCCTTCCACAGATCTTTCCAGTGGTCACAGCATGTTCTATTTTCCCTCTTGTCATAATATGGCTGAAAAATAATGACTGTCTCCTTCTGATGTCTGTGATAAGTTGTCTTCGGGCTCCCACCTCTTTCAAACCCTCTTGGTTGCTCTTTTTGGCTGTCCAGGGTATTCTAAGCATTCTTCTGTAGAACCAAATCTCCAAGGCTTCAAGAAATTGTTTGGCCTGCCTACCGATTGTCCAGGATTCGCAGCCAAATGTTAAAACTGGATGTATGTAGCAAGCAAGAATTCTTTTTCTAACTCTCAATGACAAAGATATATTGCACAAGATGTTCTTTATTTTATAAAATGCAGTTTTTGCCTGTCCTATTCTATTTCTTATCTCAGTTATGCATCTTCCATCTGATGTTATCCATGTGCCCAGATACTTAAATTTCTGAACTTGTCCCAAAATAACACCATTGACTTTTATTACACATTTGCGAATAATTCGTTTCTTTAATACCACCATTACTTCTGTATTCCCATTATTCAAAGTGAGGCCCATTCTTCCACTTTCTAACAGCACAATGTCTATCATTTCCTGTAGTTCTTTCTGACTTGTTGCTATCAAGACTGTTTCATCAGCATAACGTAAATTGTTTATATTGTGCCCACCAACCACAATTCCGGGCATATCAATTAAAGATCTAATTATATTTTCACTGTATATTGAAAACAAATCAGGTGACAGTACACATCCTTGTCGTACGCCCCTCTTTATGCTCTGAAATGCACCTAAACGGTTGTTAATTCTTATAGCTGCTGTTTGCTGCCAGTGCATATTCTTTATATTCGTAGATCTTTCCCATCAATGTTTAATTTTTCTAACAGTTTGATTACTTCTTCATGCTTCACACAGTCAAATGCTTTTGTATAGTCAACGAAGCATAAGTACAAATCAGTCTTTACTTCTATACCTCTTTCTGACAATGTCTTTAGGATGCATATGGCATTGTTTCTTATTCTTCTCATAATTATTCTCATTAAAATCTTAGTCATGTGACTCATAAGACTTATTGTGCGATGGTCTTCACATTTTAAAGTGCCTGGTTTCTTTGAAAGAGCTATAATTAAGGATTTTAAAAGGTCATTTTAAAACTAAAAATAATCCAGAGTTTTGGGAGCTAGTTACCTTGAATATGTATTTTACATTTTTTTTTACATATTTTACTATCATATTTATAAAAAACCCCCCCCCCCCTTTCCCTCAAATGGAGGTATTGAAAAAAATATTTTACATTGTCCTCACAAAGTGCATGACGCAATATTTAAGCTCAGAAGCTAATCAGTAAATAGTGTAGAAATCGAATCATACATATTGTACACAAGCAAATAATAAAAGCTGATAAAAACAAGTCTCTTTTAGAGCTGTGACACATGTCATGTATTTTCTGCTTACAGAATGTGCGAGTTGTTGCAGATTTTCCTGGGCTGTATTTCCGTGTGTTGTATTCCAGCATTAACGGGACATATCACAGAGTCAGAGCATTGCTGAAGGGGCAGACAGCTATTGATGGTGTGCTAGCCAGCATTGTTGGTGAAGTCAGTCAACTACCAGTGTTTGTTATTTAACTGGTTATCTTTGTGAAGTCAGTGGACTGTCATTGTGTATTTCTTAACTGATATGTCTTGTGAAGTCAGTTTACTGTCATTGTGTATTTCTTAACTGATATGTCTTGTGAAGTCAGTTTACTGTCATTGTGTATTTCTTAACTGATATGTCTTGTGAAGTCAGTGGACTGTCATTGTGTATTTCTTAACTGATATGTCTTGTGAAGTCAGTGGACTGTCATTGTGTATTTCTTAACTGATATGTCTTGTGAAGTCAGTGAACTGTCATTGTGTATTTCTTAACTGATATGTCTTGTGAAGTCAGTGGACTGTCATTGTGTATTTCTTAACTGATATATCTTGTGAAGTCAGTTTACTGTCATTGTGTATTTCTTAACTGATATATCTTGTGAAGTCAGTTTACTGTCATTGTGTATTTCTTAACTGATATATCTTGTTAAGTCAGTGGACTGTCATTGAGTATTTCTTAACCGATATATCTTGTGAAGTCAGTGGACTGTCATTGTGTATTTCTTAACTGATATATATTTGTGAAGTCAGTTGACTATCATTGTGTATTTCTTAACTGATATGTCTTGTGAAGTCAGTTGACTATCATTGTATATTTCTTAACTGATATATCTTTTGAAGTCAGTGGGCTGTCATTGTGTATTTCTTAACTGATATATCTTTTGAAGTCAGTGGACTGTCATTGTGTATTTCTTAACTGATATGTCTTGTGAAGTCAGTGGACTGTCATTGTGTATTTCTTAACTGATATATCTTGTTAAGTCAGTGGACTGTCATTGTGTATTTCTTTACTGATTTATCTTGTGAAGTCAGTGAACTGTCCGTGTTTCTTAACTGATATGTCTTGGGAAGTCAGTGAACTGTCGGTGTTTCTTAACTGATTTCTATTTGTGTGTGTGCTCAATTCCTTGACAATTGCTAGTGAATAACTTTTGTTAACATAATATGGTCCTGTCCCTAACACTGTTTCTGGTCTGTATCAACGATCTAATTGCTGAACTACCCCATGGTATAAAAGCTGATGACTCGGTACTGTGGTGCACAAATAAGTATGCAACAGTGGCCACTAGACTGCTACAGAAATCCATAGATGCAATGGCTGCAGAGGTTGATAAATGGGGTGTCAGCATCAACATAGACATTTTTAGCACCGCTCTCTTCACCCTTTCCTACCAAAAAAAATCAAGTGTCATTCAGATAAATAGAATACATTAAGAGAGGATAAGGAGCCCACATACCTCGGAGCAAGGTTTGATGATAGGTTAACTTGGAGAAAATACATTATCAAGGCAACAACCAAAGCCAGAAGGAAAATGGCTATCCTAAGAAAACTGAGTGGAATGACAAGGGCACAAATGGGAAAATACTTAGGAAAGTTTTTCAACAGAGTGTACCTCTTGAACACGGGTCAACTTCATGGAGTTTAGCATGAAGAAACACACTACAAAAGTTAGACAAGGTTCAAAATCATGCGCTCAGAGTCATAACAGGCATGACGAAATCCGCACCTATAGCTGTGATGGAAAAGATGGCGATGACCCAAACACTGACTGAACGAAGACAAAGATACTAATACAAGCAGAAAAGTTTCTTTGCATGCCTGAACACCATGTGAAAAAAAGATTCAAAAATCCAGCAATGGGGCGAGTAAAAAGAAGCAGTTTTATCCACCAGGCCCAACGAGTCTGCAGGCAAATCAATGATCTGCCTGCAACTGATAAACCATTAAATGCTATTCCAGATCAGACCCCTTGGAAAGAGGATTACAAGTTGCCAGTACGCATCCAGACATAAGTGAAAGGAGTATTCGACAAGGAAGAACAAAACAGTGTGCAGCGTAAAGCGGCCACCCTCGCTCTACTTGGTGATGAATACCTACAGAATCTTTGTGTTCATGTCTGTACGGATGGGTCAGCACAAAACACAAGAAGTGGAGGAGCAGGAGTATATACTGAGCATCCAAATAATACCAGATGTTCAGCCAAAATACCTACAGGAAAGCACTGTCACAACTATGGTGCAGAAGTTCAGGCCATCAAAATAGCAGCAGAGAAACTGTTAAATATACACATATTTCACAACCTTGGTATTCCTGACAGATGCAAGAGTGGTATAGCCAGTCTGGAAAATTACTAGGTATACGAAAACTACTCTCCAAATTAGGCAACCTGGTAACTATGCAATGGATATCATCCCACTGTGGAGCTCCTGGAAATAAAAGAGCTGATAAACTAGCCAAGGAAGATGCAAATAAAGAACAACCTGACGTACCAGTCTCTTATCAACAGAAAAATTTAAAAATCAGAAAGTCACCAAAACCGGCACAAGATGATTACCATATAATGGACAGAGGGCAAGTTATTATTATACTCTTTAGAACAGGACACAGTCGACTTCGCAGCTTTATGCAAAGAAAATTTAAAATAAACGAATCAGCCATGTGCGCATGGGAATTAGCACCTAGGGCAATAGATCACATCCTGCAAGACTGTCTCGAATACAACATATCAAGGCAAAACTTTTGGCCAAGAGAAACTCCCGTGCAGTATTGAGAGAATGTCGGATGACAGAGAGGTAAAAACAGTATACAGACTGAATGGTCGTAAACTACAAGGCAGACCAAGAATGTGATAGAGAGATAATGTCCAGACAGACCTGCAAACACTTGGTGTCACTGTCACCAACAGGAAAGAGAAGGCCAACCAGAGAGATCAGTGGAGGCGGGTGATATCTGCAGCAATGAACTTCAAGGGCTTCGAATGCTGAAGAGGAAGAAGATATGTTATTGACTGTGCTGGGACTGCAGTCTGTGCCAGTGTTTCACTAGAGACAGTGGTGGGCATTATATGTGGTTTCTGTTGGCACAGGAACTGAGCCACTATGAGCTGGCCCATTTGCTGTGAAGTTGGAACTGTGTTAACCTATTACCTGATTGCCTGCCTGCTAATTTATAACTGCACGTTCTGTGTCCTGAGATGATTGCTGTTGTTCTTCTGTAACTGTTCTTCATCCATTCTTGTAGGCTGGGGTGGAGCATAAAGTCACACCTGAGGTGAAGCACAGCCAGGATGTGGAGATTTATGACCCTATAATAGTCAGACCATCTCAAGTGATCTTTCCCTGGGACCCAGTCAGCAGATGTGTACACACATTTAAAGCACATGTGAGTTATTGTTTTCCCTTTCCAGTTGTCTGCTTATTGACAATGTGTTCTGAGTATTTACTAAAACTACCTGAGGCTGTATCAATAAAACTGAACTCCTGTTTTATGTAAACAAAAAAAAAATTTAAAAAGGACACGATAAATGTGATATTACAGCGGTAGTCACGTGGCTGATCTTATATTTTTAGTGAAGGGATATAGCCTAATTTGACAATATGATTTATGTATTTCAACAAAAAGGATTCATTTTTATGTTTCATCATGTTGGTTTAGCTCTCTAGCAATGCACGTGACTAGATATAACAAAATATGCCAGGCAATAAATTGTGGGCTGTATTGTTTTTGTCTGCCTTAGTTTCAAATATTCTGAGCATCTTTGTCATGTGGGCAGTTTTATTTTGCATGGGAGCCATGTTTTAAGTTTAGCTGAGTGATATTAAATGTTAAATGATCTGCCTTCTCCACAGTGGAGGTTGACCTGCCACCTGCACTCTTAAGTTGAAATGAAATAAATTTTTTACCCCACATTCAACCCTCCACTTTTGGTTAATATAGAAGAAATGTTTACCCTGAACTCTAGTTTATGAAATGTAAGTTCAATCGTGAATTTTGGGTTTATGGCAGTTTGTGTTTAATCTTGAACTGTAGGTTTGTGCGAGCAGGTGTTAATATTGGTCTGAGGGTTCTGGGAGTGGGTGTTTAATCTTGAACTGTGGGTTTGTGCGAGCAGGTATTTAATCTTGGTCTTTGGGTGAATGGGAGTGGGTGTTTAATCTTGAACTGTAGGTTTCTGCGAGCAGGTGTTAATATTGGTCTAGGGTTCTGGGAGTTGGCGTTTAATATTGAACTGTAGGTTTGTGCAAGCAGGTGTTAATTTTGGTCTAGGGTTCTTGGAGTGGGTGTTTAATCTTGGTCTGAGGGCAATAGGGGTGGGTGTTTAATCTTGAACTGTAGGTTTGTGCGAGCAGGTGTTAATATTGGTCTAGGGTTATGGGAGTGGGTTTTTAATCTTGGACCGAGGGTGAATGGGAATAGGGTTTTAATCTTGGTTTGTAAAAGTGGGTGCTAAATTTTTAACTGGGTTTATGGATACAGATGTTTAATTTTGTACTGTGGGGTATGGGATCATATTTTACATTTTGGACTGGGTTTATGGGAGTTTGTGTTTAATCTTCAACTATAGATTGTGAGAATGGGTGTTTAATCTTCAACTATAGATTGTGAGAATGGGTGTTTAATCTTCAGCTGTGGAAATTGATCTTTAATCTTCAACTGTGGGGGTTGATGTTTAATCTTGGACATGAGATTTGGATGATTAGACTGAATGATATAATGTATATTATCATGTTTTCCCTGTGTGCTATTTAACAGGCAACAGGCGGTAGTGGAGACTACATCTGGAGTGTCAAAGAAACAGATGTAGCTTCCGTGAACACTAGAGGACAGATTACAACTGTGGGGCCTGGACAGTCGAACATCACAGCTGCTGATGCGAGAAATGTGGCTATTTTTGGATCGTCCACTGTAAGACTTCTGGTTACTTGTCTATGTTTATTGTTTATTCATTTCCTTGTTTGTCCCTGTCCACGGAAAGTCTCCTGGGTACTGGAGCTAGTGTTGTTAGTCATGTTTAAAACTCCCTTACAGAGCTAGTGTTGTCAGTGATGTTGTACACTATGTCACAGACTGTGCTAGTGTTTTCAGTGATGTTGTAGGTTATGTCACAGACAGAGCTAGTGTTGTCAGTGATGTTGTACACTATGTCACAGACAGAGCTAGTGTTGTCAGTGATGTTGGACACTATGTCACAGACAGAGCTAGTGTTGTCAGTGATGTTTGACACTATGTCACAGACTGAGCTAGTGTTGTCAGTGATGTTGTACACTATATCACAGACTGTGCTAGTGTTTTCAGGGATGTAGGTTATGTCACAGACAGAGCTAGTGTTGTCAGTGATGTTGTACACTATGTCACAGACAGAGCTAGTGTTGTCAGTGATGTTGTACACTATGTCACAGACAGAGCTAGTGTTGTCAGTGATGTTGTACACTATGCCACAGACAGAGCTAGTGTTGTCAGTGATGTTGTACACTATGTCACAGACAGCTAGTGTTGTCAGTGATGTTGTACACTATGTCACAGACTTAGCTAGTGTTGTCAGTGATGTTGTACACTATGTCACAGACAGCTAGTGTTGTCAGTGATGTTGTACACTATGTCACAGACAGCTAGTGTTGTCAGTGATGTTGTACACTATGTCACAGACAGCTAGTGTTGTCAGTGATGCTGTACACTATGTCACAAACTGAGCTAGTGTTGTCAGTGATGTACAATGTATCTCTGAGTGAGCTAGTATTGTAAATGATGTTGTACACTATATCATGACAAAAGTATTTTCTGATCTCTAGGTTTCTGTACTGCCACCTGCAGAGCTCAGTTTTCCTCCATCTGTTGTGGAAGCAGTTGTGGGCAGCAAGCTTCATCTTCCACTGTCAGTAGCTGCAAAGATTGGGGGTGAGTTGTCCAGTCATTTCTGTGCGTAGATGATCTTTGACCACACAACATAATGTGTGACATTTCATAAGTAGATGTTATTTTACCCCAGAACATTATGTGTGACATTTCTTCAAGTAGATGTTATTTTACCATACAGTATTACCTGTGCCACTTCTGTAAGTAGATATTTGACCACAAAACATTACCTGTGCCATTTCTGTAAGTAGATGTTATTTGACCACACACAATTATGGCATTTCTATAAGTAGATGTTATTTGACCACACAAAATTATGGCATTTCTATAAGTAGATGTTATTTGACCACACAAAATTTTGGCATTTCTGTAAGTAGATATTTAACCACACAGCATTATGGCATTTCTATAAGTAGATGTTTTTTGACCACACAACAGTACATGTGATTTTTCTATAAGTAGATGTTATTTGACCACACAACTTTATGTGGGACATTTCTGTAAGTAGATGTTTTATGACCACACAACTTTATGTGGGACATTTCTGTAAGTAGATGTTTTTTGACCACACAAAATTATGGCATTTCTATAAGTAGATGTTATTTGACCACACAAATTATGGCATTTCTGTAAGTAGATATTTAACCACACAGCATCATGACATTTCTATAAGTAGATGTTATTTGTCCACACAACAGTACATGTGATATTTCTATAAGTAGATGTTATATAAGTAGATGGTATTTGACTGCACAACATTACCTGTGACATTTCTATAAGTAGATGTTATTTGACCACACAACTTTATGTGGGACATTTCTGTAAGTAGATGTTTTATGACCACGCAACTTTATGTGGGACATTTCTGTAAGTAGATGTTTTTTGACCACACAACTTTATGTGTGACATTTCTTTAAGTAGATGTTATTTGACCACACTGCAGGGTATGTTTTATTTGACCAATGTCAGTTGTTCCATGTATAGGTTTTTTTTTTTATTTTAAAAATATTGCAGGAGTGATGGCTACATTCACAGACTGTCAACAGCTGTATGTCAATGTCACCCAGACTGACATGTCAGTGTTTGAGTATCTCCCTCAAGGTAGGTTGGTTACCCTTCCATATCTTTGTGAATGTTGACTGCATAGAAAAAAACTTTGTATCATTCTTATTGGTTTATTCGTTGTCCTGACACCTGATCTGATTTGGTGAAGCATAGATACTGGCTGTTGTGTCCATTTTGTTTGTTAGTGAAATAACTCGGTACAAACACTGCCTGTTGTAACAGTCTTAATATAGACACCGCCCGTTGTAACAATCTTGATATAGGCACAGCCTGTTGTATCAGTCTTAATATAGACACCGCCTGTTGTAACAGTCTTGATATAGACACAGCCTGTTGTAACAGTCTTGATATAAACACAGCCTGTTGTAACAGTCTTGTGATATAGACACATCCTGTTGTAACAGTCTTGATATAGACACAGCCTGTTGTAACAGTCTTAATATAGACACAGCCTGTTGTAACAGTCTTGATATAAACACAGCCTGTTGTAACAGTCTTGATATAGACACAGCCTGTTGTAACAGTCTTGATATAGACTCAGCCTGTTGTAACAGTCTTGATATAAACACAGCCTGTTGTAACAGTCTTGATACAGACACAGCCTGTTGTAACAGTCTTGATATAGACACAACCTGTTGTAACAGTCTTGATATAGACACAGCCTGTTGTAACAGTCTTGATATAGGCACAGCCTGTTGTAACAGTCTTGATATAGGCACAGCCTGTTGTAACAGTCTTGATATAGACACAGCCTGTTGTATCAGTCTTAATATAGACATTGCACTTTTATTATTAAGGGAATGTAGGGATGTGAGCACTTTAAAATTAATAAAGTGAATGTAGGGTTGTGAGCACTTATATTGTTGTAGGAGTGCAGGGATGTGAAAACTTGTATTGTTGTAGGAGTGCAGAGATAAAAATACTTGTATTGTTGTTGTAGTGCAGGAATGTGAACACCTGTTTTGTTGTAGTGCAGGGATTTGAACACTTGTACTATTGTTTTAGTGCAGGGATGTGAACACTTGTATTGTTGTCGGAGTGCAGAGATATGAACACCTGTATTGTTTTTGTAGTGCAGAAATGTGAACACCTGTATTGTAGTGCAGTGAAATGAACACTTCTACTATTGTTTTAGTACAGGGGTGTGAACACTTGTATTGTTGTTGTAATGCAGTGATATGAACACTTGAATTGTTGTTGTAGTACGGGGATGTGAAAACTTGTATTGTTGTTGAAGTTCGGGGATGTGAACACTGGTATTGTTGTTGTAGTGCAGGGATGTGAAAACCTGTATTGTAGTGCAGTGATATGAACACTTCTACTATTGCTTTAGTACAGGGGTGTGAACACTTGTATTATTGTTGTAATGCAGTGATATGAACACTTTAATTGTTGTTGTAGTACGGGGATGTGAACACTTGTATTGTTGTAGTACGGGGATGTGAACACTGGTATTGTTGTTGTAGTACGGGGATGTGAACACTTGTATTGTTGTTGTAGTACGGGGATGTGAACACTGGTATTGTTGTTGTAGTGCAGGGATGTGAACACCAGTATTGTTGTAGTACGGGGATGTGAACACTTGTATTGTTGTTGTAGTGCAGGGATGTGAACACTTGTATTGTTGTAGTACGGGGATGTGAACACTTGTATTGTTGTTGTAGTGCAGGGATGTGAACACTTGTATTGTTGTAGTACGGGGATGTGAACACTTGTATTGTTGTTGTAGTACGGGGATGTGAACACTTGTATTGTTGTTGTAGTACGGGGATGTGAACACTTGTATTGTTGTAGTACGGGGATGTGAACACTGGTATTGTTGTTGTAGTGCAGGGATGTGAACACTTGAATTGTTGTTGTAGTGCAGGGATGTGAACACCAGTATTGTTGTTGGAGGACAGGGATATGAACACCAGTATTGTTGTTGTAGTGCAGAGATGAGAACACCTGTATTGTAGTGCAGGGATATGAACACCAGTATTGTTGTTGTAGTGCAGGGATGTGAACACCTGTATTGTAGTGCAGGGATATAAACACTTGTACTGTTGTTTTAGTACAGGAGTGTAAACACTTATATTATTGTTGTAGTGCAGGGATGTGAACACCTGTATTGTAGTGCAGGGATATGAACACTTGTACTGTTGTTTTAGTACGGGTATGTGAACACTGGTATTGTTGTAGTGCAGGGATGTGAACACTTGTATTGTTGTTGTAATGCAGGGATGTGAACATTTGTAACTTTTAATCACAAGTAGAAGATATAAATGTCAGCAGTTTTGGTGTGTGCTACAGATGAAGATGCTCCGCGTGACTTACCCGAGAATGGTTGCAAGTTCCTGTCGTTTATTGCCAGACATCAAGGCCACACAGAGGTCATAGTTACCTACAGAAGCAAGAATATTATGCTGCGAACTGCAGTGACCATTGCAGCCTTCAATCCTTTGAAAGTAAGTGTCTGTTCAATCCATTGAAAGTGTATGTGTTCTGTCTGTTGAAAGTGTGTGTGTTCAACCCATTGAAAGTGTGTGTGCTCAATCAACCTAATGAGTGTTTTGTAGACAGGTGAAATGTGAGTGTTGAGTTTTGTAGACAAGTAAAACATGAGTGTTTTGTAGACAGGTGAAATGTGAGTGTTAAGCTTTGTAGACAGGTGAAACATGAGTGTTTTGTAGACAGGTGAAATGTGAGTGTTGAGTTTTGTAGACAGGTGAAATGTGAGTGTTGAGTTTTGTAGACAAGTAAAACATGAGTGTTTTGTAGACAGGTGAAATGTGAGTGTTAAGCTTTGTAGACAGGTGAAACATGAGTGTTTTGTAGACAGGTGAAATGTGAGTGTTGAGTTTTGTAGACAGGTGAAATGTGAGTGTTGAGCTTTGTAGACAGGTGAAACATGAGTGTTGAGTTTTGTAGACAGGTGAAACATGAGTGTTGAGTTTTGTAGACAGATGAAATGGGAGTGTTGAGTTTTGTAGACAGGTGAAATGTGAGTGTTGAGCTTTGTAGACAGATGAAATAGGAGTGTTGAGTTTTGTAGACAGGTGATATGTGAGTGTTGAGTTTTGTAGACAGGTGAAATGTGAGTATTTAGCTCTGTTTGTCTCAGGAACCTGGTAGAAGGATGAAATGTCCCTGTTTGTCTCAGGAGACTGGTAGAAAGATGAAATGTCCCTGTTTGTCTCAGGAGACTGGTAGAAAGATGAAATGTCCCTGTTTGTCTCAGGAACCTGTTTGTCTCAGGAACCTGTTTGTCTCAGGAACCTGGTAGAAAGATGAAATGTCCCTGTTTGTCTCTGAACCTAGTAGAAAGATGAAATGTTCCTGTTTGTCTCAGACACCTGGTAGAAAGATGAAATGTTCCTGTTTGTCTCAGACACCTGGTAGAAAGATGAAATGTTCCTGTTTGTCCCAGGAACCTGGTAGAAAGATGAAATGTTCCTGTTTGTCCCAGGAACCTGGTAGAAAGATGAAATGTCCCTGTTTGTCTCAGGAACCTGGTAGAAATATGAAATGTCCCTGTTTGTCTGAGGCACCTGGTATAAAGATGAAATGTCCCTGTTTGTCTCAGGCACCTGGTGGAAAGATGAAATGTCTCTGTTTGTCTCAGGCAACGTGGAAAGATGAAATGTCCCTGTTTGTCTGAGGCACCTGGTAGAAAGATGAAATGTCCCTGTTTGTCTCAGGCACCTGGTAGAAAGATGACACGTCCCTGTTTGTCGCTTGTAATTGGTGGAAAGATGAAATGTCCCTGTTTGTCTCTTATAATTGATGGAAAGATGAAATGTCCCTGTTTGTCTCTTGTAATTGGTAGAAAGAAAAAAAAATGTCCCTGTTTGTCTCTTGTACCTGGTGGAAAGATGAAATGTCCCTATTTGTCTCTTTTTTTTTTTCCATTGTTTAAAATTTTTATTAGTCTGTAAATAGTCTGTATACAAAATGTGTTTGTAAACTGTATTGTACGTGTTATATATACAGGCGTCTGCGGGGTACGTGTATTTGTGCAGTATATATACAGAGCGTTGTTTTGTGTTAGTATTAATGTTGCATGTGTGTGAGTGACTTGCAAACATATAAACAACAGGGAAAAGAGGTGAGACAAAAAACATAGGAGGCGGACGAGGGGCAGGAAAGAGTACAGGAGGGAGAAGCAGCAGGATATATTTACATCTGCCTTTCGGCTATCATTAAACATTTTGAAAAAGAAAAGGAAAAAAAAAATTCAAATCGATGATAGTGCAAAACAACATTATTATGAGTCATATCAAATATTTACAGTAGAAGCCCAGATGGGAGGGGACACAACCACAAGGTAGGCCAGACAGGGTCTCGTGTAACTGATGGAAAGATGAAATGTCCCAGCTTGTCTCATGTAATTGGGGGAAAGATTAAATTAACCTGCCTTGCCCCTTGTGACTGGTGGAATGTTTGTCTTACATACCTGGTGGAAATTGGGTGGGCTGATATTGTTGCTAAATGGTAGATGATTGTTTTGTGTGTTAAACTTGCACAGGCTGTTGACCCTGAACTGGAAGCAGTTGTTGCACTTGGATCATCAAAGGAGGTTATATTTGTTGGTGGTCCCCAGCCCTGGGTGCTGGATTCTTCCAGGTTCTTTCATGATTGTGAGTTGAAAATCTTATCTTTCTCTCTGTCTTCATCTTTCTTTTCTATTCCTCACTGTTTGTCTGTATGTTTCTGTTTATCATGTTGAGCTAAACCTTGTGTATAATAAATGTGTTCGGTGCTATTTCCATGACTTTAATTATAATAATCTTGTCCAGAACTTGTGTACATCAATAGTTTTCTTGTCTAGAACCTGTGTACATCATACCTGACTTGTCTAGAACTTGTCTCCACCATACTTGTCTTGTCTAGAATTTGTCTATATCATACCTCACTTGTCTAGAACTTGTCTACATCATACCCACTTGTCTAGAACTTGTCTACATCATACCTATCTTGTCTAGAACTTGTTTACATCATACCTGACTTGTCTAGAACCTGTGTACAGCTTACCTGTCTTGTCTAGAACCTGTCTACAGCTTACCTGACTTGTCTAGAACTTGTCTTGTCTAGAATGTGTCTACATCATACCTGACTTGTCTAGAACTTGTCTATATCATACCTGTCTTGAATGGAACTTGTCTACATCATCCCACTCTTGTCTAGAACCTGTCTACATCATACCTCACTTGTCTAGAACTTGTGTACGTCATACTTGCCTTGTCTAGAACTTGTGTACATCATACTTTTCTTGTGTAAACTTACATCATACCTGTCTTGTATAGAACTTGTTTACAACTTACCTATCTTGTATTATTTTATATTAAAAACCTGTTTCAGTGGATAATGTGACCACACTGGATAAAATCAGAATAGAATGGCAGTCCCCAGGGATACGTAAGTTGTTACATACATCTGTCACCAGTAAGTTGTTGTATGTTTCAGTCTCCGATAATGTGAAAGTTGTTGTATTTGGCAGTCGCCAGGAAGTTTTTGTACACACAGACTTCTCTAGTTACATTCAAACCTTTATGTTTAAATCACATCCAGACTTCTCTGTTTTTGTCTTTAACTTCTATGAATGTGAATGAATCACAAATTTCTATGTTTAAATCACAAACTTCAATGTTTAAATCACAAACTTCTATGTTTAAATCACAAACTTCTATGTTTAAATCACATACAGACCTCTGTTTTCATCTTCAGCTGCTTTGTTTGAATCAAATGAGAGAGAAACAAATCACAATAGAGATTTATCTATTAATAGTAACATATGTTTTATTTAAACAACTATTTTTATTATTATAAAAATGTATAATAATCATGTGTGTATTAAACTGACCATCAATCCATGTGTCTTTTAAACTGTCCATCATCCCATGTGTGTATTAAACTGTCCATCATCCCATGTGTGTGTTAAACTGTCCATCATCCCATGTGTGTATTAAACTGTCCATCATCCCATGTGTATATTAAACTGTCCATCATCCCATGTGTGTGTTAAACTGTCCATCATCCCATGTGTGTATTTAACTGCCCATCATCCCATGTGTATGTTAAACTGTCCATCATCCCATGTGTGTTGTTAAACTGATCATGAAGACACTTGTGTTCTAGATGACTGTATACCTGCTATTTTGTTTAGGTGGTGCCCATGCTGTCATGATCACCTGCCATGATCTCTTCAGTCAGGTATGTGTACAAGATACTTACCTGGCTTCTTGGCCAGATAGAACATCAGCTGTTTCTCTGATGCCTGTTTATATGTAGGATTTTTTTATTGTGCAAAATATTGCGAGGAGTGGCTGGCTGAATGGTTAAAGCACTAGGCTATCACACTGGAGACCCGCAGTTTGAAACCTCTGTTAGTCTGGGGATTTTTTTTTTTCTGTCGGGGGCAAAATATAATCCTCACCTGAACAGTTGTGGCCACAGCACTAGCCATGCGGCTGTAAACTCCCCCCCCCCCCCCCCCCTTTTCCCTCCCGTCTTCATCGCAAAAGTGGTATCATAAAGGCAGTAAATGGCAGTTTGGCAAAATATTGCTACCATCGCATGTATTTTTTCAGTTTCTGAGACTTGTTGTTGCTGATGAACCAGTTGTCGGCCATGTTGAATTATTTAAGTTTCTGAGATACATTTATTTGTGATTGTTGAATGATAAGGGTGGCTGTACATATTTATGTGTGATTGTTGGATGATAAGGTTGGCTGTACATATTTATGTGTGATTGTTGGATGATAAGGTTGGCTGTACATATTTATGTGTGATTGTTGGATGATAAGGTTGGCTGTACATATTTATGTGTGATTGTTGGATGATAAGGTTGGCTGTACATATTTATGTGTGATTGTTGGATGATAAGGTTGGCTGTACATATTTATGTGTGATTGTTGGATGATAAGGTTGGCTGTACATATTTATGTGTGATTGTTGGATGATAAGGGTGGCTGTACATATTTATGTGTGATTGTTGGATGATAAGGGTGGCTGTACATATTTATGTGTGATTGTTGGATGATAAGGTTGGCTGTACATATTTATGTGTGATTGTTGAATGATAAGGTTGGCTGTACATATTTATGTGTGATTGTTGGATGATAAGGTTGGCTGTACATATTTATGTGTGATTGTTGGATGATAAGGTTGGCTGTACATATTTATGTGTGATTGTTGAATGATAAGGTTGGCTGTACATATTTATGTGTGATTGTTGAATGATAAGGGTGGCTGTACATATTTATGTGTAATTGTTGAATGATAAGGTTGGCTGTACATATTTATGTGGGATTGTTGAATGATGAGTGTGACCGCCCATATTTATATGTTATTATTGAATGATAGATATCATTCAAAATGTTACTTGTGAAACACAGGATAAAATAACTAATTTGTCTGTTGCAGGACATACACATTTCTGTTGGCAATCGGAAAACAGCCAAAAATAGATTCCCACTCTCCCAGACAGCCTCAGTCAGGTACTGTTTAAGCCTCAGTCAGGTACTGTTTAAGCCTCAGTCAGGTACTGTTTAAGCCTCAGTCAGTTACTGTTTATCTATCCATTTTGAACAACTTTGTTATGTTAAGTGGTCACCATTGGAGTGACAGTAATTTCTGACACTTCACAGAATGTCCACAGTTTAGTCTGCGTCCATGGCTAATGCATTGCCAATACACTTCGTAATTTTTAAAATGCCCGGTTTATTTCCAGCTGCAGGTGATTTGGCTGGAGACTGCTTTGCATTGATTGTGACTACTATTCAGAAAGCAGAGGCAAACTACAGAAAATACAATTGCCCAGTAAAAATAAAAACAGCAGAAGATGCAGGGATTGGTTCTGCAACATCTTGTAAAGGGTGCGCAGCTAACTTGTCACAATTTTAACTTATTCACTACCAGGCAGCTCACAGATTGTTTGTTGGTCTCTACTGAGATCAAAGATTTGTCTAAACCCATGCCACATCCACTTGTCACACAGATCAAAGATTTGTCTAAACCCATGCCACATCCACTTGTCACACTAAGATCAAAGATTTGTCTAAACCCAAGCCACATCCACTTGTCACACTGAGATCAAAGATTTGTCTAAACCCATGCCACATCCACTTGTCACACAGATCAAAGATTTGTCTAAACCCATGCCACATCCACTTGTCACACTGAGATCAAAGATTTGTCTAAACCCATGCCATATCCACTTGTCACACAGATCAAAGATTTGTCTAAACCCATGCCACATCCACTTGTCACACTGAGATCAAAGATTTGTCTAAACCCATGCCACATCCACTTGTCACACTGAGATCAAAGATTTGTCTAAACCCATGCCACATCCACTTGTCACACTGAGATCAAAGATTTGTCTAAACCCATGCCACATCCACTTGTCACACTGAGATCAAAGATTTGTCTAAACCCATGCCACATCCACTTGTCACACCGATCAAAGATTTGTCTAAACCCATGCCATATCCACTTGTCACACAGATCAAAGATTTGTCTAAACCCATGCCACATCCACTTGTCACACTGAGATCAAAGATTTGTCTAAACCCATGCCACATCCACTTGTCACACTGAGATCAAAGATTTGTCTAAACCCATGCCACATCCACTTGTCACACTGAGATCAAGATTTGTCTAAACCCATGCCACATCCACTTGTCACACTGAGATCAAAGATTTGTCTAAACCCATGCCACATCCACTTGTCACACCGATCAAAGATTTGTCTAAACCCATTCCACATCCACTTGTCACACTGAGATCAAAGATTTGTCTAAACCCATGCCACATCCACTTGTCACACTGAGATCAACGATTTGTCTAAACCCATGCCACATCCACTTGTCACACTGAGATCAAAGATTTGTCTAACCCCATGCCACATCCACTTGTCACACAGATCAAAGATTTGTCTAAACCCATGCCACATCCACTTGTCACACCGATCAAAGATTTGTCTAAACCCATTCCACATCCACTTGTCACACTGAGATCAAAGATTTGTCTAAACCCATGCCACATCCACTTGTCACACTGAGATCAAAGATTTGTCTAAACCCATGCCACATCCACTTGTCACACTGAGATCAAAGATTTGTCTAAACCCATGCCACATCCACTTGTCACACAGATCAAAGATTTGTCTAAACCCATGCCACATCCACTTGTCACACTGAGATCAAAGATTTGTCTAAACCCATGCCACATCCACTTGTCACACAGATCAAAGATTTGTCTAAACCCATTCCACATCCACAAATTGATGCTTAGCTTACAAAATGTCTCTCAGAACATGAGCCTACAAAGTGATGCTTAGCTTACAGAATGTCTCTCAGAACATGAGCCTACAAAGTGATGCTTAGCTTACAGAATGTCTCTCAGAACATGAGCCTACAAAGTGATGCTTAGCTTACAAAATGTCTCTCAGAACATGAGCCTACAAAGTGATGCTTAGCTTACAGAAATGTCTCTCAGAACATGAGCCTACAAAGTGATGCTTAGCTTACAAAATGTCTCTCAGAACATGAGCCTACAAAGTGATGCTTAGCTTACAGAAATGTCTCTCAGAACATGAGTCTACAAAGTGATGCTTAGCTTACAGAATGTCTCTCAGAACATGAGTCTACAAAGTGATGCTTAGCTTACAGAATGTCTCTCAGAACATGAGTCTACAAAGTGATGCTTAGCTTACAGAATGTCTCTCAGAACATGAGTCTACAAAGTGATGCTTAGCTTACAGAATGTCTCTCAGAACATGAGTCTACAAAGTGATGCTTAGCTTACAGAATGTCTCTCAGAACATGAGCCTACAAAGTGATGCTTAGCTTACAGAATGTCTCTCAGAACATGAGCCTACAAAGTGATGCTTAGCTTACAGAATGTCTCTCAGAACATGAGCCTACAAAGTGATGCTTAGCTTACAGAATGTCTCTCAGAACATGAGCCTACAAAGTGATGCTTAGCTTACAGAAATGTCTCTCAGAACATGAGTCTACAAAGTGAACGCTTAGCTTACAGAAATGTCTCTCAGAACATGAGCCTACAAAGTGATGCTTAGCTTACAGAAATGTCTCTCAGAACTTGAGCTACAAAGTGATGCTTAGCTTACAGAAATGTCTCTCAGAACATGAGCCTACAAAGTGAACGCTTAGCTTACAGAAATGTCTCTCAGAACATGAGCCTACAAAGTGAACGCTTAGCTTACAGAATGTCTCTCAGAACATGAGCCTACAAAGTGAACGCTTAGCTTACAGAATGTCTCTCAGAACATGAGCCTACAAAGTGAACGCTTAGCTTACAGAAATGTCTCTCAGAACATGAGCCTACAAAGTGATGCTTAGCTTACAGAATGTCTCTCAGAACATGAGCCTACAAAGTGAACGCTTAGCTTACAGAATGTCTCTCAGAACATGAGCCTACAAAGTGATTCTTAGCTTACAGAATGTCTTAGAACATGAGCCTACAAAGTGATGCTTAGCTTACAGAAATGTCTCTCAGAACATGAGCTTACAAAGTGATCATTACCTTAAAGCATATCAGAACATGAGCTTACAAAGTCACCATTACTTTACAGAATGTCTCAGATCATGAGCATCCATAGTTATCATTCAGATGTTTATTAGCCGAATAATTTACACAAAATCGTCAGTGCATTGGACACCCAGGTTTGCATCCCCCCTTTCTCTCTCTCCCACTCTCTCTCTCCCAATCTCTCTCTCTCTTCTCTCTCTCTCTCTCTCTCTCTCTCTCTCTCTCTCTCTCTCTCTCTCTCTCTCTCTCTCTCTCTCTCTCTCTCTCTCTCTCAACTACAAATTTGTCTTTACAGCAGTAGCTGTGTTTCCTCTTCTGGTCAGTTCATAGTCATAGACTTTCCAAAAGCAGACATATTCATTTTTATCAATACATTGAACTTGTGAAGACAACACAGTGGGTGTAGATTGATTGATACACACGTGCCACCATTTGACTATGCCCAATGATCTCCTCAGGTTTGTGTGTGCTGAACCTGTAGAGCTACGCCTGGCACCAGTTCACACAAGCCGTCCTCACCTACCACCCTGCCCTATACCCCATGAGAACAATATTGCAGTAAGTATTAACAGCATCTCTTTAGTAGATGACAGAATCTGTCTAGTAGATGACAGGACCTCTCTGGTAGATGACAGGTCATCTCTGGTAGATGACAGGACCTCTCTGGTAGATGACAGGTCATCTCTGGTAGATGACAGGACCTCTCTGGTAGATGACAGGACCTCTCTGGTAGATGACAGGATCTCTCTGGTAGACGATAGGACCTCTCTGGTAGATGACAGGACCTCTCTGGTAGATGACATTATCTGTCTAGTAGATGACAGGACCTCTCTGGTAGATGACAGGACCTCTCTGGTAGATGACAGGACCTCTCTGGTAGATGACAGGACCTCTCTGGTAGATGACAGGACCTCTCTAGTAGATAACAGGACCTCTCTAATAGATGACAGGATCTGTCTAGTAGATGAATGTGGATATCTCTAGTAGATGACTGTGGATATCTCTAGTAGATGACAGGATCTCTCTAATAGATGACAGGATCTGTCTAGTAGATGACAGGACCTCTCTGGTAGATGACATGACCTCTTTGGTAGATGACAGGACCTCTGGTAGATAACAGGACCTCTCTGGTAGATGACAGGATCTGTCTAGTAGAAAAATGGATCTGTCTAGTAGATGACTGTGGGTATCTCTAGTAGATGACAGGATCTCTCTAGTGGATGACAGCATCTCTCTAGTAGATGATAGGATCTCTCTAGTGGATGCTCTCTTCTGGATGACAACATCTGTCTAGTAGATGACAGGATCTCTTTAGTGGATGACAACATTTCTACTACATGACAGGACCTCTCTGGTAAATGACAGTATCTCTCTAGTGGATGACAACATCTCTACTACATGACAGGACCTCTCTGGTAAATAACAGTATCTCTCTAGTGGATGTCATCTCTACTACATGACAGGACCTCTCTGGTAAATGACAGTATCTCTCTAGTGGATGACAGGACCTCTCTAGTAGATGACAGGATCTCTCTAGTGGATGACATCTCTCTAGTAGATGACGACCTGTCAAGTGGGGTACTGGACCTATCTATAATATTCGGGCTAAACAAAATAATAAAAGAAACCCGTGGCATCCTATGGGGCAGTTTTATTAGTTGACAGGAAAGCCTTTACACCTAATAACTTAGGTTACCCAGATGCAGAAGAACTCAGTTAATTTTTTGTATTTAGTTTGTCCATAAGTTATTAGTGTTGATCTCTATGAATGTTGCAACTGTTTTTTTTTTTTTTTTTTTTTTTTTTTTTTTTTTTTTTTTTAAAGATGCCTGCACATTTTGGGACTGATCTTGATCTCGTGGTGACAGTAATTGACTCAGTTGGGCGTCACTTTGACAACTTCTCCTCCCTAGCCATAGACTGGACAGTGTCCAATCCTGATTTGCTTGAACTGCTTCACCAGAAAGATTTGAAAACTGAACCTATTGATCATGAAAGAAAAACTGTCTCAGGTAACCTGTCTGAGAGCACCATATGCCTGCCATGTAATACTTTGTGAAGTCTTTGTCCTGTGAAATATTTATCATGTGAAATAGTTGTGATGTGAAATATTATTCATGTGAAGTATTTGTCATGTGAAATATTGGTCATGTGAAGTATTTGTCATGTGAATTATTTGTCATGTGTAATATTAGTCATGTGAAATATTAGTCATGCAGAATATTTGTCATGTAAAATATTTATCATGTGAAATATTTGTCATAGGAACTACATGTCATGTGAAATATTTGTTATGTGAAATATTAGTCATGCAGAATATTTTTAGTGTGAAATATTTATCATATATTTGTCATGTAAAATATTTGTCTTGTGAAATATTAGTCCTGTTCAATATTAGTCCTGTGAAATATTTGTAATTGTGTATTGTTCATTAAAATTTCATTTTCATCACATGACGATAAGTGCTACGATTTCCTCCTATGTCTCCAAGTGTTTTTAGTCTAACAAACCTCATTCTGTAATATAAATTAATGTTTACACAGTTGTGGTAGACTACAGTGACCACGCCGCCATCTTGCGTGATGTTCCGTGATTTGAAAAACAGTTCACTAATAAATAAATGAAAATCTTCATTGATATTCGTATATATATATATATATATATATATATATATATATATATATATATATATATATATATATATATATATATATATATATATATATATATATATATATATATATATATATATATATATATATATATATATATATATATATATATATATATATATTTTTTTTTTTTTTTTTTTTAAACAGCTCACTAATAAATATAGGAAAATATTCATTGATGTATATATGATATATTTAAAAAAAAACCAGTTGACTAATAAAGAAATAAAAATATTCATGTATATATTTAAAAAAAAAAGTTTACTAATAAATACATATTATTTGATGAGATGCATTGATTGTTTGCTCCTCTGGTAGTACTCCAAACTGTACGGCCACACAGGAAGACTGGCGCTGTGCTAGTGACAGCATCCATCAACCACTACAAGCCATGGGTCTCTAAAGTCATTGCTAGAAAAATGGTATCTGAGTTTTTATCATGGTCATTGTGTTACACACTGTCTTATCAATCTATGATATTTTGTCCCTCACACAGCTAGTTTTTCTTCTCAACACACTTAACATTCTGTCCCTCACACAGCTAGTTTTTCTTCTCAACACACTTAACATTCTGTGACATTCTGTCTCTCACACAGCTAGTTTTTCTTCTCAACACACTTAACAATCTGTGACATTCTGTCTCTCACACAGCTAGTTTTTCTTCTCAACACACTTAACATTCTGTCCCTCACACAGCTAGTTTTTCTTCTCAACACACTTAACATTCTGTGACATTCTGTCTCTCACACAGCTAGTTTTTCTTCTCAACACACTTAACAATCTGTGACATTCTGTCCCTCACACAGCTAGTTTTTCTTCTCAACACACTTAACATTCTGTCCCTCACACAGCTAGTTTTTCTTCTCAACACACTTAACATTCTGTGACATTCTGTCCCTCACACAGCTAGTTTTTCTTCTCAACACACTTAACATTCTGTCCCTCACACAGCTAGTTTTTCTTCTCAACACACTTAACATTCTGTCCCTCACACAGCTAGTTTTTCTTCTCAACACACTTAACATTCTGTGACATTCTGTCCCTCACACAGCTAGTTTTTCTTCTCAACACACTTAACAATCTGTGACATTCTGTCCCTCACACCTCAGCACAGCTAGTTTTTCTTCTCAACACACTTAACATTCTGTCCCTCACACAGCTAGTTTTTATTCTCAACACACTTAACAATCTGTGACATTCTGTCCCTCACACAACTAGTTTTTCTTCTCAACACACTTAACAATCTGTGACATTCTGTCTCTGACACAGCTAGTTTTTCTTCTCAACACACTTAACAATCTGTGACATTCTGTCTCTCACACAGCTAGTTTTTCTTCTCAACACACTTAACAGTCTGTGACATTCTGTCTCTCACACCTCATACAGCTAGTGTTTCTTCTCAACACACTTAACATTCTGTCCCTCACACAGCTAGTTTTTCTTCTCAACACACTTAACCTTCTGTGTCATTCTGTCTCTCACACAGCTAGTTTTTCTTCTCAACACTTAACAATCTGTGACATTCTGTCCCTCACACAGCTAGTTTTTCTTCTCAACACACTTAACAGTCTGTGACATTCTGTCTCTCACACAGCTAGTTTTTCTTCTCAACACACTTAACAATCTGTGACATTCTGTCTCTCACACAGCTAGTTTTTCTTCTCAACACACTTAACAATCTGTGACATTCTGTCCCTCACACAGCTAGTTTTTCTTCTCAACACACTTAACATTCTGTCTCTCAAACAGCTAGTTTTTCTTCTCAACACACTTAACAATCTGTGACATTCTGTCCCTCACACAGCTAGTTTTTCTTCTCAACACACTTAACATTCTGTCTCTCAAACAGCTAGTTTTTCTTCTCAACACACTTAACAATCTGTGACATTCTGTCCCTCACACAGCTAGTTTTTCTTCTCAACACACTTAACATTCTGTGACATTCTGTCCCTCACACAGCTAGTTTTTCTTCTCAACACACTTAACATTCTGTGACATTCTGTCCCTAACACAGCTAGTTTTTCTTCTCAACACACTTAACAATCTGTGACATTCTCTTTCTCACAGCTAGTTTTTATTCTCAACACACTTAACAATCTGTGACATTCTGTCTCTCACACAGCTAGTTTTTCTTCTCAACACACTTAACAATCTGTGACATTCTCTTTCTCACAGCTAGTTTTTCTTCTCAACACTTAACAATCTGTGACATTCTCTTTCTCACAGCTAGTTTTTCTTCTCAACACACTTAACAATCTGTGACATTCTGTCCCTCACACAGCTAGTTTTCCTTTTCAACACATTTAACAATCTGTGACATTCTTTTTCTCACAGCTAGTTGTTCTTCTGAACTCACTTGACACTGACGTATTGCCACATTTGTGGGTTGAATGCTGACAGATAGCCGTATCTGATGTCTTTATGGTACCTACTGATCTGGTCTAAAGATGGGGAGGGATCATTTCTTTCTGTCACTGTTTTAGTTCTTCTTAGGGTCATGTTAAAAATGTCATTTGTCGTGGGCTTCACTAGAGAACATCAGTGGCCACATGTTTGTCATGCCTGCATGTCAGGATATTGATACATGGTTGAATGGTAATCTATGACCAGGGATCCAAGACAAGCTAATATAGAAGCTTTCATTGGTGTCTTCTACAGGACAAGACTTCATCAGTTATTAGCAGATCATTGGAGTTGCTGTTAGTGGAGGAAGCAGTCCTGTCGCCTTCTTCAGTATCTGTGTTCAACCATCCATCAAACAAGGTAACTTCTATATCCAACCATCTATCACACATGTTTACTTCTATATCCAGCCATCTATCACACATGTTTACTTCTATATCCAGCCATCTATCACACATGTTTACTTCTATATCCAGCCATCTATCACACATGTTTACTTCTATATCCAGCCATCTATCACACATGTTTACTTCTATATCCAACCATCTATCAGACATGTTTACTTCTATATCCAACCATCTATCACACATGTTTACTTCTATATCCAGCCATCCATCAAACATGGTAACCTCTATAAGCAGCCACATATCAGACAAGGTAACTTCTATGTGTAGCCATCCATCAGAAAAGGTAGCGTCTATATGCAGCCACCCATCAAACAAGGTAACCTCTATATCCAGCAATCCATAAAAAAAGGTAACTTCTATATCCAGCCATCCATCAAACAAGGTAACCTCTATATCCAGCAATCCATAAAACAAGGTAACTTCTATATCCAGCTACTTATCAGACAAGATAAGTTCCATATTCATCTATCAAACATTCTGGTACACTGACTGTGGTGGCGTCTCTCATTGGGATATCTGAGTGTTCAGAGAGGATCCACTGTGGGCAGTAATTGACATCATCATGTGGACTGGCATAGACACAATGTTGTTGATATTGGATTGCAGTTACTATACAAGCTATGACACATACAGCATGATTATGAGCTTTGTATGTGTGTGCTCACAGGAATGATTCGCATTCATACACTTAGACATCAGTGAGACAGTACTTTAAGGCAGTTTCTGGAGTGTGAGAACATGGCTTCTGTCAACCAGTAAACATCGGGTGTGGCTGTGATAGATAAAGTTGAGACTAACAGAATATGTGGTGTTGATGCACTTACAACAGCCCAGAAACATTTGTAACTGAACTTGAGTGTTGTCTCAATGACCAGGTCGGTCTCGAAGTCCTACACGGGTCGGGCTATTTTCATCTGGAGGTGTTCCAGTCCCAAGTGCTGACAGCCAAGTACAACTACAAGACTAGGACAGTTGAGGTGAGTTCTATTCTAAGTGTCTAGCTAGCCAGGGCAGTGATGTTGGCAGGTCCTTTCTATTTATGTGCAGAATTACAAGTGGAATCTTCTTAAAATCTGGGGTTCCTGCCAGTCATTCCTTAACTAGCCTTCAGCCATTTTTGTACCCCTTTCACAATGATATTTGTGCCTAATGTGATGTTACACCATCTACCATCTAGCATTTCCCATGATTGCTTTACTAGGCTGGTCTAATAGTATTTTTCCTTGTCAGCTGCAGTAAGGCTTCCACCAGGCTAATGGTATGCTTCATACAAGTTGTCAGCTGCAGTAAGGCTTCCACCAGGCTAATGGTATGCTTCCTACATATTGTCAGCTGCAGTAAGGCTTCCACCAGGCTAATGGTATGCTTCATACAAGTTGTCAGCTGCAGTAAGGCTTCCACCAGGCTAATGGTATGCTTCATACACGTTGTCAGCTGCAGTAAGGCTTCCACCAGGCTAATGGTATGCTTCCTACATATTGTCAGCTGCAGTAAGGCTTCCACCAGGCTAATGGTATGTTTCATACACATTGTCAGCTGCAGTAAGGCTTCCACCAGGCTAATGGTATGCTTCCTACATATTGTCAGCTGCAGTAAGGCTTCCACCAGGGTAATGGTATGCTTCTTACAAGCTGTCAGCTGCAGTAAGGCTTCCACCAGGCTAATGGTATGCTTCCTAAATATTGTCAGCTACAGTAAGGCTTCCACCAGGGTAATGGTAAGCTTCATACACATTGTCAGCTGCAGTAAGGCTTCCACCAGGCTAATGGTATGCTTCCTAAATATTGTCAGCTACAGTAAGGCTTCCACCAGGGTAATGGTAAGCTTCATACACATTGTCAGCTGCAGTAAGGCTTCCACCAGGCTAATGGTATGCTTCATACACGTTGTCAGCTGCAGTAAGGCTTTCACCAAGCTGGTGATAAGCGAATGGAATGTCTAATGTTGTCATTTCTGTCATATTTCTTTACCCTATCTTGTTTTAATCCTTCCAGTTCAGTTTCAGATTCAGTATTGGAAGGTTCTGGTTGTTTGCCTACTTCTGGACGTCTGTAATGGACTTCTTTTTTTTTTTGCAGAACTTAAATTTTTCTTGCATGTCTGTTTTACAAATATGTCTTGTGTGTATGCAGACTATTGGTTCCTTGTCTCTCATGTAGATGCATTGCGACTTTGACTTTTCTGACATGTGGGGGAGGGATTCAATCTATTCCTGTTTTCCCCCACATTTGTAGCCCAGGAAGCATGCAGGGATGTGAAGTGTTATGTTTTCTGTTTTACAGTGTCTCCATTCTGAAATGTTTTCTGTTTTACAGTGTCTCCATTCTGTAATGTTTTCTGTTTTACAGTGTCTCCATTCTGTAATGTTTTCTGTTTTACAGTGTCTCCATTCTGTAATGTTTTCTGTTTGACAATGTCTCCAGTCATTCTGTAATGTTTTCTGTTTGACAATGTCTTCAGTCATTCTGCAATGTTTTCTGCTTGACAATATCTCCAGTCATTCTGTAATATTTCTGTTTGACAATGTCTCCAGTCATTCTGTAATGTTTTCTGTTTGCTCTTGTTCAGTATGACATTAATATGTTGTGACATTATAGTCTTGACCATAACAAATGTAATTGTATTGGATGTGTGTTCAGCTTCACTGTTTTATATCCAGTCATCTCTTTGTGAGATGCAATGTGTTTGTTTTTTTAAAGCCCTACTCTGGCTTTTGCCAGGGGCCACAATATAGCCTGACCATAAATATGTTCTAATGGCTGAGCGCGGTTTCTGGGACCTCTCCACGGGTGATCCTCATCCATATGGTGGCACTTCGTGTCATCGGGTGTTTATCGCTTGTATGATGTCCTAGTGGGGTAAAATGTACTACTACTACTAGCTTCACTGTAGCTGTTCATTTCTGTTCACAGGTGACACCACTGAAGGATGGAACTCAGACATTCACTGTTTATGACCTCTGCATTGATGTGCCTTCTGATCCAGTGGCCACAGTCTCAGTCTCTGGTGTTAGCAGTGTGCAGATTTTAGTCACAGACAAGGTCAGCCTTTGTCACTATACTACTTACTGTCCAGATTATAGACAGAAGGATATATCGTTACATTTTAGTGATGTTGTTGACATTATAGAATGAACCATTTTAGTCAGGCTGTTTAGTTATAAACATGGTGACACCATTTTAGTCATGCTGTTTAGTTACAGACATGGTGACACTATTTACGTGATGTTGTTTAGTTACAGACATGGTGACACTATTTTAGTCATGTTGTTTAGTTACAGACATGGTGACACCATTTTAGTCATGTTGTTTAGTTATAGACATGGTGACACGATTTTAGTCATGCTGTTTAGTTACAGACATGGTGACACCATTTTTATCATGCTGTTTAGTTACAGACATGGTGACACCATTTTAGTCATGCTGTTTAGTTACAGACATGGTGAGATATTAACACCATTTTAAGTGAGATATTGACACCATTTTATCTGAGATATTGACACCATTTTAGCTAAGATATTGACACCATTATAGCTGAGATATTGACATAGTTTTAATCACATTGTTCAGAATATATATGAGGTTCACTGTTAGTGCTGCTTTGTTAGCATTTTCCCATGTTTAGTGGTTATCTGTTGACATGATCCTGTTCTAATGATTATATGCTGACATTTGCCTGTACTTGTGGTTGTGTCCTAACATGTTGCCATGTCTGTTGGTTGTAGATTGAAGTCATGAAAGAAGTCACAGCCAGTGTCCAAGTGTTGGACCTCAAAGGCAAGCCTCTGCTTGCCAGTTTTTTCTCTCTGATGGATCTGCAGCTGGAGACAGCCTCAGATATTGTCACCATCAGGTAAATATATTTGTTTCTTGAACATGTCCTCAATCATTGAATCATGTCTGTCACCCAACAATAAATCATGTCTGTCATCCAACATTTAGTCATGTCTGTCAACATCAGGTAAATATACTTGTTTCTTGAACATGTCCTCAATCATGAAGTCATGTCTGTCAATATCAGGTAAATATACTTGTTTCTTGAACATGTCCTCAATCATTGAGTCATGTCTGTCACTATCAGGTTAATATACTTGTTTCTTGAACATGTCCTTAATCATTGAGTCATGTCTATTATCATCAGGTAAATATACTTGTTTCTTGAACATGTCCTTAATCATTGAGTCATGTCTCTCACTATCAGGTTAAAATACTTGTTTCTTGAACATGTCCTCAATCATTGAGTCATGTCTGTCACCTAACATGGAGTCATGTCTGTCACGCAACACTAAGTCATTTCTGTCATCCAACACTGAGTCATGTCTGTCAAGCAACACTAAGTCATGTCTGTCATCCAACACTGAGTCATGTCTGTCAAGCAACACTAAGTCATGTCTGTCATCCAACACTGAGTCATGTCTGTCAAGCAACACTAAGTCATGTCTGTCATCCAACACTGAGTCATGTCTGTCAAGCAACACTAAGTCATGTCTGTCATCGAACACTGAGTCCAGTTTTTCTATTCAGACCAGACAATCTCAATGCTCAAAAAGGTGTGACCAGACACTACACAGTCTATGGGTCAATAGTGGGCCACACCACACTGACAGCAACCATCAAACTGCCCACTGGTCAGCTGGTATACAGCAGTCCTAAGTCTGTAGAAGTCTTCCCACCGCTTCGTTTGGACCCCAAGAATATCACACTGGTGGTTGGAGCTGTGTTTCAGGTGGGTCATCTGGTCATGTTTACCTAAAAAGGATGGTAAAACATTTGGTTGTCTGGCAGGACCACAAATCCAAACTTGTGTTTTATGTTATATCTACACCTGCTGTGGTTGCTTTCCCTCCCAGTATTTAAATGTGGTCAGGGCCTGTTGTGTCAGTAAACCATGGGGAGGTACAAAATAGATCATAGTCTGTCGGTAATCTGTCAGGAGGCACAAATAGATCATAGTCTGTCAGTAAACTGTATGGAGGCACAAATAGATCATAGTCTGTCTGTAATCTGTCAGGAAGCACAAATAGATCATAGTCTGTCAGTAAACTGTGAGGAGGCACAAATAGATCATAGTCTGTCTGTAATCTGTCAGGAAGCACAAATAGATCATAGTCTGTCAGTAAACCATGAGGAGGCACAAATAGATCATAGTCTGTCAGTAAACCATGGGGAGGCACAAAAAGATCATAGTCTGTCAGTAAACCATGAGGAGGCACAAATAGATCATAGTCTGTCAGTAAACTGTGAGGAGGCACAAAAAGATCATAGTCTGTCAGTAAACTGTGAGGAGGCACAAAAAGATCATAGTCTGTCAGTAAACCATGGGGAGGCACAAATAGATCATAGTCTGTCAGTAAACCATGAGGAGGCACAAATAGATCATAGTCTGTCAGTAAACCATGGGGAGGCACAAAAAGATCATAGTCTGTCAGTAAACCATGAGGAGGCACAAATAGATCATAGTCTGTCAGTAAACCATGGGGAGGCACAAAAAGATCATAGTCTGTCAGTAAACCATGAGGAGGCACAAATAGATCATAGTCTGTCAGTAAACCATGAGGAGGCACAAATAGATCATAGTCTGTCAGTAAACCATGGGGAGGCACAAAAAGATCATAGTCTGTCAGTAAACCATGAGGAGGCACAAATAGATCATAGTCTGTCAGTAAACTGTGAGGAGGCACAAAAAGATCATAGTCTGTCAGTAAACTGTGAGGAGGCACAAAAAGATCATAGTCTGTCAGTAAACTGTGAGGAGGCACAAAAAGATCATAGTCTGTCAGTAAACCATGGGGAGGCACAAATAGATCATAGTCTGTCAGTAAACCATGGAGAGGCACAAAAAAGATCATAGTATGTCAGTAAACCATGGGGAGGCACACAGTAGATCATTGTCTGTCAGTAAACCATGGGGAGGAACACAATAGACCATGGTCTGTCAGTAAACCATGAGGAGGCACAAAATAGACCATGGTCTGTCAGTAAACCATGGGGAGGCACAAAATAGACCATGGTCTGTCAGTAAACCATGGGGAGGCACAAAATAGATCATAGTCTGTCAGTAAACTGTGAGGAGGCACAAATAGATCATAGTCTGTCAGTAAACTGTGAGGAGGCACAAATAGATCATAGTCTGTCAGTAAACTGTGAGGAGGCACAAATAGATCATAGTCTGTCAGTAAACTGTGAGGAGGAACAAATAGATCATAGTCTGTCGGTAAACTGTGAGGAGGCACAAATAGATCATAGTCTGTCAGTAAACTGTGATGAGGTACAAATAGATCATAGTCTGTCGGTAAACTGTGAGGAGGAACAAATAGATCATAGTCTGTCAGTAAACTGTGATGAGGTACAAATAGATCATAGTCTGTCGGTAAACTGTGATGAGGTACAAATAGATCATGGTCTGTCTGTAAACTGTGAGGAGGCACAAATAGATCATAGTCTGTCAGTAAACTGTGATGAGGTACAAATAGATCATAGTCTGTCGGTAAACTGTGATGAGGTACAAATAGATCATAGTCTGTCAGTAAACTGTGATGAGGTACAAATAGATCATGGTCTGTCAGCAAACTGTCAGGAGGCACAAAATAGATCATAGTCTGTCAGTAAACCATAGGGAGGCACAAATAGATCATGGTCTGTCAGCAAACTGTCAGGAGGCACAAATAGATCATAGTCTGTCAGCAAACTGTGATGAGGCACAAATAGATCATAGTCTGTCAGCAAACTGTGAGTAGGTACAAATAGATCATAGTCTGTCAGTAAACTGTCAAGAGGCACAAATAGATCATAGTCTGTCAGCAAACTGTGATGAGGCACAAATAGATCATAGTCTGTCAGCAAACTGTGAGTAGGTACAAATAGATCATGGTCTGTCAGCAAACTGTCAGGAGGCACAAATAGATCATAGTCTGTCAGCAAACTGTGATGAGGCACAAATAGATCATAGTCTGTCAGTAAACTGTGATGAGGTACAAATAGATCATAGTCTGTCAGTAAAGTGTGATGAGGTACAAATAGATCATGGTCTGTCAGCAAACTGTCAGGAGGCAGAAATAGATCATAGTCTGTCAGCAAAGTGAGAGGAGGCACAAATAGATCATAGTCTGTCAGTAAACTGTGATGAGGTACAAATAGATCATGGTCTGTCAGTAAACTGTGAGGAGGTACAAATAGATCATAGTCTGTCAGTAAACTGTGATGAGGTACAAATAGATCATGGTCTGCAGAGAATGGTGCAGTAAGGAGTGACCATGGAATCTGGCCTATATTCAACACTTGGAGGAAAAGCGGGGGGGGGGGGGGGGGGGGGGATGCAGATCAGACTGGTATCATTAAAATTACAAATCTGTGCTGGCTGATGAAGATGGGACTGGGTGCTTATGGGAATGTCCTCAGTGCAGTGGTGTCGGTTCTTAACTCGGTTAGATTTAGCTTAGAAATAAATGTACTGTTTTCTTTACATCTTTAAAGTTAAACATCATTTATTGAGTTGATCTGATTTTCCTGTCCGTTGCTGTTCATTTATGACTAGAAATCCTAGCTTCTGTTGTAAAGGCCTGTCTTGTCTGTATCCAGCATATTTTGATACTGACCATAAAGTCCCGTATTATTGAACGCATGCAAACTTCTGTTATAAAATTCCCAGTGATTTCATCTCAAAGTAATCCTGATATTGTTTAGATGTACCTTGGCTTGGCTGCTGCATCCGAGGACATTGATTGTAATAAGATAACATAATCCTAGGTGCTATTTAGGCTGGACTGACATGTGGCTCATGGGGAGTCGCCATGGCGGAGCGACTAGACATTCGCCTGCGGATCAGAAGGTTGCGGGTTCACTCCCTGGCGGAGACTGATTTTTTTCTCTAAAAAAATTACCTTGGCTCCCAGGTCGACCCAGCCTTGAGTGGGTACCAGGTGCAGTCCGGGAAGTAAAGACGGCTGGCGTGATGCGGACTACATCAGTCATCTTGTGTCGATTAGTCTATAAAATATGGGTCTACCTCTGTATGTCATATACGCCTAAAGGTGTGAAAAGGGTCCTTTACTGACATGTGGCTTATGGATAACATCCAAAGGAAATATTTTACAGGGATCAGGAGCAGAATGGGGAAGAAAAATGCATTTTGTTCAGTGAACATTTGTTCAGTAAATCTTATGCCATTTGAGGTTCTTGCATGCTGTGTAGACCTAGACCTAATTTTAATCCTAGATAATTAGTAAACAATCTAAACAATTTCTGGAGGCCTCAGAGATATCGTTTTACAGAACAATCTTTACAATTCCTTGTTTGGCCAGCAAGAGCAACCCACATGTTTTGAAAGAGACGAGAGCTCTAAGACAACTTATTACGGTCATCAAAAAGAGACAGTCATTATTTTTGGTTCATGTTATGAGAAGAAGGAAACTTGGAACATGTTGTGACCACTAGAAAGATCTGTGGAAAAAGAGACAGTCATTATTTTTGGTTCATGTTATGAGAAGAAGGAAACTTGGAACATGTTATGACCACTGGAAAGATCTGTGGAAAAAGAGACAGTCATTATTTTTGGTTCATGTTATGAGAAGAAGGAAACTGGGAACATGTTGTGGCCACTGGAAAGATCTGTGGAAAAAGAGACAGTCATTATTTTTGGTTCATGTTATGAGAAGAAGGAAACTTTGAACATGTTGTGACCACTGGAAAGATCTGTGGAAAAAGAGACAGTCATTATTTTTGGTTCATGTTATGAGAAGAAGGAAACTTTGAACATGTTGTGACCACTGGAAAGATCTGTGGAAAAAGAGACAGTCATTATTTTTGGTTCATGTTATGAGAAGAAGGAAACTTTGAACATGTTGTGACCACTGGAAAGATCTGTGGAAAAAGAGACAGTCATTATTTTTGGTTCATGTTATGAGAAGAAGGAAACTTTGAACATGTTGTGACCACTGGAAAGATCTGTGGAAAAAGAAAAAAACAGGAGACAATTATTGACAGCCTTTTGTCATAGCATTGAGTGGTGTCAACACATAAACTGAAATGTGCTGTTGGAGATCACAGGTTGTGGACAGCATGATAGCAACTCCATTTGGCAAGACACTCGGTGATGATGATGATGATGCACACACAGATCATTTGGTCCAGTGAGGAAGGGCATTTGACCTGTTTTCAGTGGGCAAGCTTGCTGGGCCACCATCTGCCATAGCTCCCGCATAATGAATACAGAATATCCTACTTTTACATTACCATAAATGCACTGTGAAAAAAATTCTATGTATTCATAATAAATAGAGAATATAGTAGTCTTCAGTGTAACTCACAAGAAACACTTATCAATAATGGTGGAGGCTGAACTATCATCTTGACTTGTTAACATTTGGTGGGTCCCAGTGACACTATTACATCTCCGATATTTGTACCAGGTGTTAGCATTTGGTTGATCCCAGCCACACAGTAACATCTCCAGTATTTGTACCAGGTGTTAGTTAACATTTGGTGGGTCCTAATGACACTATAACATCTCCAGTATTTGTACCAGGTGTAAGCATTTGGTTGATCCCGATCACACAGTAACATGTCCAATATTTGTACCAGGTGTTAGTTAACATTTGGTGGGTCCCAGTGACACAGTAACGTCTCCAATAATTGTACCAGGTGTTAGTTAACATTTGGTGGGTCCTAATGACACTATAACATCTCCAGTATTTGTACCAGGTGTAAGCATTTGGTTGATCCCGATCACACAGTAACATTATGTCCAATATTTGTACCAGGTGTTAGTTAACATTTGGTGGGTCCCAGTGACACAGTAACGTCTCCAATAATTGTACCAGGTTTTAGCATTTGGTTGATCCCAACCACACAGTAACATCTCCAATATTTGTACCAGACAATAGGTGGGTCCTGATCACACAGTAAAATTTCTAATATTTGTATCAGGTGTTAATATTTGGTGAGTCTCAAAAACACACAGTAACATCTCTAATATTTGTAACAGGTGTTAATATTTGGTGAGTCTCAGAAACACACAGTAACATCTCTAATATTTGTATCAGGTGTTAATATTTGGTGAGTCTCAGAAACACACAGTAACATCTCTAATATTTGTATCAGGTGTTAATATTTGGTGAGTCTCAGAAACACTGTAACATCTCTAATATTTGTATCAGGTGTTAATATTTGGTGAGTCTCAGAAACACTGTAACATCTCTAATATTTGTAACAGGTGTTAATATTTGGTGAGTCTCAGAAACACTGTAACATCTCTAATATTTGTAACAGGTGTTAGCATTTGGTGGGCCTCAGTCACAGAGCAGCATTGAGTTTATCATCACCAACAGCCAGGTAGCTAGTGTCAGCGGTGGAGGAGTGCTGGATGCTGCAACAGTGGGCACAACCAGGGTCCTTGGCAAGTCCCTGGGCATTGATTCAGTGACTGGAGAGAAGGTTGTCTACACACAGGTGAGTTGTCTATCTCATCTACACACAGGTATGTGAGTTGTCAATCTCAGCTACACATAGGTGAGTTGTCTATCTAATCTACACACAAGTGAGATGTGTATTTTATTTTCACAGACTTGAGTTGTCTGTCTCATCTACACACAGGTGACATTTCTATCTTATCTACACACAAGGGAGATGTCTATCTCATCTACACACAATGGATATATCTATCTCATCTAAACACAATGGATATATCTATCTCATCTAAACACAATGGATACATCTATCTCATCTACACACAATGGATGTATCTATCTCATCTAAACACAATGGATATATCTATCTCATCTAAACACAATGGATATATCTATCTCATCTAAACACAATGGATATATCTATCTCATCTAAACACAATGGATATATCTATCTCATCTAAACACAATGGATATATCTATCTCATCTACACACAGATTAGGTGTCTATCTCATCTACATGATTGTGTGGTTTATCTCATTGACATCTTATCTACACACATGTGAGTTGTCTATCTCATCTACACACAGGTGGGTTGTCTATTTTATCTACACATGAGTGTCTTGTCTATCTCATCTACATCTACACAGTTGAGTTGTCTATCTCATCTACACATGATTGTGTAGTTTATCTCATCTACATCTCATCTTAACACAGATGACTTGTCTATCTCATCTACATATGTGTGAGCTGTTTATCTCATCTAACCATGAGTGAGTTGTCTGTCTCATCTACACACAGGTGAATAGTCTATCTCATCTACATTCAGGTGAGTTTTTCTTATCTCATCCAAACACAGATCTCTCATCTACACATGAGTTAGTTGTCTATCTCATCTACACACAGGTGATTCATCTATCTCATTTACACACAGGTGAGTTAAGTTGTCCATCTCTCCATCTCATCTGTACATGGGTGTTCTTCATCTTATCTACACAGAAGTGAGTTGTCTAACTCATCTAAACATGAGTATGTGGTGTCTCTCATCTAAATCTACACACAGGTGAGTTGTCCATCACATCTACACATGAGTGAGATGTCTGTCTCATGTACACACAGGTTAGCTGTCTATCTCATCTACACATGGGTGTTTTGTCATCTCATCTACACACAGGTGAGTTGTCCATCACATCTACACATAAGTGAGTTGTCTATCTATCTGCACACAGGTTAGCTGTCTATCTTATCTACACATGAGTGAGTTGTGTCTTTTTGGTGAAATGTGTACATGTCAGGTCTGACACGTGAATATGTCTGCTTTTGAAAACTGGCAAACTTGTTTACAGTGCTCATGTTGGTCTGTTCTTTTCTTCTTCTTCTTCTTCTTCTTTTTTGCGATCACCATCTGTAAAATGGTTGTTCATCCACTTTTTGACTGCTGTCCTGTTCCAGAACCTGAGTGTTGCATGTGCATCCATTTTACACATCTGACTCATATGGTGTATGCAGACTGCTGGTTTCTTGCTTCTCAGACAGATGCACTCCTACTTCGAAGTAAGCTCCCTATTAGTCGACTCTTAACCAAATGCTTTTGGGTAGGCAGTGGGTCTATTCTTGTTTTCCCTATAATAGGGCCCTGGAACCCACACAGGGATTGTAGTGTTCGTGTTAAAGTATTTATATTTCAGTATTCATGTTGCAGTATTGATGTTGCAGTATTGATGTTGCAGTATTGATGTTGCAGTATTGATGTTGCAGTATTGATGTTGCAGTATTGATGTTGCAGTATTGATGTTGCAGTATTGATGTTGCAGTGTTTATGTTACAGTTCGTGTTGCAATGTTCTTTTTACAGTGTTTATGTCACAATGTACATGTTAGAGTGTTCATGTTTCGGTGATCATGTTGCAGTGTTTATGTTACTGTTTTCTTGTTGCATTGTTCTTTTAACAGTGTTCATGTCACAATGTACATGTTAGAGTGTTCATGTTTCAGTGATCATGTTGCAGTGTTTTTGTTACTGTTTTCTTGTTGCATTGTCTGTGTTACAGTGTTCATGTTGCAATGTTTTTTAAAGTTCTTGTTGGTTTACTTTTTTGTTTCTGTTGACAGGATGATGCAGTTGTCAATGTTGTCAGTCTCAAGGGAATCAGAATCCACGTGGCTCTAACCAGGCTACAGACAGGCACCCAGGTATGTGTTACATGATCTCAAGACAGACACCCAGGTAAGTGTTACATGATCTCAAGACAGACACCCAGGTAAGTGTTACATGATCTCAAGACAGACACCCAGGTAAGTGTTACATGATCTCAAGACAGACACCCAGGTAAGTGTTACATGATCTCAAGACAGACACCCAGGTAAGTGTTACATGATCTCAAGACAGACACCCAGGTAAGTGTTACATCATCTCAAGACAGACACCCAGGTAAGTGTTACATGATCTCAAGAAAGACACCCAGGTAAGTGTTACATGATCTCAAGACAGACACCCAGGTAAGTGTTACATGATCTCAAGACAAACACCCAGGTAAGTGTTACATGATCTCAAGACAGACATCCAGGTAAGTGTTACATGGTCTCAGACAGACACCCAGGTATGTTTACATAGTCTCAGACAGACACCCAGGTATGTTTACATGGTCTCAGACCAACACCCAGGTAAGTGTTACATTGTCTCAGACAAAAACCCAGGTAAGTGTTACATTGTCTCAGACAGACACCCAGGTAAGTGTTACATTGTCTTAGACAGACACCCAGGTAAGTTACATTGTCTCAGACACCAAGGTAAGTGTTACATTGTCTCAGACAGATACCCAGGTAAGTGTTACATTGTCTCAGACAGCACCCACGTAAGTGTTACATTGTCTCAGACACCCAGATAAGTGTTACATTGTCTCAGACAGATGCCCAGGTAAGTGTTACATTGTCTCAGACAGATAACCAGGTAAGTGTTACATTGTCTCAGACAGATACCCAGGTAAGTGTTACATTGTCTCAGACAGATGCCCAGGTAAGTGTTACATTGTCTCAGACAGATACCCAGGTAAGTGTTACTTGATCTCATCAGACACCCAGGTAAGTGTTACATTGTCTCAGACAAAAACCCAGGTAAGTGTTACATTGTCTTACACAGACACCCAGGTAAGCTACATTGTCTCAGAAAGATACCCAGGTAAGTGTTACATTGTCTCAGACAGATACCCAGGTAAGTGTTACATTGTCTCAGACAGACACCCAGGTAAGTGTTACATTGTCCCAAACAGATACCCAGGTAAGTGAAACATTGTCTCAGACAGATACCCATGTGTTACATTGTCTCAGACACCCAGATAAGTGTTACATTGTCTGAGACAGATACCCAGGTAAGTGTTACTTGATCTCATCAGACACCCAAGTAAGTGTTACATTGTCTCAGACAGACACCTAATTCTGACAGTGCTGACCTACCTGTGATTCTAACAGTGCTGACCTACCTGTGATTCTAATTCTAACAGTGCTGACCTACCTGTGATTCTAATTCTAACAGTGCTGACCTACCTGTGATTCTAATTCTAACAGTGCTGACCTACCTTTGAATCTAATTCTAACAGTGCTGACCTACCTGTGATTTTAATTCTAACAGTGCTGACCTACCTGTGATTCTATTTCTAACAGTGCTTACATATCTGTGATTCTAATTCTAACAGTGCTGACCTACCTGTGATTTTAATTCTAACAGTGCTGACCTACCTGTGATTCTAATTCTAACAGTGCTTACATATCTGTGATTCTAATTCTAACAGTGCTTACATATCTGTGATTCTAATTCTAACAGTGCTTACATATCTGTGATTCTAATTCTAACAGTGCTGACCTACCTGTGATTCTAATTCTAACAGTGCTGACCTACCTGTGATTTTAATTCTAACAGTGCTGACCTACCTGTGATTCTAATTCTAACAGTGCTGACCTACATGTGATTCTATTTCTAACAGTGCTTACATATCTGTGATTCTAATTCTAACAGTGCTTACATATCTGTGATTCTAATTCTAACAGTGCTGACCTACCTGTGATTCTAATTCTAACAGTGCTTACATATCTGTGATTCTAATTCTAACAGTGCTGACCTACCTGTGATTCTAATTCTAACAGTGCTGACCATCCTGTGATTTTAATTCTAACAGTGCTGACCTACCTGTGATTCTATTTCTAACAGTGCTTACATATCTGTGAATCTAATTCTAACAGTGCTGACCTACATGTGATACTAATTCTAACAGTGCTGACTGACAAGGTTGAGTCTACTGGCCATGATTGTATCTTTAATAATTGAACCTTTGTGTATTTCAGATGCCTGTCTATGCTGTTGGGTTGACTGAGCATCAGACGCCATTTTCCTTTGGACACTCTGTTCCACCTTTGATATTTACCTGGTCAGTGAGTAGCAGGGAGACGCTTCATCTTCAGTCAGTTTACCACAGGGTAGGTTTGTCCCATGTCATGATGGCAGAGTAGTTAGTGCCTTAGCTAGTCAGTGCAGGTGATGTGGGCTTCATCAGCAGTCATTTCAGCTTTTGTCTTTCTTATGTTGAGACAGTGATGGTCTATTTCTAAGTGTTTCACCAGCTGGGAAAATGAAAGGAATCTCATACAGAACACCCATCCCATTACTATGATATTTGTACTGTTAGTGGATTTAACTATACAGGTGTTGCTAATGCATGCCTTTGAGTATGCTTTTAACGGAAATTCCCCATCTGCACTAGCACCTATACCTATACAATGGTGCGCATGCAGTATAATTGAGTAGGGCCAGTCTGTTTGGCAAGCCTGAGGGTGGCAGTTCATGGTGCGCCCACTGATGTCTAGTCATGTGGACACAGAATGAAGACTAGATGTTTGTTCACACTGGAACACACAAAAATTCTGAAAAAAAAACATAATTATTAACAAGTTACATGCCAAATTTCAACTTGCGCACGACTTCTGAAACAGGCTATAGTCACCTAATGTGACATGCATGCACTGATAAAAACAAGTGGTCACTGTAGCTTCATGGGCCTCAAGGCTAGTGGGTTTGATGGTGGGACATGCATGCACTGATGAAGACAAGTGGTCCCTGTAGCTTCATGGGCCTCAAGGCAAGTGGGTTGGATGGTGGGACATGCGTGCACACACACACACTCACACATATATATATCATGAATGGTGTTGCAGACTGGGATCCAGTCTTGGGTTGAGAGAGATGGAGAGCATGCATGCACACACACACACATACATGTTGTCATGAATGTATGTTGCAGACTGGGATCTGATTTGAGGTTGAGAGATAGAGAGAGCGTGCAATATATATATTGCATGAATGTATGTTGCAGACTGGGATCTAGTCTTGGGTTGAGAGATAGAGAGCAGGCACACACACACATACATCCATATATATATATATTGCCATGAATGTATGTTGCAGACTGGGATCTAGTCTTGGGTTGAGAGATAGAGAGCATGCACACACACATACATCCATATATATATATACATGTTGTCATGAATGTCTGTTGCAGACTGGGATCCAACCCCCAGCTGAGAATAATTTTGCACAACAAGCTGTGGCTAAAATGTCAGGCCAGGTTACCATTAAGTTGAAGGTCGAGGCCAGGCCAAAAAGTCGATTGCAAATTCCAGGAGGTGTGCTTCAGGATGAAATCCAGATTCATGTAAGTTCCTAGATACCTCAGAATTTAGTTGTACCAGATCTGAGAGTTAAGTTATACCAGTTCTGAGAGTTTAGTTGTACCAGTTCTGAGAGTTTAGTTGTACCAGTTCTGAGAGTTTAGTTGTACCAGATCTGAGAATTTAGTTGTACCAGATCTGTTGTACCAGATCTGACAGTTTAGTTAGACCATATCCAAGATTTTAATTATACCAGATCTGAGAATTTAATCATACAAGATCTGAGAATTTACTTAAACTAGATGTGAGAGCTGGCTTAAATATGTAGGAAACTTAGCTTATGCGTAAATATGTTTTTTAATATGCATATTTGTTGACCTTGTAATGCCCAGAGATGCATATTTTATATATCAAATCTTCTTCTTCATCATTTATCCAAGCCACGTAATTGCATTCTGGTTGTTTACAGCATGATAGCAATATCTGCGCCTATCAGCTTGCAGTTCCAACTTCATTGGGCATTTGTGGGGCATTTGACAGCCTCATTGATGTTTTCATCATCTTTGCATCTGGTGTACAGGTGGTGAACCCATCTCAGGTCTGCCCTTGAGGGAAGACAGGAGCAGAACATGGTGATTTTCTGTCACCCTGGGCAACCCTTGAGGGAAGACAGGAGCAGAACATGGTGATTTTCTGTCACCCTGGGCAACCCTTGAGGGAAGACAGGAGCAGAACATGGTGATTTTCTGTCACCCTGGGCAACCCTTGAGGGAAGACAGGAGCAGAACATGGTGATTTTCTGTCACCCTGGGCAACCCTTGAGGGAAGACAGGAGCAGAACATGGTGATTTTCTGTCACCCTGGGCAACCCTTGAGGGAAGACAGGAGCAGAACATGGAGGTTTATAAAGGCAGAGCCAGTAACATTGTGCTATGGTAGTAGGCTCAACCAGGGAATCTCAATGTCCCACATTTAAATGTCTGCTAAACCTCCTGCAGTTCATGGATTGTGTCTCCAGGGATCAGTAGGAAGCAGTCCACAGACCAGAGACTTTTATAACTGCAAACCCTGTAGGATGTATAAATGGCACAACATGATGATGATGTAACAGGAGCTGGTAGAATCAAAGGAGAAAAAGAAGGCTTGGCAAGAGTTTCATGGAGCATGTTTCATGTTCTCTATTGGAAGGTAGAAGGTGAAAGAAGAAGATGTATACCCACATTCAACATAACTAGACTGTTGAGGCCCTGGCATGAAATAGCTAACGTTTGTTCCTCTGGCAAGATACAGAGACACTTCAGTGTCTTCTGGCATCCACTATCATTACAAATAACTTGCCTGACCTTTGTCTGTGTGTTGGCCATACAGGTGTTGGAAGCTGTGAGCACTCAGAATATCTTGTGGGCAAACTGATTACTGTGGCTGACCCGGCACTGGACAGTGGTTATATCATTAATGCCATGTGAAAAACATATCCCACAGAAGATCATGACAACAGTCAGGACTCAGTATCCATGTCCTGGTTGGTGGATATTTGAGCGCAACCTGTGGCAGCCAGACATGAATATTTCACTAAGAGGCACTTCCGGTCTAAATGGCAGTTAGACAGGCTTTCTGTTTTTAGGGGTTGAAAGCTAATGAGTTGAGTACTTAGTGTGACACTGTGAGCTCTGGATTTTGTTTGGAATGCTTTACGATGTGCCCATGTGATTTGTGTTGTGAACTGCAGATTTAGAAAGTGGCCTAATGCCGGAGAACTGGTGGTGGCTCAGTACCTTCGACGGTGAACTGCATTTCTAGTGCTGGACTGTTTGTGTCGGCATTTCTCATGGCAGCCTTATGCATTTAATGCCTGTGTTTGCTATCAGCTTTCTGAGCCTTTATGTGGTTTTTTTTTCTTCTTTTGTAAAAAAAGGGACATTGATGGGCATTCCGTAGGGTTTGTGTTGGCAGAGGAATGGAGCAACTGTGGGGTGTTGCATTTGCTATGAAGTTAGAACTGTGATTACCTGATTTCACTAAAAGCACAATATTTCTGATCAGTCAACACAGTGTTCGTGAGATCAGTCAACACAGTGTGTAGGAGATCAGTCAACACAGTGTGTGTGAGATCAGTCAACACAGTGTGTGTGAGATCAGTCAACACAGTGTGTGTGAGATCAGTCAACACAGTGTGTGTGAGATCAGTCAACACAGTGGGCGGGAGATCAGTCAACACAGAGTGTGTGAGAGATCAGTCAACACAGTGTGTGTGAGATCAGTCAACACAGTGTGCGGGAGATCAGTCAACACAGTGGGCGGGAGATCAGTCAACACAATGTGTGTGAGAGATCAGTCAACACAGTGTGTGTGAGATCAGTCAACACAGTGTGTGTGAGATCAGTCATTTTACGCTTGTGAAGCTATTGAGGAGATCAGAGCACCTGTGGATCTGTCCCCAGCATCATCTAGGCAGTGTTAAATCACTAGGAAATGATTTATTTCTAGGCAGTGTTAAATCACTAGAAAATGATTTATTTCTAGGCAGTGTTAAATCACTAGGAAATGATTTATTTCTAGGCAGTGTTAAATCACTAGAAAATGATTTATTTCTAGGCAGTGTTAAATCACTAGAAAATGATTTATTTCTAGGCAGTGTTAAATCACTAGAAAATGATTTATTTCTAGGCAGTGTTAAATCACTAGAAAATGATTTATTTCTAGGCAGTGTTAAATCACTAGAAAATGATTTATTTCTAGGCAGTGTTAAATCACTAGGAAATGATTTGTTTCTAGACAGTGTTAAATCACTAGGAAATGATTTATTTCTAGGCAGTGTTAAATCAGTATGAAATGATTTATTTCTAGGCAGTGTTAAATCACTAGGAAATGAATTTTTTCTAGGCAGTGTTAAATTACTCGGAAATGATTTATTTCTAGGCAGTGTTAAATCACTACTAGATGATTTGTTTCTAGGCAGTGTTAAATCAGTATGAGATGATTTGTTTCTAGACAGTGTTAAATCACTAGGAGATGATTTGTTTCTAGGCAGTGTTAAATCACTAGGAGATGATTTGTTTCTAGACAGTGTTAAATCACTAGGAGATGATTTGTTTCTAGACAGTGTTAAATCGCTAGGAGATGATTTGTTTCTAGGCAGTGTTAAATCGCTAGTAGATGATTTGTTCCTAGGCAGTGTTAAATCACTAGTAGATGATTTGTTTCTAGGCAGTGTTAAATCACTAGTAGATGATTTGTTCCTAGGCAGTGTTAAATCACTAGTAGATGATTTGTTCCTAGGCAGTGTTAAATCACTAGTAGATGATTTGTTTCTAGGCAGTGTTAAATCACTAGTAGATGATTTGTTCCTAGGCAGTGTTAAATCACTAGTAGATGATTTGTTTCTAGGCAGTGTTAAATCAGTATGAGATGATTTGTTTCTAGGCAGTGTTAAATCACTAGGAGATGATTTGTTTCTAGGCAGTGTTAAATCACTAGGAGATGATTTGTTTCTAGGCAGTGTTAAATCACTAGAAAATTATTTATTTCTAGGCAGTGTTAAATCACTAGAAAATGATTTATTTCTAGGCAGTGTTAAATCACTAGAAAATGATTTATTTCTAGGCAGTGTTAAATCACTTGGAAATGATTTATTTCTAGGCAGTGTTAAATCACTAGAAAATGATTTATTTCTAGGCAGTGTTAAATCACTAGAAAATGATTTATTTCTAGGCAGTGTTAAATCACTAGAAAATGATTTATTTCTAGGCAGTGTTAAATCACTAGAAATGATTTATTTCTAGGCAGTGTTAAATCACTAGGAAATGATTTGTTTCTAGACAGTGTTAAATCACTAGGAAATGATTTATTTCTAAGCAGTGTTAAATCACTAGGAAATGATTTATTTCTAGGCAGTGTTAAATCACTAGGAAATGATTTTTTTCTAGGCAGTGTTAAATCACTCGGAAATGATTTATTTCTAGGCAGTGTTAAATCACTACTAGATGATTTGTTTCTAGGCAGTGTTAAATCAGTATGAGATGATTTATTTCTAGGCAGTGTTAAATCACTAGGAAATGATTTGTTTCTAGACAGTGTTAAATCACTAGGAAATGATTTATTTCTAGGCAGTGTTAAATCACTAGGAAATGATTTATTTCTAGGCAGTGTTAAATCACTAGGAAATGATTTTTTTCTAGGCAGTGTTAAATCACTCGGAAATGATTTATTTCTAGGCAGTGTTAAATCAATACTAGATGATTTGTTTCTAGGCAGTGTTAAATCAGTATGAGATGATTTGTTTCTAGGCAGTGTTAAATCGCTAGTAGATGATTTGTTCCTAGGCAGTGTTAAATCACTAGTAGATGATTTTTTTCTAGGCAGTGTTAAATCACTAGTAGATGATTTGTTCCTAGGCAGTGTTAAATCACTAGTAGATGATTTGTTCCTAGGCAGTGTTAAATCACTAGTAGATGATTTGTTCCTAGGCAGTGTTAAATCACTAGTAGATGATTTGTTTCTAGGCAGTGTTAAATCAGTATGAGATGATTTGTTTCTAGGCAGTGTTAAATCACTAGGAGATGATTTGTTTCTAGGCAGTGTTAAATCACTAGGAGATGATTTGTTTCTAGGCAGTGTTAAATCACTAGTAGATGATTTGTTTCTAGGCAGTGTTAAATCTCTAGTAGATGATTTGTTCCTAGGCAGTGTTAAATCACTTGGAAATGATTTTTTTCTAGGCAGTGTTAAATCACTAGAAAATGATTTATTTCTAGGCAGTGTTAAATCACTAGAAAATGATTTATTTCTAGGCAGTGTTAAATTACTAGAAAATGATTTATTTCTAGGCAGTGTTAAATCACTAGGAAATGATTTGTTTCTAGACAGTGTTAAATCACTAGGAAATGATTTATTTCTAGGCAGTGTTAAATCACTAGGAAATGATTTATTTCTAGGCAGTGTTAAATCACTAGGAAATGATTTTTTTCTAGGCAGTGTTAAATCACTAGGAAATGATTTTTTTCTAGGCAGTGTTAAATCACTCGGAAATGATTTATTTCTAGGCAGTGTTAAATCACTACTAGATGATTTGTTTCTAGGCAGTGTTAAATCAGTATGAGATGATTTATTTCTAGGCAGTGTTAAATCACTAGGAAATGAATTGTTTCTAGACAGTGTTAAATCACTAGGAAATGATTTATTTCTAGGCAGTGTTAAATCACTAGGAAATGATTTATTTCTAGGCAGTGTTAAATCACTAGGAAATGATTTTTTTCTAGGCAGTGTTAAATCACTCGGAAATGATTTATTTCTAGGCAGTGTTAAATCACTACTAGATGATTTGTTTCTAGGCAGTGTTAAATCAGTATGAGATGATTTGTTTCTAGGCAGTGTTAAATCGCTAGTAGATGATTTGTTCCTAGGCAGTGTTAAATCATTAGTAGATGATTTTTTTTCTAGGCAGTGTTAAATCACTAGTAGATGATTTGTTTCTAGACAGTGTTAAATCGCTAGGAGATGATTTGTTTCTAGGCAGTGTTAAATCGCTAGTAGATGATTTGTTCCTAGGCAGTGTTAAATCACTAGTAGATGATTTGTTTCTAGGCAGTGTTAAATCACTAGTAGATGATTTGTTCCTAGGCAGTGTTAAATCACTAGTAGATGATTTGTTCCTAGGCAGTGTTAAATCACTAGTAGATGATTTGTTTCTAGGCAGTGTTAAATCACTAGTAGATGATTTGTTCCTAGGCAGTGTTAAATCACTAGTAGATGATTTGTTTCTAGGCAGTGTTAAATCAGTATGAGATGATTTGTTTCTAGGCAGTGTTAAATCACTAGGAGATGATTTGTTTCTAGGCAGTGTTAAATCACTAGGAGATGATTTGTTTCTAGGCAGTGTTAAATCACTAGAAAATTATTTATTTCTAGGCAGTGTTAAATCACTAGAAAATGATTTATTTCTAGGCAGTGTTAAATCACTAGAAAATGATTTATTTCTAGGCAGTGTTAAATCACTTGGAAATGATTTATTTCTAGGCAGTGTTAAATCACTAGAAAATGATTTATTTCTAGGCAGTGTTAAATCACTAGAAAATGATTTATTTCTAGGCAGTGTTAAATCACTAGAAAATGATTTATTTCTAGGCAGTGTTAAATCACTAGAAAATGATTTATTTCTAGGCAGTGTTAAATCACTAGGAAATGATTTGTTTCTAGACAGTGTTAAATCACTAGGAAATGATTTATTTCTAGGCAGTGTTAAATCACTAGGAAATGATTTATTTCTAGGCAGTGTTAAATCACTAGGAAATGATTTTTTTCTAGGCAGTGTTAAATCACTCGGAAATGATTTATTTCTAGGCAGTGTTAAATCACTACTAGATGATTTGTTTCTAGGCAGTGTTAAATCAGTATGAGATGATTTATTTCTAGGCAGTGTTAAATCACTAGGAAATGATTTGTTTCTAGACAGTGTTAAATCACTAGGAAATGATTTATTTCTAGGCAGTGTTAAATCACTAGGAAATGATTTATTTCTAGGCAGTGTTAAATCACTAGGAAATGATTTTTTTCTAGGCAGTGTTAAATCACTCGGAAATGATTTATTTCTAGGCAGTGTTAAATCACTACTAGATGATTTGTTTCTAGGCAGTGTTAAATCAGTATGAGATGATTTGTTTCTAGGCAGTGTTAAATCGCTAGTAGATGATTTGTTCCTAGGCAGTGTTAAATCACTAGTAGATGATTTTTTTCTAGGCAGTGTTAAATCACTAGTAGATGATTTTGTTCCTAGGCAGTGTTAAATCACTAGTAGATGATTTGTTCCTAGGCAGTGTTAAATCACTAGTAGATGATTTGTTCCTAGGCAGTGTTAAATCACTAGTAGATGATTTGTTTCTAGGCAGTGTTAAATCAGTATGAGATGATTTGTTTCTAGGCAGTGTTAAATCACTAGGAGATGATTTGTTTCTAGGCAGTGTTAAATCACTAGGAGATGATTTGTTTCTAGGCAGTGTTAAATCACTAGTAGATGATTTGTTTCTAGGCAGTGTTAAATCACTAGTAGATGATTTGTTCCTAGGCAGTGTTAAATCACTTGGAAATGATTTGTTTCTAGGCAGTGTTAAATCACTAGAAAATGATTTATTTCTAGGCAGTGTTAAATCACTAGAAAATGATTTATTTCTAGGCAGTGTTAAATCACTAGAAAATGATTTATTTCTAGGCAGTGTTAAATTACTAGAAAATGATTTATTTCTAGGCAGTGTTAAATCACTAGGAAATGATTTGTTTCTAGACAGTGTTAAATCACTAGGAAATGATTTATTTCTAGGCAGTGTTAAATCACTAGGAAATGATTTATTTCTAGGCAGTGTTAAATCACTAGGAAATGATTTTTTTTCTAGGCAGTGTTAAATCACTCGGAAATGATTTATTTCTAGGCAGTGTTAAATCACTACTAGATGATTTGTTTCTAGGCAGTGTTAAAATCAGTATGAGATGATTTATTTCTAGGCAGTGTTAAATCACTAGGAAATGAATTGTTTCTAGACAGTGTTAAATCACTAGGAAATGATTTATTTCTAGGCAGTGTTAAATCACTAGGAAATGATTTATTTCTAGGCAGTGTTAAATCACTAGGAAATGATTTTTTTCTAGGCAGTGTTAAATCACTCGGAAATGATTTATTTCTAGGCAGTGTTAAATCACTACTAGATGATTTGTTTCTAGGCAGTGTTAAATCAGTATGAGATGATTTGTTTCTAGGCAGTGTTAAATCGCTAGTAGATAATTTGTTCCTAGGCAGTGTTAAATCACTAGTAGATGATTTTTTTTCTAGGCAGTGTTAAATCACTAGTAGATGATTTGTTCCTAGGCAGTGTTAAATCACTAGTAGATGATTTGTTCCTAGGCAGTGTTAAATCACTAGTAGATGATTTGTTCCTAGGCAGTGTTAAATCACTAGTAGATGATTTGTTTCTAGGCAGTGTTAAATCAGTATGAGATGATTTGTTTCTAGGCAGTGTTAAATCACTAGGAGATGATTTGTTTCTAGGCAGTGTTAAATCACTAGGAGATGATTTGTTTCTAGGCAGTGTTAAATCACTAGTAGATGATTTGTTTCTAGGCAGTGTTAAATCACTAGTAGATGATTTGTTCCTAGGCAGTGTTAAATCACTAGTAGATGATTTGTTTCTAGGCAGTGTTAAATCAGTATGAGATGATTTGTTTCTAGGCAGTGTTAAATCACTAGGAGATGATTTGTTTCTAGGCAGTGTTAAGTCACTAGGAGATGATTTGTTTCTAGGCAGTGTTAAATCACTAGGAGATGATTTGTTTCTAGGCAGTGTTAAAATCTCTAAGAGACCTAATATTTGACATGATTGACCTGTCATTGTTTAACTGACCAGGTGTTTGAGAAGCTGGCTCTCCTACAGCCTGCCATCTGCCATGGACACATCCTGATGACACCAAACACTGACACAGTCCTCAAGACCAACAGGTTAGAGGTTGCTAAACTATTCGGCTAAATACTGTGGGTTCATTTGACAACACAGACACCCTCATGTGTAACCAGCTGACTGCAGGTATCAATATACAGTCAGTGCCAGACAAGAGGAAAGCAAATAGTGGTTTGTGTGTAGGCAAGACAAGGGGGGAACAAAGGGTGTTTGGGTGTAGGCAAGACAAAGGGTGTTTGTGTGTGGGCAAGACAAGGAGGAATCAATGGTGGTTTCTGTGTGGGCAAGATGGGGCAACAAAGGGTGTTCGTTCGTGGGCAAGACAAAGGGGCAACAAAGGAGTGTTTGTTTGTGGGCAAGACAGGGCAACAAAGGGTGTGATGGGGGCAAGACAAGGAGGAAGAAATGGTGGTTTCCTTGGGCAAGACAGGTTCACCCTCTTTGGAAAGACACAAATTTGGCATCAGCCATGGGGGCAGGAATAAGGGTGTGTGTTTTCATGTGTAGAAAGCTGTGAATAAACAAATAAAAAGGTGGGAATGGCTAGGTGAAGGGAGCAGACAGCAGTAGTTGCAAGTCTCTGTTGGTGAAACATATGGGCAGGGGGTTAGCAGTAGTTAAACATCGGGGGGGGGGGGGGGGGGGGGGGGGGTGGGGGGGGGGGGGGGGGGGGTGGGGTGGGGGGGGGGGGGGGGGGGGGGGGGGGGGGGAGGGTTGGTTAGCAATAGTTTACATAATCATCAGGAGAGGGGGGTGAGAAAAAGTTTGAATTTGTTACAAAATCAGGTGGGGTGAAGAAGAGTTTACAACATCAGATGGGGGATGGAGTAAAAAAATAGGCTGGCAGTAACTACAACATCAGTAGGGGGAGGGGGGAGGAGTTGAAAGAGGTTGGCAGTAACTACAACATCTAATAATTAAAAGAATTAGGAACAATACATTTTTTCATGGGTCTAGTTGGTGTGCACAATAGATAAATGAATCAGTGTTTAAACCTGTCTAAGGGGGAAAAAAGTTTTTTGTTAAAATGTATGCATGGTGTATGTATGTGCACAGTTTGTGTATGTGGGTCTATGTGCGCATGGTGTATGTGTATATCTATCTGTACAGTGTATGTTCATGGTGTATGTGTGCATGGTTTAGGTCTGCACAATGTATGTGTATGTGCAGTGTATGTGTGTGCATGGTGTATGTTGATGTGTGTATGTGCATGCTGTATGTATATATCTAACGTGTATGTACAGTGTATGTATGTACATGGTGTATGTGTGTGTTGGTGTGTGTATGTGCATGGTGTGTGTAGATATGTGTGTGCACATCATATGTATGTATTTCATAGTGTATGCATGCACAAAATGTATGTGTGTGTGTGCACAGTGCATATATAAGTAACATGTGTGTGATGTAAGTTTGTACCTGTTGCAAACACCCTTTTTTTTTTAAAATGATTCTGACAGGGACCAGAATGCTAGGGTCAGGTTCACAGTGAAGGGCACCAGTTCTGGCAATGCTGTGGTGCAGCTGCTGGACAATGGTCAGCTGAGGTCAGGCCCAGCTACTGGAAGTGCCATCTTACATGTTGTTGCACAGGAAGAATTTGCTCTCAACCAAACCCTTGTTGTTCTAGTAATGGTAAGCATGCTTGTCCTGCTTGTTTGTCATGTTCATGTGTCAAGATCTGTGTCATGGTGATGTCATGTTAGTGTGTCATACTGAATTGTCATGTTTGTGTTTCTTAGACATGGTGATATCATGTTTGTGTGTCCTAGGCATGTCTCATGGTGATGTCATATCTGTGTCTCATAGACATGTCTCCTGGTGATGTCATGTTTGTGTGTCATAGACATGTGCCATGGTGATTTCATTTGTGTGTCTCACAGACAATTCTCATGATGATGTCATATTTGTGTCTCATAGACATGTCTCATGGTGATGTCATATTTGTATGTCATAGACATGTGCCATGGTGATGTCATGTTTGTGCCTCATGGACTTGTCTCATGATGATGTTATGTTTGTGTGTCCTAGACATGTCTTATGGTAATGTCATGTTTGTGTGTCCTAGACTTGTCTCATGGTGATGTCATGTTTGTGTGTCCTAGCAGTGTCTCAAAGTGTTTTCATATTTGTGTCATAGACATGTCTCATTGTTATGTCATATTTGTGTTATAGACCTGTGTCATGGTGATGATATGTTCATGTGTCCTAGACATGTGTTATATATGTGAACAAAGTTGTACCAATGCTTATTGTCATAGACACATCTGTTATTATCATCTAGTGCCATCTGGATATGGTGTAATGTCATCTTGTTGTCGTGTTTGTGTGTTTTTTCAGGTAAAACCAGTCTCCTATTTGATGATCAACGCAGACTCAGTGTTTGAGACCTCTTACCCCAACCACCTGTCAGCAGTTCCGCTTGGTGCTACATTGCAGTTCTCTGTCAGTTTCCATGATGATTTTGGAGATGTGTTTTACGCCACCAATAGCCATCTAGGTGTCCGCTGTAGCAGGTGAGATATAGCCATAATATTCCCTGATGTAGCAGGTGAGATGTAGCTATAATATTCCCTGATGTAGCAGGTGAGATGTAGCCATGATATTCCCTGATGTAGCAGGTGAGATGTAGCCATGATATTCCCTGGTGTAGCAGCTGAGATGTAGCCATAATATTCCTTTTTGTAGCCATATGTAGTAACGATTCCCTGATATAGTAGAGGAGATAGTTACATTGTGAGATAATGTAATTGTTACATCCATTGATGTGGAGGATCGGATATCATTGTTACATTTCCTGATGAACAGAGAGAGAGAGAGAGAGCTGTATGTGAATATCTGTTTTCTTCTATATACAGATCAGACATCGTCCAGGTCACTGCTGGAGCAACTAATCATACACTGGTAATCTGGGCCACAGAAACTGGTAGCACAGTCCTAAAGGTGGGCAGATGTTTGAGAGCTGTGATTGCTGGACATATGTGGATGTTTGTGTCTGTTTATTGAGAGATGTGATACTTCTCTATGTCTTACCATATCATTGTAATACTTCTCCATGTGTTGCCATCTCAGTGTAATACTTCTCCATGTCTAGCCATCTCCGTGTAATACAAGTGGCTGCTCTGTGTGACACTCTGGGCAAGTGGCTGGCTGCTCTGTGTGACACTCTGGGCAAGTGGCTGGCTGCTCTGTGTGACACTCTGAGCAAGTGGCTGCTCTGTGTGACACTCTGGGCAAGTGGCTGCTCTGTGTGACACTCTGGGCAAGTGGCTGGCTGCTCTGTGTGACATTCTGGGCAAGTGGCTGCTCTGTGTGACACTCCGGGCAAGTGGCTGCTCTGTGTGACATTCTGGGCAAGTGGCTGGCTGCTCTGTGTGACACTCTGGGCAAGTGGCTGGCTGCTCTGTGTGACACTCTGGGCAAGTGGCTGGCTGCTCTGTGTGACACTCCGGGCAATTGGCTGCTCTGTGTGACACTCCGGGCAAGTGGCTGCTCTGTGTGACACTCTGGGCAAGTGGCTGGCTGCTCTGTGTGACACTCTGAGCAAGTGGCTGCTCTGTGTGACACTCTGGGCAAGTGGCTGGCTGCTCTGTGTGACACTCCGGGCAAGTGGCTGCTGTGTGTGACACTCTGGGCAAGTGACTGGCTGCTCTGTGTGACACTCCGGGCAAGTGGCTGCTCTGTGTGACACTCTGGGCAGGTGGCTGCTCTGTGTGACATTCTGGGCAAGTGGCTGCTCTGTGTGACATTCTGGGCAAGTGGCTGGCTGCTCTATGTGACACTCTGGGCAAGTGGCTGGCTGCTCTGTGTGACACTCCGGGCAAGTGGCTGCTCTGTGTGACACTCCGGGCAAGTGGCTGCTCTGTGTGACACTCCGGGCAAGTGGCTGCTATGTGTGACACTCTGGGCAAGTGGCTGCTCTGTGTGACATTCTGGGCAAGTGGCTGGCTGCTCTGTGTGACACTCTGGGCAAGTGGCTGGCTGCTCTATGTGACACTCTGGGCAAGTGGCTGGCTGCTCTGTGTGACACTCCGGGCAAGTGGCTGCTCTGTGTGACACTCTCCGGGCAAGTGGCTGCTCTGTGTGACACTCCGGGCAAGTGGCTGCTATGTGTGACACTCTGGGCAAGTGGCTGCTCTGTGTGACATTCTGGGCAAGTGGCTGGCTGCTCTGTGTGACACTCTGGGCAAGTGGCTGCTCTGTGTGACACTCTGGCAAGTGGCTGGCTGCTCTGTGTGACACTCTGGGCAAGTGGCTGGCTGCTCTGTGTGACACTCTGGGCAAGTGGCTGGCTGCTGTGTGTGACACTCTGGGCAAGTGACTGGCTGCTCTGTGTGACACTCCGGGCAAGTGGCTGCTCTGTGTGACACTCTGGGCAGGTGGCTGCTCTGTGTGACATTCTGGGCAAGTGGCTGCTATGTGTGACACTCTGGGCAGGTGGCTGCTCTGTGTGACATTCTGGGCAAGTGGCTGGCTGCTCTGTGTGACACTCTGGGCAAGTGGCTGGCTGCTGTGTGTGACACTCTGGGCAAGTGACTGGCTGCTCTGTGTGACACTCCGGGCAAGTGGCTGCTCTGTGTGACACTCTGGGCAGGTGGCTGCTCTGTGTGACATTCTGGGCAAGTGGCTGCTCTGTGTGACACTCTGGGCAAGTGGCTGGCTGCTCTATGTGACACTCTGGGCAAGTGGCTGGCTGCTCTGTGTGACACTCCGGGCAAGTGGCTGCTCTGTGTGACACTCCGGGCAAGTGGCTGCTCTGTGTGACACTCCGGGCAAGTGGCTGCTATGTGTGACACTCTGGGCAAGTGGCTGGCTGCTCTGTGTGACACTCTGGGCAAGTGGCTGGCTGCTCTGTGTGACACTCTGGGCAAGTGACTGCTCTGTGTGACACTCTGGGCAAGTGGCTGCTCTGTGTGACATTCTGGGCAAGTGGCTGCTCTGTGTGACATTCTGGGCAAGTGGCTGCTCTGTGTGACACTCTGGGCAAGTGGCTGCTCTGTGTGACACTCTGGGCAAGTGGCTGGCTGCTCTGTGTGACATTCTGGGCAAGTGACTGCTCTGTGTGACACTCTGGGCAAGTGGCTGCTCTGTGTGACACTCTGGGCAAGTGGCTGGCTGCTCTGTGTGACACTCTGGGCAAGTGACTGCTCTGTGTGACACTCTGGGCAAGTGGCTGCTCTGTGTGACACTCTGGGCAAGTGGCTGCTCTGTGTAACACTCTGGGCAAGTGACTGCTCTGTGTGACACTCTGGGCAAGTGACTGCTCTGTGTGACACTCTGGGCAAGTGACTGCTCTGTGTGACACTCTGGGCAAGTGGCTGCTCTGTGTAACACTCTGGGCAAGTGACTGCTCTGTGTTACACTCTGGGCAAGTGACTGCTCTGTGTGACACTCTGGGCAAGTGACTGCTCTGTGTGACACTCTGGGAAAGTGACTGCTCTGTGTGACACTCTGGGCAAGTGACTGCTCTGTGTGACACTCTGGGCAAGTGACTGCTCTGTGTGACACTCTGGGCAAGTGGCTGGCTGCGGTACTGAGAGTAAACTGGGTTGTATGGTAGAAACCCTGGTGAGATCATGTTGATTGTCTCAGTGTTATGTATACGAGCCTTGTGGCACCGATAGTCTGTTTATGGGTGTTCAGTGTGTTTCACAGAGGGAATTGTCTCTCAAGTAGATTTGTATGTGTTGCAGGTATGGGATCAGCACAGACCAACAGTCACTGATTATGTGAGCATACCTGTTGCATCTGCTATTGAGCCTTCCCAGACCACTATCACGTTGGGCTCTGTCATCTGCTTTAGTTCACCTATCATGGCAGAAAAAGGTGAGAACTAACACAGACACCTTCACAAGTCACGCAGCAGTTCACACAACTCTTGCAACAGTTCACACAACTCTTGCAGCAGTTCACACAACTCATGCAACAGTTCACATAACTCTTGTAGCAGTTCACACAACTTATGCAACAGCTCCAACAACTCTTACAACAGTTCACACTACTTATACAACAGTTCACACTACTTATACAGCAGTTCACACAACTCATGCAACAGCTCACACAACTCTTTGCTACAGCTCACACAACTCTTGCTACAGCTCACACAACTCTTGCTACAGCTTACACAACTCTTGCTACAGCTTACACAACTCATGCAACAGTTCACACAACTCTTTCAACAGCTCACACAACTCATGCAACAGTTCACACTACTTATGCAGAAGTTCACACAACTCATGCAACAGCTCACACAACTCATGCAACAGTTCATACTACTTAGCAGTTCACACAACTCTTTCAACAGCTCACACAACTCATGCAACAGTTCACACTACTTATGCAGAAGTTCACACAACTCATGCAACAGTTCATATAACTCATGCAACAGTTCACACAATTTTGGTATATTTCTTTAACCATTGATGATAGAGTTCTCATAATTGATGGTAGAGTTCTTTTACCATTCATGATAGAGTTATTGTTATTATTTTCATGTTATTAATGATAGAGATCTCTTATAGTTATAATAGAGTTCTCATGTCTTTAATGATAGAGTTCTGCTACCATTAATGATAGAGTTTTCATATAGATGTTAGAGTTCTTGTACTGTTGTGGTCATGCAGGTACCTGGGGTTGGTGGAAAGCCTCATCAGGCCTGCTGACGATGGATGCCAAGTCTGCTGTTGCTGTGGGAACAGCTGTGGGGCCTGTTACTGTCATTTACTCATTCTCACCCCACACATTCACAAAAACAGAGGTATTGTATATATGTTTATTTAGTTGTACTTATAAATACTTGTCTGCATTGACTTGTAGCTAGTGGCTGTCTGCTCTACTCGCTTGGTGATCTGTATGTCACAAGGTTACCACCCTAAGGTTGTTTCATGTGTCTTTGGGTCAGATTTGGTGATCTGTATGTCACAAGGTTACCACCCTAAGATTGTTTCATGTGTCTTTGGGTCAGATTTGGTGATCTGTATGTCACAAGGTTACCACCCTAAGGTTGTTACATGTGTCTTTGTGTCAGATTTGGTGATCTGTATGACACAAAGTTACCACCCCAAGATTGGTTTAGTGTATGTGGATCAGATTTGGTGATCTGTGTGACACAGGGTTTTTTCACCAAGATTGGTTCAGTTGAATGTGGGTCAGATTTAGTGATCTGTGTGACACAAGGTTACCACTCCAAGATTGGTTCAGTTGAATGTGGGTCAGATTTAGTGATCTGTGTGACACTAGGTTTCTTCACCATGATTGGTTCAGTTGTATTTGGGTCAGATTTAGTGATCTGTGTGACACAAGGTTACCACTCCAAGATTGGTTCAGTTGAAAGTGGGTCAGATTTAGTGATCTGTGTGACACAAGGTTTCTTCACCATGATTGGTTCAGTTGTATTTGGATCAGATTTAGTGATCTGTGTGACACAAGGTTTCTTCACCATGATTGGTTCAGTTGTATTTAGGTCAGATTTAGTGATCTGTATGACATAAGACTACCACACAACGACTGGCTCAGTTAAATTTAGGTCACTTTGGTGATCTGTGTGAAACAAGACTATCACACCAAGACTGGTTCAGTTGTATGTGGGTCGGATTTGGTGATATGTGTGACACAAGACTACCACAACGCGACTGGTTCAGTTGTATGTGGGTCAGATTTGGTGATATGTGTGACACAAGACTACCACACTGCGACTGGTTCAGTTGTATGTGGGTCAGATTTGGTGATCTGTATGACACAAGACTACAACACCACGACTGGTTCAGCTGTATGTTGGTCAGATTTGGTGATCTGTGTGACACAAGACTACCACACCAAGATTGGTGGTGACCTGTGTGACACAAGTTTACCACACCAAGATTGGCTCAGTTGTGCTTGTAACAGATGACTAACTGCTGACTTATTAGGCATATGAGTCTTTGACAGACACAAATTATGCCTGTTTATGGGACAAAGCAAAGTGTAATGTAAAATGACTGTTTATCGGCTAGGTACATGTGTGAGTGTGTAGCTAGGGTCAGGAATAATCAGCCTACATTATAGAGTAATAGTGAAATATTTGGCAGAATGCATGTGAGTAATGACAGTAGGCATGAAAAAGTAATGACTGATGTGTGAAAGGTATGAATGAATGCATGACAGGTAATGACTGAACATAAGAGTAATTGCTAAATGCATGAAAGAGTAAAGGCTGTATGCATGAAAAAGTAATGACTGAATTCATGAAAAGGTAATGCCTGAATCTGTAAAAAGTAATTGACTGAATGCATGAAATGTAATTACTGAATGTGTAAAAAGTATAATGACTGAATGCATGACAAGTAATGACTAAGAGTAACTGATAAATGGAAGACAGAATAGTGACAAAATATAACACAGATGCTAAGTACAAACATACAAATATAATATCTAAATAGATGGCAGAATGAAGACTAGGTTCAGCACTGATTGTCTAAATACAAGACTGACTTGTGGCTTCTTGCCAAAGGTTGTAATTGTTTCCCCAGCTTTATGTTGAGCGAGTCCTTGAAGTCGATGAGCCCAGCCTGTGTTCTCCGCTATGTGCTTCATATCTAAAAGATTGATGAATTTCTCTGCAATATTCTTCAGATAACGATAGAGCCTATTACATCGATCAGTGTGGGTCCAGGCACTGGATACCTGACAAATTCAGTCAGTAAAGGCAAAATCCCTTTCTTCCCAGTGTCATTCAGTGACAGAGGCAATATAGTCGGTAAGTAAATGGGAAGGTAATGCGTGTTACTTCTGTGACATTGGTTCTGTTTGTGACTTGTAACATGGTTGTGCCATAGTTCACAGCTGAGATCATTCAGGGCATTCCCATAAGTGCTCCATCCCTCTCTTTAGCAGCCATCGCAGAGTTCCAGTTGCAATGGTACCAGCAGCATTCTGAATGTATGTCTGGTCTCTCCTTTCCTTTGAGTGTTGGCCAGATCTCCTGGTCCCTGCCCGCTGTACTGTTCTCCTCAAACTGTGATGATCTGTTTATGCTTGCAAACTGTTCACCTACTCCCAAAGACCCTTGATCGAATTCTAACTTGTTGTGCATCAATTCACTATCAGGTGGTGCAGAACCACATTGTCTTTCTTCCTGTTCATTTCCCAGCAGTAAACAAGTAAGATTTACATTTTGTTGTTCTGACGATTCTTTTCATTCACCTGATCAGCATTCACCATTTGGGACGTGAGTGCAGGGACTGGACAGCTGGTGCTGCAGAATCAGGAGTTCAACAAATGTTTCATGACAATTCCTGCCCAAATGATGTGATTGTAGATACAGATGGCTCTGTTTTGAGGAGCAGACAAAGTGCGTGAGGGTTCAGGGTGAAGGCGAATGGTCGTCGCTTGGTGGAACAAAGCCTGGCATATGATATCACAACATCTAGCAGGTGGATAGACTGCACGCTTCTGTACCACTTGGTGGTAAACTGATGTATGACAAGCTGAATGTTGTGAGGGCCTTTTAGGAGCGAGTCAACAGTGCCGAGGCACAAATAGATCATTACTGTCTGAGGAGAATGGCACTGCGAGGAGTTACAGTTTATCTGACCAATGCCCGACACTCAGGGGAAAGGCGAGACGGATCTACAGTTACTGGAATTTTAACTCTTCACTTGCTGCTGAAGATGGGGACGGAGCGCTTATGCTTGAGGTGTCCCGAATGCTGTGATGTCAATTCTTAATTCAGCATTTAACAACATTCAACATTTGAGTTATTTGATTGCTCTGATGTTGTTTATAGTTAACATGAGTTGCTGTTTTGATGTTGTTGATTGTTGACACATAAGATGTTAGATTGTTGGTGATGATGGTTGATTCATGCTGCTTTGAAACAACCCAGTATTCATGAAATCTGCAATCTCTGCAGGGCCGAACTGTAGCTCAGTGATCATCAGAGAGAACTTTATTCCCCCGTTTATCCCCTACCTGTGCCACCTGGAGCTGACACAGCCGGACCTGGATGTTATCACTGGAGATCTCTTCACAGTGGCACCTCATTTTGACAAGGACAATGGTCTGTTGGTGTTGAGTCTTTTGTTGCTGAATTTGTTCCTTAAAATTTTCTTTTATTATGTTGGTGGTGAAATTGTCCATGCTGAGTCTGTTGGTGGTGAGATTGTTTATGTTGGGTCTGTTGGTAGTGAGATTTTCCATATTGAGTCTGTTGATTGTGAGATTGTTTACGTTGGGTCTGTTGGTGGTGAAATTGTCCATGCTGAGTCTGTTGGTGGTGATATTGTTTATGTTGGGTCTGTTGGTGGTGAGATTGTTTATGTTGGGTCTGTTGGTGGTGAGATTGTCCATGTTGGGTCTGTTGGTGGTGAGATTGTCCATGCTGAGTCTGTTGGTGGTGAGATTGTCCATGCTGAGTCTGTTGGTGGTGAGATTGTTTATGTTGGGTCTGTTGGTGGTGAGATTGTTTATGTTGGGTCTGTTGGTGGTGAGATTGTTTATGTTGAGTCTGTTGGTGGTGAGATTGTCCATGTTGAGTCTGTTGGTGGTGAGATTGTCCATGCTGAGTCTGTTGGTGGTGAGATTGTCCATGCTGAGTCTGTTGGTAGTGAGATTGTCCATGCTGAGTCTGTTGGTGGTGAGATTGTCCATGCTGAGTCTGTTGGTGGTGAGATTGTTTATGTTGGGTCTGTTGGTGGTGAGATTGTCCATGCTGAGTCTGTTGGTGGTGAGATTGTTTATGTTGGGTCTGTTGGTGGTGAGATTGTATATGTTGAGTCTGTTGGTGGTGAGATTGTATATGTTGAGTCTGTTGGTGGTGAGATTGTCCATGCTGAGTCTGTTGGTGGTGAGATTGTCCATGCTGAGTCTGTTGGTGGTGAGATTGTCCATGCTGAGTCTGTTGGTGGTGAAATTGTCCATGCTGAGTCTGTTGGTGGTGAGATTGTTTATGTTGGGTCTGTTGGTGGTGAGATTGTCCATGCTGAGTCTGTTGGTGGTGAGATTGTTTATGTTGGGTCTGTTGGTGGTGAGATTGTCCATGCTGAGTCTGTTGGTGGTGAGATTGTTTATGTTGGGTCTGTTGGTGGTGAGATTGTATATGTTGAGTCTGTTGGTGGTGAGATTGTATATGTTGAGTCTGTTGGTGGTGAGATTGTTCATGCTGAGTCTGTTGGTGGTGAGATTGTTTATGTTGGGTCTGTTGGTGGTGAGATTGTCCATGTTGAGTCTGTTGGTGGTGAGATTGTATATGTTGAGTCTGTTGGTGGTGATATTGTTTATGTTGAGTCTGTTGGTGGTGAGATTGTATATGTTGAGTCTGTTGGTGGTGATATTGTTTATGTTGAGTCTGTTGGTGGTGAGATTGTCCATTTTGATTCTCTAATGAGATTATCCATGTTGGGTCTGTTGGTGGTGAGATTGAATATGTTGAGTCTGTTGGTGGTGATATTGTTTATGTTGGGTCTGTTGGTAGTGAGATTGTCCATGTTAAGTCTGTTGGTGGTGAGATTGTCCATGTTGGGTCTGTAGATGGTGGGTTTGTCCATGTTGAGTCTGTTGGTGGTAGTAGTAGTACTATATTTTACACCACTGGGACATCACATAAGCGATTAACACCCGATGACACAAAGTGCCAATACGTTGATGAGAATCACCCGTGAAGAGGTCCCAGAAACCACATTTAGCCATTAGACCATATATAAGGCCGGGCTATATTGCGGCCCCTGGCAAGAGCGAGAGTGGAGCTTCAAAATAACACAAAATTGCATCCCACGAGGGGATGACTTTATATGTATACAAATGACTTACTGGTAAATTTGGTCTTGTATTAAACACATACACACACACGCCTATTAATACACACACATATAGTGTGTGTATTATACGTATGTATGTGTACACACACTGATGCACCTTTTGTGTGAGTAAACAGAAAGACTTCAGCCCTCAATTTGGTGGTTGGTTTTCTGGTCCCATAGGTCTGCATGGATGTTTGGTCTCCCAGAACCCAAGCAGTCACCACTCACAGCTGGTTGCTACACTGGACACCAGCTTTGTGCTCTCAGTAAGGGTACCTTCCAGTGCCGGCCAGCCTGAGGTGCTTTCTCAGCCTCTGATCTTAGAGTTCTTACCAGCTTTCTATGTACACAACGCTGAAGTACATCTCAGTACGGTGTCGCCGCTATCTTCCATTCGCATCTCATCCAGTGCTAAGGTTATCTCAGATATTCAGGTGAGACACTTGTCGTGTGATGTCTTACATAACACACTTATCATATGACATCTCAACATGCCACAATTGTCATGTTATGACTTACATACCACACTTATCATATGACATCTCAATGTGCCACACTTGTCATGTGATGTCTTACATACCACACTTTGTTATATGACATCTCAACATACAACACTTGCATGTGATGTCTTACATACCACACTTTGTCATGTGACATCTCGACATGCAACATTTGTCTATGATGTCTTACATACCACACTTTGTCTTATGACAGCTCCACATACCACACTTTGTCATGTGACATCTCAACCTGCAACACTTGTCTATGATGTCTTACATACCACACTTTGTCATATGACAGCTCCACATACCACACTTTGTCATATGATGTCTTACATACCACACTTTGTCATTTGACATCTCAACATACCACACTTGTCTTTTGATGTCTTACTTGCCATTCTTTGTCATATGATATCTCCACAAGCCACACTTGTCTGTGATGTCTTCTTACATACCACACTTTGTCATATGACAGCTCCACATGCCACACTTGTCATATGATGTCTTACATACCACACTTGTCATATGACATCTTGACATACCACACTTGTCATGTGATGTCTTACATACCACACTTTGTCATGTGACATCTCGACATGCAACATTTGTCTATGATGTCTTACATACCACACTTTGTCTTATGACAGCTCCACATACCACACTTTGTCATGTGACATCTCGACATGCAACATTTGTCTATGATGTCTTACATACCACACTTTGTCTTTTGACAGCTCCACATACCACACTTTGTCATGTGACATCTCAACCTGCAACACTTGTCTATGATGTCTTACATACCACACTTTGTCATATGACAGCTCCACATACCACACTTTGTCATATGATGTCTTACATACCACACTTTGTCATTTGACATCTCAACATACCACACTTGTCTTTTGATGTCTTACTTGCCATTCTTTGTCATATGATATCTCCACAAGCCACACTTGTCTGTGATGTCTTCTTACATACCACACTTTGTCATATGACAGCTCCACATGCCACACTTGTCATATGACGTCTTACATACCACACTTGTCATATGACATCTTGACATACCACACTTGTCATGTGATGTCTTACATACCACACTTGTCATATGCTATCTCTGCATGCCACACTTGTTCTGTGATGTCTTACATACCACACTTGTCATATCACATCTCGACATGCCACACTTGTCATCTGATTTTTTTTTCAATCTATAAGTCATGTGACACACACTTTGACATTTCCAGCATGTGCCATAGGCTTATTTTGTGTGAGATATGATGTATGAACAAATTAGTTTGTCTGTAACTACGACTGTTCACAATGTAGTTTGTGTGTGTGTGGGTTATGATGTACAAACACATTAGTCTGCACATAGACAATTTAGTTTTTATGTGTTAGTTAGTTAGTTAGTTGGGTTATCCTCATTGCACTCCGGACATGTCCATAGGTGCTCAGATCCTCCCCTCAGTATGAACCCCAACGTCCGATGGCTAATAGTACCAGTTCTTTGTTGATTAACAAGTCTTCTGGCGTAGCTGGTGTGCGTCTCGTATTTTGCTGTGCCGATCTTAATTCCCAAGTCTGCCATTCTGGCGAGTGATGTGGATTCACTGCCACCAAAGTCCTCTATCCTTCCCATTTCTCTGAGGGCATTGATAATATCAGCATGATCCATAGGCTGACCGTCGGTAGTGATAGCGGATCCAGCCAACTTGTCAGCTCTTTCATTTCCATCGACGCCTGCGTATCCCGGAACAAAAATAAAGGTGACTCCACGAACAGTGGACTTCTGTAATGATTCAAGCCATTGTCTTCGCACTGAACCTGCCTGAACCCTCCGGATCATACTCATTGAATCACTGAGTATACACACGCGGGTGTATTTTTGTGTTTCAAGCCAGGCAAGCACTTGTGTCACTGCCATCACCTCCATCGTCATGCTGCTGGTTGTCATGGAGAAGGCGCCGTTGGCTTCTTTGAATGTTCTGCCCGCTGAGCGTGCTGTAAATGCCCATGCGCTTCTTCTTTGGCGTATAACGGATCCGTCTGTATAGATTATTGCATCTGCTTCGTCTGAATTTTCACCGATGAGAGCGTTGACCTCTGCATTAACAGCAACAGGATTCTCTTTATGTTTTTATGTGTGCTGTGATGTATGAACACATTAGTCTGTTTGAACTAAAGACTGCACACAGACAATATAGTTTTCTGTGTGTGCTATGATGTTTTAACACATTAGTCTGTTTGAACTAAAGACTGCATACAGACAAAATAGTTTTGTGTGTGTGTGTGCTATGATGTACGAACACATTTGTTTGAACTAAAGACTGCACACAGACAAAATAGTTTTGTGTGTGTGTGCTATGATGTATTGTATGAACACATTAGTCTGTTTGAACTAAAGACTGCACATAGACAATATAGTTTTGTGTGTGTGTGTGTGCTATGATGTATTGTATGAACACATTAGTCTGTTTGAACTAAAGACTGCACACAGACAATATAGTTTTCTGTCTGTGCTATGATGTTTTAACACATTAGTCTTTTTGAACTAAAGACTGCATACAGACAAAATAGTTTTGTGTGTGTGTGTGCTATGATGTACGAACACATTTGTTTGAACTAAAGACTGCACACAGACAATATAGTTTTCTGTCTGTGCTATGATGTTTTAACACATTAGTCTGTTTGAACTAAAGACTGCATACAGACAAAATAGTTTTGTGTGTGTGTGTGCTATGATGTACGAACACATTTGTTTGAACTAAAGACTGCACACAGACAATATAGTTTTCTGTCTGTGCTATGATGTTTTAACACATTAGTCTGTTTGAACTAAAGACTGCAAACAGACAAAATAGTTTTGTGTGTGTGTGCTATGATGTATAAACACATTAGTCTGTTTGAACTAAAGACTGCATACAGACAAAATAGTTTTGTGTGTGTGTGTGCTATGATGTACAAACACATTTGTTTGAACTAAAGACTGCACACAGACAATGTCCACTTCTGATCTAGGTTGTTGTCACTGACCCCAATCTGATCCAAGTGCTGAGTCCGGAGCGAGATTCCAACTCAAACAATGTGATCTTGTTTCCTGTCCGACTGCTGGACTCATTGACACTGTGGGAGAGGGAACACATAGATCTAGCAGTGGATGCCATACATACACGTACAGGGCACACAGTTCGAATCCCTGTCATTGTCAAGCTCATTGGACAAAAGCCAATGATACCTCGTAAGTTGATATGTTATACGCGAACATATTGTTGTCTGATACCTGCATACGCTTTGTATTCTAGACTTGTGTCTCACTTGCACTTTGTTGTCTAGACTTGTGTCTTACATGCATTGTGTTGTCTAGACTTGTGTCTTACGTGCACTTTGTTGTCTAGACTTGTGTCTTACTTGCACTTTATTGTCTAGACTTGTCTTATAAGCACTTTGTTGTCTAGACTTGTCTTATGTGCACTTTGTTGTCTAGACATGTGTCTTACAAGCGTTGTGTTGTCCAGACTCGTGTCTTACATGCACTGTTGTCCAGACTTGTGTCTGCACACACTTTGTTGTCTTAGAGTTGATAAGATGAAACATAAAGATAGAAATCAAATGTTGGACAACTCAACAAGAAGCTGAAGCAGCCTAAAGAACAGACCACCACTTTTTTTGGGAGCTCCATGGGGAAAAGGGTTTACTTTTTGACCTTAGATTTGCAATCACATTGGTTTTCATATCTGGCTTATTGGTATGCAGACTGTTTGGTTCCCCGCCTCTCTAGCAGATGCACTCCGACTTTGAAGGAGACATCCCTGATTGGTCAACTGTTATGACAGCCTGTTAGGGGCAGTGGGTCTATTTCTTTTGCCCACACAATGGAGCCCTGGAACCCACATGGGAATGACAGTATACAATCAGTACATCAGTATGTGTGTGTGCATACAATCAGTACATCAGTATGTGTGTGTGCATACAATTAGTACATCAGTATGTGTGTGTGCATACAATCAGTACATCAGTATGTATGAGTACATACAATCAGTACATCAGTATATGTGTGTGTACATACAATTAGTACATCAGTATGTATGAGTACATACAATCAGTACATCAGTATGTGTGTGTACATACAATTAGTACATCAGTATGAATTTGTACATACAATCAGTAAATCAGTATGTGTGTGTACATACAATCAGTACATCAGTATGTGTGTGTACATATATATATATATATATATATATATATATATATATATATATATATATATATATATATATATATATATATATATATATATATATATATATATATATATATATATATATATATATATATATAGAGAGAGAGAGAGAGAGAGAGAGAGAGAGAGAGATGACAAATTGTAATCAGTAAAGGATGATGTTTCTATGTATATATAGTGGCCTGGCACTGAGAGAGAGAGAGATAGATAGATAGATAGATAGATAGATAGATAGATAGATAGAGAGAGAGAGAAATTGTAATCAGTAATGACAAATTGTAATCAGTAAAGGATGATGTGTATATGTATTTCATCATGTCTGAGATGACATGAAGAGGCCTGATTATGAATTGACAGATCTAAACAGCTTGCGCCAGGAGCTCAGCTGGACTAGTCTACTGACTTCGATGATCAGCAACTACCAGTCTGGGCTGATTATCTGCTTGATCCTTATCCTGACAGCTGCAGCCGCCACAATTGGTCAGTGGTAACATCTTTGTTTGTGGCCACCTTGTTTATTATACCCTTGTGGTTGCTTATGTATGTTGTATATTTGTCACTGTTGTGAGTGTTGTTTTGTTTGTCACTGTTGTGTATGTTTGTCACTGTTGTGGGGGATGTTTTGTTTATCACTAGTGTGGATGTTGTATGTTTGTCACTGTTGTGTGAGTTGTTTTGTTTGTGGCTGTTGTGGGTGTTGTTTTGTTTGTCACTGTTGTGGGCATTGTTTTGTTTTTCACCATTGTTTCATTTGTCACTGTTGTGTATGTTGTATATTTGTCACTGTTGTGTATGTTGTATGTTTGTCACTGTTGTGGGGGATGTTTTGCTTGTAACTGGTGTGTATGTTGTATATTTGTTACTGTTGTGAGTGTTTATCACTATTGTGTATGTTGTATGTTTGTCAATGTTTTGTATGTTGTATGTTTGTCACTGTTGTGGGAGTTGTTTTGTTTGTGGCTGTTGTGGGCATTGTTTTGTTCGTCACTGTTGTGGGTGTTGTTTTGTTTGTCACTGTTGTGGAAGTTGTTTTGTTTGTCACTGTTGTGGAAGTTGTTTTGTTTGTCACTGTTGGGGGGTGTTGTTTTGTTCGTCACTGTTTTGTTTGTCACTGTTGTGGGCTTTGTTTTGTTTGTCACTGTTGTGAGTGTTGTTTTGTTTGTCACTGTTGTGAGTGTTGTTTTGTTTGTCACTGTTGGGGGTGTTGTTTTGTTTGTCGCTGTTGTGGAAGTTGTTTTGTTTGTCACTGTTGTGGGGGTTTATGTTATGTCGTTTGTCACTGTTCAGGGCATTGTTTTGTTTGTCACTGTTGTGGGGGTTTATGTTATGTCGTTTGTCACTGTTCAGGGCATTGTTTTGTTTGTCACTGTTGTGGGGGTTTATGTTATGTCGTTTGTCACTGTTCAGGGCATTGTTTTGTTTGTCACTGTTGTGGGGGTTTATGTTATGTTGTTTGTCACTGTTCAGGGCATTGTTTTGTTTGTCACTGTTGTGGGCTTTGTTTTGTTTGTCACTGTTGTGGGGGTTTAATGTTATGTCATTGTTTGTCACTGTTTGTTGTGTGCTAAAGTGGGAAGCCAGCACACGACTATTAAAAGTAACCTCTTGTGCATTGATACAGCAAGTGGCACGTTCTAACAAACACTGGAACGACCATTGCAGTTCTTCTATCATTATGGCCCTTAAAGTTAATCTTACGGCCCCATTGGATGTCATCAATATTGTTTAAGAAGCGTCCTTTCAATGGCAACATTAATTTTGGGAATAGAAAATAGTCACAGGAAGACAAATCTGGGGAATAAGGTGGATGGTTGAGAACACGCATCTGTTTTGGGGCCAAAAATTCCTGTACAACTACAGCCCTTTTAGCTGGTGCATTGTTATGAAGAAGGAAAAAAATTGTCAGGTGTTAAATACAAACCGACAAGCAACTTTTTCTTGTCCAAATCTTCCAATACAATTTTACAAAGTCTCTGTATTAACACCAAATTCATCCTCACAGCCGAACAACGATCTTCTTATTTCTATTCTTGGAATTTTTGCAATGAGTTTCTTATTATGAACAGAAATCGGGCGTCCAAGTCTAGTTGCATTAGTAATCATTTCCAAACCACTTTTGAATTGTGAATACCAGCTGAAAATCTGTGCACAAGATAAACAACTATCCCCTTAATCTTATCGCATCAATTCAACTGTCTAAGTGCCGCTTTTTCTGAGTTTTAAACGGAATTTAATGTTAGCTCTTTTTTTTTTTTTTTTTTTTTTGGCTCCATGCTGATTACGTAACAATACACCTGAGTAGGTTAACAAAATAGCGGCTTGTTTGTTGTTTGCTTATCCGGCAGCGATGAAAAGTTGCCAGATCATAGACGGAGGTTGCCTCTTTAGATTCCATGCTTTGATTCATAGATGGCATTTTTTTGTCTTGGCCATAATAAAATTGATTAATTGTCGGACATCGTATGCTCATGTTGTGTGGTTGTTTGTCACTGTTGAGATGGTAGCATGTTCATGCTGTATGGTTGTTTGTCACTGTTGAGATGGTAGCATGTTCATGTTGTGTGGTTGTTTGTTACTGTTGAGATAGTAGCATGTTTATGTTGTGTGGTTGTTTGTCACTGTTGAGATGGTAGCATGTTCATGTTGTATGGTTGTTTGTCACTGTTGAGATGGTAGCATGTTCATGTTGTATGATTGTTTGTCACTGTTGAGATGGTAGCATGTTCATGTTGTATGGTTGTTTGTCACTGTTGAGATGGTAGCATGTTCATGTTGTATGGTTGTTTGTCACTGTTGAGATGGTAGCATGTTCATGTTGTGTGGTTGTTTGTTACTGTTGAGATGGTAGCATGTTCATGTTGTATGGTTGTTTGTCACTGTTGAGATGGTAGCATGTTCATGTGGCGCGGTGATTTATGTCACAGGCGTGAGGGGAAGTTAAGTCCAACATGATGTGTATAAGGAGATACTCCGTACGTCACTCGGGCGCCAGTCCTTTACTATCCTGGTTGTACGGAACCTCACGCAAGACCTCTACAGCACGTCCTCGTCGTGTGCCACGGATAATGTCTCAAATGAGCATTAACAGAGCTGTCAGGGGATCTCGGAGTTTGGCAGCCCCAAGAGGTGATGAGTCCTGTGGCTCTCATCAGCCCGCCCCCAAACGCTTGGGTGAAAAATGTTATCAAAACTCATTAGGAACATGAGTAGGTTCGACAAAAGTACAGCTAAAATCACAACCCTTGGTTAAAAGACTGCTGAGTAAAGAGAACATTGCTCAATGCTCATCCTCGGTTAATTCTCAGTGTCGTCATCACCGCGCTGAGGTGCACCACAACAGAAACCATACATGGGCTGGCCTTCCTTGTGCATCCTCGGTTGGCCCTCAGTGTCGTCGTCACTGCGCTGAGGTGCACCACAACAGCAACCATCCATAGGCTGGCCAGTCACGTACATCCTCGGTTAACCCTCAGTGTCGTCGTCACCGCGCTGTGGTACACCACAACAGCAACCATCCATCGGATGGCTAAGCCTAAATGTCCGACAAAACTAGATCATACGGATCAAAATCTGACCATCAAAATTTGCACTGAAATGCAAAAGGCCGAATGTCCACACCCAAAGACCCCACTCGCCCGAGTGTTGGGACAAAACGAATAACGATATGCCTGATTCAGGATGTGAAATTTTGCCGGGCAAATGTACCTATCTGTGTGGTCACAAAAGTCCAAAACCAACGGGCTGCTCCCCGCTGACTTCCAGAGGGCGCAGCCCCTGTCGAGCGGGAGGCCTGATACGGTTGTGAGGTTAAGCAGGCATGTGCAGGACGTGACGATTCCTTGGGTGAGCCCAGAACCAGAGCGCCATGTGCCGGCTCTGCATGCATGGAAGCCTCCTTGGATGGCGGGGAATGCCCATGATCTGCCCCTGCCTTCCCTTGAGGGCCAACTGTTCCACAGGGGGTTGCCCCAAAGGGGTACTCCGGGGGCAATACCTGCGGCGAAGGAGACAAGGCGGACACCACACAAATCAGGCAGTCTCGACCCACACAAAACAATGGCCACAGTCACCCTAGAAATAGGCCTGACGTCTTCCTTCGAAGTCGGCGTACAGCTGCCCAAGAGGCAGGGAAATAAAAAACGGTTGTACACGCAAAAATCAGGTCCAGGTGAAGGCCAAAAGTCCAAGCGGACGATTAACCGGGACCTTCCACTGGAATTCACAGCCGGTGTTCGATGAAAAAAAAAAAAAAAAGCATGTTCATGTTGTATGGTTGTTTGCCACTGTTGAGATGGTAGCATGTTTATGTTGTGTGGTTGTTTGTCACTTTTGAGATGGTAGCATGTTCATGTTGTATGGTTGTTTGTCACTGTTGAGATGGTAGCATGTTCATGTTGTATGGTTGTTTGTCACTGTTGAGATGGTAGCATGTTTATGTTGTATGGTTGTTTGCCACTGTTGAGATGGTAGCATGTTTATGTTGTGTGGTTGTTTGTCACTTTTGAGATGGTAGCATGTTTATGTTGTGTGGTTGTTTGTCACTGTTGAGATGGTAGCATGTTCATGTTGTATGGTTGTTTGTCACTGTTGAGATGGTAGCATGTTTATGTTGTATGGTTGTTTGCCACTGTTGAGATGGTAGCATGTTTATGTTGTGTGCTTGTTTGTCACTGTTGAGATCATTGTATGTTCATGTTGTGTGGTTGTTTGTCCCTTTTGAGATCATTGTATGTTCATGTTGTGTGGTTGTTTGTGACTTTTGAGATGGTAGCATGTTCATGTTGTGTGGTTGTTTGTGAGTGTTTAGATGGTTGTATGTTCATGTTTTGTGTCACTGTTGTGTGGTTGTTTGTTACTGTTCATGTTGCATGGTTAGTTGTCACTAACACTTACTGTTTTGTAGTTTATATGTGTGTTACTTTTCTCTGTAGTTCTTATGTGTGTTACTTGTCCCTGTAGTTTTTTTATGTCTTCCTTCAATGTGTAGTTTATATCACTATGTAAAATTGAGATAGTTTACTGTAACTTTAACAGGGTACCATGCTATAGCTGGGCCCAAGTACAAGACCACATCCAACCCCAATGTCTTCCTCAACACCGGTTCAACCCAGCCATCACCAGTATCTTCCTTCATACAGCCATCAGTGACAGGTATCATAGATTTCAACATTTTGTTTTTATAATTGTTTTGTTCTGTCCTATCTGACTACACTGTTAAAGTTCTGTTCTCACATCTGTGACTACACTGTTAAAGTTCTGTTCTCAAATCTGTGACTACACTGTAAAAGTTCTGTTCTCACATCTCTGACTACACTGTACAAGTTCTGTTCTCACATCTCTGACTAAACTGGACCTGTTCTGTTCTCACATCTCTGACTACACTGCACCTGTTCTGTTCTCACATCTCTGACTACACTGCACCTGTTCTGTTCTCACATCTCTGACTACACTGCACCTGTTCTCACATCTCTGACTACACTGTACCTGTTCTGTTCTCCAATCTCGAGACTACACTACCTGTTCTGTTCTCACATCTCTGACTACACTGTACCTGTTCTGTTCTCACATCTGACTACACTATACCTTTTCTATTCTCCCATCTCTGACTACACTATCCCTGTTCTGTTCTCACATCTCTGACTACACTGTACCTGTTCTGTTCTCACATCTCTGACTACACTATACCTGTTCTGTTCTCACATCTCTGACTACGCTGTACCTGTTCTGTTCTCACATCTCTGATTACACTGTACCTGTTATTTTCTCCAATCTCTGTCTACACTGTTCTCATAGCTCCGACTTTACATAAATCAGTTCATATAGAGACCAGTGTCACCATATCATAATAGTATCTCAGTTACATAGAACATGCCAGACTCAACTAACAAAGAGACATAGAACATGTCAGACTCAACTAACATAGAGACATAGAACATGCAAGGCTTAGTTAATACAGAGACATAGAACATGCCGGGCTCAACTAACATAGAGACATAGAACATGCCAGACTCAACTAACATAGAGACATAGAACATGCCAGACTCAACTAACATAGAGACATAGAACATGCCAGACTCAACTAACATAGACATAGAACATGCCAGGCTCAGCTAACATAGAGACATAGAACATGCCAGGCTCAACTAACATAGAGACATAGAACATGTCAGGCTCAACTAACATAGAACATGCCAGGCTCAACTAACATAGAGACATAGAACATACCAGGCTCAACTAACATAGAGACATAGAACATGCCAGGCTCAACTAACATAGAGACATAGAACATGCCAGGCTCAGCTAACATAGAGACATAGAACATGCCAGGCTCAGCTAACATAGAGACATAGAACATGCCAGGTTCAACTAACATAGAGACATACAACAAGCCAGGCTCAGCTAATATAGAACATACCAGGCTCAACTAACATAGAGACATAGAACATACCAGGCTCAACTAACATAGACACATAGAACATGCCAGGCTTAACTAACATAGAGACATAGAACATGCCAGGCTCAGCTCTCATAGAGACATAGAACATGCCAGGCTCAACTAACATAGAGACATAGAACATGCCAGGCTCAGCTAACATAGAACATGCCAGGCTCAGCTAACATAGAACATGCCAGGCTCAGCTAACATACAACATGCCAGGCTCAGCTAACATAGAACATGCCAGGCTCAGCTAACATAGAACATGCCAGGCTCAGCTAACATAGAACATGCCAGGCTCAGCTAACATACAACATGCCAGGCTCAGCTAACATACAACATGCCAGGCCCAGCTAACATAGAACATGCCAGGCTCAGCTAACATAGAACATGCCAGGCTCAGCTAACATAGAACATGCCAGGCTCAGCTAACATACAACATGCCAGGCTCAGCTAACATAGAACATGCCAGGCTCAACTAACGTAGAGACAGAACATGCCAGGCTCAGCTAACATACAACATGCCAGGCTCAGCTAACATAGAACATGCCAGGCTCAGCTAACATACAACATGCCAGGCTCAGCTAACATACAACATGCCAGGCCCAGCTAACATAAAACATGCCAGGCTCAGCTAACATAGAACATGCCAGGCTCAGCTAACATAGAACATGCCAGGCTCAGCTAACATACAACATGCCAGGCTCAGCTAACATACAACATGCCAGGCTCAGCTAACATAGAACATGCCAGGCTCAACTAACGTAGAGACATACAACATGCCAGGCTCAGCTAACATACAACATGCCAGGCTCAGCTAACACACAGCCATCAGTTAGTCGACTATTTTCCCCAGTTATATTTTTGTACTTGTCTCAGGTTCGGCGTCCTTCACAAGTCCAGGCAGGATGTCACCAACAACACCCAAATTGTGGTCCGTCTCCTACAGTCAAGACTTGAGGACTTCACCCTTCAAGAGAAATCCTTATTCAACAGCCAAGACATAACAGATGATTACACCCAACTGGTTGCCTTGAACTAATGGTGTCTGCACAACTGGATACTTCACTCCACTTTTCAATATCAAGCATCTGTCTTTTCTACAAAATCATAGATGCTGTCCATTTTCTACATTTCAGTTGTTTTTGTGTGTGTGACCATGCTGGTATATATGATGTTAGGTAAAGTTCTCTCTGTGTGTGTGACCATGCTGGTATATATGATGTTAGGTAAAGTTCTCTCTGTGTGTGAGACCAAGCTGGTAAATATGATGTTAGGTAAAGTTCTCTCTGAGTGTGTGTGACCATGCTAGTATATATGATGTTACGTAAAGTTCTCTCTGAGTGTGTGTGACCATGCTGGTATATATGATGTTACGTAAAGTTCTGAGTGTGTGTGACCATGCTGGTATATATGATGTTATGTAAAGTTCTCTGTGTGTGTGTCTGACAATGCTGATATACAAGATCCGACAATTAATTCCATAAAAATTAAAATAATCAACAGTTGAAGAATAATCTGTATCTGATCTAAAGTAAGCCCCTTGTGCATTGATACAGCAAGTGGCACGATCTAATAAACACTAGGGAACGACCTCTGTAGTTCTTCTGTTGTTACCACCCTATGGATGTCATTAATATTGTTAAAGAAGCATCCTTTCAATCGTAACTTCAATTTTGGGAATAAAAAATCATCACAGGGAGACAAATCTGGGGAATAGGGTGGAAGGCTGAGAACACACACTTGTTTTTGGGCCAAAAATTCTTCTTCTGATGATGTCTCTTGGGTACCCAACCTGCTGATGTTTTTGGTCATCAGACAAGGAATGTGGTACAAACCGGCAAGCAACTTTTTTTCTTGCCAAAATCTTGCACTAAAATTTTATGAATGGTCTCTCTGTTAACACCAGATTTATCTGTCATCATCCTCACAGTAAAACAATGATCTTCTTGTATCCGTTCTCTGACTTTTGCAATGAGTTCATCATTACGAACATAAATTTGGTCTTTAGGTCTAGGTGCATTAGTAATCATTTTCACACCACTATTGAATCGTGAATACAAGCTGAAAATGTGTGCACAAGATAATATCCCCATAAACTTGTTGCATCAATTCAACTGTTTCAATGGTGCTTTTTCTGAGTTTTATTTTTAAAAATTTAATGTTAGCAACAAAATGGCGACTCGTTTGTTGTCTGCTTATCGAGCAGCGATGAAAAGTTGCCAGATCATAGATGGGTGTTGCCTCTTTAGATTCCATGCTTTGATACATATAGGGCATTTTTGTCGTAGCCATAATAAAATCAGTCTCCTTACTTAATTGTCGGACCTTATATATGATGTTATTAAAGTTCTCTGCCTGTGTGAGAGGGAGACCATGCTAGTATATATGAATTGTATACTGTTACATAAGCGTGAGAGAGACTATTGGCATACACTATATTGCTACCTGTGTGTATGAAAGACTATTCGGTATACACAAACCTCCTTTGTTGGCTCATATGACAGGTTAAGAGTATTACTGTAATTTGCAACCTTGTTCCCAATTGTTGTAGATGGATGTTGACTTTTGTTGCATTAAACATTTGTTGTATGTTAATACAATATTGTTACTGGCTTGCTTTCTGACCATAGGCCTGTGGGCCATGTGTGAAACTGGTTTTAGTTCCAAAGGTTAGTCAGTCAGGTTTGAAACATGATTTAGATCATTCACTTGACTGTCTTAGGGTCAAGTCAGTTCAACAATTATCAGACATGTACCTACTAGTTCAACAACTCTGCCCATTCTTGTCTCATTATCTATACCTGGCTCAAAAAGTTGTTTAATACACTTTACCTCTCTCTTTCTTACACACAAACATAAAACCTGTTTATATATATGACACATGACATAAATAACATTGCTGAAACTACCGAGAAACTTTTATTATCTTCAGATGTCTACTATAAGAACAATATACACAAAACTCTATATACAATCTACATATTAACAAACAATATGAGGAAATCTTATGTACAAACAGATCAGTAATCAAAACATCAACTTCAGATCTGTGCGTGTGTGCATGTACACACATGAATGTAGCCCAGTTTTCCATCTTATGTACAAACAGATCAGTAATCAAAACAACTTCAGATCTGTGCGCGTGTGCATGTACACACATGAATGTATGATAGCCCAGTTCAAATATAATGTGTTCTTTCTAGCACTAACACCTGTAGGACACTGCATGTACAAACTTCTAGTACTTCTTTCAGATACTGAACAATGTCTGCAACTTCAGATGAGCAGAAATAAATGTTGATCACAAGTTCCTATAACATGCACACATTTCAACTAGAAGTGAAACATTTCTCACCACAAACATAATGTGAATGAGATGACACCAGTCGTTAACTTGTAACTGATCTTTCACTCCCTTGTACGCCACCAGCTGGTTTCTGATAAATGCTCATTATTTTTTTTTTCTTTTGTATTCACCCTCAAAAGGGACACCTAGCATGTTGTGGTTTACAGCTAGGCTGCGATATCTGCACCTCTGGTCCAACACATCTGATTCTAATTAGTCACGTTTTACAACATGCTTCTCAGGAGATTATGGGGCTTGTCCCACCCCCTACCCTAGAATGAGGCCTCAGAGCCAACACAGAGAAATGACAACAATTACTGATCTGTTCATTACAAAGTACATAACTTGTTCCGGTTGCAAGCGTGACACAAATATTACATTCCAAATTCTAAACTTATCACATTACTGAAACACGTCTCTCCAAACTTCTAAAGTTAACATCCCATTAACGAAGCATGTCCCTCCATAACTCTAAAGTTAACATCCCATTAACAAAACATGTACCTTCATAACTCTAAAGTTAACATCCCATCAATGAAGCATTTCCCTTCACACTTCTAGAGTTAACATCCCATTAATGAAATATTCCCCTTTATACTTCAGATTTTTCATAAATGACCTTGATTTTCAAGTGACACAGAAAGTTGACAAATATAGGTCATGCAATATATATATACGCTCAATGCATCTCTGGTCTAGACAGGGTGGGGTATGGGGGGGTTCCCATCCTGTTTATATTTTAGACATGAGAAAACTGATTTCGGTTGCAAGTGATATTTTCGCTTGATACAAAATGTTCCTGTAATCACGTAATGATTGTCTCTAAAACAACGGAAATGAAAGGCCTACAACAAATTCTAAATGTAACTAGGAGACACAGGATAAGCATCAGGAAACAAGCTGGGATGGAACCAGTGCTAAAATACACCAAGAGACAACAGATCAAATGGTTTGGACATGTGTCAAGATTACCACCAGATAGTACACCACAGAGAGCCCTCGTCTTTTAGACATAATGAAAGTAGACTAGAGGTCGATTCTGCAAGCCACAGATAGACGAATATCTGAGGCCATAAATACCATCATCTACCTAGCATCAGTTGCCTCTTCAATCCCTGACACTGAAAGAAAGAATAGGAACAGAAGACTAATATAACATGATACGGCACAAACTGTAACATACCAGGACTATTCTAAAATCAACTTTCAATTGGCCTGTAAAAATAAACACTGTATGGTCCCGGACACACTGGTTCATGCATGCATGTAGATGACACCTGAGATAGACAGACAGAAGATAGACATCTCTTGTATTATGATGGCTGGTCGCTGTGTGGCAACGCAAAATCTGAATTAAATTTGGGCAGAGCAGGTCGTGTGACAACACCAGTGGGTCGTTTTGTATTGACAACTGGTTCTATGCTGACGTGCGCCAGGGTTGGCTGCTCTGCTGCATACACATCAGTCAAGCCTGAGAGGATCTGGGAGGAAGCTGTTTGTCTGGAAGTTTGCAGGAGTAGAACATTCAGTTCTCCACTAGATGGATGTTTGCTGCCAGTGATGTTACAACTATCAGAAGGTGTAATACTTGCATCAACTCCCAAACTGGAGCCCGATGACTGGTCAGTGGAAGACTGTTGAAGAGATGGGGCTATGGTTCCATCATTCAGCAGCAACTGTGATCCCCAACCAGCCTTCCTGGTAGGGAGATCAGCACAAACTGTGGGCAGAAGAGACTCGAACCTGATGCCATTCTCAGCTGTAACCAGCAGTGGGCTGCCGGCTGCTGCAGCTAACAGAGCTGAGTTATCAGCAGGAGAACTGTCATTCTGTCGACAAAGCTGGCCGGGCCTCAACTCTCTGTCCTCACTCCCACAAGTGACTTCATTAACAGATGCAATACAACCAGGAGCAGTTTCTGTGTCTGCCAGACGAAAACAATCAGTGATGTCAGCCATGACACTTGCTGCAGAATTCAGTCCGTCAACAGGTTTTCTCACTGAACATGTCTTATCTGAGAGAGATTCTTCATCCTGACTGCATCCCAATAACGGAACAATCAAGTCATCAAAATCTGATCCACCATTTGCCACAAGAGAAGATAATGTGCATGGATTGTTGGGGGCTGCTTCGTAAGTATCCAAGAAATCACTGACAGGGACTTGGTAAACACCTCTAGACATGGCCGGGACATCAACAGATCCAACCGTGTTGTCACGCTCTACTACAAGTGTATCTTGGCCAACAGCAACCTGCTGAGCCATGCTTCCGTCAGCACTATCAGAAACATTTGGAGCAATACTTCTGTTAGAAACAAACTTGTCTTGACCACCAGGCCTACTCTCTGCACCAGCAACCTGCTGGCCTGAATCAGTGGACACTAAGGACTTTTGTTGTGAGGTTTGTGTACTGCTGCATGTGGTTCTTGGAGCTGGTCTAGCCAAACTGTGGCTGGCCATCAGCCCAACCCTTGATGGCAGAATGTGACCAACCTGACCCCTCGTGGGCCAGCAGTCGGCGGAGGCAGGCAGTGAGTGAAAACTGCTCCTGTAGCCATCAGTATCTGGTGCAGCCTCACAGTGAGAGCCCAGCAATGACTGCAGCAACTTTGGTGTGATCCCAGACAAGCTCTCCAAGTCCTGAACTTGGCTGCCACCATGAAACACCACAGAACATGGCTCACTGTGACCTGGCACTGCTATCCCAAGATGCTCTGGGCCCCTGACACCAGCCAAGCAGTTCTGTACAGAGGAAACAGACAAGCTCTGTCTGTCAGGCTGAGCTTCAGATGGCTGAGAGACACAAGCCTGCTGTCGGCTGTTGCTGCGGTCAATGGTGCTGTAAGGCGGAGGCTGCGACTTGAGGTCTCCACCACTACACTCGGAGTATGGCGGTGGAACCCCCACAAACAGAGAATAATCATAGCCAGGTAAATACTGCACTCCGTTGTTGACATTAACGATGATGTTACCATAGTGACAGGAGCCTGATGGAAGGAAAGGACGCTGATCACCTGCAGCCTCATCTCCCTGGCCTGAAGAGGTTGCCTCACGTGATTCACCTGGGAAGGTTAACAAAAATCAGTTCAGTTGGACTGTTACTGTTGTGGCCATTTATACAGAAACATAATGTAGTGATGTCTGGCCTCAATAAAATCATCTGTTCACTGCAGAATGTGCCCACAGTTGACTAGACAAAGCCACAGATCTATGACAACAGAGACACACAAAAACAACACCAGCAACAGTCAGAGACATATATCAACAACTGACAAGACAGTAATCGACTTGTGCTGACAATGTAGAGGCAGATGTGTGTCAACAAGAGATAAAACACTGGCAGATGTGTGTCAACAAGAGATAAAACACTGGCAGATGTGTGTCAACAATAGATAAAACACTGGCAGATGTGTGTCAACAACAGATAAAACACTGGCAGATGTGTGTCAACAACAGATAAAACATTGTGGCAGATGTGTGTTAACAACAGATAAAACATTGTGGCAGATGTGTGTCAACAAGAGATAAAACACTGGCAGATGTGTGTCAACAACAGATAAAACATTGTGGCAGATGTGTGTCAACAAGAGATAAAACATTGTGGCAGATGTGTGTCAACAAGAGATAAAACACTGGCAGATGTGTGTCAACAACAGATAAAACATTGTGGCAGATGTGTGTCAACAAGAGATAAAACATTGTGGCAGATGTGTGTCAACAAGAGATAAAACATTGTGGCAGATGTGTGTCAACAAGAGATAAAACATTGTGGCAGATGTGTGTCAACAACAGATAAAACACTGGCAGATGTGTGTCAACAACAGATTAAACACTGGCAGATGTGTGTCAACAACAGATAAAACATTGTGGCAGATGTGTGTCAACAATAGATAAAACACTGGCAGATGTGTGTCAACAACAGATAAAACATTGTGGCAGATGTGTGTCAACAACAGATAAAACATTGTGGCAGATGTGTGTCAACAACAGATAAAACATTGTGGCAGATGTGTGTCAACAACAGATAAAACATTGTGGCAGATGTGTGACAACAAGAGATAAAACACTGGCAGATGTGTGTCAACAACAGATAAAACACTGGCAGATGTGTGTCAACAACAGATAAAACACTGGCAGATGTGTGTCAACAACAGATAAAACATTGTGGCAGATGTGTGTCAACAACAGATAAAACACTGGCAGATGTGTGTCAACAATAGATAAAACACTGGCAGATGTGTGTCAACAACAGATAAAACACTGGCAGATGTGTGTCAACAATAGATAAAACACTGGCAGATGTGTGTCAACAATAGATAAAACACTGTGGCAGATGTGTGTCAACAACAGATAAAACATTGTGGCAGATGTGTGTCAACAACAGATAAAACACTGTGGCAGATGTGTGTCAACAACAGATAAAACACTGGCAGATGTGTGTTAACAACAGATAAAACACTGGCAGATGTGTGTCAACAACAGATAAAACACTGGCAGATGTGTGTCAACAACAGATAAAACATTGTGGCAGATGTGTGTCAACAACAGATAAAACATTGTGGCAGATGTGTGTCAACAACAGATAAAACATTGTGGTAGATGTGTGTCAACAACAGATAAAACATTGTCGCAGATGTGTGTCAACAACAGATAAAACATTGTCGCAGATGTGTGTCAACAACAGATAAAACATTGTCGCAGATGTGTGTCAACAACAGATAAAACATTGTGGCAGATGTGTGTCAACAACAGATAAAACATTGTGGCAGATGTGTGTCAACAACAGATAAAACATTGTGGCAGATGTGTGTCAACAACAGATAAAAACATTGTGGCAGATGTGTGTCAACAACAGATAAAACATTGTGGCAGATGTGTGTCAACAACAGATAAAACATTGTGGCAGATGTGTGTCAACAACAGATAAAACATTGTGGCAGATGTGTGTCAACAACAGATAAAACATTGTGGCAGATGTGTGTCAACAACAGATAAAACACTGTGGCAGATGTGTGTCAAAAACAGATAAAACACTGGCAGATGTGTGTCAACAAGAGATAAAACATTGTGGCAGATGTGTGTCAACAACAGATAAAACACTGTGGCAGATGTGTGTCAACAACAGATAAAACATTGTGGCAGATGTGTGTCAACAACAGATAAAACACTGTGGCAGATGTGTGTCAACAACAGATGAAACATTGGCAGATGTGTGTCAACAACAGATAAAACACTGGCAGATGTGTGTCAACAAGAGATAAAACATTGTGGCAGATGTGTGTCAATGACAGATAAAACATTGTGGCAGATGTGTGACAACAAGAGATAAAACACTGTGGCAGATGTATGTCAACAACAGATAAAACACTGGCAGATGTGTGTCAACAAGAGATAAAACACTGTGGCAGATGTGTGTCAACAACAGATAAAACACTGGCAGATGTGTGTCAACAAGAGATAAAACATTGTCGCAGATGTGTGTCAACAACAGATAAAACATTGTCGCAGATGTGTGTCAACAACAGATAAAACATTGTGGCAGATGTGTGTCAACAACAGATAAAACACTGGCAGATGTGTGTCAACAACAGATAAAACATTGTGGCAGATGTGTGTCAACAACAGATAAAACATTGTGGCAGATGTGTGTCAACAACAGATAAAACACTGTGGCAGATGTGTGTCAACAACAGATAAAACATTGTGGCAGATGTGTGTCAACAAGAGATAAAACATTGTCGCAGATGTGTGTCAATAACAGATAAAACACTGGCAGATGTGTGTCAACAACAGATAAAACATTGTGGCAGATGTGTGTCAACAACAGATAAAACATTGTGGCAGATGTGTGTCAACAACAGATAAAACATTGTGGCAGATGTGTGTCAACAATAGATAAAACACTGGCAGATGTGGGTCAACAAGAGATAAAACATTGTGGCAGATGTGTGTCAACAACAGATAAAACATTGTCGCAGATGTGTGTCAACAAGAGATAAAACATTGTGGCAGATGTGTGTCAACAATAGATAAAACACTGGCAGATGTGTGTCAACAAGAGATAAAACATTGTCGCAGATGTGTGTCAACAACAGATAAAACACTGGCAGATGTTTGTCAACAATAGATAAAACATTGTCGCAGATGTGTGTCAACAAGAGCAAAACAAAACCACAGATGTGCCAAGAGAAAATCAAACGTCACAGAATGTGTTTATTATTGCACTTAGATTCTCTGCTCACTTCTACACGCACTCATCTATTCACCCCACTAATCTATCAGTGATAAGAAACTTGCAGTACACAAGTACAGAAGAACGCTAGTCACAGTATGAAAAACATTGTCATCTGACCGCTGGTACACTTCCTGTCCATATGGTGGATACAGTTAGCTACTGTGTGGACTAAAAGCATATACAATGATACCTCTGCATATGTTTGGTTTATGTTCAACTTGGTATATGTCCTCTTTAGACACAACTTTTTTGCTTGGCATACAATCTTTGGAATACGGACTTATATGCTAGAACTTGTATGAGTCCAAATTAGTCATGATACCATGAGCTATCCTCGTTTACCTCTCTGAAAACAAAGACTCTGAGAGATGTCAATGATTTTGCAGAGAAGAATCACCCAAACAAGATGCAAAAGCATCGCCTGCAATGACCAGACAATGTCACATTTCTTAAAACATCTTGAGTAAAAGGCAGAAGCAAATTTCTTAGTACAAATTTTTTTTAGTAAAAGTCAAACCCGATGAGCCTCAATTGGGTCCAAGCAAGGAAAAGGAACCACACACACACATACACAAAAGAAGAGGTTCAGATATCTGAAGTTTTACTGAAGATGTCTCTTTTCAAACAATAACATCTCCTCTTCTTCCCTTCTCAGTACCATGGTAGTCAGCACTGGACAGAAGTAGCACAGTAGTTTTATCGTTCCACTGCTAAGCTGAGTGCAGGGTGCCACACTGTGAGCTGCAGATTGCATTTGGAACTCTTCTTGACTTTGGTTTGTGTTGTGAACTACAAATTCACAGAATAGCAAGTAGCCTGTAGCCACAGAATCGATGATGCCTCGTGCAATTAGCTGCATGTGCAACTGCTGATTTGTTGTAAATACTGCTTCCATCGATGATTACCTGCAATTATAGTGGCAGAATGTTTGTGTTGGTATCTGATGGCTGCCTTATGCATCTGATGCATGTGCATACTACAGGACTGGCTTTACCAAGCGTCCAGTCTGTGTCAGTTTTCACAAGGGACAGTGATGGACATGGTGTGTGTTTTTCACTGGCGTAGTAGGAACGAAGCAACTATGGGGTGACCTGTTTGCCGTGAAGTTGGAACTTCAATGAGCTAGTAATGCGCACACTCAGGATCTAGGTTAGTGATCCAAAACCTGTTTACACCCGCAGCCCACCAAAAACAGGGGACATTCTTTAGCGGCCCACCAACAACTAAACCAAACAAAAACAAATGTCATCATCATCATGTAGCAGGTCCTTTGCAGAACGCCGCTCTCATCACAGTCTGCCTAAAAGAAACTAGGTCTCTCGCCAGTCTCCCACCTCATGTACTTTCATACTCAAGGAGTTACTTGTATCCTGTGCCCATCTTCGTGTCACCTTCCTTGTACCAGGCCTTCTGCTATAATTTTTTCCAATCCGTCGTGGCGCTCGATATGACCAAAATATTTCAGCTTCCGAGACAGGATGCTGTTTATTAGCCAATCTTCCTTGATGTTCAGATCTTTCAAGATGTCAGTATTTCTCCTCTTCTTTGAAAAACAAACATAGACAGCAGTTTTTTTTTGTTCAAATCAATGTCACAAAATTACAACTGTCAGCTAGTGCAACATCTGCTGCTGCTGCTCAGACTGGGGAATTTGTTCATGTACACCAAAAGATTCAATAACATCCATTCAATTTTTCTGTTTAGATTGTAGTTGTTGACATGCCAGAGAGTATTTCTGCAGAAAAAGGAATTCTTTGAGGTGTGAATACTACATACTGGAGAGGAAAACTACCTATCCTGTCTCGTGACATGATTAAGCAGATAAAATATGGGAGCTCACAAGAACTTAGCCGCGGCCCACAGGTTCAATACCACTAATCTAGGTCAACTGGTGCCAACATCACAGCATTGTGAGAGCTAGTACAAGAGCCCAAGAAGTGACAGAAAAAACAACAACAGACACTACAACCTTACCATGTCGATACATGCCCTCCAGCGCCCGAGAAATCCTTTGTTCTCGCTGTCTCTTCATCTTCACACGGAACACAACAATCACAATGAAGGAGATCAGGATGACGGCTCCCACCGTGCTGGCAATAACCGTGGACATTGTGATTTTTAGCCACCCAAACTGGTTGTCCTCAGTAACCGACTGAGTTGTTGACATAAATTTTCCTAAGACTAGAAACAAAAATGAGTGAGTTGACTGACACCTTTGCTATGAGCTGAATCTACATGACACTGCAGTCACAACGACAAGGTCAACAACGCATGCACACTGAACACTGAAGGCAAACAGTCTGTAGGTTAAACCGGGATATTGTGTTTAACCATTCTACTCCAGAAATCTTTGGCCTTGAGATGGGGGCAGTGTGTTAACCCTGGAATTTCCTAGACAAAAATCCTAAATTGTTTATAAATTATTTACATATTTGAAAGAGGAACACCCCCCCCCCCCCCCCCCACAAAAAAGATATCTTTGAAATATATGAATGGCAGCAATCAATAAACATCAACAGGGTAGATAATTAAATGGAATACATGCCCTTGGATCAAACAAAACATGGTAGCTCACATCAGAGGCCATCACAATAGTGAAATAACTGACAGAAAACAATAGTCAGACAGACAGACAACAAAGGAAGGCAAGCAGACAGACAGACAGACAACAACACAAAGACAAACAATCAACAAGAGACAAAGAATGACAGGAGGAAAACAAGAGGCAGACAAACACTAGGAAGACAACTAATAACAGGCAGACAATAACATGGGGAAAAGATGTAGCAAAGCTTACAGCAAATGGTGGCCTCATCGGAGCGATCACCACAGTTGTCAATGTGGTTGCACACCTCCTGGGTGTCAATGCATCTACTGTTGTTGCAGCGGAACTTGTTCAAGCATGGATCACCTGTGGAAGCACGCAAGTATTTATCCACATGGTTCCACACAAACAGCTAATGCCAGGATGAACTCTTTGTGCACCAACCTATGCATTTCTGGATCACCCTAAAGACAACATACTGTTCATGCAGTCTTCTATAACAAACACTAACTTGACAAACTGCATCTAATTTGTAAGCTGACCGCCGTCTGTCCTACCATGTACCTTGTTTGACTGCCTCAGACTTAAATATTGAATATTCTCAAGTCCGGCATCTCAGAATGTCAACTGTTTCAGTAACAGCTGCCTGCAACTGACAGAGTTGGCAACTACTCGCTGCATCTGAACCTATACGGTGGAAAAAAATCCATCCTAGCTATCGATTATATATTAATTCTAAAAATGACTGAGATTATGCAATACAGGTTGTACACAGCAATGCAGGTTGTACGCAGCAACACAGGTTGTATGCAGCAATGCAGGTTGTACACAGCAGTACAGACCAAAAAAGGCTGTACAGAGCAACACAGGCAGTACGCAGCAACACAGGTTGTATGCAGCAATACAGGTTGTATGTAGCAACACAAGTTGTATGCAGCTATACAGGTCGTACAAAGCAAAACAGGTTGAACGCGGCAATACAGGTTGTACGCAGCAATACAGGTTGTACACAGCAAAACAATTTGTACATAGCAATGCAGGTTGTACGCATCAACACAGGTTGTATGCAGCAGTACAGAGCAATACAGGCTGTACGCAGCAACACAGGTTGTACGCATCAACACAGGTTGTACGCATCAACACAGGGTGTATGCATCGATACTGGTTGTACGCAGTAATAAAGGTATGCAGCAATACTGGTTGTATGCATGACTCAAATGTTTACATCATTAATGGCAGAAAAAAATCTTCTCTACCATACAACAGAGGTTATGATTTTTCTCCATTATGGAACAGAAATCATAATTGTTCTAAACTATGGAACAGAAATCATAATTGTTCTAAACTATGGAACAGAAATCATAATTGGTTTCAACTACGGAACAGAAATCATGATTGTTCTCAATTACGGAGCAGAAATCATGATTGTTCTCAAGTACAGAACAGAAATTATAATTTTTCTCTGAACCAGAAATTATGATTTTTCTCAACTGTGAACCAGAAATCATTTTTTTTTCCTCAAATACAGAACAGAAATCAAGATTGTTCTCAACAATGGAACAGAAGTCAAGATTGTTCTCATCTACAGAACATAAATCATGATTGTTCTCAATTACAAACCAGAAATCATGATTGTTCTCAACCATGGAATAGAAATCATGAATGTTCTCAATTACGAACTAGAAATCACGAATTTTCTCAACCACGGAATAGAAATCATGATTGTTCTCAACTGCAAACCAGAAATCATGATTGCTCTCAACCATGAAACAGAAATCATGATTGCTTTTTACCATATACTAGAAATTATGGTTGTTCTATATAAAAGAATTGAAATTGTTGCTTTATAGAATATAAAGAAATTATGGTTTTTCTATAGCACATAATTAAAATTATGGATATGCTATTTGTAAAACAAATTTAAATTATGGTTTTTCTAAAGCATAAAACTGAAACTATGGTTGTTCTATTTAAAAATGTTTTAATTGAAATTATGATTTTGTTCTATAGCATACCACAAATTATTACTGTTCTAAAGCACAGAGCTGAAATTATAGTTTTTTTTATAGCACAGAACAGAATTCAAATGAGTATTTTCAGGATTCCTATACAATTTGTGCACTTGGTGTGAATATGTGTAGGTGAGTCTATCAAAGACTGTTCTTGAAACTTCAACCATTAATAAAAGATACTCACTCTCACAATCTTCATCTGAGCCATCTCCGCAATCGTCCTTGCCATCACAGCGGTAACGCAGGAATATGCAGTGCTTGGTTTTCTTGCACTTGAACTGTGTGATGCTACAAGCAGCAGAGTTGGCTTCTGTCAGACAAATAGATGTCAGTTAGTTCTAAGGTTTCCACATTTAGCAAAGGTTTCTATTATAAAGAAAAATCAAAAGTTTCCACACTTAGCAAAGGTTTCTAACACATTATTATATATAGAAAATCAAAAGTTTCCACATTTAGCAAAGGTTTCTACCACATTATAAAGAAAATCAAAATTCTCCACATTTAACTAAGGTTTTCTATAACACACTGTTATAAAGAAAATCAAAATGCTCCACATTTAACTAAGGCTTTCTATAACACATTGTTATAAAGAAAATCAAAATGCTCCACATTTAACTAAGGCTTTCTATAACACATTGTTATAAAGAAAATCAAAATGATCCACATTTAACTAAGGCTTTCTATAACACATTGTTATAAAGAAAATCAAAATGCTCCACATTTAACTAAGGCTTTCTATAACACATTGTTATAAAGAAAATCAAAATGCTCCACATTTAACTAAGGTTTCTAACACATTATTATAAAGAAAATCAAAATGTTCCACATTTAGCTAAGGTTTTCTATAACACATTGTTATAAAGAAAATCAAAAGGTTCCACATTTAGCTGAGGTTTTCTATAACACATTGTTATAAAGAAAATCAAAATGCTCCACATTTAACTAAGGTTTTCTATAACACATTGTTATAAAGAAAATCAAAATGTTCCACATTTAACTAAGGTTTTCTATAACACATTATTATAAAGAAAATCAAAATGTTCCACATTTAACTAAGGTTTTCTATAACACATTATTATAAAGAAAATCAAAATGTTCCACATTTAACTAAGGTTTTCTATAACACATTATTATAAAGAAAATCAAAATGTTCCACATTTAACTAAGGTTTTCTATAACACATTATTATAAAGAAAATCAAAATGTTCCACATTTAACTAAGGTTTTCTATAACACATTATTATAAAGAAAATCAAAATGTTCCACATTTAACTAAGGTTTTCTATAACACATTATTATAAAGAAAATCAAAATGTTCCACATTTAACTAAGGTTTTCTATAACACATTATTATAAAGAAAATCAAAATGTTCCACATTTAACTAAGGTTTTCTATAACACATTATTATAAAGAAAATCAAAATGTTCCACATTTAACTAAGGTTTTCTATAACACATTATTATAAAGAAAATCAAAATGTTCCACATTTAGCTAAGGTTTTTTTAAAACACTATTATAGAGAAAATCAATAGTTTCCACATTTAGCAAAGGTACACACTATTATATAGAAAATCAAGTGTGCACTATAACACACTATTATAAAGAAAATCAAACGTTTCACATTTAGCAAAGGTTTCTAACACACTATTATATAGACAATCAAAAGTGTCCACATTTAGCAAAGGTTTCTATTATATAGAAAATCAATTTCCACATTTAGCAAAGGTTTTTAACAGACTATTATATAGAAAATCAAAAGTTTCCACATTTAGCAAAGGTTGCTAACAAACTATTAGGCAGTAGGTCTATTCTAGTCCTCCCTAAAATACGGCAGCGGAACCCTCACGGGGAAACTCCCAATCAATACTGTAAAAGCTCTTGTTGTAGTCCCCAAATCCAACATAAAGTGGCAATTTCAGTTCAAATATTGATTTAAGTTCATGTATAAAATGGCCTTCCAGCCAGGGCAGAAAAATATTTGATCGCAACCTTATCTGTTCATTCTGCAATTATTTATTAATGGCATCTCTCATGTTACTCCTCTATAATTATAGTACTCTGACGACATGTTCCCTTTCTCTGGCGGTCTCTTCGTGTACATTTCTCTCCAACATCCTGGTATTTCTTTGTTTACAGAAACACTTTTAAATAGCTTGTATAAACAACTGTCGACTGTATTGTATTTAACAGCTTCTGTATGATATTTGGAATAGATCTTTCCCATCACTTCTCTTCCTTCTTTTACGGACTCCTGTACACAACTTGTTCCAAATACAGCTCTTAGCCGTCACTCTCATACAGCACTTAGCTGTGATTCTCATACAGCACAGTTGTCACTCTCATACAGCACTTAGCCGTCACTCTCACAGAGCACTTTGCCGTCACTCTCATAGAGCACTTAGCCGTCACTCTCATAGAGCACTTTGCCGTCACTCGCATACAGCACTTAGCCGTCACTCTCATAGAGCACTTTGCCATCACTCTCATACAGCACTTTGCCATCACTCTCATACAGCACTTAGCAGCAGAGACAGTCTTCACTTCTTGTCACATTTCTGTCGGGAAATTAAGATGCCATTTTCACTGTCACTCTCATACATCACTTAGCAGTCACTCATACAGCACTTAGCCGTCACTCTCATACAGCACTTAGCTGCCACTCTCATACAGCACTTAGCCGTCACTCTCATACAGCACTTAGCCGCCACTCTCATACAGCACTTAGCCGCCACTCTCATAGAGCACTTTGCCATCACTCTCATACAGCACTTAGCCGTCACTCTCATACAGCACTTTGCCATCACTCTCATACAGCACTTTGCCATCACTCTTATAGAGCACTTTGCCATCGTTCTCATACAGCACCTAGCCAGCACTCTCAAACAGTACCTAGGAGCCATTCCTGTGCAGCATCTAAGAGCCATGCTCACACAACATCTAGGAGCCATTTTTATACAACATCTAGGAGCCATTCTCACACAACACCTAGAAACCATTCTCACTTAGCAACTAAGTGTCATTCTCACATAGCAACTAGGGGCCATTCTCACACAGAGTCTGGGAAACATTCTCACACATCTGGAAGCATTCTCATACAACGTCAATGAGCTATTCTCAGACAGCATCTAGGAGATGACACTCTACCATTCTCAAAGAGAACCCATTTTTAATCTATCTGGTAGACCTCATTCTGAAAAAATCAATGGTAGGCCCCATTCTGAAACAGTCAATGGGAAACTCAATTCTGAAACAGTAAAAGGGAGACTCTATTCTGAAAGAGTCAATGGTAGGCTCCATTCTGAAACAGTCAATGGTAGGCTCAATTCTGAAACAGTCAATGGGAGACTCCATTCTGAAACAGTCAATGGTAGGCTCCATTCTAAAACAGTCAATGGGAGGCTCTATTCTAAAACAGTCAATGGTAGGCTCCATTCTGACACAGTCAATGAAAAGCTCCATTCTAACACAATCAATGAAAGGCTCCATTCTGACAGTCAATGGTAGGCTCCATTCTGAAACAGTCAATGGGAGGCTCTATTCTGAAACAGTAAAAGGGAGACTCAATTCTGAAACAGCCAATGGGAGACTCCATTCTGAAACAGTCATTGGCAGACGCTATTCTGAAAACACCAAAGGAAGTTCTCATTCCCAGACTTAAAAAGCTCACCTTTGCGACGCACCATTAGCTCAAACTCAGTGGTCTCCTCTCTGCCATCAGACATGACAAGCAAACACTTGTAGCGGCCAGCATCAGAACCTTGCAGTGATGGTATTGTCATAACAACTGTTGTGTTGGTAACAAGGGACTGCTGGATGCCTGACTGACCTTCATGCACAGGGATCCATTTCAGTGAATCCATGGAAGATGTCACGTTAGCTGTACAGTTGACCTGTCAAAAAATTACAGTACAACTCACAACTGACACAATAGCATGTTTCTTATTTAGAGTACAACTCATGTGTAATACTAATAATAAATGTGTCAAATTATATGATTAAAGTACAATCCATTTTTGATATGAACAACCACCACATAAAGTTACATGATTACTGTACACCCAAAACTTGACATAAACAACAGCCACATCAAGTTACGTGATTACAGCACACACCACACTTGACCTAAACAACAGCCACACAAAGTTACATGATTACAGCACACACCACACTTGACAAAAACAATAGCCACGTCAAGTTCTGGACAGCAAAATTACAAATACAAGTTGTGGAATTGTAGACAACATGTAACAATTAGTTTGCAGGACAAAGACTGCACAAGGATTTATTATCACTGCGAATGTTTAATCAACTCATACCTGCAGGGCTGTGCCTTCCACTCCTGTCCTACGAGGCTCTGACAGGACTAGATGCTGCGACTTCTGACATTTTACCGCTGTCAAACAACCTGGCAAGGAGACAAGGTTATCAAACAAATGCTTGATCACTATCAAATTATGACACGAAATTGAACATTTCACTAGACGTTTCAATAACCAACACAGAACATACGTCATCAGTTGTTTTACAATTGTGGAGCTTTTGAGAAGGAGATCGGAGCACTTATGGATCTGTCCGGAGTGCTGTGATGATAATCCTTTTTAATCACTAAAATTATGACAATTTGTTTTAATCAAATTAAATATACAGTCACCTGCCTAAAATGATGATAGACCCTGTTAGAGTATTTGTTTGCCCTCGATAGTATTGGTCCTTTATTCGGAGGCGATCCTACGCGTTTTGTTCCTTGTCTGGCACTCGGCATTTTACACACGACTGAGGCCCTGTTAGGGTATCTGTTTGGCTGCCATAATAAATATGGGAACAAAGTTTGAAGAAGAGTCAATTATTTTCTTCTGTTCATAAGAAACGTAGGTCAGGTAGTTCTTCAGTTGCACCGTCCTTAGCTAGCTTATCAGTGCTCTTTCATTTCCAGGAACTTCACAGTAGGATAGTATATGAATATGATATTCACAGCATAGAATAAATTCTGAATGAGTCTGTAGTCAGTGAACTTTAGTCAAGTTTGATTTTTCTAAGACCCAGATCTAATGAAATCCGGCTATCCTCCGACTAACGGTCGGCAAAGATGGCGGCCGCAAAATATCCTTTCGAGCGTTCATGCGGCGTGGAATGGGGCTAAACTAGATGGCTAGGACCCACAAGCAGCAGCCGCGGTGTGCTCGTGACCGCTAGTGCCCAATTGACATGTGACTCTGGCTCGAAAGGATATTTTGCAGCCGCCATCTTTGCAGACCGTTAGTGGGAGGATAGCCTGAAATCCTATGGTTAGGTGCTCACACCAATCAAAAATCAACATCTGTGGCCTGTTGTTATTTGCGTGTGTGTGTGTGTATGTTTAAACGAAGCAGTAAGACAGATAAGTTAACAAAATGTAACACAAAAACGCAAAGAAGAAGACAGTTCACACAGGTTTGCGACAAATAAGACAAAATACTATAGTGTGAGTTTGGCGAGACAATGTTTGAATTTAAACACTGAACAACTTCAGTACACGCTTGCTACAACCGTCACGCCTACCTATAATTATAAAACGGAGTTCTGCCCACAAACATTTCATTTCCATTTATTGCTATCCTATGTCAGGTACACTTCACAAACTGACATGTTCTGAACGGTTTGTTCGGAGAGACATGTCACAACTTCTGCAGGTTGCAGACATCAGAGAGAAGCCATTACCCAGTACCGTCAGCGCCGCCTAGCGCTACAGATTCGCAGTTGTCATTCTTGAGTTCAAAATGCCAACTGCATCGAGTGCCTTGCCCGCTCTCTCCACAACCTGCGGTTTCCAACAGAATATATCAATGCGAGTGTTCACACCCCTCAGTGCCACGACAGAAGGTTATCAAGAATCTCCTCATGTTGTCTTCCTCTTTTTTTTTTCCACAATTATTTTCAGTTGGTCATATCATGTACCCCTTTTCTTCTAATTATATAATGACTGATGAGTGGCACCTTTCTTTTTCTCCAGACGATAGTGTTATATTGTGCTTTGAGGAGGTGTGGGACTAACATCCCATGGCGATGGCGAGTATGACTAGCAAGACATGTCCGAGTCAAGAAAGGTCTTCCACAATGATAGCATGGGATTTCAGTACCATTGTTGTCAACATTTGTGTTTAATCCGTTTCTTCTCAGACGCTAAGCTGTCATCTTTTCTGCAATCATTTCTTCTTCTTCTTCTTCTTCTTCTTCTTCTTCTTCTTCTTCTTCTTCTTCAGGTTCAGCAGTCGCAAACTTTGGGGGAAAGTTATGGTTGTTTATCCTCTTCTGGACTGCAGTCCTGTTGCGTGTGCATTCGTTTAACATATCTGACTCATTTGTGTGCAGACTGTTGGTTCCTTGCTTCTCAGGCAGAGGCACTCCGACTTTGAAAGAAGCTCCCAGCTAGTCGTCTTTTACGACATGCTTTTGGGTAGGCAGTGGGTCTATTCTTGTTTTCCCCGGAACCCACACAGGGAATTTCTTCCTTTAATCTCATTACCTCCCTGATTACCTCCCCACACAACATGGTCCATGGCATTTTGTTCCCATAGGTCCACCTCAGTAACTTATGATTCATATCCCGCTTGCATATATCTTTATACAGTGGTAGAGGTCGGTCTCCACATCTTCTACGCGTCTTTAATTCACCGTAAAGGATATCCTTAGGGACTCTGCCATCATCCCTTCTCCAGATGTGACCCAGCCACCTGAACCTACGTAGACTGAGCATTGAAAAGACAGTTCTAGTACCTGCTCTTTCCAGTAACTTAGTGTTTGTGATCTTGTCCTGCAACTTAATACCTATTCTTCTTAGGCATCGCAGGTGAAAGCTTTTCAGCCTTCTCTCCTAAGTAAACCAATTTTCACTGCTATAAAGCAGAGTGCTGAGAACACAATCCTAAAAGACAAGAGTTTTTGTTTTAATTGTGAGCTTTCTGTTCTCCAAAACTCTTTTTGTCAATCTGTTCATTGTTGTTGCTGCCTTACCTATCCTGATGATGATTTCTTGGTCCAGAGATAGCTTGTTATTCACCGTGGAACCTAGATAGGTAAAATGGTCTACTGTCTCCAGCTCTTAGCCGTCAGTGTAGACTAAAGGTTTATCATTAACACCTTGCACAGTAACTGTTGTCTTCTTTTTGCTGACTGTTAGTCCAATTTCATAGCATGCACCAGCAAAGGCAGATATTAAACATTGCAGCTCCTCCTCTGAGTGGGTGGTTATTTTTTCATCATCTGCAAACAGCAGCTCTCTGATAAGTACCTTTTTTTTTTTTATCCCATCTTGGCCTTCAGCCTACGAGCATTGCAGAGGCTTCTGTCAGATCGAGAATGTATGAATATGTTACTCTCCTGACCTCGTAAGGCATGTTTAAAAAGAAGTGAGAAGCATATTCCAAAGAGGGTAGGAGCAAACCTGGCATTTTTCCTGCAAGTGTAGTAATGAAAATATCATATCAGTGGTAGACCGGTTCCCTCGAAAGCCACACTGGGACTCTAGGTAAACCTGGTCTCCCAGGATCTGGAGTCTTCGCAGAACAATTTTCGCAAGTAATTTTCCACTAGTACATAGCAGTGATATTCCCCTCTGTAGTTATTGCAGTCGCCCCTATCACCTTTGTTTTCAAACATAGTTATGATGCTTGCGTCTTTGAAGTCTTTCTCTGTTTTTACCCTTTTCGTATATGAGTCTTCTTTGACGGTTATTGACATTTTCTGATAGTTGGAATGGGTCATCTCTGGTTCTCATTTTTGCAATGGTTTTGTAAAACTGTCTACTAGAATTAGCACACAGCTTGGTCAAATTTGTCCACTACATGAGCCAGGATGTTTCCTTGGCTTGTTCGATTTCTCTTATATATTGTCACTTTGCTACTCTATACGCGATTTAGTCGTCATCTGAACGGGATCTTAGCTATTTCTTGTGTTTCTTATTGTTAATTTTCACTGTTTTTACGTTATAATTCCACCATGCTGTTCTTTTCCTCGGTGTTGCTCCTGTCTGTCTCATACCACAGTGTGTTAGTAAGCAATTTACGAGAGTGCTCTTAAATGTTTGCTTTATTGTTTTTATACTGTCGCTTGTTGTTTTTAGCTCACCATCTTCATCCTCATTTCTGCCCTAACCTTTGCGTGATTGTCTAGGTCGCTTAGTTTTCTTATGTCAATCAATGTGGTAGGTACTCTTGTCTTTGTTTTTGATGTTGTTGCTGATCGTTGCTTCGTTTAGGTATACGACCAGTGGTCGATGGTAAGTATTTAACTTATGGGAATGTTCAATATTCAAAGACGTCGACTGTGATAACGTAGCATAACATATAGTATTGTAGATTGTTCTCCGCTTGTATGGTGGTCTACCTATCTGCTGAAGACGGAGATGGGGCGTTTATGAGACTGTCCCGACTATTGTTTATCAGTTATGAACTCTTTCAGCACCGAACAACTGATCGGATGTTTATCGGCGATTCTAAGATAACATACTGCTACTAATCAACGGTCGGAACTCGAGACGCGCGAATCGGACTTGGAGTCTGACGTGGGGTGTTGTCCAGGACTTGTGATTTGTAGCTTTGACGACTTGGTTCCCTTTGTTCTTCATAGTCAGTCAGTGGGGCGGTTGGTGATTAACGGCACAGTTTAAAACTTTCCCGGTGTCTCTGTTGAAATCCTTCAGTTCGAAATTATTAATTGTGGTTAAGCTAATTCCTTGGGATAAACACAGTAAAAGAACTGGAAGTAAAGATCGGCACAGCCGCACGAGAAGTCTTGTCAACCAACATAGGACTGGGACTATCAACCAGGTGATGCTGGAGGGGGGAATCTAAACACATATGGACATGTCCGGAGTGCCTTGAAGATAACCCAAATCATAACAGTGAAAGTTCCCATCTCATCAATTCGCCCCGGTTATTTTATTATGTCATCTATTTGTGCCGCGACCGGTGTCCGTTATTTCGCCGCTTCCGTTTCAATCTGTAGAGCAGAAGCTATGTTTCTGGAGGCCGTTAATTTGGGAACGTTTCTCTTCATTTCTCTTATCTTTGTTTGCTTCCCCCCAGTTTGACTCAAACATCCGAAGACGTCTGACTTGTGCAAGATTGGCTGGCTTTACGTATACTACAATGTCGTTGATGTAAGTATCACAGTAAATTTTAATGTCATAATATAACATATGTATGGGGTGAAGTTGTATTTTATATATGATGATTTCGCAAGTAAAAAGTGAATAGCAGTCGAGGCTATCCTCCGAACAACGGTCCTAAATTATCGAGGCGGAGAATATACCTTAACAGGGCCTCGGTCACTTTCGTCGTCTTAAATTGCGCGCTTCCGGCAACTTCCGCCACCGCCGAGAGTATCCCCGTGGATTGGGACTAAACTAGATGGCTGGGACTCACGAGCAGCAGCTACCGCATCTCCTGCAGCTTCCTTCATTTTATTTGCTCGTAAGTCCTAGCCATCTAGTTTACAGTTTACAACTGCCATCACTTGTAACTTTGTGTCTCACACACAACTGCCACTGCTTGTAACTCTGTGTCTCACTCACAACTGCCATTACTTGTAACTCTGTGTCTCACTCACAACTGCCTTCACTCGTAGCTCTGTGTCTCACACACAACTGTCATTGCTTGTAACTCTGTGTCTCACACACAACTGCCATCACTTGTAACTGTGTGTTTCTCACAGAGCTGCCAACACTTGTAACTGTGTGTTTCTCACACAACTGCCATCACTTGTAACTGTGTGTTTCTCACAGAGCTGCCAACACTTGTAACTCTGTGTCTCACACACAACTGCCATCACTTGTAACTGTGTGTTTCTCACAGAGCTGCCAACACTTGTAACTGTGTGTTTCTCACAGAGCTGCCAACACTTGTAACTCTGTGTCTCACACACAACTGCCATCACTTGTAACTGTGTGTTTCTCACAGCACTACAGAGAATGAGCTCGGTACGATGAGTACAGGCTATGATCTAAATGAAACATCATTTTACACAGAAGAATCCCTTCATTCAGAACAGAAGCCATCAAGCTCTCTGTCCAGTCACTCATCTAGCATCTTCAACCAGAACTTGACTACACCTGGTGTTGGAAGGTAAAACAGCCAAAACTGTTTGTCTGTTTAGAACATCCGTGACAAAATTATCTCATTTTTTTTACATTTTTAATTACCAGAGCATAATAATATAAAATATAAAACAAGCATGTATCTGCAACAGTGACAATGGACATCCACAGCAAACCGTGTTCTTACAACAGATATAAAGCAGGTTACAAAAGTTAGATGCCTATCTTTTACAGGATATTGCAGAACCAATCCCAGTATAATTTGGCTGTTGTGGTTTTTCTAGGAAAATTTACATCCAGGAGTGTACCATTGCTTTCTGGGTGGCAGACGCTCGATAATACTGTCTAAACCAGCGCAAGACAGATTGTCTGCTGCTGGGATCGAACCCAGAACTCAGGCATTTTGAAGCATGTTCATAAAGTTGGTACCCACAGCAATGAGTTTTGTGTGCCTATGACAGTGAGATTTATACCCACAACAAAGAGATATGTACCTACAACAAAGAGATTTGTACCCACAACAAAGAGATTTATACCCACAACAAAGAGATTTATACCCGCAACAAAGATTTATACTCACAACAAAGAGATATGTACCCACAATAAAGAGATTTATACCCACAACAAAGAGATTTATACCCACAACAAAGAGATATGTACCCACAATAAAGAGATTTATACCCACAACAAAGAGATATGTACCCACAACAAAGAGATTTGTACCCACAACAAAGAGATATATGTACCCACGACAAAGAGATATGTACCCACAACAAAGAGATATTTACCCACAACAGATGTATACCCACAACATATGTATACCCACAACAAAGAGATATTCACCAACAACAAAGAGATATTTACCCACAACAAAGAGATTTATACCCGCAACAAAGAGATATGTTCCCACAACAAAGAGATTTATACCCACAACAGATTTATACCCACAACAAAGAGATTTATACTCACAACAAAGAGATATGTACCTACAACAAAGAGATCTATACCCACAACAAAGATTTATACCCACAACAAAGAGATATGTACCCACAACAAAGAGATATTTATCCGCAACAAAGAGGTATGTACCCACAACAAAGAGATATGTACCCACAACAAAAAGATATGTACCCACAAAAAAGAGATTTGTACCCACAAAAAAGAGATTTGTACCCACAAAAAAGAGATGTGTACCCACAATAAAAAGATATGTACCCACAGCAATATGTTATGTATCCACAACAATGAGTATGTACCTACAACAGGGAGGCATTGTTGCAATCTCAACAGGATGACCAGATCGAACATTATCAACAATTTTAGAGCGTCCTTGAGAATTTTTTGTTTACCCAGCTATGCAATACTGATGGGATAAACATTTGTTAGCATAAAAAGGAGGTATTTCCCCCTCCACTCCCCCCCCCCCCCCCCCACCCTGAAAACAACATTGCACAACAGCACATTGTTGTTTGAGGGTACACTCTGTAAGTACAATGGTCATTTTGTTTCTGTACATGGACCTCAGAACCATGTAATATATCCCTGGGACTACCCCAGGATTCTGCAGTTTCACCGGTGCTTTTTAATGTGTATTCAAATAAGATTGCAGAACGTTGAATCACCAGGTGTTGAAGGAATAATGACATTTGTTGATGATGTTCTTGCATAATGGCAGGGGAGAGATGGGCAACGGACAGCCCAAGAGCCATAGGCAACTATAGACAAAGTGACTGACTGGTGTGCAAAAATGGGAGCTGTCATCAACTTTTGTGGTGCTCTCTTGACAGTAGAATTGTAATAGCTGATGTTCCAGGCCTTACAGTTAATACAGTAACATCAAAAGAGAAAACAAACTGAGGTACCTGGGTATCACTTTCGATAAAAGCCTGTCCTATATGAATCACATGGAGGCAGTTGTGGGAAAATGCCAAAAAAGGACTTTGTGCTCTCAAGATTATGGCAGCAATGGACATGGAACAAAGAATTCTGTTCACAATGTTCCAGCATGTGATCCTGTCGGTGATAGATTATGGACTTGGAATTCTTACCATATCAAGAGTCAGCTGATAAAACTGAATGCACACAGAATGAAGCCTTGTGGGTAATTCTGGGATGTACAAGAGATACCCCGGTAGTATGTATGCAATATATACTTGCACTGCCTGCTGTTGCAGATAGGCTCAAAGTTATGCAGGCAAAGTAATATCTCAGAGTAGCTGTAGACAAGTAGCACCTCCTGTATGAAGCCCTGGGTAGAGCTAAAGGTCACACACTGAAAAAAGGAAGGTCTTGGATGGCACAAACGGAAGACACAATCAGACATATGTGCAGACTTGATAATTTTGAACGAGGTGAGGAGTGGGTCAAGATGTCTGAACAAGTTTCAGACTAGGTTGTGAGTGCAGGGATGGGCAGCTGGTGCTGCAGAATCAGAAGTTCAACAAATGATTCATGACAATTCCCACCCAAGTGATGTGATTATCTATACAGATGGCTCTGTGTTGAGGGGCAGGCAAAGTGCATGGGGTTTCATAGCAAAGGCAAATGGACGACGCCTAGTGCAGCAAAGCCTTGAATTTGATATGACAACATCTAGTTTGAGAACGGAGGTGGAGTCAGTCTCTGCTGTCTTGAGAATTAGCTGTACACACATGCCATGATTGTAACTGACTCACAATGTTGTGAAAGGTGAAAACAGGCATGCTTCGTGCAGAGGGCAAACATCACTTCAGAGGTCCTGGGTAGTTAGCATACTTTGGATATTTTGTCCTGGTTATGCCGGTGTGTTGGGAAATGAGCAGACAGATAGACTGGCTGGCCCTGCACCACTTAGTGGTGAATTGATGTATGACAAGTTAGATATTGTGAGAGCCCTTTTGGGGCGAGTGAACAGCGCAGAGGCGCAGATAGATCATTACGGTCTAAGGAGAATGGCGCTGCGAGAAGTTACCAGGGAATCTGGCCGACGCTCAACACTCAGGGAAAGGATGAAATGAATATACAATCGGACGGTTACTGGCACTATCGTAATTGGAACTCTTCGCTTGCTGCTGAAGATTGGGACTAAGCACTTATGGGAGTGTTCCGAGTGCTGTTATGTTGATTCTTTATCCAACATTCAAACATTAAACCACCATAAACCGCTATAAACACTGTCAAACACACTATAAAGATTATAAAACCACCTTAAACACTGTAAACTACTATTTTTTGCTTACAGACTGCACCCAGTGCATGCAATCAATGTAGCAGTTGTGCTGGAAGAGCTCTCCGATCGCCTGGCAGTGCTAGGTAAAGGTTTGTCTGCTCCAATGATAGATCTACGAACAGCCAGCTCTATGCGGTTTGATCAGGCCCACCGACCACAAGTCAACTTCAACATGAAAGGACCCCCCTCAATATTGGTAAAATTACTTTCTTTAACTCTTTGAGTCCCAGAGGGTTTAGCATCACAGGCCCAGGGGGTAGTAAAGAAAGTAATAAAATCAGTGCATCTGTGCTAATAGTTGTTTACATTTTGAAGCACTGTCTGCCTTCTTGTACAGCTGAATAATTAGTCTGAGTAATTAGTCTGTGCTAGAAGTTGTTTATTTAATGAAGCACTGTCTACCTTCTTAATGAGCTGAATAATTAGTCTGAGTAATTAGTCTGTGCTAGAAGTTGTTTACATTTTGAAGCACTGTCTACCTTCTTATAAACTGAACAATTAGTCTGAGTAATTAGTCTGTGCTAGAAGTTGTTTACATTTTGAAGCACTGTCTACCTTCTTATAAAGCTGAATAATTAGTCTGAGTAATTAGTCTGTGCTAGAAGTTATGTAATGAAGCACTGTCTACCTTCTTATAAAGCTGAGTAATTAGTCTGTGCTAGAAGTTGTTTATTTAATGAAGCACTGTCTACCTTCTTATAAAGCTGAGTAATTAGTCTGTGCTAGAAGTTGTTTATGTAATGAAGCACTGTCTACCTTCTTATAAAGCTGAATCATTAGTCTGAGTAATTAGTCTGTGCTAGAAGTTATGTAATGAAGCACTGTCTACCTTCTTATAAAGCTGAGTAATTAGTCTGTGCCAGAAGTTGTTTATGTAATGAAGCACTGTCTACCTTCTTATAAAGCTGAATCATTAGTCTGAGTAATTAGTCTGTGCTAGAAGTTGTTTATGTCTACCTTCTTATAAAGCTGAATCATTAGTATTTTCAGTGTCGGTGCTGAATGGCATTGGTGATCATTTCTGGTCTGTTAAAAGCCTCACACATTGTCTGCTGTCTCGTTTCTGATACAGATGTTTCTCTATGCCATGATGGCCAACTATTTAACATTCTCTATTTGTCTCCCCTTGCCCCAACTTTCTTGTTGCCACAAAAGTCTCTGGCTTTCTCTCCTTCAGGTCAGCTCAAAGATTATGTATTTCTAATGTGCATAATCAGTTATCTTTGTGTGTTAATATATTTCAAGACATCTGCACTCGACTTGTGTGTGTTCAATGTTCTAATTATTATATGAAGGAACTGTGTCTTTATTTTCTCTTACAGCTGTATATAGTTGACATTTCTATAAAGGAACTGTGCCTTCATGTTCTCTTACAGCTGTATATAGTTGACATTTCTATAGAGGAACTGTGTCTTTATGTTCTCTTACAGCTGCATAAAGTTGACATTTTTATATAGGAACTGTGCCTTCATGTTCTCTTACAGCTGTATATAGTTGACATTTCTATAAAGGAACTGTGCCTTCATGTTCTCTTACAGCTGTATATAGTTGACATTTCTAAAAAGGAACTGTCCCGTCATGTTCTCTTACAGCTGTATATAGTTGACATTTCTATAAAGGAACTGTGCCCTCATGTTCTCTTACAGCTGTATATAGTTGACATTTCTATAAAGGAACTGTGCCTTCATGTTCTCTTACAGCTGTATATAGTTAATATTTCTATAAAGGAACTGGGCCTTCATGTTCTCTTACAGCTGTATATAGTTGACATTTCTATAAAGGAACTGTGCCCTCATGTTCTCTTACAGCTGTGCATAGTTGACATTTCTATAAAGGAACTGTCCCGTCATGTTCTCTTACAGCTGTATATAGTTGACATTTCTATAAAGGAACTGGGCCTTCATGTTCTCTTACAGCTGTATATAGTTAATATTTCTATAAAGGAACTGGGCCTTCATGTTCTCTTACAGCTGTATATAGTTGACATTTCTATAAAGGAACTGTGCCCTCATGTTCTCTTACAGCTGTGCATAGTTGACATTTCTATAAAGGAACTGTGCCTTCATGTTCTCCTACAGCTGTATATAGTTGACATTTTTATAAAGGAACTGTGCCTTCACGTTCTCTTACAGCTGTATATAGTTGACATTTCTATAAAGGAACTGTCCCGTCATGTTCTCTTACAGCTGTATATAGTTGACATTTCTATAAAGGAACTGGGCCTTCATGTTCTCTTACAGCTGTATATAGCTGACATTTGTATAAAGGAACTGTCCCTTCATGTTCTCTTACAGCTGTATATAGTTTAAATTTCTATAAAAGCTATGGCTTCTGTGTTTTGGCATTCTGGGTGGCAGTGCTTGTATTATGTGGATTGTAAGTTTGTGTATGTGGTTTCTATGATTGATTATGTGAGTTCTGTTTGTCAGAGTGCTTATATGTGTGTTGGTTCTTTTTTTCAGTGCTTACATGTAAGTGGGTTCTGTTTGTCAGAGTGCTTACATGTATATGGGTTCTGTTTGTCAGTGCTTACAAGTGTGTGGGTTCTGTTTGTCAGTGCTTATATGTATGTTGGTTCTGTATGCCAGTGCTAATGTATATGTGGGTTCTGTTTATCAGTGCTTATATGAATGTTGGTTCTGTTTGTCAGTACTTATATGTATGTTGGTTCTGTTTGTCATAGCTTACATGTGTGTGGGTTATATTTTTCAGTGCTTACATGTATGTGGTTTCTTTTGTCAACTGTGATGATTCAAATGTGTATTTATAATGATGCTTTTTAGCAAGTATGCCTGTGACATCATCTGTTTAGGGAGACGAGTGGGTTCTCAGACAGAATTACGACACAGTCTTACCTCGGCGGATCCAACAGATGAACAGGTCCGCCCTGTATCAAAGACTGCCAATTGATGTAGCAGTGAGTCATACATTTGTGTATTTATTTTCTAAGACCCCTATTATGGTGCCATAAAACTATTAGTCGTTGCATCACCAGGTGCTGTTAACTGCCTGTTCAGTATCCTTCCGCCATTGGTCAGTTGCGTTGAATGCCCGTTCAGTATCCTCCATCCTCCAGCCGCTAGTTTGCTGCCCGTTCAGTATCCTCCAGCTGCCTGTTTGGTATCCTACAACCGCTGGTCAGCTGCCTGTTCATTATCCTCCATCCTCCAACCGCTGGTCTGCTGCCTGATCATTAACCTTTATCCTCCAGCCCCTGGTCAGCTACCGGTTCTGTATCCTCCAGCCATTGGTCAGTTGCGTTGAATGCCTGTTCAGTATCCTCCATCCTCCAGCTGCTGGTCAGCTGCCTGTCCATTATCCTCTATCCTCCAGCCGCTGGTCAGCTACCTGTTCATTATCCTCTATCGTCTAGCTGCCGGTCAGCTGCCTGTCCATTATCCTCTATCCTCCAGCCGCTGGTCAGCTACCTGTTCAGTATCCTCCATCCTCCAGCCGCTGATCAGCTGCCTGTTCAGTATCTGTCCTTCATCCTCCATCCTCCAGCCGCTGATCAGCTGCCTGTTTAATATCCTCCAGCCTTAATCCTCCATCCTTCAGTTATGTATGTTCAATCATGCTATATGGTGAAGTAACTTCGACAATGAAAAAACAACTAGAAAATCAAATTGTGGAAATATGGATATACATAAGAATCTGAAGCATTTCATGAAAATACAGAGGTTCTGGAAAAACTAATATTGAAATAAATAAAAAAGGGATATGAAATATTTTGGCCACATTAAAAGACATAAAACTTTTTAAATAAAAACCATTCTAAACGGGAAGGTCATTGGCAAGAGGTAGTCAATGATACTCGTGGGAGGACAACATCAAGATAGGTTGAACAGCAGTCTGAGAGAGTGTACAACCAAGACTAAAGACAGAACATCATGAATACCCATTGCAGGCAACCTCTAATGGGGAGTCAGCACCTGATTGATTGATGAAATCAACAGAGGGCACACAATTGTTATATACTTAGTGACTCACTGTCTCTTCTACAAGCACTATCAAGCAAAAACAAGAACAAAACGTTTGCAGATCAAAGGGCCAACATTGGCTTGTTTTTTGAGGAAACAGAACGTGTCCTGCAGTGGATACCAACCCACGGTGGTATTCAAGGGAATAAGAAGGGAGATGAGCTGGCAAAAGCTGGGAGTCATCTTCCACAACCTCATCCACCGCAGAGCAACAAGGAAACCAAAACGCCCTAAATCAATCTTTCAAAGGGGAGTGGAGAAAACAGAATGGAGACTACAGACCAGAAAGTGGCAGAATATACAAATTCAACAGGAAAGAACAGATATCAGTTTTTAGGCCTCGGAAGAACACTGTGGTCTTAGAGCACACCTGCAGAGGATAGGCTTAAAAGAATCTGCTTCCTGTCATTGCAGAGCAGAGAGACAGACTTTTGAGCACATACTGCAGGACTGCCATAACAACTGCTAATAAAGATTGTGGCCCAGGGTAGCTACATCACAAGAGAAGCTGTGGAAAAAGGGGGGGGGGACCAGTGGTGACCTTGAATGTACTATCCTATTTGTGACCAGGATGGGACTAAATGTTTAGCATGGCTGATGTTGAATGCAGAAGAAAATTATATCAACAAATATGAAAGATTCCATTCATATAGCACACTGTCTTTATATAAACAGATAAAAAGATTCCATTCATGTAGCCATGCAACACAGTGTCTTTATATAAACAGATATAATAATTCCATTCATGTAGCCATGCAACACAGTGTCTTTATACAAACAGATATAATAATTCCATTCATGTAGCCATGCAACACAGTGTCTTTATATAAACAGATATAATGATTCCATTCATGTAGCCATACAACACAGTGTCTTTATATAAAAAGATATAATGATTCCATTCATGTAGCCATGCAACACAGTGTCTTTATATAAAAAGATATGATTCCATTCATGTAGCCATGCAACACAGTGTCTTTATATAAACATATAATGATTCCATCCACGTAGCTATGCAACACAGTGTCTTTATATAAACAGATATAATGATTCCATTTATATAGCCATACAACACAGTGTCTGTATATAAAAAGATATAATGATTCCATTCATGTAGCCATGCAACACAGTGTTTTTATATAAACAAATATAATGATTCCATCCACGTAGCCATGCAACACAGTGTCTTTATATAAACAGAAACAATGATTCCATTTATATAGCCATGCAACACAGTGTCTTTATATAAAAAGATATAATGATTCCATTCATGTAGCCATGCAACACAGTGTCTATACAAACAAATATAATAATTCCATTCATGTAGCCATGCAACACAGTGTCTTTATAAAAACAGATATAATGATTCCATTCATGTAGTCATGCAACACAGTGTCTTTATATAAAAAGATATAATGATTCCATTCATGTAGCCATGCAACACAGTGTCTTTATATAAACAAAAATAATGATTCCATTTATGTAGCCATGCAACACAGTGTCTTTATATAAAAAGATATAAAGATTCCATTCATGTAGCCATGCAACACAATGTCTTTATACAAACAGATATAATGATTCCATTCATGTAGCCATGCAACACAGTGTCTTTATCTAAACAAATATATTGATTCCATTCATGAAGTCATGTAACACAGTGTCTTTATATATATATATAAAAAGGAAGATTTTATTCATATGGCCATGGAATTCAGTATAGTTGATTTAAAGAAAGCACCCACAGAATTGTAAATATATATATTTGTAATGTTAGGTGAAGGACAGTGACATACTGTATCGGACAGATCACGGGAAAATGGAGATCAGTAGAGCATTTGCACAAGATGTTGTAGACAGGACACTGACAGAGCTAATACAGGTAAAGTTATATGTTAAAGGTAGGACATTTTCAGAGCTTGTACAGGTATACTTACAAGATGTTGTAGAAAAGGCATTGAGCAAACTGGTACAGGTAAAGTTACATGTTTTAGATAGGACATTCTCAGAAATAGTACATGTAAACTTACATGTCATAGATAGGACATTCTCAGAGCTACTACAGGTAAACTTAAATGTCGTAGATAGGACATTCTCAGAACTAGTACAGGTAAACTCAAACATTAGAGAAAGGGCATTTTCAGAATTTTTACAGGTAAACTTTCATGTTATAGACAGGATTTTTAAACACATATTATAGATAGGAAATTCTCTGAACTAGGATAAGTATACTTACAAGATGTTATAGACAGATCTACGAGGTCAAAACACAAGATATTATAGACAGGCATTCTCAGGTAAAGCCCCTAGGCAGAGATGGAATTCCTGTTGAGATTATCAGGAGTGGGTTAAACATTCTAACCCCAAACATTCATCAACTAGTAACATGCTGCTGGCATGAGGTACAGGTTCCACAAGACTTCAAACATTCATCAACTAGTAACGCTCTGCTGGCATGAGGTACAGGTTCCACAAGACTTCAAACATTCATCAACTAGTAACACTCTGCTGGCATGAGGTACAGGTTCCACAAGACTTCAAACATTCTTCAACTAGTAACACTCTGCTGGCATGAGGTACAGGTTCCACAAGACTTCAAACATTCATCAACTAGTAACACTCTGCTGGCATGAGGTACAGGTTCCACAAGACTTCAAACATTCATCAACTAGTAACACTCTGCTGGCATGAGGTACAGGTTCCACAAGACTTCAAACATTCATCAACTAGTAACACTCTGCTGGCATGAGGTACAGGTTCCACAAGACTTCAAACATTCTTCAACTAGTAACACTCTGCTGGCATGAGGTACAGGTTCCACAAGACTTCAAACATTCAAACATCATAATATGTACAAGAGCAAAGGCTTTTGCAGTGACTGCAACATTTACAGGGGAATGTCCCTGTTGGGTACTTTTGGAAAAGTACTCCAGATTCTAGAAGACCATTCACACTGTGGCTTTCGTGGCAACAGGTCTACAACTGATATGATATTCGCATTATGACAGTTGCAGGAGAAATGCCCTAAACCAAATTAACCACTGTATATTGCTTTTATTAATCTTACTCCACTAAAAGCCAAGCCTAAAGGGTAATGTTGCCTATAAAGGAAGGGGAGGAGATAATATGAAGGAGGATAAAGAAATCTACTCCTTGAATCTGTCTCTACTCTCAACATATTAGAGCTCCAACAAATAATGTCATGGTAGTGAAAGCTGCAACCCACACGCAAGCTGCCTTAGTAAAAAGAAAAAAAAGTTCTTTAGGCGGGAATTAAGACATATTGTGTCTTAACTCTTTCAGGCCCATGAATTTTGACAGACTTGGCCCACATTAATTTCCCTTTACAAAAATGGCTGAGGGGTGGGTGTACAAGAAAGGCTGTAGAGACTGTAATATACTTCTAATCCCTATAACAGTATATATTTTTTAAACGAGAAATGAGTGTACATTCTGAATCTGATGATAAGTGTTTGTTTAATTTTGTTATAGTTAGTGGAAAAGAAGAATTCAGCAGGTGTTAATTTCACAAGGACAACATTTCACAAAAAAATTCCTTCACTTACCATGGTTTTGCAGCCACAAGAATAGTAAATATCCAAATTTGAGAACAAAACTTCAAAGTTTGTTCAATGTCCTAACATATTCTAAAGTTATGATAACTTTCTGGGTTAGTTTATCACTCAGGGGCTCTTAGTTCCTACCGAGTGCTAAGCAAAATTTCAGAGAAAAAATGGCAGAAAAATGAGCCATAACACACACACACTATTTTCTATTCACTTTGTACAGTTATTTACAGACTGTAGCTGCGATGATTTCAATGTAGCTTAGCCATAGTATAGTACCATCTCTTTGTTTAGAGCACTTTCCTTCTCTTACACCATAAATATGGTAGTATGGGACATTGTCTGTGTAATAAACTCGTCAGAATCGCTAGATTCCGAACAGCTGATCGCTCAGCTTCACTGGTGAAAATTCACTGTCTGAATCACTTTCCGAAAAATCTAAATTTTTATTATCATTTTCACAATTAAAAACATCTGACTGAAACAATTTCAGAGCTTCGGCCGCAGAAAGATGCATTCTGCGACCTGTTCTTGTGGTTAGAACATTGGTATTCAGTGCACTCAAAAACGAACTTAGAAAATAAACTATTAAAAAAAATTTGATGTTTTTTTTCTCTCAAATTATCCGCGTGTGGTTTAGTCCAAGAAGTGAAACTAAAAGGATTTTGGCTGAGTGACTTTCCCTGAATAGGTTATTCGTACCTCCAAACATTAGAAACTAGTACGAACGTGCATGCGAAGCAAAATGTAAGAGATACACGATTAACGATGACGCCGTTGTTTGGGCAGAACGGAACTTCTCAAACTACGCTCATACCGTTGTTTGGGCCTTAAAGAGTTAAGCCTGACAGAAGATGTTCCTTATGAAGTCTAATTAGCAGCAACAGTAAAACTGAGTGCACTAACCATGAATCCTATTCTGAATCAAAATAAATGAAACTATAATCATCACACTAAACATTTGTTTATTTTCCTGAATACAAAACTAACGTGCTTCACAGATAATACATTAATAAACATTGTATCCATACACACCATGTGCTAATCACCTCAGGTAACAATGATAAAAGTTTGCTTCGAACTACCTGATCTAAAATATCTCGGAGCGAAGATACTCATTGAAATCTAGGTCTCACACATCTGACTACTGGAAAAAATTTAGATCTAACACCAGAACTAACTATTAAAAGGTACGAAAACCGTCAAAACAACGAGCCAACCCATCCCTCTTCTCTCATGCCCTGAAACCCACGTTGCTTAAACAGCCATGAGCAACTGCGCAACAACGATGGGTGGGAGGAGATAACCTTAGCACGGCTTGCGAGGTCAGAGGGCGGAAGCTTAACTCTTTGAGTCCCAAGGAACGCATCACGCGCTCATTTTTTACTACTTGGCGGCCCAAACATCGCATGACGTGTGACGGTTTTTAATTTACCACTTATCGGTAATTACACGTGGACCGCTCAATTTAAACTTCCTTTCCGGTTCTCAAGTGTGTAGTGTACACACGTGGAGTGCATTCGTTTGGGTCTGGTGAGTTTTTAACGCTTTAAATCGATATTTGTGTGGTCTACTACATTACCAAACAATTGTCTGAAAACAATATGACCGATCAGTCATCGTCTTCACGCCCATCAAAGCGATTTACTGTTTTTATAATCATCAAATTTGATAAAACAGTGGATCAGTTAAAGTAATGTGGAGTTGGATAATGAAAGTAGCGGCGTGAAATTTCCCCAAACCGTTGACGAGTCAAGTTTTGATGAGGATGTGTGCGTAATTTACCTCTTGCGAAGAGGACAAAACTGACTAATTCTGCCTTGGCAACACAAGAGAAGCACCTCGTAACGCGACACCAGCTAGTCCAAATGTCAGCGCTTCTAGTACTTCTATCCATATCATCTAAAACCATAGATATATATCTATGAACAGATTGACATGTTTACAGTGCCTTTACAGTTTTTTTCTATGTGAGGAATTCAATTGTTTTTAGAAAAGTCACTGTTTGTGCCACTGAAGAATATATTTTGACGTGTTATGGTAGTGTTATTAAAATCGCTATGGAACAAAAACTATTGCACATCTTGCTTTAATATTGGCTGTGCATACTTATAAGTGGTGTACCTTCCTTTGTGATGTATTTTGGATATACTATATCAAGAATGTTGGGATCAGCTTCTGGGTAAGTGGAAAAAACTTGTTCATAATTTACTCACCTCTCAAACTAAGTCACTGTTTTCTCTACTAAAAACTAACTAACAGTATAATTGTTTGTTGTAGCAGTATGCTAATATTAATCCTTATCCATTTATGTTTAATTTTATGTATGATATGTGTATGTTGGACATCAGCTGCAGTTGTGAGGTTTGTTTTAAAGTGCTGCATTTGTTAAAAGTCAAAATCATATTACCCCTCTTGGGCCCCTGGTGCAAAACCCCCTGGGACTCAAAGAGTTAAGTGACCCATTTTTTTTTCAGTCTGTTCTTTTTATCCTCACGAACTTGCCAGATTTTTTATGACGGGCAGCCAGACCAAAAATATTAACCCATTTTTTTGGGCACACAATTAAAACAAAAACTCATGTCTATCAAACTTGTGTTCTCAACACTATGCTTTATGGCAGTGAAACTTGTACAACTTATTCGCACCAGGAAAAACGGCTCAATAGCTTTTACATGCGATGCTTAAGAAGAATACTTGACATTTAGTGGCAAGACAAGATCACAAACACTGAGCTATTTATTGGAAAGAGCAGGTATTACATCAGTTTTCTCAGTGCTCAGTCTACAAAGGCTCAGGTAGCTGGGTCACACTTGGAGGACATCCTCTATGGTGAGTTACAGATAGGTAGAAGATGTCAAGGCTGGCCTTTTACTACAATAGAAAGATTTGTGCGAGCAGGATATAAATCATACAGGTAGTAAGTTGTATTCGTGAGAACATGTACCACGGAGGAGGCAAATCAGGAAGGGAATGAGAATAAAAATAAAAAAAATTATTGCAGAAAAGAAAAGATTTGAGAAGACACACTCTAAATACATTTGATTTCAGGAACAGTCCTAAAATCCCATGCTATAAGAAGACTTTTTAAAAATATGAGCAGGTCTTGTTTGTGACCCTCACCATCACTGTGGGCTGTGAGTCCTGCGCTTCCTCATAGCACAATATAACACTATCATTCTGGACAGACAGAAAGGTGGCTACAACAATAGGTAAACTTAAGGATTTTGTAGACAGGGCAGTGATAGAACTATAAGAGGCACATTCACAGGATGTTGTAGACAGGGCACTGGTAGAGCTAGAAGAGGTACATTCACAAGATGTTGTAGACAGGGCAGTGGTAGAGCTAGAAGAGGTACATTCATATGATATTGTAGACAGGGCACTGGTAGAGCTAGAAGAGGTACATTCATATGATGTTGTAGACAGGGCACTGGTAGAGCTAGGAGAGGTACATTCATATGATGTTATAGACAGGGCACTGGTAGAGCTAGGAGAGGTACATTCATATGATATTGTAGAAAGGGCACTGGTAGAGCTAGGAGAGGTACATTCATAGAATGTTGTAGACAGGGCACTGGTAGAGCTAGAAGAGGTACATTCACAGGGTGTTGTAGACAGGGCACTGGTAGAGCTAGGAGAGGTACATTCAAATGATGTTGTAGACAGGGCACTGGTAGAGCTAGGAGAGGTACATTCATATGATATTGTAGACAGGGCACTGGTAGAGCTAGGAGAGGTACATTCACAGGATGTTGTAGACAGGGCACTGGTAGAGCTAGGATAGGCACATTCACAGGATGTTGTAGACAGGGCACTGGTAGAGCTAGGAGAGGTACATTCATATGATATTGTAGACAGGGCACTGGTAGAGCTAGGATAGGCACATTCACAGGATGTTGTAGACAGGGCACTGGTAGAGCTAGGAGAGGTACATTCATATGATGTTGTAGACAGGGCACTGGTAGAGCTAGGAGAGGTACATTCATATGATGTTGTAGACAGAGCACTGGTAGAGCTAGGATAGGCACATTCACAGTGTCGTGAAATAATAGCCATTACGCATCGGTCTGTAAGGCTGATAACCTGTCTTACCTGTAATCTGCACAAAATTCAAACTTGGACTCGCCCAGAAATATATAGTCCCTTATATCTATATATATAGGCCTGTATTGGACAACATTATTATGTCTGCCTTTTCTGGTTACTTTAACTAAACTCCACTTTTAAATGTATATCTCTTGGAGATATATTAAGGGAATTATTTGAGGTTTCTTGGAAACCGATTTACTCCTTGCCCAAGTATACATGGGACTCCTTTTGTACCAACGCCTGAGGTGTCTAAGTGACGCTATTCTCCTTGCCAGCTTCTCAAGCGTCCAGATGTGTTAATCTGTGCCTGTATAAATTTCACTTTCCAAGGCAATCTGGAATGTCTCAGTTTTTACATATGCTTGGGTAAGTTAATTATAGTTTACGAGTACCTAGAATGATGTCTGTAAAGTAGTCACTGCTGTAGAGAAATCAGTATCGGCTGTGTGATCTCACTTAGTTCGACCGTTCTTGATCGCTAGAGTAGCGGATTCGAACGTAGATCTCCCACTGTACAGACTAAATAACTGATGCCCTCAATAAACCACCCATACTGGTAAAACTTAATACCCTTACAAAGATGTACGTTTGAAACTAACTAGAGAATCTGTACATACGAAATGGGGACAGAATTGGGTCAGGGCTTTGTTAATCAAAGTATGTGTGTGCTTGACCCAGATCAATGAGTGCTGGGGCGGTTGAGAAAGCTAGTGAATGCAGGTACTGACAGTAAATATTGGTGTCTGTGTGCAGAGTGAGGGGGAGAGGGAGAGTGATATATGTGTTAGACCACTTTATCTATCTCCACTGTATATCTGACTTGCCTTCTCTTGCACTAAACAGACAGATAAATATAGGAGACTTATGTCTTTTGGTCTGGAGAGGCTATCTGAGGAATGAAACAGGAGAGCAGGGAGGAGTAAGCAGATGTGGGATATGACTGATGCTTGTTCTGTCTTTCCTGTCAAGATGTTACCCTCTTGGTGATGACTAATTCTGAGTTATTTCTTGGCAGGATGAGTCCTTTGTGAGGAGCTGGCAGAGGATTCACAGTCCAACCAACATCCACCAACCATACCCTATAACCCAGCAGTCAATTAACCCATCACCCACTTATTATCTCCCAATTACCAATTGAGAAGACTGTCCTCCTCAAGATGGGGTACAATATAACCCAAACATCATCCAGTGCCAGAGCATGTGTGTAACTCAGGGACAGTACTGTGAGTTACTCGTGGGAGCAGTTGCTGTGTGCCTATCAAGGTGCTGTGTGCCTATCCAGTTGCTGTGTGCCTATCCAGTTGCTGTGTGCCTATCCAGTTGCTGTGTGCCTATCAAGGTGCTGTGTGCCTATCCAGTTGCTGCGTCCTCTATGGTGAGGTACTCTTCCATTACCTGATCCTGTTGAGCAGAAGTACCAGGGTCAAAGACAGTCGATTTACCCGGAGCGGAGTGAGACATCAACAGTGGAACTGGGATAAGTGACAATTATGTCTCAATTATGCTATATTCCCCACAGCTCCACTGGATTCCAAGGATGAACATATGCTTCTTCCAAGACTGTCTGACTGTTTAACTGTGGTTGATTATAGTCATTGTATTCTGGAATCCAGCTGTTGTGTTTTGACATCTACTTCACTATTTTCTATTTTGAATATTATACTAAATACATGCATTCATTTTCATGGCTGACTTAGGTTTCTCTATGTCACCTTTTTAAGTGTTTAGCAGTTGTGTATGTATGTATCTTCATTATATGTGTTAACATGGTTATGATAATGAACTATCATAACCTGGGGGCTTTCTTTAGTAAGTAGTGGGGGTGTCCAGCCAAGTGTGCCTAGAAATATGGTATTTATATACTGATATATTTTGTAGTGCCAATACTTGAGTTGCCCTACTCCAGAGATAAGTTGAGCGTATATTGGCCACGGGGAATCCCTTAGACCAATACGAGCCAAACGACTCAACATAATTATCTCTGAGTGCTGTTGGTTCTGAAGGAGAAATCCTTACATTAGGCACGCGACAGGAGTGATATGTGACACACAGTATGTTGTAGACAGGGCAGTGGTAGAGCTAGGAGAGGTACATTCACAGGATGTTGTAGGCAGGGCACTGGTAGAGCTAGGATAGGCACATTCACAGGATGTTGTAGACAGGGCCATGGTAGAGCTAGAAGAGGTACATTCACAAGATGTTGTAGACAGGGCAGTGGTAGAGCTAGAAGAGGTACATTCACAGGATGTTGTAGACAGGGCACTGGTAGAGCTAGAAGAGGTACATTCACAGGATGTTGTAGACAGGGCACTGGTAGAGCTAGGATAGGCACATTCACAGGATGTTGTAGACAGGGCACTGGTCGAGCTAGGAGAGGTACATTCACAGGATGTTGTAGACAGGGCACTGATAGAGCTAGGAGAGGTACATTTACAAGATGTTGTAGTGAAGCTGTTGTTTTCAGTTATTTCTGTCACTGGTGCAACTGAGGCTTTGTACTTGTGAATAAAGCTGTCATTTTCAGTTAGTTCTGTCACTGGTGCAACTGAGACTCCATACTTGTGAATGAAGCTGTTGTCAGTTGGTTATGTCACTGGTGCAACTGAGACTCCATACTTGTGAATGAAGTTGTTGTCAGTTGGTTATGTCACTGGTGCAACTGAGACTCCATACTTGTGAATGAAGCTGTTGTCAGTTGGTTATGTCACTGGTGCAACTGAGACTCCATACTTGTGAATGAAGTTGTTGTCAGTTGGTTATGTCACTGGTGCAACTGAGGCTCCATACTTGTGAATGAAGTTGTTGTCAGTTGGTTCTGTCACTGGTGCAACTGAGACTCCACACTTGTGTGAATGAAGCTGTTGACAGTTGGTTCTGTCACTGGTGCAACTGAGACTCCATACTTGTGAATAAAGCTGTTGTCAGTTGGTTATGTGACTGGTGCAACTGAGGCTCTTTACTTCTGTCTGAAGTAAGAGAACAGCTGAAACAGTTACAGATAAACGATACTCTTTTACTGACATATACATATGCAGAATAGAGGGAATTAAAAGGCTAGATAGAATCACTGAGCTAAAGCTTTGGGGAAGAAGTAAACAAATTCCAGTGAATTAAGGGGTAAGGAAAAGATGCTGACAATGGATATAACAGCATGCTGAGAAAACTTGATAACAGTATAACTAAAACGTCCCTGCACAGGAAGCTACATGGTAAAAGGATTAAATTCAGACTACAAAACACACACAGGGAGGAATTGAAAAGTGAAACGAGAGATAAGGTGGACATGAGTGTGATGGAGTTAACAGAGGAGAGGTGTACTTGGTGTGAGTTGATTGAGGGCCTATGCCAGGGCCATTTAGGTAAGTTTATTCAGGGGTCAACATGTTGGAAATTGGTGATCTGTGGGCCCCTTGCTAGGCTTCTGCTGGCCAGATTTGGTTCACAGGTCCCCAGTTGAATAGCCCTTACCTATGCTCAAGATGGGGGGTTTTGCTAAAGGACAGAAGAAGAAGAGGAACTGATGCTGGACGTAACCGTATGTTGCTATCCGTGTACCACAGTTTGGACCAGCACTGCTAATTCTTCTAGAGCAGTCCCTGATGCACATATTCATTGATCCCTTTGTCTTCACAGGAGTTTGCCTTCTTGACTCTGATTCGTGCTGTCCGAGGTGTCCAGAGGAAACAGTTGCAAGATTCCAATCAAGTTAAATCCTACTGGAAGAATAAGCAGCATATAAAACGGCTCAAGGTATCAAAGTTTTACTTAAACTAAGTCTCATGTAAGTGTAGGATACGAGAACCTTGTGTAAAGTCAAAAAACCATGCACACCCTACAGAAACCCAGACAGAACACTTACTATAAAAGGACTTAACACAGGGCTTCTTCTATTGTGTCAATACTACCAGTCCTAGAGTAGACATTGTGAATTGGAAATGATTCAGCCGTGTGCAGTTCAGTAATCAGCCATCCCTTCTGATAAATACATGAATCCTGTGGTAGTTAGCCACGGGTATCAGATAATACAGTTATATGGGATGGAACTGTTGTGTAACGAAGAGACTATTACTGTATAGTAACCTTTGCTTTCACAAAATGTTTAATTACTTTTGGCTGATGTCTCCTTCCCGTACTTCCTTACCTAGTCACTCCTCTTCTACCTTGGGGTCTAGAGATTTGCCAGAGTGATCGTCAGACTTCTCTGTCAACAGTTTTCTTTTTGACTTTGTTCCATTCGGTCAGGCAGAGTTAGATATAAAACTGGACGAAAAGTGTATATGCGAGCTTCAAAATATAACAAAATGTGAACGTTGCGGCTATGGAGCCTTTTTCAGCTCACACATAAATTAGACAATACTACACAAATACACATCACTTATCTTTGTATCTCGAGGCAGCCAATAGTCTGGCGATGAACGTTGGGCCGGGAAAATAAATATCCCAGGAAATGCCAGGGACTGTCACTTGAGGATAAGATGAAACTATGTAGACAGTTCAGCCCCCTAGGATTTAGATGAAGCTGGGTTGGCAGTTTAGTCCACTGGGCGCCAAAGTTCCCAAAGTGTATTTAAAGCGATTTTCAAGAGACTTACAAACTCTGTCGCTGGAGTGGCTAGATTTAATGGCTGTTACTTCCATGTCGTGGACACCTTGGTTGTCCTGGGAATGGAAATGCAGTGGTACTGGTTTCAGGGTGTCGTTTTGCACGTCCAAAAGTTGTTGTCTGAACCTGTCAGGACTGTCAGATGTCTTTCCAGTAGACCCTGGGTCATCCTGGTGGTCTGTTTCCATTTTTCTTCGCCACCTGTGCCTGCCATGGTGGCTGATTTTGCATATATTACCAAACCCTGGTAACTGTGACTGATCCCCTCGAGTTTGTAAGGCCTGGATTTCAAGGTCAAATTTGTCCCCTGTCACTTGGACCACTTTTCTCAGATACTTAATTTCTGAGGTGTGAAGTTGGCTTCTGTGAGCTTATAGGCACATAGGTAAAGTGGTATACAGCGATTTTGGTACACTTACTAATTTGTCTTTTGCTAAGAAACCCCAGTTTTTGGCCTTTGAAAGTCTTCCAGCTGCTGCTTTTTGAGCAGCCAATTCTGACTTGATGCCTTCATTTTGGTCTATTACACTTCCAAGGTATATTTGCTTCACTCATTTTGTCATCATTATGTTATGTCTACTTCAAGAGCAAACATTTGAGTCATTACATCATATGACATTTGTATAATCTGTGATGTGATTGTTAGCACCGTCATCATCATCATCATCAAGTGCTGTGGTGTTAAGCTTTGGCTGCCATGTTTCCCATCTTGTACAATCACAGATGAGGTCAGTGTTCTTGTTCATGTGCCTAAGCCATCCAGGTATTTATCTGTGTGCCTGCCCCTTGCTCTCTTTCCACCAATCTTATCTGTTGTTATCAGTTTTTGATGTCCATCCTTTTTCATGACGTGTCCGATGAACATTGACTGTTTAATTTCTCTGATCAGCTGACAACTTTCATCTATTTCCAGAAAGACTGCCTCAGTTTTGTGGGATTCCGTGAGATTCTGTGCATTGTTCTCAAACACCAGGTCTCTGCTGCAAGCTAATGCACTATGACAACCCAGCCCATCGCTGGATGTAGTAACTGCAGCTAGCTTTTGTTTTGTGTTGGTCTCTTGCAGGTGGAGCTCAAGAAAATTGGTGTAGACAATGATGCTGAAACCAAACGGTTCAAGATGGCCTTGTGGACTCTGCAGGATAGCTTGCAGGAGCACAACATCCGCAGTGAGATGGAGAACAAGTACACTGTGCACTTGTGTAAGTTCATTGATAACTAGTTATAGGTGATCTGTGCAATTGATTTGCTTGTACTCATTGTTGATTAGAATGACATACATTTCTTCGCAACGTCTAAGCCACAGATTCCAACTGATACACATATATACTATGTAAATACAGACAAATGCACACATTTTATATAAATGCAGGCACAGTATATAAAAATAATATTAAAAAAAAATAAAACCACATATAAATCCAGGCATGGATAGACATATACTATATAAAAACAGACAAATACACACAGGCACAGATAGATATTGAATAAATACAGACAGATACACACATTTTATTTAAACGTAGGCACAGATAGATATTATGTAAATACACACATTTTGGGGAGCCACCATGGCCTAGCAGCTAGACGCTCGAGTGCGGATCGGAAGGTTGTGGGTTTGCTCCCTGGAGGAGCCAAACTTTTTTCAAAAATGACCTTGACTCCCAAGTCAACCCAGCCTTGAGTGGGTACCGGGTGCAGGAAGTAAGGGCGGCCGGCCTGATGCTGATCACATCACCCATCTTGTGCTGATTGGTCTATAAAAGTATAGGTCTAGCCCTCTATGCCTAAGGGCGTGGAAAATGGATCTCACTTCACACACACACACAGGCACATATATAAATACAGACAAATACACACACTTTATATAAATTAACTTTGTCATATAAATGCAAGTACAGATAGACAGATGTTGAGTAAATACAAATCGCAGAACCAACCCCAACAGCCCTTGGCTGTTGTGTGGTTTCTCTAGGCAAGTTACATCCGGTAGTTTGTAAATATAAATACACACACATTTTATATAAACACAGGCATTGATAGAGAGATCCTAAATAAATACAGACAAATACACACATTTTATATAAACACAGGCACAGTTAGATGTTATAAAAATACAGGAAAGAATATTTATTGCACAAACACAAGCACAGATAGCCAGTCATTATGTAGATATAGACAGTTACTCATATTTTTTATATGAAAACAGACACGGATAGGCAGATATGTAAAAATAGGCAAATGCCCACATAGCTATATCAATAAATGTGGATACAAATATTATTTATCTACATGTGACTTTCCTCTGAGGTACAGTGATGACCACATCGTCTGGTCACTCACTGCTGGACCATTCTCTCCAGACCATAATGATCCATTCGTGTTTCCACATTTTTTACTGACTTTCTAAGGACCTTGACCACATCGTCTGGTCACTCACTGCTGGACCATTCTCTCCAGACCATAATGATCCATTCGTGTTTCCACATTTTTTACTGACTTTCTAAGGACCTTGACCACATCGTCTGGTCACTTACTGTTGGGCCATTCTTTCCAGACCATAATGATCAATTCGTGTTTCCACATTGTTTACTGACTTTCTAACGACCTTGACCACATTGTTTGGTCACTCACTGATGGACCATTCTCTCTAGACCAAAACGATCCATTCGTGTTTCCACATTATTTATTGGCTTTCTAAGGACTTTGACCACATCGAGCTTACCACGCATCAGTTTCTTACCCAGTGCTGCAGCAGAGGTGAAGAACAGCCATCCTACAGATGGTGTTTCTGATGTTTCGGTCCCCTAAACGGTTACGTCTCTGTGATATATCAGCTGCCTAAATGTCATGTTTCTGTGGTGCATAAATCCCTTATTGTCATGTTTCTGTGATGTATCAACCCCCTAAATATAATGTCTCTGTGATATATCAACCCCCTAAATTGCATTATTCTGTGATGTATCAATTCTCTAAATGTCATATTTCTGTCATGTATCACCTCCCTAAATGTCATGTTTCTGTGATGTATCAACCTCCTAATTCTTATGATGGATGATGTCATCAAGACCTGTAAGGAGAAGACAAAGAAGTACTCTGTAGGGTACTGGAAGATGAGACCAATCTGTATATCAGAGCTGGCTTTTGCAGACGATGTGGCCCTGATAGCTAAATCAGAGGCACACCTTCAGTCCAACTTACTTGTCTGGAAGGAAGAGCTTGAAAAGAAAGGGATGACCATCAGTGTCTCCAAAACTAAAACCATGGTGATCTCAAGAGAGGAGAAGAAACACCAGATCATGATGGGTCAGTATGCGTTGGAGCAGGTTAACCAGTTCAAATACCTTGGAGTTGTATTAGACCAGAATGGAGGCATTAAGACTGAGCTGGCTACACGAAAAGCAGCTGCTGGGAGACTCTTCCAGGCCATAAACCGAGGGTTTCTTAGCAAAAGAGAAATTGGCAAGAGGACGAAAATGGCTGTTTACCGCTCTACCTATGTACCAGTCCTGACCTATGGGTGTGAGTCATGGGCAATGACAACAGCTCACAGAAGCCAGCTGCAGGCCTCGGAAATGAGATACCTGAGAAAGGTGGTCCAAGTGACAAGAAGGGACAAAGTCCGCAATCAGACAATACGTCAAGATCTTGATACCCAGCCCTTACTAACCCGAGTGGATCAGTCACAGTTACGATGGTTTGGACATGTGTGCAGAATGGGAGAAAATCGGCCACCATGGCAAGCATGGGAGGCTAAGAACCAGGGAACCAGACCTCCGGGACGACCCAGTGTGCGCTGGGAAGACAACATCCGACTGTCCCTGACTGACAGAGGACTGGAATGGAACAAAGCCAGAAAGAAAACTGCTGATAGAGACGTCTGGCGATCTCTCTGGCAAACCTCTACACCCCAAGGTAGAAGAGGAGCGACTAAGTAAGTAAGTAAGTAATCAACCTCCTAAATGTAATGTTTTATGTTATGTATCAACTGACTTTATGTCATGTTTCTGTAATGTATCAGCTGTCTAAATTTCATGTTTCAGTGATGTATCAACCCCCTAAATGTCATGTTTCTTTGATATATCAAACCCCCAAAATATCATTTCTGTGATGTATCACCCCCTAAATGTCATGTTTCTGTGATGTATCAGCTCCCGAAATGTCATATTTCTGTGATGTATCGACCACCTAAATGTCTTGTTTCTGCAATGCATCAAATGCCTAAATGTCATGTTTCTGTAATGTATCAACTCCTCAAATGTCACGTTTCTGTGATGTTTACCCCTTTTATATTTGGCTGTTGTAGCTACTCATAGCAGTGGCTGTTTCTGTCATACTCTTCCTATACATGATGTTCTTCCTACAGCTGCTATTTTATCTTCTCCCATAAAGTGATATTTCTCCCCCACATGTTGCATTTTCTGTTCTCCCATAAAGTGATGTTTCTCCTTCATAGGTTGCATTTTGTTTTCTCCCACAAAGTAATGTTTCTCTCTATAGGTGGCACTTTATCTTCTCCCATAGAGTGACATTTCTCCCTACAGGTGGCACTTTATCTTCTCCCATAGAGTGATGTTTCTCCCTACACGTGGCACTTTATCTTCTCCCATAGAGTGATGTTTCTCCCTACACGTGGCACTTTATCTTCTCCCTTAAAGCGACATTTCTCCCTACAGGTGGCACTTTATCTTCTCCCATAAAGTGATGTTTCTCCCCCACATGTTGCATTTTGTGTTCTCCCATAAAGTGATGTTTCTCCTCCATAGGTTGCATTTTGTATTCTCCCACAAAGTAATGTTTCTCTCTATAGGTGGCACTTTATCTTCTTCCATAGAGTGACGTTTCTCCCTACAGGTGGCACTTTATCTTCTCCGGTAGAGTGACATTTCTCCCTACAGGTGGCACTTAATCTTCTCCCATAGAGTGACATTTCTCCATACAGGTGGCACTTTATCTTCTCCCATAGAGTGATGTTTCTCCCTACAGGTAGCACTTTTTGTTCTCCCATAGAGTGACATTTCTTCCTACAGGTCGCATTTGATCTTCTCCCATAGAGTGATGTTTCTCCCTACAGGTGACATTTTATCTTTTGTAGAGTAATGTTTCTCCCTAAAAGTGGCATTTTATCTTCTCCTATATAGTGTTGTTTCTCCCTACAGGTGGCTTTTCTTCTCCCGTAGAGTGATGTTTCTCCCTACAAGTGACATTTTATCTTTTATAGAGTAATGTTTCTCCCTACAGGCGGAATTATTTCTTCTCCTGTAGAGTGATGTTTCTTCCCCACAGGTGGTATATTATCTTCTCCCACAAAGTAATGTTTCTCCCCACAGGTGGCCTTTTATCTTATCACACAAAGTAATGTTTCTGCACTGTTCGCTTCATTTGTGATCTAAAACCTATTAATCACAGTTGATGCTACTCTGATATCTAGTAGCCACAGACAAATGTTTTGTTTGCAGGTCAGATGAGACTGTCTAAGAGTAAAAAAATTTGCACAGCTAAAGAGAGTGTTATACAAGGCCTTCTGATGGACATGAAAAAGAAATACCAGTTTGAATATTCGGTGCATGCTGCCATGGTGCACATCATCAACAAACTGAAGTCAGAGGCTGAGGTATTTCTCCTGGTGATATTCTGTTGTCATTGTGAACTTGATACATTTGTACAAAATAGAGTTAGTTCACAGCCATGTTCTCCTGGTAATGTTCTGTTGTCATTGTGAACTTGATACAGTTGTACACAAGAGAGTTAGTTCACAGCCATGTTCTCCTGGTGATGTTCAGTTGTCATTGTGAACTTGATACAGTTGTACACAACAGAGTTAGTTCACAGCTATGTCATTGTGAACTTGATACAGTTGTACACAAGAGAGTTAGTTCACAGCCATGTTCTCCTGGTAATGTTCTGTTGTCATTGTGAACTTGATACAGTTGTACACAAGAGAGTTAGTTCACAGCCATGTTCTCCTGATGATGTTCTGTTGTCATTGTGAACTTGATACAGTTGTAACCAACAGAGTTAGAGTTAGTAAACATCTGTGTATGCTATACAGTTGTAACCAACAGAGCTAGTATACATCTTTGTATGCTATACAGTTGTAACCAATAGAGTTAGTATACATCTGTGTGTGCTATACAGTTGTAACCAACAGAGTTAGTATACATCTGTGTATGCTATACAGTTGTAACCAACAGAGTTAGTATACATCTGTGTATGCTATACAGTTGTAACCAACAGAGTTAGTATACATCTGTGTGTGCTATACAGTTGTAACCAACAGAGTTAGTATACATCTGTGCATGCTATACAGTTGTAACCAACAGAGTTAGAATACATCTGTGTACGCTATACAGTTGTAACCAACAGAGTTAGTATACATCTGTGTGTGCTATACAGTTGTAACCAACAGAGTTAGTATACATCTGTGTATGCTATACAGTTGTAACCAACAGAGTTAGTATACATCTGTGTATGCACAAACACACATACACACACAACATGAGATGAACTGTGTTGTTAATTGCAAGAAATGGGCTAAATGTAGTTGCTGTACTGTTTACAAATTGACTGATTGTTGTTTGTACTACTGCTGGGCTAAGAAGTGCAAAAGAAATTCTGTAGGTGAATTTTTAAAAAAGAATATTTTTTAAATGAAACTTCAAATTAGTATAGGTGATCAAAGAATTTGCAGTATCATAATTTATGTAGGCCTAAGTGATTGCCTGAATCAGTGCAGTGTGCTTCATGATTGCCTGAATCAGTGCAGTGTGCTTCATGCCTGAATCAGTGCAGTGAGCTTCATGATTGCCTGAATCAGTGCAGTGTGCTTCATGATTGCCTGAATCAGTGCAGTGTGCTTCATGCCTGAATCAGTGCAGTGTGCTTCATGCCTGAATCAGTGCAGTGTGCTTCATGATTGCCTGAATCAGTGCAGTGTGCTTCATGCCTGAATCAGTGCAGTGTGCTTCATGATTGCCTGAATCAGTGCAGTGTGCTTCATGATTGCCTGAATCAGTGCAGTGTGCTTCATGCCTGAATCAGTGCAGTGTGCTTCATGATTGCCTGAATCAGTGCAGAGTGCTACATGATTGCCTAAATCAGTGCAGTGTGCTTCATGATTGCCTGAATCAGTGCAGTGTGCTTCATGATTGCCTGAATCAGTGCAGTGTGCTTCATGCCTGAATCAGTGCAGTGTGCTTCATGATTGCCTGAATCAGTGCAGTGTGCTTCATGATTGCCTGAATCAGTGCAGTGTGCTTCATGCCTGAATCAGTGCAGTGTGCTTCATGCCTGAATCAGTGCAGTGTGCTTCATGATTGCCTGAATCAGTGCAGTGTGCTTCATGCCTGAATCAGTGCAGTGTGCTTCATGCCTGAATCAGTGCAGTGTGCTTCATGCCTGAATCAGTGCAGTGTGCTTCATGCCTGAATCAGTGCAGTGTGCTTCATGCCTGAATCAGTGCAGTGTGCTTCATGCCTGAATCAGTGCAGTGTGCTTCATGATTGCCTGAATCAGTGCAGTGTGCTTCATGCCTGAATCAGTGCAGTGTGCTTCATGATTGCCTGAATCAGTGCAGTGTGCTTCATGCCTGAATCAGTGCAGTGTGCTTCATGATTGCCTGAATCAGTGCAGTGTGCTTCATGATTGCCTGAATCAGTGCAGTGTGCTTCATGCCTGAATCAGTGCAGTGTGCTTCATGATTGCCTGAATCAGTGCAGAGTGCTTCATGATTGCCTGAATCAGTGCAGTGTGCTTCATGATTGCCTGAATCAGTGCAGTGTGCTTCATGCCTGAATCAGTGCAGTGTGCTTCATGATTGCCTGAATCAGTGCAGAGTGCTACATGATTGCCTAAATCAGTGCAGTGTGCTTCATGATTGCCTGAATCAGTGCAGTGTGCTTCATGATTGCCTGAATCAGTGCAGTGTGCTTCATGCCTGAATCAGTGCAGTGTGCTTCATGATTGCCTGAATCAGTGCAGTGTGCTTCATGATTGCCTGAATCAGTGCAGTGTGCTTCATGCCTGAATCAGTGCAGTGTGCTTCATGATTGCCTGAATCAGTGCAGAGTGCTACATGATTGCCTAAATCAGTGCAGTGTGCTTCATGATTGCCTGAATCAGTGCAGTGTGCTTCATGATTGCCTGAATCAGTGCAGTGTGCTTCATGATTGCCTGCATCATTGCAGTGTGCTTCAGGTAAAAGTGTCCTTTCACATCAAGCAATATGGGGTCCAAATGGAGCAATGATGCGCAATACAAGACTCTTAATGTCTATTAGCCTCTCTTGCTCAAGCCTACCTCACCTTCACGTGGTGGACCCTGTTCTTCCCAGCAATCCAGTTGAAGGTTGGGGTCTTAACCCCCAGCGGGAAACTGGATGGGACAACAAACGAGGTAAAGGCGAAGGGATGAGCCTACTCTCCCTCCCAAGAGATCCTGAAGTCGGAAATACTGGGCCAGAAGGCGGATCAAAAACCACAGTACTACGCAACCCCACGCTATATATATGTTTACACCGTCAGACAAATTTAATGTTGGTGCTCGCCCTGTGGAACTCCACCAGGCAGGTGCAGTGCCGGGTTCTGAGCCTCGACAGAATCCACCCCCAGCTACTGGAGGACCTCCTAGACCGTCTTGTGGAGTCAGGAGACGGCGGAGGATAGCTACTGACCAAAACCAGTTAGACAGAAAAGATCCCAAATTGCCTTTTGTCATTATGCACTGGAATGCAGAGGGGGTCAGCAGTAAGCAGGCTGGCTACAGCAAAAAGTTGGAGCTGGAAAACATCCTCTATGAAAAGCATGTCAGTGTATGCTGCATCCAAGAGACCCATTTGCAGGCAGATCAGATATTTAAAGTGAGAGGCTACCAGTGCTTCAGATCTGACAGACAAGGCAGGCGAAAAGGAGGAGTACTCACCCTTGTGAAAAACAGTATCCATCCATGCGAGAAAATGTCTTATATGGATGGAGCTGAGTACCAACTCCTGCAGCTTAAGACAGACAAAGTGGAATTAGAACTCCTTAATTACTACTGTCCCAATGACAAATCGCTAAACCTCAGCTCTGTGCCAGTACCAAACACCAACTTTATTGCAGTTGGAGACTTCAACAGTCATTCACAGAGCTGGGGCTATAACCATCTCGACAATAGGGGTGAAGAGGTGGAAACATGGCAAGATGACCACTCTCTGATCCTGATAAATGCCCCCTCAGATACGCCTACCTTCTACTCCAGAAGGTGGCAGACAACGTCGACCCCAGATCTTGCCTTCTCTACCCCAGATATATCTGGAATGATAAGTAGAGAGGTGGGAGACCAGCTTGGGGGCAGTGACCATCGCCCGATTTTTCTCACTGTCCAGAATGTACCAGTTAATACAGGCCCAGTCATCACAAGATGGAACTACAAGAAAGCCAACTGGGGCCTGTACAGACACAGGACAAGCACATTGTTGTCTGCTCTCAAGGTACAAAATAGGGATATCAATGCTATAGTGCACGATTTCAATAGAAGTATTCTACAAGCTGCAAAAGAAGCAATCCCCAGAGGCTGTCGACACAACTATAGACCGTACTGGTCCAGCACACTCCAGGAATGCCAGGAAACAATGAATCAGACTAGAAAGGATGCAGAATCCCAACCTTCACCTGACAACCACATCAAATGGAAAAGGGCTGTAGCAGTGTTCCAGAGAACTAAACTTGAAGAAAAACGGAAAAGCTGGAGAAATAAAACAGCAGCTCTAAACCTTGATAAAGATGGCAAGAAACTCTGGAGATTAGCCAAATCACTCAATGAAGAGAGTTTCTCGCCTAGACAAACAATCACGCTAAGTGATGGTGACAAAATCTTCAGAGGAAAACAAGCTGCAGATTTGTTTGCCAAAACATTCAGTGTTGAAAGCAACCTGACCCTTAATGAGGACCATCAGAGAGAAATAAGGAAAGAAATACAAACAAGCAAACAAACAAATAAGAGACAGACAGATACTCCTGCCTCTATGAGGGAGCCATTTACCATGGGTGAACTACAAAATGCCATCTTTAGGCTTAAGTTAAAAAAGTCTGCAGGTCCGGATGAAATCAGCAACGAAATGCTAATCAACCTGACCTCATCTGCTAAAGTAAATCTGCTGGAAATTTTCAACATCAGCTGGGAGAAAGGTTTAGTGCCTCAAGTATGGAGAGAAGCCATCACAATACCCATTTTAAAAAAAGGAAAAATTAAGACACAGGCTTCGAGCTATCGCCCAATTAGTCTCACAAGCTGTGTAGGAAAGACATTGGAAAGAATTGTAAATTCAAGACTGAAATGGCACTTAGAATCTGAGCAGATCTTGGTGCCAGAGCAGGCTGGGTTTAGGGAATGTCACAGCATAGAAGATCAAGTCACCTACCTGTCACAAGCTGTAGAGGATGCCTTCCAAGAGAAGAAAAAGGTCCTGGCGGTATGGGTTGACTTCAAACAAGCTTTTGACAAAGTCTGGAAAGATGGTCTCATTGCAAAACTGAAGAGAAATGGAATCCAAGGAAACATGCTAAAATGGATCCAATCCTTCTTACACAGCAGAAGAACTAGAGTCAGTCTTGATGGCCAGCAGAGTAGAAAAGTGTTACTTCGGCAAGGAGTACCACAGGGAGGAGTTATCTCTCCAACTCTCTTTCTTGTGTATATAAATGATCTGGTGAAAGACCTCCCTACAGGAGTAAAAGCTGCCCTGTATGCAGATGATCTGGCACTCTGGTGTACCGATGAACACACCACAGTGGCAAATATAAGAATGCAGCGAGCAGCAGATCTCTTGATGACATGGGCAGAAAAATGGCATGTTGCCATCAACACAGACAAAACATCCACAACGCTTTTCTCTCTTTCCACCAGGGACAAAGCTGCTAGTATTCACCTAGGAACATCCTTGCTAAAGGAAGAAAGCTTCCCCACTTATCTTGGAGTAACATTTGATAAAAGGCTCACATGGAGCAAACATATAGAAAATGTAGAAGGGAAGGCCAGGAGACGACTAGGCCTACTTAGAAAATTGGCAGGTACAGGATGGGGAGCAAATGGAAAAACCCTAAAGAAAGTTTATAATGGAGCGATAAGACCCCACTTGGAGTTTGGTGCAACAGCATGGTCAACAGCTGCTAATTCCCACCTACAATCGTTAGACAGAGTGCAAAATCAAGCTCTTAGACTCATCACAGGATCCATGAAAACTGCACCAATCCTGAAGATGCAGAAAATAACTGCAATGCAGACATTGTCCTATAGAAGAGACACTAAAACTATGATCCAGATGGAGAAGTTTAATAGTATGCAGTCACACCCAATGAATAAAAGGTTAGATGATCTGGCATTAGGGCGTCTCAAACGTAGCAGCTTTGTCCATCGGGGGAAAAGACTTAGAAGACAGTACCAAGCTGATCTACCTATTAGAACAACACCGCTGAAACCTACCCTATACCCTGTACCTTGGGAGCAAGTCAGTGATACAATACAGATAATGACTTCAGTCAATGGATTCACAACTGGAGATGAGTCCAATGATCTTCAAAAACGAACAGCTGCTCTTAGCATGATTCATGAAAACTATCCCGAACAGTCATGGATACATATTTACACAGATGGATCAGCAACCAGCGCGGTTAAAAATGGGGGTGCTGGAGTCTTTATTACATACCCAGGCAACCACCGCCACACAAAGTGGATACCCACTGGTAAATTCTGTTCCAACTACACAGCAGAGATTGTAGCACTAGAGCAGGCTGCCGAAATGTTACACAACACCAGTTCTGACTGCCACCAAGTGGTTATATTCACAGATGCGCTTTCAGTGCTTCAAGCCCTCAAGAGTGGCAAACTCCCTCACTTGAGATCTAAACTTGGCAAGGTGGCTGCCCAAAAGTGTACTGTACTCCAGTGGGTGCCATCCCACTGTGGTATACCAGGAAACGAAACCGCAGATAAACTTGCTAAAAAAGGGGCAGAATGTGACCAAGAAGAGAATGCAGTAACATACTATGAGAAGAAAAGGGCCATCCAGGCTATCAGAAGTGAACAGAGTCTGGCCAGAGATGACTACCACTTACTTGACCGGCATGGGCAGGTCATTGTCCTACGTCTCAGGACAGGACATAACAAACTTAACCAGCATATGCACAGGCTTCGTCTAAGTAGTTCACCTTTTTGCCCTTGTGGGCTATGTGTGCAGACTACAGAACATGTCCTGCAAGACTGTCCCTTGTTCAGCCCATTAAGAAAGGAATACTGGCCCAGTGAGTCACCACTGTACACAAAGTTGTATGGGACTAAAAATGAACTCATTAAAACAGTCAAGTTTATCACAAGAACCTGTCTGTCGGTGTAAATCAGAAAGCGAACACAAGAAGAAGAAGAAGAATCAAGCAATATGTCAAGCAAAGTGGGAGTCACCTGAGCACAAAAAAAGAGAATCTGATTGGTGACACCTGTCTTCAGAAAACATTTAGATTAATTATTGGTATACACGTATAGACAGATGTACATCTATGTTAAATTGTGTTTAATGGTCAGAGAATAGACATCATTGCACCTGGTTGTATGGGACATGTCTCAGTTACTGTTGGCCCATTGAGTGTCTGTAGCTTCCCTTGCACAAGCACCTCCAAGGATGGAGCCCACAGTTTAGCCCATAACCATCAGAGCGAGAGGCACCCTGTCCTTTTGGGCATGTGTACTGAGATTACAAACTATGATAAGTACAACTGAGATGAAAACAAGAGAAACATGGTGTTTAACTATCATGTAAATGATAGGATGACTGATGCAGCTGCCTGTGTGTGGCCTTAAATAGTGGCCTGAGCTCTGTTTTGAGTAATAATGTTTTGTAGCAAAGGGTTTTCTCTTTCTTCATCTCCCCCCCCCCCCCTCATTCCCCCCCCCCCCCCCTCCCCCTCCCCTTCACGTCTTAGTTGCTGTATGCTTGCAGTGATATTGTGAGGATTAAAATGGCCAATGTCTAGTTGTAAAAGTTGTAATTAAAGTCATCACAATAAAATCTCTTGTTTGACGATTTTGCCCATGCCAGCAGATTATCCTCTGAACATGATCACTCTTGTCTCTTTTTATTTCTGTTACATTTAATAAGTAGAGCTTTGGAGCCCTCTCCTCAATAGTTTCTTGTGAATTCAGATGCAAATCAGGTCATCATTTTGTTGCTTCTGTATAACCATTGACATGGACTGTTTACTGGTGATGCATGGTTGTGTTGTAGAGAGAGAGAGAGAGAGAGATTATGTTGATAGTTGTTCACTTGTTGCCATTATCCATGAGTTAGTCATTATGAGTCTATCTTTGTGTGCATCAGGCCAAGCTAGAGTACTGGCTGGACAAGTATGAGGTGGATAAGGAAAACCTGACTCGCTCCCTGGATACACTGAAAGCAGAAAGAGCTAAATGTTTGGAGCGGATTGCCTGGATCCGTGACATGACTGCTAATTATAAGCCAATTGTCAAGGATGATCAGTGAGTAGAGTTTGGGCTCTGAGAACCCGTTTGTCAAATTTTTGGCCTTTTATATTTTATTGTGTGATGTGAATATTGTGTCGATGGGTGATAGGTTAATCTGGTGCTGGCTGCCTCTACTTCCAGGAAATTTCCTGGTACTCATTTTAGCTGGGACAACATAGAGGCATAGATCCATTTTACCAGTCTACCTAGATGAGGTTGTGAACCTGGGACTACTGGACATATAGGCAAGCATGCTAGCCACTATTCTGTGTTCCCTATAGGCATACATAAAATTGCTAAAGAGTTACAGTCAACAGTAGATAAGGTTATTGACTGGGTACAGAGAGGAGTGCTGTAATCAACCCAGAAAAGAGTAGCTGCAGACAAAGAACACTTTTTGTATGAAGCTTTGGTTGCAGCTAGGCATCAGAGGCTGAAAAGGGTTAAATCATGGATGGCTCCAGCAGAAGACACAATAAGATAAGTATGCATGCTGGAGAACTTTGGGCAAGGTGAGAGTAGGTCAGAGTACCAGAGGAAAAGTCTGATCTGTGTAGGATAATGATCACATTAGGTCGGGACTGCAGAGAGTGGCCAGCTGGGGCTACTGAGGTGAAAGTCCAACAGTTGATTCACGACAACTCTCATCCTAATGATCTGATTATTTACACAGATAGTTCTGTATTAAGAAAAATGCCTGGTGTTTTGTATCGAAAGTCAGTGGAAAATCTTTAGTGTGGGACAGCCTGGCAAATGATACCACGAATCTAGCATGCGAAGGGAGGTGGAGGCAGCCACTGCAGCTTGCCGGTGACTAGAGAACAAAATACATACACAGCAGGTTTCAGATGATTGGTCCTAGTGGGGCAGCATCAGCAGGTTTAAGATGTTTTGTCCTAATGGTGCAGCATCAGTAGGTTTCAGATGATTGACCCTAATAGTGCAGCATCAGCAGGTTTAAGATAATTGGTCCTAATAGTGCAGCATCAACAGGTTTAAGATAATTGGTCCTAATGGTGCAGCATCAGCAGGTTTAAGACAATTGATCCTAGTGGTGCATCATCAGCAGGATTCAAATAATTGTTCCTAGTGGTGCAGCATCAGCAGGTTTCAAATGATTGTTCCTAGTGGTGCAGCAGCATCAGCAGGTTTCAAATAATTAGTCCTAGTGGTGCAGCATCAGTAGGTTTAAAATAATTGGTCCTAGTAGCAGACTAATGTTAATAAACTTGTTAATAAACCCACAAACAAAAGATCATTTACATCAGTGGGTTGCCTGTGAATAACTTGTACAGGCATTCATGCGAGGACAGTATGTAGGCACTGTGCAACGTGTTTAGCAGTCGCCTGGGACGGCCACATTTCACGACTGATTGTTGGTAGTCTGTCAGTGAATGTCAGTGCTAAAGTATAGCACAGAGAAGACGCAGCATCAAATAAAAGACTGTACAGGGGTCTCATACATCCTAAATGTGGCCCTGGATATTCATATTAACAGCAGTGGACCGCCAGTGTTGAAGACAGAAACTCAGAATGCCCTTAACTAGTGTTGAATGTGGGTAGATCCTAGATTCAGACAACATTACAAGTGAAATTCTTTATGCTTGAGACAAGTACGGGAAGACCAAGCCACCATACTGTTGAATGGCTGGGCCATATTAATAGCTTAACCGTATGAATGAGCAAGTCAAGAACACTGGCCTGATCCCTAATTCTGGCAATCATGTAAGATGCCAAAATATGACTGCTTACGCTTATCAGCAGGGCACATGATGATGATGATTGTTAATGTGGTCAGCCTTAGAGCCCATGTCAGTTGATGCTGACTGGAACCCACGACCTTCAGGTAAGCGCCAAGACCCTGCTCTACCACAGTGCTTTGTATTACATATAAGTATATTGTATAAAGGCAGGGGCAGAACATGAGCTTTCCCTGCCATCCAAGGAGGCTTCAATAAATGCAGAGCCAGTGCATGGTGCTCTGGTACTGACCTCACTCAAGGATTTGTCATGAACTGTTTAACCTCACTTTTCTGTATTGAGCCTGTTGGCTACTCCTGTAGAAGCCTGCAGTAGGTAACTTTCATTACCTGCAAAAAAGGGGCACTTTGCTTCTGATGCATGTTAGACTGTTACTGCAGTGGACTTCCACATCCTCTGTAGTGTCATATGACACTTCACATGTAGATGCCCGGGGGCATTCAGTGTGTCATGTCCTGCTTGTGGCAAGACTAAGCCTCTCTCTTGATCCCGTTATTCTGATGAGTATATTGAATTCTGATTTTACAAATAAATAAATCATACACATGAAAAGACAGATGTGGTCAAGGCCCTTTGGAAACAAATAATGGAATCAGTAGAGAAAGATTATTATGGCCTGGAGAGAATGAGGCACCTGGGTGTAACCAGAGGGTCTGGCCGGCTCACTACTCTCAGAGAAAAGGCAAGAAAGACATTTAACCAGATTGTGACCGGTACCATCATTATTAAAACTCTGCCCTGGCTGCCGAATATGAGGACGAAGCATGCATGGGAATGCCCCAAGTGCTGTGATGTGATGTTTGACTCAACTCAACTCAACTCATAAATCAGTAAATCTAAAGTCTTGTGGTATAATCATCATGGTGACATACTGGTTAGAACAGAGACAGCTTTGTATTGAGGTATCTGATTCTCTTCTTGTGGTTCTCAATGTAAAAGTAAAATACGGAACAGAGCCGCTTACTGTACTGTGGGTTTTCTGCTTGCATGATGAGTCTGTACATTGTGATTGTCCATGTTTGCTGCAGGCTTGTGGAGAAATATAAACATGCCATGCTGTAATTCTCTGTTTGCCGCAGGCTTGTGGAGAAATATAAACATGCAATGCTGTAATTCTCTGTTTGCCGCAGGCTTGTGGAGAAATATAAACATGCAATGCTGTAATTCTCTGTTTGCCGCAGGCTTGTGGAGAAATATAAACATGCAATGCTGTAATTCTCCGTTTGCTGCCGAATTGTATAGAAATATAAACATGCAATGCTGTAATTCTCCGTTTGCTGCCGAATTGTATAGAAATATAAACATGCAATGCTGTAATTCTCCATTTGCTGCAAAATTGTGAAGAAGTATAAACATATTGTGCCATAATTCTCTATGTTGGCTGCATAACTAAATGTTCAGTCAGTGTTCTATAACTCTCTGTTGGTTTTTTCCTCTTTCTGAAGACACATAAACATACTGTGTCATAAATCTCTGTTTTTGCTACAGACGTGTGAAGAAAATAGAAGCTGATAGACTTGCAAGACTGGAGCTGATGTCAAAGAAAGCAGTTCGAATCCAGGCCTGGTGGCGGGGAACTATGGTGCGAAAGGGTCTAGGACCATACAGTCGCCAAAACGTGAAGAAAGATGCAAAGAAGAATACAAAGAAAAAGTCTGGTGGCAAAAAGAAAAAGAAGAAATGAGTTGAGAGACCAAGTTTCTTTCCATTCGGTCGAGCAGCTCATTAGTTTTCTTTTAAGATTTGCCTACAAGTTTTTTTGTTTTGTTTCACCTGAGAGTTAGAATACAGATAAAAGGGCTAGCTAGTTGCTAAAACTGTCTGAACCCTGCATAGATAGTCTGTAACCTGTCAATTTTTTAGCGCTGACTGACTTTCTGTCCTCTTTTTTTTTCTTTCTGGTCTATGACTTTCTGCTTACTGTCTAGCACTTTCATGACTCAACATATTATGTGTAGTACTTGAGATATATTATAAGTGGTACTTGAGATGTATCAGTGGTACTTGAGACATATCAATGGTACTTGAGACATATTATGTGTGGTACTTGAGACATATTATGTGTGGTACTTGAGAAGTATTATATGTGGTACTGAGACATATTATGAGTGGTACTTGAGATATATTATAAGTGGTACTTGAGATGTATCAGTGGTACTTGAGACATATCAATGGTACTTGAGACATATCAATGGTACTTGAGACATATTATGTGTGGTACTTGAGACATATTATGTGTGGTACTTCAGACATATTATAAGTGGTACTTGAGAAGTATTATGTGTGGTACTGAGACATATTATGAGTGGTACTTGAGATGTATTATGTGTGGTACTTGAGATATATTATAAGTGTACTTGAGACGTATTGTGTGTGGTACTTGAGATGTATTATATGTGGTACTTGAGACGTATTGTGTGTGGTACTTGAGACATATTAGGAGTGGTACTTGAGACGTATGTGTGGTACTTGAGACATATATGTGGTACTTGAGACATATTATGTGTTGTACTGAGACATATTATGGATGGTACTCGAGACATGTTATTGGTATTACTTGAGAAATTAGGGATGGTATTTGAGACATATTATGTGTGTTACTTAAGACATAATATGTGTGGTACTTCAGACATATTGTGTGTAGTACTTGAGACATATTGTGTGTGGTACTTGAGATATATTATGGGTGGTACTTGAGACATATTGTGTGTGGTACTTGAGACATATTATGTGTGGTACTTGAGACATATTGTGTGTGGTACTTGAGAAATATTATGTTTGGTATTTGAGACATATTATGTGTGGTGCTTGAGACATGTTGTGTGTGGTACTTGACACATATTATGTGTGGTACTTGAGAAATTCAATGAAAACAATCTGGTAAATGTGTGATTTTATGACATTCTATTACATGAGTGAGAGATAAATGTGCCAGAGCTGAGGATATGCTAAGACATTTGTGAGAGTTAAGGACAGGCTGAGAGTTGGGGACAGGCAGGGACATGTGTGAGAGTTGAGCACAAGTTAGGACATGTATGAGAGTTTGAGACAGGCAGGGACATGTATGAGAGTTGAGCACAAGTTAGGACATGTGTGAGAGTTGAGCACAAGATAGGATGTGTATGAGAGTTGAGCACAAGATAGGACATGTATGAGAGTTGAGCACAAGATAGGATGTGTATGAGAGTGAGCACAAGATAGGACATGTGTGAGAGTTGAGCACAAGATAGGACATGTATGAGAGTTGAGCACAAGATAGGACATGTGTGAGAGTTGAGCACAAGATAGGACATGTGTGAGAGTTGAGCACAAGATAGGATGTGTATGAGAGTGAGCACAAGATAGGACATGTGTGAGAGTTGAGCACAAGATAGGATATGTGTGAGAGTTGAGCACAAGAAAGGACATGTGTGAGAGTTGGGAACAGGCAGGGACATGTGTGAGAGTTAAGGACAGGCTAGGACATGTGTGAGAGTTGGGAACAGGCAGGGACACGTGTGAGAGTTGGGAACAGGCAGGGACATGTGTGAGAGTTGGGAACAGGCAGGGACACGTGTGAGAGTTGGGAACAGGCAGGGACATGTATGAAAGTTGGGAACAGGCAGGGACATGTGTGAGAGTTGGGAACAGGCAGGGACATGTGTGAGAGTTGGGAACAGGCAGGGACATGTGTGAGAGTTGGGAACAGGCAGGGACACGTGTGAGAGTTGGGAACAGGCAGGGACATGTGTGAGAGTTGGGAACAGGCAGGGACATGTGTGAGAGTTAAGGACAGGCTAGGACATGTATGAGAGTTGGGAACAGGCAGGGACATGTGTGAGAGTTGAGGACAGGCTAGGACATGTGTGAGAGTTGGGAACAGGCTGAGACATGCGTGGGCGGTTGAGGGAAAGATATAATGAAACTTACAGATACAGTGACCAAATCAGGTTTGAGTATAGCTGCGATGATCAGCTTGTAATCTATTGACCCGCACCCATCGATCAGTGACCTCAAATGGTCTCCTACAACTTCTCATCATTAAGTGAAATTGTTGGAGACATGTTTCGACAGAGCCTTGCCTTTGTCATTGTCTTCTCAGATCTTATGGTGTCTTGTTATTAACTACAATATTGGGAAATATTAGTTGTATGCATGCGTACATAATTATTCAGAAATAAAACGTCAATAAAAAAACTTGTTCTCATCCATGTTTTGCAAATAAATACATGTATGCTTCAACTCGTGAATTTGCTCTCTACAGCTTCCATCAAGTATTATATGGACTGTACTATTAATGTTTGGAGAAGGAGGCATAATTATCCATTCATTTCCAAAATTAATGTCAGTAAGGCGGCAATCATGTTTGAAGGCATCCTCCGTCCAGAATTTGCATCGTTTGAGTCTACTCTTGAAAAAAAAAAAAGGGGGGGGGGGGAAATTCCTCATAAAGTGGGTGTCGACTTCACTTTGAGGAAAGCAACAGCCCTGGATAGCTTGATTCTTTTTTTTTCCATTGTGGGGAAATCCGAGAGGTATCGCATGGATTTACAGGAAGTGTGTCTAGTGCATCCAAGAATAATATGTATGCTGATGATCTGGCGCAGCACAGACAAGGCTTCAAGAATCCCTCGAGGTCTAGAGAAGTGGTCCAGTAGTTGGTGCATGCCTGTAAATGGGACCAAAACCACACACACACCATTTTCAGTCTTTCCACCAAACCACAGAAAGCGTCGCTTACAAATGGCATTCAGGCACTGAAACATGATGACTCACCGTGGTATTTTGACCCAAGACTCGCGTGAAGAAAACAGATAGAAAAGAATCAGAACAAGGGACTCAGGAGAACTTAGCTGGTGATGAAGTTAGCTGGAACAGACTTGGGGGTGGGGGGCAAACCTCAATGTCTTCAAGAGGATCTATACAGGCTATGGGAGGCCAATACTAGAATATGGGATAGCGGCACAGCAGCTAAATCAAATTTTTTTTTTTATCTCAAAGATCCAAAACCATGCTCTCCGTATTATGACTGGCCATGCGCTCCACGCCCATATCAGACACGGAAACAATTACTGATCTCTATGATCTGGAAGACAGGAGAGACGCAAAGCTCCCCACTCAGCTCTCCACCACTTTAAAGAACAACCCATGCACAGCCGACTGCGGAAACCCCCAGAGGGCTAGACTAAAGAGAATATGTTTAATAAAGAACGCGAATTTCAAGCTCGCTGACTTCAAACACCCTCTCATAGTTCTAAATGTTTCACTTGAACATTACAACCCCCCCCCCCCCCCCCCCCTTTCTCCCCTGGTTTAGGGATAACTTGCCAAAAGTCAGAACCACTGTAACAGGGATCTCCTCCAAATCATTAATAAGCAGCACGGATATGAAGCCAGTTACAGAAGGAGAGATCAACAGTTTGTATCCACATCAGTGGTGGATTTAGTGTATACAGATGGTTCAGCCAAGAGAGCAGTAAGAGACGGAGGAGGAGGGGTACATATGAAATGCCCAAAGGGTTTAAAAATCAACCAGACTGTACCAACAGGTTCATATTCCTCCAGTTACAGAGCAGAGGCAGAAACATTTCTGGCGGCATGTTCTTTCTGAATGGAAAACAGCACAGCAAATACAGCAAAGTCGTCTTTCTGACTGATGCCATGTCAGTTTACAAGCAATTATCAACCCAAAAGACACTCAGTTTGTAGACTTGGCGCAACAGCTGATTCCCATAGATTCTTCGGTATAACTGTAGTGCAGTGGATTCCATGTCACTGTGGCTTGAAAGGTAATGAAATAGCGGACAGGTTGGTTAGAAGCTGCATTGACTTGGTACAACAAAATAGTGACCTAACCCACCAAGAGACTAAGACAATTTAGTATCCAAGAAAGGTGGCTGGATACCCACACCAGATTTTCTCCCCAGGACTCGCTTCAACGCCTTTCTCGAGATGCACAGTGTATTATATTCAGACTAAGGACTGGGCACAACAGACTTCGCCAACATATGTTCAAAATTTTCGGTGTAGGAAACACGGAGACGTGTCCGGCAGCGTGGCACCCGAAAATGCTGAGCATGTGTTCCAACACTGTCAACTGTATGCTGACAACAGAGAGACAATCTGGCCTGTTCCAACCACAGTGAAGACAAAACTGTATGGCACACGAGAAGATAGCTTTCATAAAGGCTGCCTGCTGATATGAGTTTTCTGACAGTAGGATCGAAGAAGAAGAAACAACCAGGGACAAACAATTCAAGTCCAGCAGCTTTAAAAATAGTTTAGTTTATATAGTTTAGTTGACGTATCAAAATCATGGCACACGAGATTAAACCCTAAGTGCTCCGTTCTACTTCTCACTCAAGCCTGAGTCTGAAGAATCTCAGGGCAGTGTAAGAACACCGTTGCACCGGTTAGGATCCTGAAATGCTTTTTTGGGTAGATTTTAAAACTCAAAATTGTGCCCGGGCAGCGCCGTTAGGCTACTCTTTTCGATTCTCAACTGTTTATGGATTTTTTATGTGCGCAACAATACACACGGGCGTCTGGTCTTACTACCTAGAGACCAAAGGAAATATTTAGAAGTTCACTTGAAAAACATCACAGCCTTTACTGGGGTTTGAACCCGGGACCTCCAGCACTGGAGACCACACCACCCCACCCCCCCCCATTGTTCCATACTAATCCAAGTCCCAATTTGAGGCC